GGGAGGCGATCATCCCAACTTGAACTTCCAATGTTGAACTTCAAACGGAAGGTTGATCCATGAATATATATATTTGAATCCTTAAAAGATAGTCAAATCGAACCTTGAAGTTCAATTTGGGGGTTCGAGTTGAAGGTTGAAACATCAAGCAACTTGAAGTCCAAACTCAACCCTGGAACTCCTTGAACTTGAACAACTGCGGAAAGCTACTAACGGTATATCTTGCGGAAACGGTCTTCATGAAATACAGTATTTATCTGGGTATATAGCTATTTTAGAGTCACGGTTTTGTGACCCTTGAACTAGTACTAGTATTGGCCCATCTGTTAGAGGGAATTCAAGTTTCATTTAGAATAGAGGCAACTCATTTGGATTCATTTTACTCCCTGAATAGTAAGAAGCTATAGGGAAAACCATGAAGCACTTAATGAAGATTATCATTCTAGATTGAAACAAACAGCTATACCGCATCTACCTCACACCTACACCACGCCATGACTATAACCGCAAACATCAACATCCTCTCCCTTCCGTCTACCTAAGCATAATTGTGATCGTGGAACAAGAACGCAGCAAGGATCAAATGATGTCAGATATGAAGAGAGAGAAAAGAAAAGAAATATTGGCCGACCGATAGTGAAACAGCCCCTAGATAGAATGCTGAGTTGCCCTGAGCAACAGGTGCCATGCCACTTCACATCAGTCCCTTCATACCCACGTGGAACCATGAAAATGTAAGGAGTATCAAGATCCGGTCTCAAGTCCTCAGCTGATACAGTCTGCACATATGTATGTGCAGCCAGGATTGAACAGTACCTCATTGTACGGTAATGTCTAGAAGATAATCTTTGTCCCCACTGTGCAAGGAACCATGGTGCCGGGCATAGCCTTCTCGATGGCAAATTTCGCCCGCCAGCCTGTGCAGTGCCCTGGCATGAGAACTGCAGGGTCCAGTCGTTTCAGATCGGCCACTGTACTCTGTACCTGCGCGGGCTCGCTCATGGAGAGATGGTACCCGCCCACGACGCAGTGGAGTGGTACGCCGCCGCCGAGTTGGACTGCGTTCTTGGTCGTGTTTACTACGCCAGCATGGCTGCAGCCGGTGAATACAACGAGTCCTTTGCCTTTGAGGTTGCATGCGAGGAAGCGCTCATCGGCGATGAGTTCGTCCGAGAACCAGTCTTTCTCTTCTGGGTCGTAGCGGACTGCGTTCCGGAGGCCGGTCTCGTAGGGGGTGACTCGTGGAACCTCGCCCGAGACGAGGAAGAAATCGTCGAGTACGGTGTGAGGTTCGTCATGTTTTTGTAGCACCGCGCCGCTGTTTTGAATTTCTTCAAAAGTTGGGTCGGCCTCGAGGGAGATGATGGTATCCGGTAGAGAAAATCCTCGGTAGGCGGGTCGGTCTGGGTGTACGTCCACGACAAGGTCGTCCGAGCGGGCTTCTCTGATCATTTTAATTGCTCGTAAAAGACCACCTGTACTTGATATTAGTTCAATGACCGTGCAGTAGCATATTCCAGCATATAGATCCAGAACCAACCGGAGTGATCTCGATGCCAATGCGAGAGTTGGATAACTTCGATGGAGGAGAGATTGGGACGGAGCCGGTTGACATTTCTCTCCCAGACATCTTCCTCCGGACCAACATCGAAAAGAACCGAGTGTTTCTGGTCACCCTTTGTAGCTGTCTGTCTTGTGTCAGTTTGATGATTCCTCGCGCAGCGGGAGTTGGGGAGTTGCATAATCTAACCACTAATATAGACAGACCATGTGCAGAGCAGCATATATCTTCCATTCGTAATTCCTTGGATGCGCCACCTCTATCGGTCACATTGTTATCAGCTTTCATAGCGATTTGTCCCAGGTTTCCCATGATCTGAACAGTATCCGGGGCTGGAGGGGACATCGGATCCAGCTCATTGTCAACAATCACAATTGCCTCGAGAGAGTCAACCTCTTGGAGATTCAAATTCAACTCGTCCATGATGAAGTTAAAGTATGGCAATGGCAATGGAAAGATGACTACCTAGGTAGGATTAGTGTTGAGGGGAGATGGAGTTCATGTGGGGTGTCTATGTGTATATAGCCCCCACGAAGGGCAACGCGTGTCACAGCGTGGAGTGCGAGCCCTGGAGGCTGACGTGAGATAGAATGGTAGGTCCTGGAAGCTAAGCCCAGAAGCTTGAATCAACAATAGCCCGAAATAGGCAGAGTAGTTTAGGTGTGGGAGAGAGAGTAAGAGTAAGAGCAAGTACTGTCGGTCCGCGGAGTTCGGACAAAGGTAGTGACGGAAGTCAATCTTATCTCCGGCTCCGGTTTGCGATTCCTTCCTTTGACTTCACTTCACTTCTTCCTTATATTTGTCACACGACCTCTCCTCCTCCCTTCTCCCCCTCCTCCTCAGATATGCGTTGATTGTCTGTACAATGGCGCACGCCACACTCCTCCGCTCGTTGCGGCCAACTGTCGTATCACGTCTCCCCCAACCCCGCTGCCAGTCGCTTCCCCGATATGTCCACGCAGGCAGCTATCAGCCCTTTGTTCCACCATCACCCGCATCCCTGGGCAAGCCAACAGCAGCTAAAGAATATAAACGGACTCGAAAATGGCTGCGACGGCTATTCTATGCATCTCTTACGGCCGGTATCATCTACGGCGTCGACAGCCAGTTCTACGCCTCCTCTCTAACTCGAACCGCCCGGACCTTTTCGCTCGGCCTTCTCGTCGCTCTTGATTACAAGATTAATTTCAGACCGAATCCCCCACTGGCAAAATCCATTAATTCGGTGCATGGCCGGAACGCCGAGCGCCTATCCGATCTCTTACGTCACAATGGTGGGCTCTACCTAAAGATGGGTCAAGCGATCGCGATGCAATCGGCCATCTTACCGCCCGAGTTCCAGCACATGTTCTCTCGCATGTTCGACGATGCGCCACAAAATGACTGGAAAGAGGTGGAAAAGGTCATTCGCGAGGATTTCGGCAAGTCCCCCGAAGAGGTCTTTGGCATCTCTTTCACCGGAGAACCGGGTAAAGGTGTGATGGAGCGCAAGGCCCGTGCCAGTGCCAGTGTCGCTCAGGTGCACTGGGCTCGTCTGCAGGATGGTCGGGAGGTTGCCATTAAGATCCAGAAACGGGAGATTGCCCAGCAACTGGCATGGGACCTGTTCGCTTTCAAGTGAGTGTTGCCTTCGAAAGGAAGACGGGGGAGCCGACGGGAGAGTTTCCGAACTAGCGCTAACTTCCCTTGATAGAACCGTGACTTGGATCTACAGCAAATTATTCGATATCCCCTTCTACAGCTTGGTACCTTATATCAGCGAGCGATTGTCCCTCGAGACCGACTTTCTCAACGAAGCCGATAATTCAGAGCAGATGGCGCGGCTCGTTGCCGGAGAACCCCGCTTACGGGACCGTGTCTACATCCCAAAGGTGTTCCGTGAGCTAAGCTCACACCGAGTCATGACTGCTGAATGGATTGAAGGCGTACGACTTTGGGACAAAGATGCGATCACTCGCTCATGGCGTGGCGGTTGGCGCGAGGGTAGTCCTGGCTGTCATGGAACACCAATGGATCCTCCAGCAAGCGCTATCCCTATGGATCCCCGGCTGTCAAAGGTCAAACCGGAGCGCAATCACTGGCGAGGCCAGAACAACCGCGGTGGACTGGGGCTATCCCTCAAGGATGTGATGACGACCATGGTTGACCTGTTCTCTGCGCAAATGTTCCTTTGGGGACTAGTTCACTGTGATCCGCACCCAGGCAATATTTTCATCCGTCGAAAGCCATCTGGTCAACCGGAGCTGGTTCTCATTGACCACGGCTTGTACATTCATATGGACCCTGATTTCCGACACCAGTACGCACGCCTCTGGAAGGCCATGCTCACCTTCGATAATGATACCCTGGGCGAGATTGTCCAGAAATGGGGTATCAAAAACACTGATGTCTTCGCCTCGGCAACTCTGATGCGCCCATACCGCGGCGGTGATCTGTCGACCCAGCGCGGGCTGGAGGGATTGGGCAAGGCTGAACGAGCTCAGCGTTCCTATGAGATGCAGCAGGCTGCACGCAAAGCTGTTCGTGACATTCTTGGCGACGAGACAAAATGGCCACAGGAGTTGATCTTCATCGGTCGCAATCTGCGCATCGTACAGGGGAACAACCAGTTCCTTGGCTCACCCGTCAATCGTGTCAAGATTACCGGAATATGGGCCTCGCGGGCACTGGCCGAATCTCCAGATCTACCTCTACCAGAGAAGATCCGCAATCTAGGCCGACATATGGTCTTCCGCTTTGTCTTGTTTACGAGTGACATCTTCTTCTGGTTCACTAAGATCCGACAGTTCTTGCATCTTGGTGGGGGAATGGAAGATGCCATCGAGGCCCAAATGCAAGGCATGGCCAAGGACATGGGGGTCGACCTGAACCAGAACATCTTTGAAGGATGAGCATTCCCTTTTTTTTTCAAACCCCACCTCCCACCTCTCACTCTAATCTTTTACCCATTACCTCTCAACCTTCATATCTTATATTTTATCTTTTACCTCTCGGCGAGATATGAATTTCGCGTGGCCTGACTAGGCCCTTGTGGCTGGCCTCCCTTGCTATTTCGGCCTTTGGCTATGCGTCCTTGAATAGACTCACACTGGTTAATTGCCTGGGAAGAGTGTACTATAAGAAAAGAACTCGCTTTTTAGAGGATAGAAAAATCTCCAATGTTTTACCTCGCAGAGATATGACAATATCACAAGTTTTAGTACATTAGGTTCTCCGATCAATCGGGATCTCCAGGTTGTTCGACCCTTCACTTCAGCCACAACTGCCATACACATCGAGCCCACTCCTAAGTACATCCTGATATCGCTCTTCCTCATAACTATTCCTATCCCCATCAACAAGCACCTCATTTAACCACCCACATCTAGCAAGATATGCAGCCCCAGTATCCGCCCAGATCCGATACTCACAAACCTTCACCTCCACATGGCCATCCCCATCACCACCCCCCCTCCACCACAAGACCAACCCGATAAATAAAAGTCTCATCCCAAACCTGCTCGGTGCCTTTCCAACAAAACCTGCCCTGCCCCCTCAAAACAACCGCCTGAGCAGTGCCATCCACCACCCAGCCTCCTTCATCTTCAAACCTCATTTCCTCAATCGAGAGCGTTTCGCCCAGCAACTCGAAGTAACGCACCACTCCCTCTGCACCGGTGAATCGGCGGCCCAGGAACGGGGCTAGTTGTGGCAGTCCGTGCTCATATATCAGAGGGACTTGGGATGTGGTGAATGATTGTAAGATTTTGGTCGTTGAGAGAGGTGTGGTTTTTAGGGCTTGGAGGAAGGTGATGACGGCATCTGTCAGGGCTTTTCTTGATGCCATCACTCAAAGTTGTATTTTTCGTTGATGTATTTGCTTGAGCTTTTGTCTTGGCTGTTTTGGAATAGACCTCCAACTTAAATATGGAGTTAGTTGGGTGAGGGAGTCGCAATCCCCAAGTGGTTCTAACTCGAAGTTGATATTGGAGATCGACGTCACCGGTTACATCCAATGGATGGTTATACGTTACAACCGTCATGATTCCCCACAGAACAGGGCGTTTGCGGGGATTTTTATATCACATGATAAAGTATTGTTAAATATTGGAGATCAATTGGATTGCTCCCCTTGACTCGACTTATTATTTTATCAAGTGGCCAATTCTAATGGGATTGATATGCAAATAATAAGCCATCATTAGTTGCACGACTCACAGATATGCCCTGATCTGCCTTGATTATATCTGATATTCGCTCGGCAGACGCATAAAGACTACTCATAGGATGTCCGCCGAGCAGGACCGGATGCGTGGAGGCGTCGACCACCCTCACATTGGCGGTCCCATACACCCTCATGTGTGCATCCACCACACCACCCTGGGACCGAGGCATCATCGCCGACGTTCCAACAACATGAGGAGATGGTATATCTAACGTCGCTCTTAGTAAATAAAGAAAGATCGTCTTGTTGAGTGCATGCAAAAAGAAGGTGGTACACTTACAGCTGCGACTCAACCATTTCCACCAGATCTCATCGGAGGCATCGGCCGGGACTTCAGACAATCCGGGCACGGATTCTGTGAGATTGAAAGCCTTCTGGCGGTGAAGTATAGATCGCGAAGCCTTGGCCATAGCCACATGAATGGTCCTGTCCCATTCCAAGGTCCCATGACGAGGGCGCACCGCTGGTGGCTCCATCGGGTCGGCGGAAGATATATGCGTATTTCCGCGGGAGAAGGGTACTTCATTGAGGAAATTCACCTGTATGGTATTTGGGGCTTCAGTATTGACGCGGAACAGGAACTCCGCCACCGGGATTCGTTCCTGAAAAAGGAGACGGTGCTGGGTTTCGTATAGTCTCTGGATTGCAGTCATGTTCAGCGCCCCGTCGCTCTCTTGCATGATGCTATGAGAATATTCAGGGATCCTCTCCCATAAATTCCGTTCTAAATTGAGAGAGAGATTCGAGGTGAAAAGATCCGATATCGTGGTATAGGCGACGGGACTAGGACCGGTGATAGGACTCTCGCTGGACATGGTGACGAAGCCACTCATCCGATCCTGGAGATTCTCTCCCACCCCTGGCAAATCCACCTGAACAGGGATCTGGAATTGCTGCAGGATGCGCGGATTTCCAATACCCGATCTCTCGAGAAGAGCCGGGGTCTGAATGGCACCGCCTGCGATGATGACCTCTCTTTTCGCGCGTATAGACATCATCGTGTCACCGACTCTCATCTCAACTCCAGCGGCGATGATGGGCTCGAGTTGGTTTGCATGCCAGGTAATTCTAGTCGCAAAGGTGTCCAGCTGCACATGCAAGTTGGTTCGATTTTCAAATGGCCAATAGTACCCCTCCGCGGCATCCCATCGAATTTGCTGGATTTCATCAATAGTTGAAGGATAGATTCCCAGCCCCCGTGGATGACCTGAATTAAGATCATAGTCTGTATTAGGCCCGGTCAAATTCCATGTGGTATTCAATACCAGCGCAAGGTCTGTTTCTTGTGGACGGGTCCAGTTGAGAAAACCCAGATGGAGCGGGCCCTGCGTGCCATGGAAGGCTGGCTGGTATAACGCAGCGACATTCGGCTCCTGGGTGATATTTTCACTTTTCAGGAAATAGGGGAACAGCGATTCCCACGTCCAACCAGGGCTTCCCATGGTCTCCCATAGATCCACCTCGTCGGGACGTGGACGAAGGTATACCATGCCTGGCCTTGTTAAATGGCATGACGGTGACAAGGCGGAGTGGTGGACATACCATTAATTGAACTGGAACCTCCCAAGCAACGACCTGCATGAATGGCAGAGTTGGTTCCTCCCCACTGTGGTCCTGTCGTTTTGTAGGCCCAGTCAATGGCTGTATTCACAGCAGCAAATGGCCGACTCGGATCTGTCACGTTGGGGTTATATCTCACAGATCCACCAGCCTCGATTATCAGAACTGAGAGGCTGGGATCCTCAGAGAGCCGGTTGGCGACGACCAGCCCTGCGGTGCCTCCGCCTACAATGATATAGTCATACTCAGTCCCGTCGAGAACGGCATCGGCGACTTTGGAGCCCACCAAAAGTACGGCAAGGAGGAGTAGTCGCATCAAGGCTCATGCAATTCACAAGGATAGTAACTTCTACACTCCTCTGATGGGTGACCATTGAGTTTAATACATATACCCAGGTACGCCCTACGGATATCACCATGGGAGACGGAATGCAATACTCCTGCAGGATTTCAATATTTCCGGCGCAGGCGTCGTGTCAGCGTCACACGAGAGGAGAAAAAATATGTACATATGCATTCCAAGGTTCGGGTTTGTTATGGCTATCGAACATCATGATATCGCTTGTACCTACTAGGTATGACACTCACCGCGTCTCTGACATAGCGCATTGAAGAAAAAGAGGTACTTGGACAAGTTCAAAGTGGCTTTACCAAGTAGTACAATATCGCGTATACCCCCCGCTTCAACTTGAAGTTTATACCACACCGCCGCTATTTGACAACTTGAAAAGGCCCTCAGGCTAGAAGGAGCACTTACTAGCCCTGGAGTACTACCTAATCCCTCAATGTGACCTCAGGAGCTTAGAAATGTTTCAAGGTGTTTATTCAAAGACTTCAAGAGTCGAACACTCCAAGCCCAACTGGGCGGCGACGGCCGGCCTGCCTGAGCCCTGGAAAAGGATTGAATATTATGTCTTTAAACATGTCGTTCGTTTCCATTTGACTTCTTTTACTCAGAACCTTGGAATTGAGGAAAACATATTCCTTCGTAATAGGTCGCTCAATGTATCCACTGAGGACTGAAACCCTCCACCGTCTCGACTTCACGTACTGATTTCGCCATCGTCGCCAGCCTGTCCATTCATCATTCTCCCCGGACCACCTCGAAATCCCAGCCAAACTCCGTTCCGGCGTGAACAGCCTTGAATCAAGGGCAGAAAACCACAAGTTATGGGAAAAAGTGGGAAGGATAAAAAAAAGGAAACAAAAGTTGAGGGAAAGGGCCTAGCTAGACCCCAAAGAAACGCAGTAAATCAAATCAAATCAAGAAAAAGAAACACCGAGCCCCAGTACAATGATACATTTCTCTTTTCCGCGCTACCACGTTTCAATTTTGATCCGTAGATCACATCAAAGTCACAACCTCGATCTCTCACTGCTTCCAGGACTTGCCGCAATTCAAGCACGTGCAGAACAGAGTCATCGGTTCATCAGCGGCGCGAGTCTGAGCCTCGGTGTAGGTGACCTTTCGCTGGCCGCACTTGCCGCACTGCAAGCTGGTACTGATCGACTTCTCGCCCTGAGCAACCATGGCATTGTTCATATTTACCTTTTTGATCTTCTCATCTGCCTCACGTTGCGCATCAGAGCGCAGCTCATCGGATGTCATGCGAATGAAATAATCGGGCTTGATATCGCCGTCGAGGACGCGCTTCCGCAGACTGACATTTGTCTTGTTTTTCAGGTTCTGGAACAGACTGCGCATCTTCGTGCGGTATGCCTCCTTGGTATCCGGTCCAAGAGCATCATATGCAGCGCCCTCCACAGCGATAGCCTTTTTCAAAACGTCCTTAGGCGACTCAGTCGAGCCCAGACACAAACCATCATACATAAGACCAATGCAGCTGTCGCGGACCCTGCTCGTGGTCACGTTGGTGTCCACCTTGTCCGCCTTCCATGTGCGCTTGTCTGGTGGAACGGACAGCTTCGATGCCTTATCGGTCGGGGTAGACCCCGCGGGTGTGGATGCGCCGGTGCTGCCGTTTTGAGCTGGACGGGGAGAACTGGAGGCTCGACCAGCTGCTGATCCGCCGGCTTGCTTTTGCTTGTTGACTTCGGTGCGCCATTTCGAAACGATCTCGCTGGCCAGTCGCGCGACTTCGGGTGTCTTTGATGTCTTGAGCTTGTTGACTATGATACCGATGCGAGTCGATCGTAGGAGGTTTTCTGATGCGCGCACTCCTGTTTGCAGTTCCTTCAGCATGCCGATCACTACGGAGGTTGGCTCCTCCGCTGCGGCCGCCTTGGTTAAGGCCTTGGCCTTGGTCTCGATTTCTTTGGCATCCATGGCCACGGGTTGGTGGGGGTTAGAGGGAGTAGATCAATCCGAGTTGAGAAACCGAGCGGTTGGTTGGGGGTGGTTTCGTTTTGCGTTGTAGTCTGTACCAAAACCAAGGTTAGCAGGTTGCGCATTGATGGTTGCAAAAAAAAAATATGGTCGCGGTGTCCCCCGGAGAACCGGTGCATATGAAAGCCAAGGAATAGGAGACTCGTGCTCAAACGGCCATCACAAAGCAGGTATACTGCTCTAGATGGTGCCTGGGCATAGTTTTCTTTGCCTTGTTTCCCCGTGAGTTACAAGCCAGCCAGATCCTGAATCGCACGTGGTCACTCCGAAACACCGAATATTCCCCTCTGACAGCGACGAGAAGGTTGCCGGTTAACGTAAAGACAATGCGCCGTCTCAAATGCATCTTGCGACCGGCATGACGCGGTATATGGGGGGATGGTGGTGTAGAATGGGAGGGTCGGTAACTTACTCCAGGGCCACAGTCAATAGCGACTCAAGGACTGTAAGAGAGAAGGAAGTCGAGAGAAGGAGAGAGAGTTGAAAGGGAAGAGTTGGAGGGTGAAGGCAGAGTGAGGCCAACATGGAAAGTCGGCAGAAGCTGCGAAGCTCCGAGGTGAATGCCAAGACGTGATTGCCCGATTCGGACATCTCACTGGAAGTATACATGGGGAATATAATAACTACACAATAACTACAATTACAGCTACAGCTGTTTTATATTTTATGAAAGATATGTGCTGTGTTTGTTCTGGAAGTCATAAAGCACTGAAACGTGATCATATAAAATAAAATACGAGAAATTTGATAATCATCTGTCCAGTCTCATCAACACCATAAATGATACACTACCCCCTAAGCAGCATGCCCGCACCTAACAGACCCAAACTCCGTCGGCCAACTGAACGAATCGCCACCTGCATTATCACGCTGACATTTTTCGTCATGGGAATCCCTGTAGTCCGAGTAGGCCATTCCGTTGAAAGATCCACAGTGTGCATCGCTAAAAATTTGACAGTCTCCCTTGGGAACCCACCAGGATTGGGGCTCCGTCAGGCCTGAATTGTAACAACTTTGCGACGTGCCCTCCCTCGCCTTGAATAGGCGACAAGAAGTCTTACCCGAGGCCATATCGGAATTGTCACCCGATTGAAGGTCCACGCACTCAGACCAGTCGCTTGTGTATCCCTCTACAATGATATAGTCGCCGTTCTCAGGGAGACAGTGCTTGCCCACGTAGATGGTTATACTCCACGTTTGCTCCGGGAGTTTAGATGTAGTGGTTGTAGTCTGTGGTTCCTTCTTTCTTGTCGTTGTTGTTACCGCCATAGTTGTGATAATGGTAGTGGTAGTGGTCGTGGCTCTCTTCTTTGTCGTTGTTGTCGTTGTAGTTGTACTCTTTGCCTTGTCCACGCAGTTCTGAATACAATCATGGCTAGCCTTGCATTTTTTCCGGGAAATAGCCTGGCATTCACCAGTCGTACCTATACACTGTCAAGAAAAGCGTCAGTAAGAAGGTCAACTCGAAACCTAAACTCGAAACCTCAACACAGAACAGACTGGGAGGTAGATATACAATGACAAAGAAAGAGGGAAAAAAAGAAAGGATAAAACGCACGCATTCATCCTTCGATGGACACGGGTTCAAGCTCGCGATATCATCTATATTATCAGGTCTTGGAGTTCCAATAACCTGCGGACCGCACTTAGCATTCGGAAGCGAAACTGGCATCGGAATAGCCCCAGGCCCGAGACATATGAAATCTCCCTGCTTAATATGTTTGCAGCCTTTCCAGAGCCAGGTCTTTTTGTTGTAGTTTTCTATATCATCCACTGTAATACCCTTGGCTTCGGCGATCCTTGTACAGTTGCTGCTGTCAAGTGCTTGGACAACGTAGGTAGAGCAAATGCCAGTGATGGCATCTAGTTGATAAGATACGCCACGGGCGTAGAGGGCTATGGACTATCGTAAAAGGTGATATGCTTAGTACTTAGCTCGATTGAAAGCCTGGTTATTCTGTTAGAGATGGTAGCAAGCAGGACATACGTTGTTTCCTTCAAAGGGTTCGGTTGTGACAGCAGCAACAGAAGCCAAGAAAAAAATGAGCAACAGGCCCATCGTGAGCAGAGTTTTACGATGAAACCCCATTTTGAGCCTAGAGTCCGGATTTCGAGCCCGAATTGATTATACCTAGGTACCTGCAAGTCTAAGTCGGAGTATGCCTCCTTTAAAAGACAAGTTCAGGACGTCCCGAATACCCGGAAAGAGACAGTATACTACCGGGGGGGGGGGGGGGGCTTGACTTAATCAATGCCAGCCCTGGAGCCCAAGGTAGTCAAAGATGATATAAACAGAACAGAATACTATTAGTTAAATTGTAGTAGATTGTGCTTTCCCACCTTTTTTTTAGAATGCATGCTCAGGTGATGATTGGATAGGACACGACTGCCATTTAAGCCGCCTCGACAAAGAATGGAATGGCGGTCGACTTGAAACGTATGACTAGGCCGAAAAGGTTCCCCAATAGCTGTAGTATACTTTCTTCGCTTTGGATGAATTCTCACTACAGTTACTGCAAATGGGGCTCAAAAAGGCTTTCGCCCCCGCTTCTGCTTTGGGTGTCCAGTCTTTCTTCTTTCGGGGATAGACTCGGCTGTGGCAACTCGCCTCCCGCTATCAGACGGGTGTTCCTGCTGGTCCGCTGGATCAACAAGAGATTACTTGGAACTAGACAGTATATGTATAATCGTGTATGGAAATTGTGTGATTAGGCAAGAGATGGCCGTCTGGTGGACCAGTTGTATTCACATCTATGCGAGCAAATCCTTTTTTGTATCCTCCTAAGAAAACCAGAGCTCGAGATGGCTATGCATGTGTCAGGGATGAAAAAGAAAGGGATTATGTGCAGTCGTCATCGTAAAAGTCAACAGGGTATATGAAGATAGGGGAAATTTTTCTGATGATGTAGCGTCGGTATCGTCAGTCGGGGTGCTCATGAGCTGCGCGGGAAGACTGGAGACAGATTGTTCTCCATGGTCAAGGGTTCGCGCGGGTCGGGCTGCCTGCATGACTAGTGCGAGAGGCGGTTTGATTCCAGGATCCGTCAATAAACGATATGCTGGAACCGAGGTAGAAGAGACCAGGTGGAATAGTTGATCTACAGGCCAGTCTTGCCCAGGGCATCGGCGAGATCATCGACAGCCTTCTCAATCTTCTGGGCGTTTGCCTCAGCACGCTCAGCATCCTTGATGTCCTTCTCGGTCTTGGGCTTCTCCTCCTCCTCCTCCTCCTCCTCCTCCTCCTCCTCCTCGCCGTTGTCGCTCTCCTCATCAGACTCCTCCTCTTCAAGCTCATCAAGCTCATCAACACCCCAGCTATCCTCATCGTCCTCATCGGTACCGTGCTCCTCCTGACGGGCCTCCAGGAGTTCGCGAATGACGGTGATGTTCTCATCATCCTCAGAGAAGATATTTCCATTCAGCTCAACGCGACGCAGACTCGGGAGTGCAGTCTTGGCAGCAAAAGCAAGCTCCTTCACAAAGTCGGCCTTGACCTCATTGTACTGCAGGCGAAGGATCTGAATGTTTTGGTTCTTGTTGGCAGCCAAAGCCTTAGCAACCTTGACACCACCACGGGCAGAGAGCAGGCAGTCACCAACGCCCAGCTCGCGCAGGGAAGGCCAGCCAGCCAAAACATCAGCCAGAGCGGTCGAACCCATGACGGTAAAGGTGTTATCCTGCAGGTCCAGGACCTCCAGGGCGCTGGCGTGACGGAGACCGTTCTGAAGTAGCTGCGAGATACCCTCCTGGCGAATACCGTTCTGAGTCATCTTGACGGACTTCATGCCAGTAGCGTGCTTCTCATAGGCGCGAGCCCAGGCCTCCATACTGCCGTTCTCGAGACGGTTACGTCCGCAGACGATGCTCTCCAGCTGGGCAACCACCTTGCCCTCCTTGCGAGCCTCCTCCTTGCGCTCAGCGAGCTTGCTCAGGGCATCGGCGACCAAGGTACCGGCGGCGGGACCGAGACCGTTGTTGTTCAGGATCAGGTGGCGAAGTGGGGTGTGGCGGGACAGGAAATCGACGAGGGGGGCCTGAGTGTTGAGACCGAAGGCATTGTCGGATAGGTTGACGGTGTGTACGGACGGAATCTCAAGGAGGGCATCAAGGAGGGACTTCAGGGCCGGGGGGGGATCTCGGACAGGAGTCGCGAGGTGAAGATATCGGCAAGATCGGCGTGTTCGAGGCTCTTCTGGGTGGCGATGACAGCGGCAAGACGCTCGGAGGCACCGACACCGAGGGTGTTACCGCCTAGGCGAATCTCGGTGTAATCGGTGCTCTCAACAAGAGGCTTGATGTGTGCCTCAATGTCTTCAGCAGTGTCAAGCTTCAGGCTTTTGCCATCGAGCGAGAAGACCTTAGGAGGGGCCATGGCGGGGTAGTGATTCAGGGGGGGAAGAGCGGATCGAATGAGAGATTGAAAAGAAATAAGAATTGAGACGGGGCTCCAATAAATCAGAGGAATCCTACTCGTAAAAGAGACCAAACCCAGAAAAAGGAGAAAATTGGGGGAGGCAGAGGGGTGATGGAGGGGGGGCAACAAGGAAGATTGGATTGTTTGGCCGATAACAAAAAAAGTTGCTACAGTATACGGGATGTACCAACTGTGCAGTTATTAATAATGCCGATGTCCCCGATATTCCGATCAGTCAATACTTAATCCCTCATCTCTCACCACTATACACTTCTCCCTTCTCCCTCGACTTTCAGTACTATTTACAACACCTTCCTTCAAGATGTCGTGGCTTTTTGGATCTTCCAGCGGTAAGTCTAACCCGCCTACACAACCCCAATCTGCAGTCATCGCGGACCTGGCGCATTTCAAGGACTATCAGTCGCAATGCGCAAGGGTCAGGAATCTACCAATTGCAGTGAAATGAAGTCAATCGCTAATATATCTGCTAATAGAGAAAGCTACCCCCGCCCCTGCAGAGACCCAGACGAAGCCGGCCCAGACCGACAAGCCCAAGGTACGGCGGCTTACCAATATTCGCGTCCGCAAATAATAACTGACCCTGTCGTGTACATCTACAGCCCTGCTGCGTCTGCAAGGATGAGAAGACCGCCCGCGATGACTGCATGCTCTTTTCCAAATCCGATGATCCCGCCAAGGAGTGCCAGTCTACCATCGACCAGTACAAGACCTGCATGGCCGGCTTTGGTTTCAAGGTCTAGACGGGTCTGAAGCAATGGACCTCGATCTGTACCATATCATGTACACTTTATCATAGCATCTTGGGCATGGAGTTTCGTTTTTGTTTCTTTCTTTTAAGTCTGTGTATGTGTATAATATACTGCATCTAGAAATGCTCCTTCTTATACCAGGATTGACGATGGGTGATGGCCATCACCAAATCTCATCTGTACGAATAGAATCTCATCTCTATTGACACTCTGCACTAGATCTGAACTTGAAATCGAAGCAAAGAAAGTATTAAATATTGCTACACTGTTAGCAGTACATTTTGTTCCTCCTTATCCCTGGTACTGTCAATCACTTATATTGGGTATCACTGAAAAGCGCAAAAGCCTGACCACACAACATCCCATCACTGCTTTTTCTTCCGGTTCTCATCTTCGGTAACTTGAAGATCAATCTGGCGACACTGGGTAATCAGCTTCCACATGCACCAGAGATAGGCGAGCCCGAAACCACCTGCTCCAATGAGAGCATTGAGGACGACCCAAAGGTCTGGCTTGCCGGCAGGCGTGGGCACAAATGCCTCAAGGACATGCCAGCCAACCATCGCAAAGTAGAATGCAAAATGAATGAGCTTGGTCAAGATGTGCAGCTCGAATTGCGGATTCGGGTCGTCCAGTGACTCACGGCTGCGGTAAGTCTCCAGACAGACTGGCGGCAGACCCATCAGGTAGGCCCACAGGAGGGTCATGACGATATACGGTACACGAAGCTCTTCGCGCTTAAGCAGTGGATACATAGTCCACGAGCCAAGGACATTAGCCCATCCAACCCAGGCGCGATTCTCTTTGTTCAGCCCGCCGTCTCCAGCGAGGGACAGAGTCATGGGGAGAAGGGGGAGGAGGACGCTTTTCTCGTGTACTTGGAAAGAGAACAGGAAGAAGCCCCAGGAAACACAGGACAAGGCGGGGAGGATAAGAGATGCTCGCGGATGGCGGAAGATGATGCCACAAGGAATAGCGATCGAAGCCAGAGTGGCACCGAGAGAAGCTCGCTGGAGTAGGGATACATCGAAATGGTGGAGCTTGTAGAATGTGTGAATAGCACACCAGGCGTTGGCAACCTTATCCTCAAAAATTCCACGGGAGAAGGGGAGCACCCGGTGAATAGTCTGCGTCAACTGGAAGAGAACTGCATATGCCACGGTGTTCTTGTCGAGTGAGATAGGGAATGCTTGCAAGAGGGGAGGTTGCGGTGATGTGGCAAACAATGCTCGGGCTTCGGGGTTTGTCGCAGCAACCAGGAGTGGTGCAAAAAGCAAAGTAAAAGCGGCGAGAGTGATGATCGCGATGTTGATGAGTCGGAGGATGCGGATCCGCGGGAAGATGCAGACGCCCAGCAGATAGGCAAACATGACGGGTGCATAATAGAGTGCCATCTGCTTGAATCCCAGGGCACCAACAAAGAACAGACAGGCCCAGAGCATGCGACCTGCAAGAATGGCATCCAAACTTGCGACCATCAGCCCCAACATGACGGTATTGTACTGGAAGTGACCATGGTCGATGAGAATGGTTGCCGGCTGCAGAAGGATCGCAACGAGGGCAATTGAGGCGGACCATGCATGCACACCCTGCATGCGGGTATAGCGGCGAAGGAAGTTCACGATGGCTGGGATATAGATAAGGTACTCTGAGGCAATGACGGTGGCACGCATGAAGACCTTCAAATGCGGGTCCTCGAAGCCGCGGGATTTGTCCAATGCAAACCAAGCGGGCTCAACGATGGAGCCACTGATATAGTTAGCAGTGATTCACCATTAGATAAGAAGCATTGAGATGAATCAATTGAAAGACGTACATTTTACCCAGGAGCCAGCTATGGTATGCAGTCAATGGGGGATAGTCGAGACCCCAGTATTGCAGATCGTAGAGATACCACCTGGCCATTGGCAGATGGGTGGTGATCTCCATCCAATGTCTCTGGGCCTCGAAGTCACCATGCATCGGGGGGACCTGGAAGCCTGAATGAATGTTAGATATCATCGTGCTTTTCTTGGCAGGGTACCAAAGGCGATTGATTGCACACACCTGAGTATCCCCATAAACCGACAGCCCACCGGAAGAGACCGACGGCCATGAGTGTTAGAGGCAGGATCAGCCATTGTGAGACACCCGCGCGTGCAGCCCATAGAAACGAGACGAGAGGAAATGCTGGAGTCTGTTTGCCATCTCCGATATCCAATATCAAGTTGTTGTTGGATCCCGGCGCGCTGGGAACTTTTCTCTTTTTCCGCGGGCGATGGGAGGAAGGGGTAGAAGGAGCCATTGTGTGAGAGACCAGGAAGCAGGTCAGATCTGTTCCATTGACGAGGGGAAAATGCCGAAAGGAGGCGGTAAGTGCGGCGTACCTGTCCTATACCATAGTATGCCACGGGGTAGTTAATAGGACGGCAACATGGGAAGCGGACCGCGGAGTGCGGAGTGGAGGGCGGAGAGAAGAATATCCGGCAATTCAGCCGTTTGCCAGTTTCACCGCCTGTACCGTAGGGTAAAAGCGGTGAGTAGGCCTGAATAGGAAGGTATCCACTGAAGTCTCCACTGCGTGCCTTAGTGTGCCTTGGCGTGCCTGGTTCTAGCCTTATCCGGCAGGCGGAAGACTGTTCTGCCAGCCTCCAGATTTTTTTGGCAGATTTTTTTTTTCGGGGCCTTCTTATCAGAGCTCATCCCAGCTGCTCCGAACTTTTTTTTTTCTTTCTTCTTCATCCTCTTCACATCCTTTCTCTTTCCCCTCCAGTCTACACTTTCCCGTGTTGACTATTCATATATCTCGAGGCATCATCCAAGCTTCATAAGTACATATTCCCCCTTCCCTTCCCCCCTAACTGACGCTGCTGCGTGGGCCGTACTTCCAAAAAAAGTACTTCAACAGACACTTTAGTGGGCTTTTTCACATCGAGGGCTGTGGGCTTGAATTACTGCACGTTTCTGTGGGCTCTGTGGGACTTTTCCTCCGTGGGTTTCATAAGGCATTGCTGCTTTTTGCCGGTCTCTGTGGGCTTCATCTCTTGTCACGTTGCGGTTGCTTTTTTTTCGTGGGTCTCTACCAGCTGTGATCGGATCACTCCTGGCAAATTCTATTCCTGAGGGTTATCACTGTTCCTGTTCCACATCACAAGAAAGAAAAATCACGGGTTATCCTTGAGGGCTTGTTGGCTGTGCCGCACAAGAAGGAAAAAAGAAAAACTCAACTCGATCTTATCAAACCACCGTCTGCAAACGTGGGATGTGAAGGAATACTTCAGGCTTACGACACATTGCTAACATTCTACCTATTTATTAGAATCAAAATGTCCAAGACCAAGGTTTCCACCAAGGCTGACAAGGTCGTCAAGGCCAAGGACGCTGGTGTCACCAAGACCGTCACCAAGAAGGTCGTCGCCAAGGAGGACAAGTCCAAGAAGAACAAGAAGGAGCCTACTCCCTCTTCCTCTTCCGAGTCTGAGTCTGAGTCCGAGGCCTCTTCCTCCAGCTCTGAGTCTGAGGAGGAGAAGCCCGCTCCCAAGAAGGCTGCCAAGAAGGAGACCAAGAAGCCCGCCAAGAAGGAGGAGTCTTCCTCTGAGTCTTCCTCCGACGAGGAGATGAAGGATGGTTCCAGCTCCTCCGAGAGCGAGTCCGAGGATGAGAAGCCCGCTCCCAAGAAGGCCGAGAAGAAGGTTGAGAAGAAGGTTGTCGAGAAGAAGGCTGAGTCTTCCGACTCTGACTCCTCTGACTCCTCTGACTCCGAGTCTGAGGATGAGAAGCCCGCCGCCAAGAAGGCCGAGTCCTCCGACTCTGACTCCTCCGACTCTGAGTCTGAGGAGGCTTCCAAGGATGAGAAGAAGGTATGTGCTTACACACATCCTATCACCGCTGAATATCCATTCTAATTACTTTTTTACTATAGGACTCTTCCGACTCCGACTCCGACTCCTCCGACTCCTCCGACTCTGACAGCGAGGAGGAGGCCAAGCCCTCCAAGAAGCGCAAGGCTGATGAGGAGCCCGTCGCTGCCGCTAAGAAGACCAAGACTGAGGATGCCCCCGAGGGTGCCTCCGCCAACCTGTTCGTCGGCAACCTGTCCTGGAACGTCGATGAGGCCTGGCTCCAGCAGGAGTTCGGCGAGTTCGGTGAGCTCGCTGGCTGCCGTGTCGTGACCGACCGTGACTCTGGCCGCTCCCGCGGTTTCGGTTACGTCGAGTTCACCAACGCTGCCGATGCCGCCAAGGCTATGGCCGCTAAGAAGGGTGCCGATATCGATGGCCGCCCCGTCAACCTCGACTACGCCGTCGCCCGCGACAACAAGCCCCAGGGCGAGCGCACCCAGAACCGTGCCCGCTCCTTCGGTGACTCCACCAGCCCCGCCTCCGACACTCTCTTCGTTGGCAACCTTCCCTTCAGCGCTTCCGAGGATGCTCTCCGTGACTCCTTCGGTGAGCACGGTGGTATCCTCGGCATCCGCCTGCCCACTGACCCCGAGTCCGGCCGCCCCAAGGGTTTCGGTTACGTCCAGTACTCCTCCGTTGAGGAGGCCCAGGCTGCTCACAGTGCCATGAACGGCTTCGAGCTTGAGGGCCGTGCTCTGCGTCTCGACTTCAGCACTCCCCGCCCTGCCAACGGTGGTGGCGGTGGTGGCTTCGGTGGCCGTGGAGGTGGTGGTGGCTTCGGTGGCCGTGGTGGTGGCCGTGGTGGTGGTCGCGGTGGCTTCGGCGGCCGTGGTGGTGGTCGTGGAGGTGGTGGTGGTGGCTTCGGTGGCCGCGGTGGTGGCCTCAACAAGGGCAAGGGATCCATCCCTGAGTTCAAGGGTACCAAGATCTCCTTCTAAGAAGGTTGCATTTGCTCTCTGCCATTGATCTACCAAGATTGATTTGCTACTTTTATTACTGACCACAATATCCCCTTTCAATGCGTGTAATGGAGCCTCGGGAGGCCCTGGGTATTTCTTTTTCAAAAAGTTTCTTGTTTTATGTCTCGATAGCTGCATGATAGGTCGAACTGTAATTTCATATGATTCATTCAATATTCAATATTTACTCAGTATTTCATAGTCTGATGCTTCCAAGGTTGCGCATAGTTGTACTCCCGTAGATACGATGGCTCTCATATACGGTCACGTTAGAGATACAGCCAAGCGTGGGTAGAAAAGTAACGTGACTTTGCTCCACCATAGGTAGAAAATTTCTACCCATGCTGACTATCTAATTGCAGCGTGGGTAGAAAATGTCTACCTATGCCTTTCTTAATAAGCAATGAAATTAGCGTAGTTTGATTTTATTTAGCCCACAACCCCTATCTTTTTTAATCAAGCCACATTTTTCTCTTTCCTTGAAGTAAAAACCAGAACTGTGTCATCTCTCCACTATCGACAATTCCGATCGCCGAGCCTATCCAAGTCCCTTCCTTCACAATCCTCTATCCGAGATGTAACTTGAGCACAGTATAAGTGGGAGTGTAATGTTATACAGTAAGACTCTATAGACCATTTTTTTCGATGAGGTACCTTGGTATATTACAGGAGCGTACTATAAGAATAACTAAAGATATACTCAAAAGATGAGGTTCATACGAGAGAGATGAAAAGAAGAGATGGGGATGGGAGAGAGTTACATAAAGCATAGAGAGAGATGTCGAGCGGGTATATACATTGAGGTATCCTTTGTTTACATTCACTCGTACCTTCTATCTCCAAGGCTTCATTCAGGTTTAGTGAATAGAACGAGCAATTAAACTACTTCCTATAGCCCGTATTTATCAAGTACATATGAATACTATATGTTTTTCATATGTTATAGAAGTAAAAAAAAAATAAGTGCCGTATAGAGTGACAATTAAAACTTGGGCTATACTTCACAACCAATAGAAGCTCGTTAACTAGACCCACCATGGGTAGAAATCGCGGAATAATAATTGACCGAAGGTGGGTCAAAAGTCACGTTATTTTTTTACTCAACGCTTGGCTGAATTCCGGTCACGTTACTTACCAAAGGTACTTACATAAGGTACTCCACCCTCACCCCGCACTGGCACTTTCTTATTACTAGTATTCCTAGTAGTTATAACTAGTCTACTTGTTGCATCTAGAGACCCTGGTCATTCTTATTCTTATCCTTATTTTATTTCCTTCTAATAATTAAAAGTAAATGTACCTACTGTAATATCTATTCTAGACTCATTTGAGGCTATTTTTGCATTTTACTCCCATACTTACTATAGTACTTACTATACTACTAATACTCCTTTGACTTCTTTGTACCCCTCCCTCCCGCCCTGCAAATCACCTGGTCTGCCTGCTGATCACCTCATCCTCAGCCCTCCCCCCCTTTCTCCCTTTCCTCTTACTCTGGGCTGCCTGCGATTTTCCCATCGCTTTCATCCACCGGCTGTCAAACTCCAACATATGCTAACCCTCCTAGAGACGCAGAGTCAAGACAGCCAACTCTTCACGAAGGCATCCTTGGGCAACCTTGGGCATCAATGATGGAAGATCGCCTAGTCTCCACATTCCAGATAAGATAAACCTCATCTTCCCCACGCTTGACCGCTCTTATTCGCATTGGACCGGGTGGCCTGATCCTCGACATCTGCTCCCCATTCCTACTTGGTTTCTCATATTTATTATACTCGACCCTTATATCCCCTCTCCTCCTTCTACTTGATCCATCTTAACTGGCCATGCAACCGAATCACTGCGACCTGCTCGGTCAGGTGCGCGAGCCCAGAGCCGCCCGTCAACTGATGCGCGATGGCCATCCGCGAGATCAGAGTGGCCACCCTGGTCAGCCTCGAACATCCGGTGCGGCGCCCATGAGATCAGAAGGTACCTACACCATATTCATCCCCTTTTATATCCTGCGAGCCAGCCTCCCCCTGCCGATCGGATTTCGTCATGGATACCTTTTGCTCAACACCATGTACTCACTACGATACTATATAGATTCGTGGATCGAAGTCTCCTCCCAGCCCTCGAGCTCGTCTCTGTCCTCGGCCGCCACAAACGACGATATAATAACAACCGGTCTCCAGGTGGAACATCGCGGGGGAGGCATGCAGCAATACCGCAGTCGACGCCGACGAATGCAGCACCTCGCAGCCGTGACCACTGCCCAGGTTGACTACTCCTCCAACACGGCGAGCAGCAGCCAAGAAGAATACGATGAAAGTGAAAGTGAATCGGATCCGCCTATGAGCAGTTCCAACGAAGATATTGGCCCAGCCCTCCGCGCACCGTTACCTGCACCCTCCCACTCCGATGACGATGCTTCCAGCGACGACGACGAAGATGATACCTCAACTGCCCTGGGTATGGGTATAAGCCCATCTCCATTCGTGCCACAACCAAATGTATTCAGCCACCCACCAAACACATCAGATCCATCATGGACCCGCCCCAGCGAGACCCGACGATCCCAGCCCAGCGTCATGTCAACCTCTAGCCGGCGCCCTTCCATTCGCCGCGAATCATACCCTAGTAGTGCTCGACCATACCGCCGCTCCCAGCAGTCATCACAACATAGTCCATTTAATATGTTCTCGCCTTCACATCACGCAGACCACGATGCTGCACTGCGTGCCAGCCTATCAACTCTCCTCTCATGCGCAGCCGCAGCCCGCGGTCTCCCCAAATCAGACTCACAACCCATAAACACTCCCTCCGGCCCATCTGGTCCGACAACACAACCAGCAGCATTCCGACTGGTTGGTGAATGCGTCGCGATGGGAGAAGAAAGTGGCGAAGAGTACCTCGAAGATGAAATCATCTCTCCCCGGAACACGGAAACCAGCCCACCATCAGTGGGTCCACCCCGCCGAAGGCACCCCCCGCTCCCCAGACTCTTCCGGCCCACCATCTGCGAACGCAAAAGCCAAGCGACGCTCAACCTCGCCAAAAGACCGCATCTCCTCGTCTAAAAAGAGTCGGCGCGTCAGTGTGGCAGACCCAACCTCGATCACCACGAACACGCCCGTCAGCCCAACTGTCATGACATGGGTGATCAGCGCGGGCGTGGTCGTCCTTTTCTCCGCTATCAGCTTTTCCGCCGGGTATATGCTCGGTCGGGAGGTTGGGCGTGCGGAGATGGGTCTTATGGGCGATGGCGGTGTCCCCGGTGCGCGCTCTTCTGCTGCTTGTGGGCAGGAGGCTGTTCGCGGTGGACTTAAGAGAATCCGGTGGGGGACTGCTGCCGCTGGCTCTGCAAGTTTGGCCTAGATTGTGGGTTGGGTTGGGTTTATTTGTGTAGTTGGCTGGTTAAGTGCCATTTCCATGGCATGAGTCAAGTGAAACCAAACGGCAATGATAACGATATAAAGAGAGCGACTTACGATGTTGATGTTGATGTTGACAGAAGCATCCGCGCAGCTTGTCTACATTACGATGGTGCACTTTCTCTTCTTCCCTCCCCCTTATTCTTTGACGATGTCTTTTTCTTTCTGATCTCCCCTTCCTACCACCTTATTTTCTATCGCATGATTTTGTTTGCTCCGTATTGGTATGCATTTGTCAAGTTGCCACCTGCAAAAAATGGGTGTTTTCTTTTCGAATTTTGATTCATTCTTATCTTCTTTCCGCATTTGTCTTTCTCTTTCTTTATTCGATGCTTGTGGCAGTCTTATACGTGTTATACTCTGGAGTTTATAGGGAGCATTCGAGGTGGCCGTGGTGTGGATGTAATATCGACTTGAATTTATACCCTTCGATATTGGTTATTGTGCCCAGGAAGTGTTCACTCTTAATATATTAGGCTATAGTAACCTTGGAAGTATCCGCCAGCCCTGGTTTAAGCTCTGGAGTTGCACTTCACGTGGAAGGATAACTTGAGAGGTATTTCGTTTCGACAGTCAACCGGCCCCGCAAAGCGATCCAACAAAGGTTTCGTCTCTCTGATTGTCGAACATTCGCGCAAAAGGAACACATGCCCATATCTATAGTATGGACGCCGAACGAAACCACCCGCCATACCGTCTCCCTCATTCGAATCGAATCGAATCGAGGGGACGTGAATCAAATCAAAGCGGGTAAAAGAATGAGTAAAAGGACGAAACAAACTGGACTCACAATTCAACCACTATATAAAACTCGCCTGAAGATTGCAAAGGAGAATATAGGCTTACGTTAGATAGGATCTGAACTGGGAAGAATAAGAAGAGATAGAGGAAATAAGAGTATAAAGAAAGATAAATTGTGGAAAACGAAAGCCATCAAGGATACGATAGGTACATAATCGAAAAGGAAACCACAATGGGAATTATAAGACCGGATACAAAGAAATGCCACTGCAGAGCTGCGCCGAGCAGAAGCCCGAATGGATCAGAGAGACGAGCGGGGGTCGCAAATTCTCGAGGAAAGGTTTCCCATTCCGAGAACCGAACAGTAACTACTCGATACTGCACAGTTATGTAGACTAAACCCCTGGCCTGCTGCATTTTAGTCGTACTACGTTGTATGCATTCTCAAATAGCGTACGAAGTACCCACGGAGTAACTACCTAGGTATCCTATGCCCAGGTACAACCTTGGAACTTGCACGATATGCATAAACATACCGAAGAGAGTGATATAGTAACCACAGAGCAGATCCGCCCGAGTCAAAGCCGACCCGAAATGAATCAGGGAAGTGCCGAGGACGATCATTCATCCCTCTACCCCTGCCTGCAAGTCAATGCAAGTGGTAGATCTCCAACTCGACAAAAATTGCCAATAGCCAGTCAAACCCTTTCAAGCAAAACACTTCCAAAAGCCGAGGAAACTTTGTCGGGGTTTGGGGCTGACTACCTAGACCAGATCGGATTCGACGAGAATCGAGGACTAGCCTATTGTTTGAACTCCGTATATACCAGGTTGTTCGATTGACCAAGTTCCAAGTTTTCCATTGATCTTCCTCCCCAATCAATCCGATATCACATTGGAATCTTGGCCGACCTGGGCAAGAGCCGCGCGCAACCCTGTTGGGTATTATTATAATTATTTTTGGCGATTCATAGATCCATGATCTCATCGGGTGGAGACTATGCGTAAGGCTGGCCATAGTTCTAGACTAATGCAGCCGCGCCACAATCTACTGTTTCCCAAAGGGGAGGACCTCGGGAGTTGTGGCTGGTGAGGCTGTAAGGGGTAGGAGTCTGGCTGGTTTCAACAGCAGGATTGAACAGAGTTTCTCGCTTTCGATTACTTGACTCGTGCTGTGGCTTTTTGCAGGGCTCTTCAGGGGTGGCCTCGTGCTGGTCTTGGGGTAAGTTTGGTCCTGCAGGATCTTAGTTTAAAGTGATATTACGAATTCTATTTACTATATTTGCTAATACTACCTAGTAATCCAAGGTTCTCGTGATCCGAGTCCTGAATGGGATGGAGGGGATGGGGCTGGATGGATGTGATTGTTCCTGCTTTTTCCTTATCGAGTAAAAATCTGGGGATATTGGTTCCCATTCGAATCGATGTTCAAGTTGTGATTTCAATCCAATTATTCGGCTGTACGGAGTATCCGATCGACTTGTACTTTGTTCCAGTTCCTTATGATCATCACCTTCCGTTCATCCGATCACATCAAATATATTAAATCATATCAGGCTTCAAACAGGCTACAGACTACGACATGACGATTATAGGGTCGTACATGAGACGATGGACAAAGTGAGGCGAACAGATAAGGCAAAGCCTGCACGGTGTGGGGGGTAGTACTCCGTCCTGAACACCGTCCCTGCACCTGCATCTGCACCTGAATTCAAATACCTTAACACTATTAAGCCCTGCCCGCAGTGTAGCACAGAGGCAGGGCACAAACGCCCAGCTCCACATAAAATGATTGGGTATCTGGAGTCCTCAGAATCTCAAATACCTTGCAATTGATGGGGCGCACTATTAGATCGGCACGGGTCGGGCCTCTGCTCAGACCAGATGCACGGAGCGAAGGATTGGGAGGATTTGTGAGTATGTCGGTGGTGAATGAGTGATGTGATGATGTTTTGATGAGAGACTAGTACTAGTTAGTGCGAAACGACCAAGATAGATGATCTTCGATCCAAGCTCATGACTGGCCCGATCAGGGGGATCATTTCTCCATAGCCTCGTTGTTTGCTATTCTTCCCCATCTCCCTCTTTTCACGTAGTTAGCGCTGATCTAGACTAGACTCTTCCATCTCTGCCTACTGGGTATGGAGTATCCACGGGATTCGATTTGGGTTTGTTGGGTGCGGATAGCTGGCGATCGCTGCCTTGTCCATGCTAGTGTAGCATATTAGATTCACGCTTCGACCGAGAGCAGTGTGAGCTCAGACGCTGAGCGCGATGATCTGCGTGAGGGGCCGCCAATGCGAGTCATTCCGGGATTTGATATTTATTTTTGCTTCTGTTCGTCCCTGTTCCCTGGTTATGCAGCTGCTACGGTTGCACTGGCGTCGTGCTGCGAATGCCGAGTGGGGAGGTTCTGTTCCAGTTTTACTGTTGGTGTGTAGGTTCCTTGCGGTCGGGATGGCCGTTCTATTTTCTTTTTTTCTTTTTCATTTCTCATTTACTGGGATGTGGGAAAGTGGCCTGGCTTCAATGTTCAATATTGACTAGCTATGTACTTTGTATACAGTATTCTGTTCTGCTTTGTATACAACAAAAATATGTCCATGATCCGTCCCAATCACTTAATATGCAAACCGGAACACCTTGCTGAATTGAAAGATAAAAAGAAAAGAAACAGAGTGGCGATGACATAGGGAAAAAAAGCAAAAATAGATCAGGCGCCCGCACTGGGAGACCTAAATGTCATGGTCGGTTCGAGTTGAAGATGTGGAAGAAAGTAAAAGGACTTCAAGGGAGTCCCAAAGAGTTGAAGAATCGGCTGTAGACGCTGGCTGAATATGCAGAATCGAAAAAAAGAGAAATGTTCGAGAAGGAAGGAAAGAATGCGGTTCATGCAGTGTATGCAGTCGCCTCAGATCCTCGGCGATATTTAAAATCGTCCCGGCTGAGCAGCCGACGCTTGAATTGAAAGCGACGTAGTTTAGAAACGAACCGGCAAGATAGATTTTCTAAGATACAACAGTTAGCAAGAGTGAAGTAGAGAAAGACCGCATACATTTCATGAACGTACCATTTGGGCGGCGAGTTAGCGTCGTTTTATCGAGGGGTTGAGTAGTATAAGCCGCAGCCCAATAGCCTGTATGGCGGTAACCGGTGAAGCTGCAGCTAGTAGGGTCGTACTGCGGTTGTAGAGCTGCGACATGTGGGTAGAGCGTTGCCAACGGGGAGAGAAGTTCCTCTGGTGGAGGTGAGCGTCTACTGTCGAAAGACTCTCGGGACTGCCGATGGTTAGAGTTGGGCTGTGACGAGGCGAAGGAAGAAACATACATGAAGTTCATAGTTAGATTTGTAGATCATTGTGGAAAGAATGTATGATTGCGCGAAGTGTGGATGTGCGGTGGAATGCGGGGGCAAAGCCGGGAATTGTTTCAAAAAATGCGGTGCAGAAAGGTTTAGATGGTTACAGAGACGCAGATGCGTTGCACAGAGGCTTTGCAGAGATATTATGTGCACGTTCGGTCTTTAATGCGCTGTGTAAATGCAGGTTGAGATTTAGTGAGATGCAAGATGACCTGACCGGACCTGGCTGCATTTTAAAGTAAAAAGGGAATGAGCGGGGGCTTGGACGTCAAAATGATTTGTATTTTAGCGAGCCCCATGTGGAGGCCGATGATGTCCAGGAAATCGGGAGTATGAATCATGATTATGGAGTAAATGAAAATTCTTATTGGGTGGAATTTACGATGGGGGCCATTGGGGCAGGGGATCGGGGTGGCCGAGCGCAATACGAGATCAGATCGGATCGGGTCAGCTTTAATCTATCTCGCTAGTGACTGACCATTCAGGTTCAGGGCAAGAAGGTGGAGTGCGAAGGGCTGATGTTCTGTTGATAACTTCTGTAATAATTATAGTAATAATAGACCTCACCAAGCGAGGTTTCCAGGTTCATCCTGGTCAACCCATGCTCTCTTTTCCTCTCGTGTCCCCCTTGCAGACTGCGTCCACGTTACTGTAGGGAGTCAACGTCACTGGGATAGTTAGGGTATGAACGGAGTACGGAGTACTCCGTATTGGTACTTTGGTCATGGATTCCAATGGTTCACACCTGACAGAATTATTATTTTGAGTAGTATGAGGTCGAATATGAATATTCCAGATATCTTGACGATCACCGAATACATCCGTGACCATCTCTAGGATGTCGCACAGGTCCAGTGTCTTGACGAGGGGGAAAATGAAACCGGGTGCTTCAATCGATAGTGGCTGCACTATTGACGCTAGCCCACACTTCTGGGTCCAACCCCCACTTTACGCTTAGTGATTCTTAATATCCCAGTCTCCACTAAGACAGAAATAGTTTAGTGGATAAATGCAACAAGAGTCTCTGACAAAGGACTTGTACAGCCACAGGCTCGGTCTCTCCGTGGCTAGTGTGTGGCTTTCACCTTACTCGATAGCTTCGTGCCTTGATCCACTCCTCCCGTCAGGGCCGAACTAGTCCGCCCTTGATCTTCAGATGTGATCTCTTTGGGTATCACACCGACCCTTGGGTCTCGGTAGCCCCGGCGCGGGGGGATCGCTAGAGCTAAAAAGTATAAGGGTACCATCCCACCCATGCCTCAGTCATATCATATCACACAGTATTCTCATACTATTCTCATACTATCACAACCACAATCTCGACTCCACAAGATACTACACTCTATTATATCCATGATCGAACATGTCACTGAGCATGCAGGGTTCAGGAAGAGAGTGCTGGGAAAACTCACCGCGTATGGATATCGACCTGCACGCTCCCTTTTCGCAAGAGCAACCCGCTCCAAGTATGTTTCTTCATTCCCACTTCCTCTGCACCGATTCTTCAACCATCAAAGTTGAACTCCATCTCCCTCATTGAACCCAATCTGAGACCCACCCCTCCAGGATCTCTCGTCGAGCGAGAAGCTGAACGCTCCGCGCATAGACGCGAGTCCTCCCTCGACCAGGGCATAAATTATCACGAAGCTCGATCCCTCCTGCAAGACGGGGAATTTGGTCGCATTGACCCCACTGGCTGGTATACCCACTATAAGACCTGTCTGCAACATTTTGTCGAATTCAGCCAATTCAATCCGACTATCCAATCCATCGCAGCCTTTATCAATATCCGCCTGCCTGCTCAACATCCTGTCGACCCGACCAACCCGCAACTTGAACCTGCCGCCTCATTCATTTCACTCCGACCTTACGTGCGCCGTTTAATTATCACTGCACAAGACACGCCTGTCAACATGCTGGCTTTCTTTGGTCCAGACTGGGAAGCAGGTGTTGGTTGTATTTACAAACAAGAGCGCACTAATTACCTCTTCGCGGCGAAGAGTAGTGGCTGGGCGGACACCAAGGCTTCCTATGATATCCTGCCCGACGAACAGACCCCATTCTTACGTCCTCTCCGCGACCCCTCTGAGGATGAGATCCGTGCTGCAGAGGCCCGGTGGAGCGAGTGGCTAGCAATGGAGGATTGGATGGTGGGGGCACGCAGTCCGTGGTAAAAGGGGATGGTGAAATGGATGTATTGATGGATGGACGGGTGGTGATGAAAGTTTCACCCCCTTTGATGAGCATTGACGATTTTCCTTGATTATTTTTCTTTTGTTTTTCTGTCACTTTCTCTCCTTAATCAAAACTAAGGCTCGTGCGAGGAGTATTTTCCGGCGTTGCAGATATGTCAATTGGCCGGCGTTGGATTATCACAAATACCACACTTGAATATTCCAGTCTACTCTATGATCAGTAATCAGTAATCAGTAATCAGGAAGCAGGGATCCGATACTCCGTACTTGGATAAAATGTGACAGGCTTGGGCTACCACGAGATCAGCGAAATGATCGAATGATCGCCCCGATAGCCCTAAATGCATCATTGACAACCCTGTGGATCCTGTCAGAATCGATAGTACGCACCGCCACACCATGACAAATAGGTACAATATTTCTGATGAGCTATGGTAGTCTGATTATCCCCATTTAAATGAATATCCTAATTAATTATTAGCTAGATCCATACAATACTCCATACTCCGTAATTATACCACCACTACTACCCTACCAGCTTATCCCGTTTAGCCGGCCCGCAGTGACTCAGACACGTCAACCTGTCACTTCTCCTTCCACACTTCTTCCATCTCCATAATCCAATAATCAATAGTCTCCCCTTCCCCAAAGCTGAACTGACAGCTCCAATCCACCTGGGTCACGCAAGCCCAGAACCAGGTACTCGGGTCCAACCCACCCCAGCCTCCAAAGATGACAGCGGGAACTCAAGCCCAAACAACCACCAGAACCATCTACGAACACGATGCGCATGCGCTAATCCTTCCATGTCTCGCATCGCATCTTCCACACTCCATCTCACTTTTTCGACGCATCCAGCATGGTGTCCATCATCCAACCCGGTCCGCCAGGGTCTTGGCCACTTTCCCACCAGGCGCTCGTCCCCCTGACGACGCGCCGTGGCTGGCTGCGCGAGTGGACCTTTTCCGCGGTCGCGAGACCCAGATGATCGTCTACTCTAGTCTGGAGAAAGGTCAGACGTCAAACAAGCCGATCAAGATCGCCGACACAATCCCTGGCACTGAAGGGGCCGAGAACAATAATCCATCAACCTCCTATATTGTTTCCACCTTCAATGCGCCCGATCCTGTGCTCGACATAGTCCGTGACCAACTAGTCTCACTACTCGCCTACATCAAAATCAATCTACTCCCGATCTATCTAGCTTCACTTTCAGCTGAACCTCCAACCGAGAAGACATCTCACAATGGATCTACCACTAGCACCAACACCAGCACCACTAAAGCTGTCACCCTAATTCCGGCCCCACCACCAAAAGCCTTCCTGATCGGCTCTCTGCACACAGCCTTATTCTCCCTCCTGCAAGAAACAGGCTCGGAAGTTTTCGCTGCTTCGAAATCCGCCCTTGACGGGTCGTCCGCGACCCCAGTACCCGGTCTCCGGATCCATCGCTTCGACGACCCACCATACTACAAATTCTTCTTCCGACGGGCGGCGTTTACTCAGGACACTAGCTCAGGGTTACCGACAGGCTACCGGTTCCATGATCGGGAGGGCAAGATCGGTGTCCTCGAGTCACAGCTTGATCTAGTTCAGAGCCGGACGCATATTCCCCGCTCCAGAGCGCAGTTGAGTTTGATGCCTGGGTCGGCGATTTATGTGGACTTGCCGCAGGGTGAAGGTGTGGCCGAAGAACAAGGGGAAGAAATGCCTATTGCGTGGGCGTTTTTGGGCCTCGATGGGGCCTTGTCGACGTTGCATGTTGAAGAGGAGCATCGGGGGAAGGGTCTTGCGCTCGCGTTGTCTAAGGAGACTATGCGCCGGGGCTTAGTTTCTGAAGGTGTTTTTGGGGCCGGTGCGGTTGATGTGCAGGGGGATGAGGAGCTGGTGGGTGAGATTGAGGGATGGGTGCATACGGAGGTTGCGCAGTATAATGTTGCTAGTCGGAGGGTTATGGAGAAGATTGGGGGTGAGGTTTTGTCTACTGTTATGTGGACGGTTGTTGAGGTTTGTGATTGAGGGTGTTGTGTAGATATTCTCAAGTCCATATAGATCATGATGTGTACATGATTTGGTATACACTCGAGTAGACTAGATGTGATGATTTATGAGAGTGAAGACTTGGAGCTGATGCAATGAATGAATTCCACCTGGGCAGTGATCTCGAGAAACTTCCAGGGTTGAACTTGCGAAATTTCTCAGTACTATTAGTACTCCGTACCTACTAATTGTTTACTCCTAGCCTGAGCCTCAGAATAGACCAAACCTGGCGAGAGTTAGTATCTACCTAGGTACTTGGAAGGTATAACATTCAAGTATGGACGTGCCCAGGTGCCCAGGCGAGAACCTTTCAAGGTTGGAAACTTTGAAGCTTCAAGTTCAGAAAGTGAATCGCAAGTTCCATGGACAGGTGTACTACTACTTGGTATATCGACACAATTTGAACAGCCCTGGAGGACTGCAGATAAAATACCTAGGTCCACAGGTATACTTACTACTAGTATCACCCCAACAGACTCGTTCCCAAAGAAATGTCTCGTATGGAGTAAACAACTTCAAATGTGAAACTATACTAAAATAGAAAGTGGGTGCCTACTCTAAGAACCGGTTTCACATTGTCGGACTCGCCGGGATTGACAATATCGGAGGAGCGGACACGGAACGGACAAGGACTCGGGGGAACTTCGAGAAGAGGATCTTGCACCGCCTACCATTGAGCCAATAGGAGTGGGAATATTTAGTAGGGCAGAATATCATTGGTCAAGAGAAGAGCCGCGGTACATTGGTGGATCCAATGACGGAGAATGGAGAATGGAGTAATCGGAGGACGGAAGGACGGAGGATATACGGTGTGCAGGCAAAGAATTGTTGATCGACAGCATTATGCGTGTTGTATTATGCGCGTTGTGTTGGGATGAGGCCATGAGTGGAGAGACTAACCAGGCAGAGAATTAAAGATGATAAATCGAGAAATAAGGCCGTGGTGCATGGTGATACTGTACATTTTGTACATTCAAGTAGAATGTACTGTTCATTAACTCAAAGGAGTATCTGACCCCCACCGCTCCAACGTGGAAGCTCCCCCCCGACCCCGCCACGATTACTTCTCTTTAAAAGTCGATGTGCAACCCTGCACCCGATCTTTCCTTTGGATTTACTGCTGTATCGCATTGCATTGCATTGCATCCACATTGCACATTCCATCCGGCATGGCTTCGACCAAGGAGGTCCCCATTCCGGGCCCCAAGGGAGTTCCCTTCCTGGGCAACATCTATGACATCGATAAAGAAGTCCCGCTGAACAGCATCGAGCTTCTAGCGGACAATTACGGTATCTCAAACTCGTTATACTAGTAGCTAGACCCCTTCCATCTGAGCTATACTGACATCTCCTTCCTCCTCTAAGGCCCCATCTATCGCCTCAGCACTTTTGGTTACTCCCGCGTTTTCCTCAGCTCACACGAATTGGTGGACGAGGTTTGCAACGAGGAACGCTTCTCCAAGGTCGTCACTGCGGGACTCAAAGAAATTCGCAATGGTACCCACGATGGTCTCTTTACTGCCAACCAGGGTGAAGAGAACTGGGCCATCGCACACCGCGTCCTGGTGCCCGCATTCGGCCCCCTCATGATTCGCGGCATGTTCGACGAGATGTACGATATCGCAACACAGCTCGTGATGAAATGGGCCCGACAAGGCCCGACTGCCGCCATTACGGTGACCGACGACTTTACCCGTCTTACACTCGACACCATTGCTCTCTGCTCCATGGGAACTAGGTTCAACTCATTCTATCATGATGAGATGCACCCCTTTGTCGAGGCTATGGTCGGTCTTCTGGCTGGATCAGGAAGCCGTGCTACTCGTCCTGGCTTGCTAAATAGCTTGCCCACCGCAGAAAACGCCAAATACTGGAACGATATCACCTACCTGCGCAACCTGTCAAAGGAGCTGATCCAGGCCCGCAAGGACAATCCCGAGGAGAAGAAGGATCTTCTAAATGCATTAATTCTGGGCCGTGACCCGCAGACAGGTAAAGGAATGACTGAAGAGTCGATCATCGATAACATGATCACTTTCCTGATTGCTGGTATGTTTTTGCTTTTATATCTTGGAGCTCATTTCCCCATAAGATCCAAACTAACGAAACAAAAAGGTCACGAAACCACCTCCGGCATGCTGTCCTTCCTTTTTTACTTTCTTCTCAAAACCCCACATGCCTATAAGAAGGCCCAAGAAGAGGTCGACAGTGTCATCGGACGTCGCAAGATCACAGTGGACGATATGTCTAAGCTACCTTATATCACCGCCGTCATGCGGGAGACTCTCCGATTGAAGCCAACAGCACCCTTAATCGCCGTTCATCCCAACCCCGAAAAGACCGGCGACGGGCCCGTTACCCTAGGGGGGCGGAAAATACGTTTTGCAGAAGGATGAGCCCATCGCCCTGGTATTGGGCAAGATGCAACGCGATCCGAAAGTGTACGGCCCCGACGCGGACGAATTCCGGCCGGAGCGAATGTTGGATGAGCACTTTGAAAAGCTTCCCAAGAACGCATGGAAGCCCTTTGGAAACGGCATGCGCGGTTGTATTGGTCGTCCATTCGCTTGGCAAGAGGCACTTCTTGTCGTTGCGATCTTGCTGCAGAACTTCAACTTTCAAATGGACAACCCTACTTATGACCTGCGCATCAAGCAGACTCTCACCATCAAGCCCAAGGACTTCTACATTAAGGCTTCCCTGCGCAATGGCCTTGATCCGACTCAGCTTGGGCTGGCCTTGAGCGGTACACCCGGTTCATCTGAAAACAAGAGTTCCACCGACCGCCCCAAAAAGCCCAAGCAGACCCCCGCGGATGGTAAGATGAAGCCTATGCATATCTTCTATGGAAGTAATACCGGCACTTGCGAGGCGTTCGCTCGGAGATTGGCAGATGATGCTAGTGGCTATGGATTCGAGGCCCAGACAACGTCCTTAGACTCGGCAACCCAAAATATCCCCAAGGATGACCCGGTCGTTTTCATTACTGCTTCTTATGAGGGTCAACCTCCGGACAATGCGGCGCATTTCTTTGAATGGCTGAGCAAGCTCGATGGAAAGAGCCTGGAGGGAACTAACTACGCAACCTTTGGCTGTGGTCATCGTGAGTACCACCCGAAAAGCTTTATAAATCCATGCTAACATCTGATTAGATGACTGGTCCTCTACCTTCCATCGCATACCGAAGGCTGTCAACGAGCTCGTCAAGCAAAATGGTGGAAACCGTCTCTGTGACCTCGGTCTCTCCGACGCAGCCAACTCAGACATGTTTACCGATTTCGACGGTTGGGGCGAGGCTACATTTTGGCCTGCCATCACAGCCAAGTATGGCGGTGGTGAAGACAAAGCAACCAAGCCCAAGTCATCTCTACAGGTGGAAGTGAGCTCCGGCATGCGCGCTTCTACTTTGGGTCTCCAGCTCGAGGAGGGCTTCGTTGTCGAGAACCAGCTCCTCACAAAGCCCGGCGTGCCCGCTAAGCGCATTCTGCGATTCAAGCTGCCAACCGACATGACCTACCAATGTGGTGATTATCTCGCAGTACTCCCAGTCAACCCGACTCCTGTTGTCCGCCGTGCAATTCGCCGCTTCGACCTTCCCTGGGACGCCATCCTGCGCATCCAAAAGCCCGCCAAAACCTCATCCACACCTCCATCCATCCCCATCGACACACCCATTTCCGCATTCGAGCTACTTTCAACCTATGTTGAGCTTTCTCAGCCTGCCAACAAGCGCGACCTGAACGTACTCGCCGATGCCGTCTTCGAGGACGCCGAGACGCAAGCCGAACTCCGCTACATCGCCTCGAGCCCAAGCCGTTTTACCTCCGAGATCGTGCGAAAGCACGTCAGCCCTCTCGAGCTACTGATGCGCTACCCATCTATTAAGTTGTCTATTGGCGACTTCCTCGCCATGCTTCCTCCAATGCGCGTGCGCCAATACTCAATCTCCTCATCTCCCCTCTCCGACCCATCCGAATGCTCCATCACCTTCTCCGTTCTCAGTGCCCCCGCTCTTTCAGGCCCAACAGAGCCAGGAAGCGAAACACCAGAGGATTACCTGGGAGTCGCCTCAAATTACCTGTCTGAGCTCCAAGCCGGCGAGCGCGCGCATATCACCGTCCGCCCTTCAAACTCAGGCTTCAAGCCTCCTGTTGACCTCCAAACCCCGATGATCATGGCCTGTGCTGGAAGTGGCCTTGCCCCTTTCCGTGGTTTCATCATGGATCGCGTCCAGCGTATCCGTGGCCGCAATGGCACTGTTTCCACAGACGATCTGCCGACCTCAGATAAGCCTGCCAAGGCGATTCTTTACGTCGGATGTCGAACCAAGGGCGTGGATGATATCCATGCCGACGAGCTAGCCGAGTGGGCTGCTCAGGGCGCCGTCGAGGTCCGTTGGGCCTATAGTCGCCCTGTCGATGGAAAGGGCCAACATGTCCAGGATTTAATGCTTGAAGATAAAGCCGAGCTGGTCAATCTCATGGAAGATATGGCCCGACTCTATGTCTGCGGAAGCACTGGTGTTGGAAATGGTGTGCGGGAGGCCTGCAAATCCATCTACCTTGAGCATCGTCGCGACAAGATCGCACGGGCCAAGGAGACAGGGGAGGATCTTGGATATCTCGGACATGACGTTGAGCTGGATGATGACGCTGCGGCTGAGTCGTTCTTTGATCGTCTGCGTACGAAGGAGAGATATGCCACGGATGTTTTCACTTAGGAGATTGTAAAGGTGTGGCGCCTATTCTAGTTTCAAAAAGATTGTTGAAAGGAGGCTTTGGTGCGATCCTTGATATCGGCGACCGGACCGCACTTTGGCGAAGTCCGGTCCGAGGTATTTCACGGTCCGATCCGAGGCCTCCTAGGACTGGGAGTAGGACGGAGTTCAACCAATTTTGTAATATTCAATTCATTCCATCTTCTTTATTCTATTGACAATGTCGATATCAAACCAATGACGCATGGTTGATGAAAGCGTAAACTACTATTGCAGTCTCCATTTTTCTCATGTCTGGTCTGGTCTGGTCCGATCGGACTTCCGAATTCCAACATGTCACCTTCTCCACCACCATTTTTTGCTCCTTTCCACTTGCCCACCGAAATCCCTGGAAATAAAGTTATTTGCCCCCCCTATCCCCGATAGTCCCCCAATAGTCCCCGCTTGACCCCAGAACGTTAGCGTTCCGGCCGGCCGAGGATCTTCGAAATACCTACACCTCCCCCCTCTATTATTCTCTCAATATTCTCCAAAAAGTCGACTTCGACATCGACCAAAAATATATAATTTTATTCGTTCAGCAATCTTCTCTCAAATACCGTTTATCATGGAAACGACCCTCCTGCGGAAACTCAAGGGCCCACAAGGTGTCCAAAAGTCCAAGTCCACCGCTAGCCACAATCACAATGGTCACCAAGACAAAAGAATGGCCTGTCAAGCCTGCTATGAACGGAAAAAGCGTTGCATCCCAGCACCCCCTTACCATCGATGCAAATACTGCTGCCAGGAGAATCAAAGATGTGTACCCCGAGAACGCGTAAATCGGTACGTCAGGCACGGCATTCTGTCCGAGAACATGAAAAAACTGTACTAACCCTGTCGCAGCGCTATCGACGAAGATCAAGTCAAGAACCGAAAGAACCAAAACCAGAATACGCTCAAATCCGAATCCGAATCCCCCCCCGAAGTACATATAACCTCCCTTTACCACATGGTATCGATCACGAAGTTCCCCGGTGGGCCGCTGTGTATTCAATGTTTGCCGAGGTCCTAAATTTGATTCCACTCGAGGAGAAGGAGGAGGAGGACGAGGAAGATGATTCGAAAGAACATTTGGATATCAACTACGACAGTACCACCATCCGAGACCAAGGAGACGATAATACAGTGGATTCAACCGCGCCAGAAACCTTGAATGCACTGGGACTGCCCGCGCAAAATATGGCAACTGGGCGATCGTGCGACTTTTCTCCGCTTGATAAGGACTTTCAGATACCGGCTTCTGGGCACTTTCATGAGGGATTTACGATGTATGATATGGATGCTCTTTTGAGGTTTTGAGGGAATCGGGGAGTTTTTTTTTGAAGGATGCAATAGATGGGATGACGGATCACAAGAGGCTGGACCGCCATCTTCGAAATTGGAATGAGATGTGTTTACACAAAGATCGAGTTGGTTCCCTTGGGATCCACGAAAATAATGAAGAACATTGGAGGCAGGTAGATAGATCAGGCGCACTCGCTTTCTGCCTTTTAATATCATGAGACCAGTCGGCGGCTTTATTCAATTCATGCACTTACATCCTTTGGGATCAATAAAGGAAATTACCAGTGACACACTATTCCTACTAGTAGTATACAATGTATGAGCTATGATTCCAACTTTAAAAGTTAGTTGGAATTGCCAGTCCTCAAAAAATCCCCCAGATCTCCAATGCCTCCGTAGCACCACGGCAAAAACCAATTAGCTTTCTTATCTAGTATCCTTCTTGCTGTTCTTAATGATATCTCAGTAGCTGATCCATAAGAATACTTTCTTTTGTCTATCTGTTCCACAAAGCCCCAGTATCCCGTGTGGGGCCTCCCCATTCACCCTGAAGCTTCCAACAGTGTAGCCACTGACTGGTCCAAATCCGGGGTAAAATGTGGAGGCAGTGCGGGGAAGACTGCTGGGCCCCATCTAGGGGACTAGGGGGGTAAATAGCCGCCATTTAGAAGCCAGACCCTGTAGGAATAATTTCATTCGAAGAGAGCTCTTCCTATCATTCAGTGTATCTTGATTTGTCTTCATTTTGGTCGTCATCCTATCTCTTCTGAGTTGGCTCTTGGCTCAAATCTCGACATGGGCGAAGGCAACAGCGAAGCAGGCAGACGACCGCATCTTGCCCACAGGTTTGTCTTTTACCGTGAAATAGGGGCGATTTTTGATGACAGGATAATTGATGCGAGATTCAAACATACAGCCATGCACACGAAGGTGAAATACCGGGAACGGTTGATCTGAGTGCGGCAGAGGGGGATGACACGGCGTATGGACAAGCTTTATACCCTGTCCCTGCTGAGGACCCAAATGATCCACTTCAAGTAAGTGCAAAGCTTTTCGCATCCTTTTTGACCTCAAATTACTAATCTAGAACGCTACAGTGGCCAGGCTGGAAGAAAAATATCATTTTAATCATCGTCTCTATCTACTCTTTTCTCGGCAATAGCTCCCTTACTGGGCCCTCGGTCTATATCAGCATATACAGTGAGGAATTTGGGATTTCACCAGCCGAGGCATCGGGTTTGATTTCGTATCCGAATTTGGCTTTTGGATTTGGTAGGGTTTGTCCGGATGAAAGTGGCGATGTTACGATTGTGCTGATTACTTCCAGGCTCGCTTCTTCTAGTGCCTTTGTATTTGAAAATTGGACGAAGACCAGTTACACTGCTGTCTATGGTCATGGTACATAACTCCAGAGCTATATCAACGCGTTTATAAAATGAATATTCTGCTGATTTGAACAGTTCCTTGCTGGGTTGATTGGGGCTTCTCGTGCCACTAGTTATAGTGGGTTGATGATTGCTCGCATCTTCCATGGATTCGGGAGGTTGGTCTTCTATTCTTCTCGGCAATCAAAATGGGCATATGTCTAACTTCGACTCTACAGTGGAGTCTGTGAAAGCTTACCGGTACAGGTCGTGAACGATATCTTCTATCTTCATGAGCGTGGAAAAAGAATCGGATATTATACTAGTGAGTCCAAAAGCCGAGGAAGTGTTCTTAACTAAGACTGTACAGTCTGCCTTTGTCTCGGGTCGACTGGTCCTCTTTACGCTGGCTATATGCTGGCTGGTGGCTATTCATGGCGATTGTTCTTTTACGTCGAAGCTGCTTTTGCTGGCGCATTATTGATCATGGCATGCTTGTTCGTCGAGGAATCTACTTATCATCGCCCCCAGCCAACACCTCACAATCTCTCAACTGATTCTCTTCATGCCAAAGAGATCGCGAGTGAGAAATCACAGCAGCCTGTCCAATTGGAGACTCTATCTTCAATGCCAGTACCACAACGAAAATCATTCTTGGAAACATTAAAACCCTGGGGTGGAATCGATCATGAACCGGAGTTCTTCATGACAATCTTGCGTTCGTTTACTTATTTCTGCGTGCCCGTTGTGTTTTGGGTCATCGCCACATACGGTCTATATATTGGACTGGGCGCCCTCGCATTCAACTATACCTTTCCGATCAAAATAACAGCACCTCCATATAACTGGAGCGAGGTGAGTGTCTTGTTCCATTGAGTTTAGAGTTGATCAAAATCGAATAACCATCTCAGACAAATTCCGGCCTCATCGCGGTCGCAAGCTTCATTGGCTACTTCCTTGCTCTCCCTCTTACATCGACCTCGGATCGACTAGCTGCATATCGCACGAAGCGCAACAACGGCATTCGCGAGGCCGAAATGCGACTCCCAGCTCTCTTTCCGGTTCTCCTTCTGCCACCAGCTGGTCTCTTAGTCTACGGTTTCACAGCCCAACGCGACCTTCACTGGACTGGATATTTCGCTGGTGTTGCGATGAATCAGTTTGGATCATACTTCTATTTCACGTTCACGCTTGCCTATGCAGTCGACTCGTATTATGCTAACACATCAGAAATGCTGATCGCAATGAATCTGGGCAAGCAGGCTATTTCATTTGGCATGGGATCCTATCTGCTTGATTGGATCTTATCGAGGGGTTACGCTGTCGTGATATCGGGGATATTTGGCGGGGTTCTCCTTGTCAATAACCTCATGGTTATCGTGTTTCTCGTTTGGGGTAAGCGGATTCGCAGATGGACAGCACTATCCTGGCTAGGAAGGCTACACAACAGGACCGCAACGAGGAACATGACTCAGTAATCGAGTGAGGTTTAACATTGGAGAGCGATTCAACTCGACTATCGCAGTGTTATACATTAATAGTTCAAATTGAGCAACATTTCTAATGAGAAATGATACCCAGACTAGATAGGGACCATGAACTTTTATGCTGGGCCTCAGTGCCCTTTCCACTCACTGGTTTGGCAAACTCAACCAGAAATCGTACCATCCATTGATCCATGCAGAAGCTTGTCTCTGCAGACTCTCTACAGGATGCGTGGAACGTCATAAGACGATCCATACAGACATCCAGAGTAGGCCAGAGGCTCACCAAATGGGTCAGAATACAAAAGTTTCTCTCTAAGCGCTTTCTCGCCGTCGCCAACATATCCGCGTTTTCTTCAAATAACAAGGTGTGGATTTGGATTGTTGAAGCAATCATCAACACATGCCCCACCATATTATATTTGGTATCACAGCCGGGAACTTCCTCCGAAGCGTAGACGATCTCGCACAGCTTACTCGCGTGATACTTGCATTTGTTCGCATAGTAACGCGTGCGGCTGTCGAAGGTCCGTGAGTCTTCGTGTAGAAATCGGTAGAAAAGCATTTGACCATAGTTGTAGTACCCTAGGTACAGAGCAACAAGAAGTCGGCCTAGTCCTTGTTCGGAGTAGCGAGTGAGGTTTTCTCGGTTATCTCGCATGTGGTCAGGAAGCTCTTCAAACCAAATGTCGAGTTGTTGCGATAGGTCTCCGACATCGCTCATTATTGACTGCGAGTCGAGGTTGTTTTCCGATGCTCTGATATTGAATTGATTGATTTGAAGGAGTATTCGATTCAGGCGGACCATTTCTGCTAGAATGGATGACTTCGGATTATTCTCAACGAGGATATCATGTTCCTTTTCCGGACTCATTTTGCAAAATAGTACCTCGTCGATCGGGAGTGGTACATCATCCCGGGGCGTGAGGAGTCTTGGAAGCCGGACTCCTGAAGAAGACCAGACATCTATCATGCAGAGAGTCCACCATACTGAGTCTGATTAGCTGGTGTCATATTAGACGTGAGGGAAGTGAGGATACCGCGAATATTCACTTCATGCTGCAATACACTATCAGTTTTGCATTTTGGAAGATCCAAAAGCTGCGCCATCCGACACGCCACTGCATAATGGACATTTTCCGCAGCCGCCTTCCCATCCGTAATAGCAATGGCACCAAGTAAGACACAAGCTTGTATGGTGCTCAAAGAAATCTCATTCCAATCAAGTAGACGCTCGCATTGCTTTCCATAGATTCTCCCTCTCTCCCTTGCGTCAATTTGGGATAGAGTGGGATGATTGGAGAATCTAAACAATGGATGAGCATAATTCACCTTCCGGCTTTGAAGAATTCGACGCACCGTGCCGAGAGGGCCATCATGCCATAGACTAAAATCGGAGGAGCCTTTCCTTGCAACAGACTCTCCATGAAGCTTGGAGGATGAAATAATGTGTGGAATTGATCATGCACATAGTCAAAGTAGAGCTGGACTAGCTCCGTGCACAGAGATTTATCTGGTAGACCGGCCTCCTCCCGTGAGAAGGAAATGGGTGTTGAAGCATCGAAACTGGGTCGGGATATACTGTAAAACTGTGTATGGTCAACCAATTGAGGTGCGGCCCTTGACTGTTCACTACTTGAGCAAGAAAGTCTCCGATCGTGGCAGTAGGTACATGGCGCCCCGGGCGCCCGGATCTCACACCTCCGACGGCGTTCGCTGTGTTCATTGTTAGATCTCGGGACTGTTTAATCAACAGGGCCAACAGTGTAGTAATTTACGACTTACCGACAAGCTCTGCAGGCTTTTGCTCTTCTCATTGGTGTTTAAAAGATGATTTAATGGGGAGGCAGGGGGGATTCCGAGCTCCTCCCCCGCTGACCAACCCCACAGCGGGAAAACCTGGAGCCGTAGATATCCATGGATGAACCTTGGTTTGGGTGAGAGGAGTTGGATTAGTAAAGTACGAAGTAGCGGATGATATTTCTGCTGAACATGGCAAATTCAAAACACAACCCTTTTTAGATGATCACTAATTTGTAGTTTTTTTCCGAATTCTATCATCTCAACGTGGTACGCCTGGGTCTCAATTGATGCGAGAGTACGAATGGAAATGAAATTCGTTGAACAAGGGGAGGTTGTCTCATATTATGACATAGATCATGATCAGGCTATCGTGTCGACCGAGTCTGGATGTATGTAGAATGCGATCGCTATAATCAGGTAGCTGTGTGTTCTTGTGTTAGCATTGGCCGAGGGTAAGCATGGCAGACAGTTTTTAACTTACGTTCCAATTAATAGGAATCCCTCATAGTAGTTAGATCGTCCGCCACGAATCAAGCAGTCCATCACGATCACTGATAGGAAGAACACCACCGTCTCGAATGTGCTATAACGAAGAGACATGGGTTGCCCGATAATCCAGCCGCATATCACCAAGAATGGACTGACAAACAGTGCAATCTGGAGTGTGCTCCCAACTATGACACCTATTGCCAGATCCATGCCATCCTTCATAGCTGCGGTTATAGCGGTGTTAAACTCCCCTGCGTTTCCAATCACTGGCACAACAATGAGTCCGATGAAAGCTCGGCTCACCCCCCAAACCTCAACGAAGCCGTCGACGCTATCGACGAGGTAGTCGGAGCAGGCAGTAACCCCCAGAGTAGCTGTGATCAACACAGCACTCGCAGACCAAGGACCAAGCTTGATCTCTTCTTCCTCTTCCTCCGTTCCAGACCCATCAACGAAAAGATCAGCGTGAGTCTTTAGCTGAAAGAGGAGATAGACGAGATAAAATAGGAGCAAGACAACCGAGGTGGCTCGTGATAAGCTCAAAACGCTATCATGTACTGCGTCCGATTTGGAAGGTGTAGTTGCATCCAGAATGGATGGAATGATCAGTGATGCCGAAGCGACAACCATCAACGATGATAAAATTCCACTGACGTCGACGTTGAAGGTGACTGTGTCTTTTGACAAACCGCCTGCAGTAAGGCAGCATCCTAGGATCTTGATAGCCCATATATTAGTCGAGTCCAGGACGAATTTGAAGCTAAGTAGGGCAGTACATTCTTACCAGAAGACTCCCAGAAAGAATACTTCCAACCATACTTGACTGAACGATGTTCATTTCGCCGCGACCGACAGCAGTGATTCCAACCTAAAGATAGCAACGTCAGACGTGTTCTGTGAAAAGGAACAGGCAGTTATGCTTTGGCGTACAATCATTTCCACCGCATTGCCGAATGTCGCATTAATTAATCCTCCAAGCAATTGGCCCACACTTTTTGCCAATTCTTCGGTCGCAAACGAGAGCAATGATGCAAGAGGAAGAATCGCCAGAAAGTTCAGTAGAAAGACCAGCGAATCATCCCAATGTTGTTTCCCCGCGATGATTCCCAAAAACACAAAGGGGAGAAGATAGCTCGTGTAGCTCTCTCCAAGTACCATCTTCAGAGTAGCAAAACCGGACTTTGCCACGTCCAAAGGTCGCGTTATCGTTGGCGTTCGTTCATTGCTTGGTCTGGAGGCTTGCGGGGCCGGCGTCTCGTTCGCCAAAGGAGGCTTGTTTCCGTCTGCCAGTGGGAGGTATTGATTTTGAGAGACAGGCATGCTATCGTGTTCGGTTTTCGCGGACTTCCGTAAACGGGTGGTTGGGGTTTCCATGGCTTTTAGGAAAGGAGAAGAAAGCTGGAGGACATATCAGTATGTGACCAGAGCGGATGCGAGTATTCACTAGTTAATCAAGTGGAGGAAGATCGTATTAGGAGAGAAGCTGGCCAAAGTGTTGAAATTAAAAATAACTGATAAATACAATACAAATCAGCCCCCAAACAAGGAAATCGTAAAACAGCGTATGGGCGGGGCAATACGCCTTCAGGTCGTACAGTTGATGCAATCCCAGCCAGCGAAAGGCGAAAAGGAGACGGCTAAGACACGGCGCAGCTCAGCACTTGTCAATACTCGGTGCCTAATTTACCGTCATCCCCGCTGATCATACTCCGTACATCGTAGAGCGGGTCCTCGCTCCAACGCGTAATGTGAATCCTTCCTTGTTACGATTGTCAGCAAGCCCATTTCCACGATCGAAAAACGTTGAAAGAAACCTTTTAAAATTGGGGTCCCTAAGAATCACACCCCGACCCGACGAAATTGTTTGGGTTGTTCCTTCACACCTCTAAGCGTTCCTTGGAGTACCTCATCGGCTGTTTGGCCATGGCGAGACACATTCTGCACACCAAGATCCTCACTCTGCTGCCCCTCGCAGGCATTGTGGTAGGTATTCTAAATCTTCCACAGATTATTGTGTTCACGATAAATCTTCTTGCCTTGAGTGTCCTCGTCGACTGGATCAATCGGTCTGTCAACGCGATATCCGTGAATACGGGGCGTCTCACCAATGAGTTACTAAAAGGGACCCTTGGAAATGCTGTTGAGCTTATGGTAAAAACTCTCCCCTTCTATTTCACGGTCGGAGATCATTGAACTGACGGAAGGGGATTTGCCTCTGGTTCATGGGCAGATCGGAATAAGCTCTGTGATTCGTGGAGCCCCTCATATCACCCGGTCGATTCTTTTGGGCAGTATTCTCTGCAACTTGCTTCTCGTGCTCGGTGGCTCACTTTTCTTCGCGGGATACGACAAGAATCGACTCCGATTTGATCGTCATCTTACGACCACCTTGTCATCATTGATGATGGTTGTTTTCATTATGCTGGCTACTCCAACTGCCCTGGAAGCCTTGTCATCGCGGCACGATGTATCGGCTGAGGAGGCAATTTTAACGCAGCAGGCAACTGCTGTCAATTTGATCGCTCTTCTTGGAATATTCCTCTTCTTCAGACTCAATACTCACGCCGACATGTTCGCTAGCACCCCAATTCAACACGGAAGCTCAGATGTTCAAAGCTCCCACAGCAGAACGATAGTGCAAGATTTACAACCTCTGGCTGGACCATGGCGCTCGTTACTTGTACTTTTGGTTGCGTCTTTGTGTGCGCTGGCTTGTGCCTTCCAGCTTGTTGACAGTGTCAGCAGCATAGGTAAAACCCTGGGTACCAACCCATCTTTCGCTGCTCTCGCTATAATTCCTTTGGTGGGGAATATCACAAAGCATCGCATGATCGTGGAGGCGTCTCGAGCAGCACAGCAGATAGAGCGTGGTATTCGAGCGATTATCAATGGAATATTGAGGCTCACCATGCTAGTCGCGCCCATCATTGTGATGGTCGGTTGGGCGTTAGATCAGCCTTTGATTCTTAAATTTGATGAATTCGAGGCTACCACTTTACTACTCAGTATCGTTGTCATGACCTATCTTATTTCGGATGGCAGGAGCAATTATTTTGAAGGTTTGATGTTGATTGGAACGTAGGTGCTTTCCATGCCAGCTCTCCCAAGATGTGAATTTACTGATGGATCGTTTATTCTAGATACATCATCATGGTCTTTTCATTTTATGTCCGCCCGGACACACCCGCAGCAAGAATCTCAGCAAGGGCGGAGGATATCTGGCAGGAATAATATAGTAGAATATAAGAAGTTCATACTATTTGAAGCTTTTCAAAGAACTTGGAAGTCTTATAACTTGGGTCGAGGCGATGCTAGAATACTAGAAAAGGTCACACGATATCTAGTAGTCTCCCAGGAGACCGCGCCAAAAGAGATCAAATATTCCGGCTGGCATATTGATTTATTTTTCAAATCAAAGTGATCATATATGGACTTATTTCTTGATTCTTTGATCAGATAATAAGAAAGATTTGTGTCACCGGACCTGTCTAGTATAGATTCCTTGGCAAGGAGGCTGTGCAAGGAAGAAGGGGAGCAGAGCGCGTTCGTTGACTGGTTCAATCTACTTTTACCGGGAGCAAAAGATGACCAGACCCATAATTGATTATTTGAATTATTTTGAAAAGCGAAAGGGCCTCTCCAGGGCCACAACTCTATTTGGACATCATTGCTGTGGTATTCCGATCCGCTGCCTCAACCCAGGAGATTCGTCTGACATCTTCAAAAGCTGCAATAGTATCTGGGTGTTCCCCACCGAGTATTTCCTGACGCCGAGAATAGACAGTCTCGGCAAGATCACCAGCTCGGTCCCATTTCCCCTGTGACTGGTAGATAAAGCCAAGGTTGGATATGACACTTAGTGTATATGGATGCTCTTCGCCCAGCGAATTCTTCATCGACTCTGCAACTCGTGCCATCAATTGAGCCGCGTCCTCCATCTTTCCATCCATTTGATATGTACTCGCTAGGTCTGCCAGAGCTACTAAGGTTTGGGGACTTTCGTCGCCTAGTACCTCTCTCATAGCGTTTGATGACTTTTCACCAAGCTCCTTCGCTTCTTCCAGACACCCTAAGCCGCGACACGTGGACGCAAGATTGCTCATCGACATTAGTGTCTGTGGATGCTTCTTGCCAAGTACAGCTTCACTAGCCTCAACCAATTCACGATCTAGACCTTCCGCCTCCATCCAACTCCCCTGGCAACGGTACGTAGATGCCAAATTGGCAATCGAAATCAAGGTCAACTCATGACGTGAGCCCAAAGACTTGCGCCTCGCCCTAAGAACTTCTTGATCAAGTTGCTGGGCCAGTGAAAATTGCCCATCGTCACGGTAGGCCGCCGCTAAATTTGTTTTTATTGTCAACATGGAGGGATCCGTTGCGTCTAGGAGACTTTCTGCCCTCTCCACCAACGATCGGTTCAACTCTTCTGCCTCCTTGAATTTGCCTTGCTCTGAATATGACGTTGCTAAATTTATCATCGAAATCAATGTAGAGCGGTCTTTCATGCCCATGGCTTGGGATTTCAACTCCACAACCCGAGCGTCGAGCCGCTGAGCATCCTCCAGCCGCCCTTGGTTTCTGTATGCGGATGCAAGATTTGACATAGATGCTAAGGTCTGAGGATCTCTCTCACCCAGGACTTTCTTTCGGAGATTCGTCACACGCAGACCGAGGCTGGCTGCTGCATCAAACTCGCCTAGGCCCCAGTATGCTGAGGCTAGGTTGTGCATTGCACTCATCGTCTTCAGATCCTCCTCACCATTCAGGGGTTCATAATACCCAAGCAAGGCAGATGCAATTTCGAATGCGCAGGTCCATTTTCGAGAATTGAGATGTTGTTTGACCAACGTCTCCAGTTGGTCGAGTGGATCAGATGACGGTTTAAACTGAGAACTCGATTCCACTGGTCTTGTGTCTATCAAAGGCACTATCCCTTGCAGCTCCACAGCAGCCTCATTCCATCCTCTGGCTTGGTACGTCTCTGCAAGATTATTGATAGTGTGCCTCAGTGACCGAACGGAATCTGAGGGTTCGTCCATGTATCGTTATCCGGCAGGGAGATGCGCTCGGTGGGGAAAACGGAATCGTCTTTGGTGACCAGGAAGAGGCTGGGGTGCAGTGTCCGATTCACTGAACTAAGGTGGAGATTGCCGAGATAGCTCTGATCTGTTGGAGATGGGTGGGAGTAGGTGTTTCAGTCACAGGCTCGGAGGGGACTTTGGTGAAAGAATGGCCAGGACCGAGGGAACGAAGGATTAAGTGACATCTGCCAAGGGTGGGATGTGGCCCATTTCTTAGCGTGGAACGATCACAACTAGTGTACATGCAGCAACAAAACAAAAAAGAATGCGCGGCTTATGCTATTCATGGAACGTGGGTGTACAGTTTGGGATTCTGGCTAATGAAATCGGTGGAACTATTTTTGACCGTCCCTGAGGAACTGGTCTATTTTTCTTCGAACCTGGGGTTTCTTACCGTGCAAGCATCTGTGCACCGGTCTATTTTATCTCGAAATTTCGTTGCCTGGATCGAAATGTGGATTCAGTCGGGGGAGGGGGGGTCAGCCCTACCAAACAAACTCCGTCATGGTGGGTCGCGTATCAGACTAGTAATAAGGCTGAACGACCGGGCTGTAAACATTTACATACAGATTTACCTCCCTGAAACATTCTCGTTGGTTCCTGTATCGCATGCCCCTCTGGAACTAACTGCCTCCGCAATCTGTCATTGCAAGTACCTATTCTTTCTCCCACGGTCGAGCTGGCTCCCTACTCCCCTCCGAGAGCAAGAAGTTCAGCACAATGGCGACCGGCGACGCGCGGAATCGACTCTTAGAGTTGGTCCAACTACCTATGCAGGCCGGAAATGATGCCAATAGACTGCGACCGATCATGTTGCTCCTCCCGATCGCAGGCTTAGCGCGTCTCTTCCACTGGAGTGCAGCAATTGTCCTGGTCGTCAACCTGGTTGCAATTATATTCCTTTCGGATGTCATTTCATCCGCGTCTGATGAACTTGCAGACTCTTTGGGCCATTTGCAAGGTGCACTCATAGGTGCGACACTTGGCAATACCGTCGAGTTGACCGTGCGTATCCACACGTTTGCAGAAGATCGGAACTCTGATTACTGACTGCATATCAACGTATAGTCCGGTGTCCTCGCCCTGTTGCATGGGGACATTGTTTTCGCTCAATCTGTCATGGTCGGTAGTATTTTATCCGATATATTACTAGTGAGAACATGTCGCTCTTTCCAAGTTGATTCATCAATTCCCGACTGACTCAATCCAAATTAGATATTCGGGTTCTGCATTGTGACAGCGTCTTATAATAAGCATGTTCTTGAGTTCAACGGTCATCTAGCCAAGACCTTGTCGTCCTTGATGATGATCACAGCCGTCACAATGCTACTACCAACTGCACTCTACTCGACCTTTCCCGTTTCACAAATTGATAACAGTGTCCTGGCATTTTCTCGCGGTACCTCATTTGTTTTATTCCTCCTCTATGCAGGATATCTCTACTTCCATATGAAGACCCACAAACACCTTTTCTTATCGGACGAAGAAGAAGAAGAAGAAGAACAAGAACCGACCCAGACAAATGGACTGGGAGGTTCTGAAGGCACCAAAACACCATCCGAGCAGCCTGACACGTCCGCGATCTTTGCCCCATCCATGCGACTTGCCGCCGCAGTTGCCGCGACGATTTTCTCCACAGAGTTGATTTTCGAAGGGGTGGACGATATCGTGGAGACATTGGGCTTTAGCCGCATGTTCATCGCAGTGATTCTGATACCGATCGCAAGTAACAGCACGGAGGGCACGACGGTTATAGCTTCGGCCCGAAGTGGTGACACTGATTCCGCAATTCGGGTAATCGTGGACAGCCTTCTTCAGATAGGTCTTTTCGTGATACCTCTTCTTGTTATGATAGGCTGGTGCATAGGAGAACCCATGTCTCTTTATTTTGATCCTTTCCAGTCGGGTATCATGTTTTTGGCCGTACTGGTCGTCAATCATCTGCTTCGCGATGGGCAATATGCTTACATTCATGGAGCAATGTTGGTTGCACTGTGAGTGATGTCAAACATATTAGAAACCGCAATGAGAACGGTCGGAAAACTAATAAAGAAAAAACTAGATATGGCAGCTTAACAGTGGCTTTCTACGCGCGGTAGGGAATGATTAGCGTTTGCAGAATACAGGTACTTCAGCCGTGAGTCTTTCCGGAACACACCTGGCACCTGGCACCTGGCACTCGCTGGTTAGAAACGCGCGAACCTTTCAAGATGGGAAAGAAAATGATTCCATCTATCTTCAAGATCGTTACTAGCGACTCGGAGTGACTCGATCATTCTGATACCCCACTCAGCCTCTGGTATCATGTCTGCATTTTTATAGGATTGAATGTCTATTGTACTTAAAATTTTCTGTTCGGCTCCCTATTTATTCAAGTTCCAAGGTTCTAAATGTTGTGGTGGGGCGGCCGATAGATCCATGGATATTGCTGTCCCGTTCGGCCATCAATCAAGAATCTTGTTCCTGACCCCAGGCTAAGAAGGGCGCAGACTCGTAAAACTCATGTGTCTCTGAATTTTGATATCGTCTAATCATGGACAAGCAGTACGCTCTTTTTCTAAATTTCTTGGCGACTCCTCGGATGAATTAGATTGCAAGTTCGGTCCAGCCCGGCAGTTGAGTTGAGGGTTGAAACATCCCTGATCGGAGATGCCCCGGCAGATAGCTTTCCCATCACCTGGCCGTGCTCAAAATGTGGCCGATCTTTGACCATGGGGTGACATTGAGCACGGCCATGAAGGACTTGATCTGATCTGCATTATTCCATTGTGAATCCGGTGTGTCTTGGCATTGCGAGGCGGGATTGAAGATATACGGACCAATGAGAGAACGTCAAAACCGCCCCTAGTTGTGCATTTCGCCGGGTCCGACGCCGCGATGTCCCCGGAGTGTCTCCGCACACCCCGCAAGCTCCCCAAATCGTCATGATTTTGCGGGTGAAGAAGTTGCTGCAATGGAGTCAAATATTAACCGAACTCGGCTATTGGTCAATTTTCTCCGTGGTTGCATGCTCCTTACCGCATCCTCCACGGGGCTTGGGATATAAATTCCTCAGACCCTCAGGACTTTACCTCCGGTGCCAGGTGCTATTGTTCTCCAACCTACCTGGGCAATTCGAAGACTGAAAAGGGCAAAGAGAACCTTGGAATACATAATGTCTCTCCTTTCACCCAAGATGGTGACTGTTGCCAGTCTAGTCGCCCTTTTAAGTCCAGTCATGGCTGCAGGTTCTTCAAGCGGTATGTCTCAACCCTTCTCGGCATCCGCTGAGGAAAGCGCTGACAAAATAATTTAGCTATCGTTGCGGATGGCAGCTCGTTCGCTCTGAACGGTGACGATGTATCCTACCGATTTCACGTCGATAATAGCACCGGTGACCTGATTTCAGATCACTTTGGTGCCAGCGTGTCAGGAGATATCCCTATAGAAGTCACGGGTGCGGTGAATGGCTGGGTCAACACCATTGGACGCGTCCGACGCGAATTTCCTGACCAAGGCCGAGGAGATTTCCGCCAGCCAGCGATCAGAATCCGACAATCGGAAGGGTACACTGTTTCTGACCTGCGGTATCAATCCTATACTGTTAAACAGGGCAAGCCTGATCTGCCTGGCTTACCGGCGACCTTCGGCACGGATGATGAGGTGTCAACCTTGATCGTCCATATGTACGACAACTATAGCTCCGTTGCAGCTGATCTCTCTTACTCGATCTTCCCGAAGCACAACGCAATCGTCCGCAGTGCAAACATCACCAACCAGGGCAAGGGGAACATCACAATCGAGTCGCTTGCAAGTATGAGTGTGGATTTCCCATACGAAAACTTGGACATGATTAGCCTGCGCGGTGATTGGGCAAGAGAGGCACACCGTGAGCGACGAAAGATTGAATATGGCAAACAGGGGTAAGTGAGCCCCGTCTGTTCAACCTGGCTATGTCAACCTCCAGAGGCCCGCTAACAGTATGTGATTTTGTTAGCTTCGAGAGCGCAACAGGCTACTCCTCCCACCTTCACAACCCATTCCTTGCTGTCATGGACCCCGCAAGCACGGAATCAAATGGCGAAGTTTGGGGATTTTCTCTCGTTTATTCAGGCTCTTTTTCTGTTGACGTTGAGAAGGGCTCCCAGGGAAACACCCGTGCTCTGGTCGGCCTCAACCCCAATCAGCTCTCCTGGTCATTGGGACCCGGTGAATCTCTCACCTCGCCAGAGTGTGTTGCTGTCTACTCAGAAAATGGAGTTGGTGGGATGTCCCGCTCGCTCCATAACCTCTACCGGAAAAATCTCATCAAAAGCAAATTTGCAACAGCAGATCGACCTGCTCTATTGAACAGCTGGGAGGGACTAGGATTCACCTTCAACGAATCTACAATCTACCAGCTCGCCAAGGAATCTGCTGCTCTAGGGATTAAGCTCTTCGTTCTAGATGATGGTTGGTTTGGTGACAAGTATCCCCGAACCTCGGATGATGCCGGTCTGGGTGATTGGATTCCTAACCCTGAGCGGTTCCCTGACGGCTTGACGCATGCAGTGGATAGCATCACTGCCCTCAAAGCTGCGAACACTTCAACGAATCTACGCTTTGGTCTTTGGTTTGAGCCTGAGATGGTGAACCCCAATTCTACTCTCTATCACGAGCACCCTGACTGGGCGTTACACGCAGGATCCTATCCTCGCACTTTGACGCGTAACCAGCTTGTTTTGAACGTTGCGCTCCCGGAGGTTCAAGACTTTATCATTGATGCCGTGTCAAATATTTTGAACAGCTCCGATATCAGCTATGTCAAATGGGACAATAACAGAGGAATTCACGAAACACCCTCCCCGTCCACAGACCACGAGTATATGCTGGGAATGTACCGGGTATTCGATGTTCTGACTACTCGATTCCCAGATGTGCTTTGGGAAGGATGTGCCTCCGGTGGCGGTCGTTTTGACCCTGGCGTGCTACAGTACTTCCCCCAGATCTGGACGTCAGATGATACCGACGCCGTGGAGCGAATCACTATTCAGATGGGTACCTCGCTTGCGTACCCCCCCTAGCGCTATGGGTGCTCACTTGTCTGCCGTTCCAAACCAGCAAACGGGCCGCACCTTGCCTGTTGATTTCCGCGGGCATGTGGCAATGATGGGTGGGTCGTTTGGTCTGGAGCTTGATCCATCTGATATGCCAGAGGATGATAAGGCTGCTCTGCCTGCACTGATTGCACTTGCGGAGAAAGTCAACCCAATCATCCTGACTGGTGATATGTACCGACTCAGTCTCCCGGAGGACTCTAACTGGCCAGCTGTTCTCTTCATCTCCGAAGATGGCAACAAGGCCGTCCTCTTCTACTTCCAGATTAATCCCAACATTAACCATGCTATTCCGTGGATCAAGATGCAAGGCCTGGACTCAAAAGCTACTTACAGTGTCGATGGAAATTCCACATACTCTGGCTCAGTTTTGATGAAGATTGGCTTGCAGTTCCCCATTGCTACGGACTATGGGAGCAAAGTGGTATTCTTAGAGAAGCAGTAAGAGATCAATGGAAAGCGCCCCTGTTGCGGATCATACCTCCAGCGAGGAGGTGATTCAGGTTTGAGACTAGTTGGGGGACGGAACTTGAAATGTACAGAACCCGTCTATTTTTGACCTCCAAAAGGTCCTTTATATACTACTTTTATTACAACGAGTGTTTGTTGAACTTTCTTCCGGACAACTTCTAGGAAAAGACTCTGAAATAGGCTTCCTTGGCCCCATTTTAAGTGTTGGGAAACTAATTATTTAACTTCATGGACAGATATGGCACCTGGGCACCTAGGTATACTTCTGTAGTGATCACAGGGCTGCCATCATCAAGATGTAAAGATGTAAAGATGTAAATGAACCGGTGCTAGAATGGACCGTGATATTGGTAGGCCAGGATGCGGTAGAGCAACAAGGTAATCTTGCCAAAAATGGAGTGCAACTTGAATGAGTATCTCTATTATTCGAACTGGAATGGAATTTCTATTCATACGCAATACTCTTTGTTGATCGTAATTAGATCCTTCAATTTACTGCTACTGTTCTAATTTCCATTTCATTGGTCCACAGAGGGCTTATTGGCTCTATCCCGATAAGGGAATTCCGTGAGCGACGGAAAGTTTAGGCTATTCCCCGACCACGTGAACGGGGATATCAGGAAGTATCCGTTATTCCTGGAGCGGGGGTTTGAGTAGGAATTTGATAACGTGGGGTCCACATCCCATATTTAATAAGTAGCCTTATAGTCCGAACATTTGCTGATCTGCTTCGGTATTTTCTCTTGAAATTCAAGTTCATCATCACAAAAAGAAAATGGAGAAGAACGCTAAAATTGTCATCATCGGGGCCGGAATATTTGGGCTCTCTACAGCCTATCAGCTTGCGTCTGAAGGTCACCAAAACATCGTCGTTCTCGACCGGCACATGCCACCAGTGAGTCAACTCTTCAATCCCCTTATTCTTCCAGGCTGAATATAGCTCATCATCAGGTACCGGATGGATCTAGCTCTGATATCTCGAGGGTTGTTCGCTTTGATTATGCCGATGACGACTACCTTGACCTTGCCTATGAGGCCTATGTGAAGTGGCGGGACGATGTTAAATACAAAGGCATCTTTGAACGCGCTGGATATATCCTTGCCGGCGAGACTAATGGCCAGGAATGGATTACCAAGACGATGTCTGCACTTAAAAAGAAGAATTTGCCATGGAAAAAGCTTGAAAATGCTGCAGCGGCGAAAAAAGAATATCCTATGCTATCAGGAGAGCTTGCGACCCCAGGGTTTTTCGGTTATCACAATCAACAGGCTGGGTGGGCGGACGCCGCCAAAGCAGTTAGCCAGCTTCGAGATGATTGTTTCGAACTTGGTGTTTCCTTCATCGCTGGTCGAAGCGGAACTGTGATTGATTTCGAAACTGATTCGAAAAAATCTATTAAGGCTGCTCTGACACTTGATGGTAATCGAGTAATAGGTGACCATTTTATTTTGTCGACCGGGGCCTGGACTTCGGGCCTAGTTTCTATGTATAACTCTGTCTTATCGACAGGACATGTCATCGGATATGTTAAGCTAACCCCAGAAGAGATTCAGAAGTACGAAAGTCTTCCTATCTATGCAAACTTCTCGACTGGATGGTTTAACTTCCCCCTCCCACCGAGATACCGGCATGCTAAAGATGGCAATCCATGGATGGGGATACACACGTACCCCTAGAAAAGAAGATCTTACTGCTGTTCGATCCAATATTTCGTCTCCGCCACTTATTCCGCCTCGAGAACGACGAAACTTTGTCCCGCGGGACGGTGAGGCCCGTTTACGAGAAGGTCTGCGCGAGATTCTTCCAGAACTGGCTGACAGGCCATTCCATAAACTTGCACTCTGCTGGTACACGGATACCCCAAGTGGCAACTTCATCATGGACTATCATCCAGATTATGCCAACCTATTTGTCGGAGGAGCTGGCAGTGGACAGTACGTTATCTTATATTCCTGCATCAGTACACTTACTGACAGTCCTATCACAGTGCGTTCAAATTTCTTCCTGTACTTGGGAAATACATGTCACTTGCCCTGAAGAAGAAGCTACCTGAACAGCTTGCGCAAAAATGGCGCTTCCGAGAGGAGTACGCATCGCAGACCGACACATTTCTAGGCGATGGCAGCCGCGGAGGACCGGCTAGACGAGAATTGGACACTGAGGAAAAGGCCAAGCTGTAGGGATTGGGGGGTTGCCCAGGTGTTATGATCTGGGATATTTGTGCTTAGAGCGGGCATGGCAAAGACGCTACTTCAATAGGCGGGTAAGAATGGAGTATGAATTTCCTATCCTCTAGGTCATAAACGTTTCCCTAATCATCGTGCGTCACAGGTACTAGTAACAAATCAATAATAGTAAAGAGTAATCGAAAATCTAGATTTCAGCAGAACTACGGTATACGTGGCAAATTAGAGACTGTCTACGCAAAAATTGCTTCTCGTTGACATGTTGTTTACTACAATCATCTTGGAGGGGAGAGGCTGTCCAGGTGTCTTAATCATTGCACAATTCTACTGTGAGATCTCCACCAGTATGTTTGAAACCCACTTGCTTCCACAGGTCCAGAACCCTTTCTTCGGGGTGGAATCCGAGACGGTCAGACCATTTTGCGTATGGCTCGTCTTTCGAGGAATATCTGAACCGATGATGAGATCTTCCCGACTCCGTTTCCATGATCATGAACTTCAGTTTTGGCATACATAATGCTGCCTGGCCCATAGCCATATACAACTCATTGAAGAGACCTGGTACACTGACTTCTCGGAAAGGCTTGGGGCTGCGATCTTCGAGTACGGTTCTCACATATTCCGGAAATTCATCATGTGGATCGGAATCTGAGGACAAAAAGTAATCATCCTCGTCGCGATCAGAGCGGTCAACAAAGAGCCATTTCCCGGAGGGAGTTGAGGGGCTGTATTGAATGTCGATTTCTGTCAGATCGGGCCATGACGCGTGCTTGTCGCTTGAGCCTGGTGGGCAAAAAAGTTCATTTCCAATTGTGATCCCACGAAGACTGAGTCTCTCTAACTTTTGAGAAAATTTATGTAGTTGTGAGCTCAAAGCATCCACGCCTTGGTCTGTGATGTTGTCTGGGGAGAAGTTATGATCCAGAGGCGGTTGATCACAAAAAGCGAAGTTGAAGACTTTTATGCTCGATGGCAAAAGGTGAATATGAGCAGCGAGTTCTAAATAGTCCATTAATATGCAGTGGAAATTAATGCATGAGCCCCTAGATGGAACATACCGTCACGGTTTCGCTTTCTCAGGCCCTTGTCGCTTTTGCAAGTGTCATTTAACGACAAGTTGAGTGTGTGCAGGCAAGGAAACTGAGAGGCAAGACGAGCGCACGAAGCCGCCTCGATTTCCCGTCCGGCGAGTACCGCCTCGATTTCGAGAGTGTGCACAATCTTGAGCTGCTCTATCTGGCTCTCAAATTCATCAAGCCGAAGATAGTTGTTCTCAAATCTGCGGTTCAAAATATCTTTAGTCCGGTCGGCACGGGCGGCCTTTCTTCGTTTGAGCCTAGTTTTTGGGCTAGCAAACAGATCGCTAGGCGACTGGGCTTGAATGGAGAGCGAGATCCCTTGGAGTGAAGCTCCAGGTTTATTGGCTTGCCATTTCGATATGATATGAAGGATTAAGCGGATTGCTTCGGAGAAGATTTGGTTATTGCGCTCATGCTCAGACTTAGTCTCTAAATTCGCCCGGGCGGCTTCATCGTAAGGCTCTAGCTCCACGATGAACTCGATGTTCCGAATATATGACTGTCGTCGTGGTTTGTTTATCAATCTCTCAAACTGATTTAGGTTCAAAGGAGTTCCTGTCTTGACTCGCAGTGTCCTCCAGATTCGCTCCTCGACAATGGCCTGCCAGTCGCGATTCACTGAAGCATATTGAGCCAATTGAAGCTTGCTGTCTATACGTGTCAACGGGTTGGCAAGAAAGGACACAATATGGCCAGTGATCTCTGGTGGAAGTGGCCATACCATTTTGCCTGAGAAGCTAGGAATCGGAAGAGCCCGCAGTTTACGACGATGCGGGGTCAAAGGGCGGGAGACTCATTTCTAGGGGTCCAAGGTACGCCTTGAGCTCGCTCATTATCCGAAAAAAAAAAAGATGCACAATGTGAAAAAGGTATCATATATTTGATGTTTTGATATACTTAATTGCTTAATGAAGACATTATTGTCATACCTAACTTTGGAGTAAAAAACTGATTTTCTGCAGCTGCCATGGAGAGTACCTAGGTATGTCCAAGGTTCAACAAGAAGCACGCCAAATATTTACTGCTAAGGTTACTACTAGAGGATCTCCCCGGTGCGACTAGTATAATATGAAAAATATGTATATGCTTGAGCTGAATTCACTTGGGGTATCCGGTAATCAATTATGATCCCAAAAGTCCACGAACTCGCGGAAGGAAATCACCATTACTGGTAGCATAGCCAACTTCCCAAATCGACACTCCTCCCATATTCGCATGCTTCATGAAAGGTAGCAGAGCTGTTTTGAGCAGAGCCGGAACCACATAGCCCATCCTCGCGGACGGGGTACCTGCTGCATTCCCTGGGACGCCCACGAATATCTTTGGCGATTTGGGAGTTGCCTGGCTGGCCTGTTCAAGCCATGTACCCAAGTTGAATTCACGTTTCGCAAGATTGGACCGACGAGCCGACGGGCCGCCCAAGAGAGGATTGGAAGGTCTTTCAGTAGATCTGCGGGCATAACCACCAGGGATACCACATTCTGGGTTGTTGTAGAATTGCACGAAAAGCGCATCAAACCAGCCCAAATGGTGCGTTAGAACACTGGCAAGATTCTTGTCCGGATATTGGCATTGCGGTGCAGCTGTCAAGAGGAATCCAGGGTGGCTCTTCTTCAGCTCGTTGAGCTTCTTCGTGAATGGGAGCAGATTTTCTATCGCCATCTCGAAGTCAAAGTCAAATCCATTGACCGCAGTGCCGCCGAAGTAGGTTGCACCGCCAGGTCCATACATGTTCCACACCTTTTGGGCCATATTTCGGGCTTCTTCAGCTGTGTCCCATCCACCTTCTCGATAGGTTTGCCCGCCGAAAGATAACAAGATGGTTTTACCTTGGTCCTGGCAATGCTTGATTTCCGCGCTAGAGATACCATGAGAAGTTTGATGTTGGCAAGATGATGGCAGGGCAGCTTACCCGGTAACTGGATGACCAAATGTGACCTGTGGCGTACCCTTCAAGGAGGTGACGAATGACAATTGGAATATCTGCACTCGTGAGTTAGACTTTTCTTGAGCTGGGCTATTCTGGAAGAGAGTAGACATGCGTCAATATCCTTGTCTATAGAACGGTTAGCGAACTGACTATCATGTATAAAACCCAATACACTTACTTGAACAGAAAGAAGATAGGCTACCACTGCCATCTAAGAAAATGAAAAAAAAAGAGTCAGTTAATACCATTATAGTCGAGATGGTCTTAGTTCACCCCAGTAGGTTGCGACCATTTTTGTTCCATTATTGAACACGCTTGCGGCGACTCCTTGCAGCGAAGCAAGAAGGGCCGCCGAGTATAGCAAGCTCTTCACCCCGGTCATGATGTCAGAAATTTAGATTTAATTTGATTCGGAATATGCAAATGATAGAATCTTTGAAATCCTAGCGTCACTTGGACGAAAATCCCAGTTAACAGAGACCAGCTCGCTCGTATGTGACTGAGGTAAGTGAGCAAAAGAAAGGAAGAACTGCGAATTCATCACTCTATATAACTTCGTATTTGAGTCCGATTCTTCTCGGCCCCCAGACAAGATTCACGGCGCTCTTCCCAGATTCGTATCGCAGTATCCATAGTATGGTGGCATAGAATGTGCCATCATGATTTTGGCCCCAGGGAGTGTACCTCGCTCGGGGCTCGGCCCACTTCAATTCGAGTAATAATAACATGGGTTTCGCACTCTTCATCATATATGCTCTGATTCCCAGGTGGCCCTGGGATTGGGGCCAATTGGTGACCCCTGGCCCCGACAAACGAGTGGGGGCCGTGCTATTTTTGCACCGCATCGCGGCTGATCTTATACCAAATTTGACCATGAAAGGTTCGAATTGATCTGTGAAGAGTTAGTATAGTGAGACTCTGAGAGTAGAAGATTGAGGCGCCAGTTAGAAGCCCAAGAATTAATGGGGTCTGGCCCGATTCCGAGCGGTTACTAGGTTGGGGCCGTATGAAATTCGGAACTAAAGCCGATCTGCATATCAATGACGTTAACTCTGTCCGCCGAATGGCCCAATCCATGTGCCCTATTTGTTTTGTATTAGTGGATGATCAAATTTTCGTATGCCATGGGCTTTTCCTCGTCGCGTTGAGCGGATCTCGGGGTTCTTTCGGCCTCATGTTCGTGTTGTACTAGCTCTCCTTCCCTTCGCATAGGACAGCTATGCCACCTTCCAGCATTATCAATCGTCAAACATGGTGAGGCATCTCGAGATGGACCCCATGCTAGGTGCGAAAGCCAAGCTTCGTGATGATGAAATTCCATCGAGCGTAATAGTCCTCACCCAGAATAGTCAGTATTGGGAGAGAGAAGAAGAGGGCGTAGTGTAGCTACAGTAGATACCCGTTTGTGCCTCAGGCTCCAAATCCAGGGCTAGGCAAACCCGTGATTGGTCACATGGTAGGTACATTAGTTACGGAGGTAATGACTTCTATCTTGATACCCTTGCGCTACCTCTCAATCCTACAACTGCTGCTACGAATAGGCGCGAGCAGTCTCAATCACCAGGAATTCCAATATTTTCATTGATCAATACTCTACTATTCTATTATTATTACTAACTAACTAGAAGTAACTCATTAGTAACTCGTCCACCGCTTCCGGTGGTCACGTGAACTCACCCCTTTGCAGGCGAGTTGCAGCTGCGGCCTCAAAACATTCAGTTCAGTTCATTTTCATTCCTTCGCGATCCCTCTCTGTCTTGCCATTGCTTCTTTCCTTTTATTCCTTCGCCTTCGCCCTATTCTACGACTTCCTTATTTCCGAACCCGGGCTTATCCTCGAAACTCGACTCGGCATTGATTGTCCTTGCAGCATCTTACAACTGTCCTTCTCAAAACCTCCGATCGCAATCGCCCTCTAGTCGCTCATTTCGCGGTCATTGCCGCCTTTCATCATGAAACTGAACATTTCATCGCCTTTCATCCTCTTTCTCCTCCCCGCCATTTCGACTGCCTTGGCAGACGTCAAGCCAAACGCCCAGCCGACCGTTCGTGCCTCATATGGCTCTTCCGGACTTGATGCTCGCTACGCTGATACCGACTCTTATGCTTCGGGCAATGTCGCCAAGGGATCCTCGGATGTCCCTGTAGATGGGAAGGATGGCAAACCACACGCGGGCCCGTGGGTAGAGACTGGTGCAGAACGCGACCGAAAGATCACCGGGAACACCATTGTCGGGAGTGATGATTACGAACTTGCACCTTCCAGACTCGATACGAAGATTCCTTCTTCGGACCACCTTAACACTGATGGCGGAAAAGTTATTCCGCATTCCAATGGCGGCGTCATGAACGACCCGAATCGAGCGGGACCGAAGGAGGGCACGCGAGGCACCGAGGGTGGCGTATCGGCGAAAGAAAAAGAGAACCAGTATGCAGAGAAAGTGCCCGGAAGCCCCAAAGAGGCCCCTCCTTTACCGCACGGCGAGAAACAGAAGTTTTCGTCAGACAGTGACAGCGCATCCGGAAGTGGTGGCCGCACAGCTGATGAAGCTGGCACACTTGGGATGTTGGAGGTACGCCATGTCTGTCTACTCCATTACCCTGCGCATAATTGACAACCGTTATCTAGAAACCGGCCGATCTACCCAGCAAGCCTCATGATATCCCTCACCCCAAACCCCCCTCTCAAGTCAACAATGATCCGTTGGCCATTGAGCACGGATCGGGCTCGTACGCTAGCTCGTCAAAGACATACGACAAGAACACTGGCCTTGCAGAGGAGAATGACGGACTCCACTCGCTTCTATTCGCGTTCACTATGATCATCGTTTCTGAAATTGGAGACAAGACCTTCCTCGTTGCTGCGCTGATGGCTATGAGACACCCACGTCTGGTCGTTTTCACCTCCGCATTCTCTGCTCTCATCGCCATGACCGTTCTTTCCGCTGTCCTCGGCCACGCCGTCCCCACACTGATCCCCAAGTCCGTCACCAAGTTCATGGCGGCCATCCTCTTCCTTGTTTTCGGCGCAAAGATGCTCAAGGAGGGCCGCGAGATGTCCCCCGACGAGGGCGTCGGCGAGGAGATGCGGGAGGTGGAACAGGAGCTGGAGGAGAAAGAACAGGAGCAGATCCGTATGGGTCGTCGCCGCTCTTCCGTTACCCCCCATAACCTGGAAGCCGGTCGCGCTGGCGGTCGTCCCAAATCTCGTGGAAACCGTCTGCCTTCGCCCCCGGAGAGTATCTCCTCATCTTCGTCTCGTGGCTCATCTCCTCAGCCTCGCCTAAAGGAATGCATGTCAGGCGTGAGCAACCTCCTATCTCTTCTTCTCAGCCCCGCGTGGGTCCAAACTTTTGTTATGACATTTCTCGGTGAATGGGGGGGATCGTAGTCAGATCGCCACCATCGCTATGGCCGCCGGTCAGGACTACTGGTGGGTCACAATTGGTGCTATCACTGGGCACGGTATTTGCACAGCCGCTGCCGTTATCGGTGGGCGTGCGATTGCGGGCCGTGTCAGCATGCGTGTTGGTAAGTCACTCTTCACTCTTCATTCTTTCCTTCTGTTCTGTTTCCGCGTCAATACTAATATTTTTAACTTGCAGTTACCCTCGGCGGTGCCGCGGCATTCCTTGTATTCGGCGTCATCTATCTCATTGAAGGCCTTTTCTGAAAATCATCTGGGCGGTTGTAACTCGGTTGGGTATTTGGGGGGCTTGCATAGGTGTAAAAGTCATCATTTGACGTTCTGTGACATATTTTAATTAATGATATAATTTACCATGGCCGAGATGTCCAATACTACCTACCTACCTAGGTAGGTACTAGTACTGGATTAGAGTCGTGTGTTTCGATTCGTGCATATATTTCCGTGGTTGGGGTAATCGAAGCGATGGCATTCCTACAAGGTAATTCCAACTTCGAGCCCTGGAGGCTGTGCCAGTGGAGAGTTTGTATATGAGGAAGATCGAGATGGTATATACTGAATAGTCCTAGGCAATGCTAAAGTGTCGGCCGGGACTAAGAGGTTGGCCATACCCCCAGGGTGCAATTATTAATTTCATTGGCCGCGGGTGCAACACATCAACCTTGGAAGGCAACAACTCAACTTGAACCATAGAGCTTATGATTCTCACATCTACCAGTATGATTGGTAGTGAATCTACGAGTACACTGGAGGGTTTTTCCAAGTGCTACTCTGCAAATTGTATCTCAGTTTTGTTCAAATAAACCAGCTGCAAACTGGTTCCGATTGGCTGGAAATATCGACACCCTAATATTCAGGCAAAACCCTAAACCCTGAACCCTAGACCCTGTACGGCCAACCTCTCAGGCCGGGCCGACACTTTAGTACTGGCCAACACCTTAGCGCGGCGCCCGGTCGAAATTTCTTTTCCCCCTTGAAAGAGTAAATGAACGCGTGATTTTGTCTGCTCAACCCGGTGTGATCATTCAAATCGCCCTTCTAGTGAGTGAGATCTCATAATCTTCATTTTTGCGTACCGGCTTCATACCCCGGAACAATATGATAATCCGGCACCGAAGGTTTCGCTGCCCCGAAAACCCTCATCGCGTCACTCCAAGCCTTAAACATCATCATCCCCTCGGGTTTTTACATCATTTCTCATCCGAAATAACTCCTAAAACTCTGTATATCGTCTGACATATCTATTTCGCAACATTATTCCACCCACAATCAGTGGGTCTGCATCTGGTGATTGTTTATCGGACGCGTTTGGCCCACCGCCCTCGGGATGGTGCGCAGTGCAGGGGGAGTCCCCCAGCCTAGCCGGGTCACGAGGAGCCAGAGTCGTGAACTTGATGATCCGGTTCATGATCGATCTACAAAATGGAGTCAAGTTGCCGGAAAAGGAGCTGCCAGCGCCCACCGTGAGTAATCATCCTCTGACAATTCGTATCTGCCTTATGTACCCTATGCACACCCGGGCTCTGCTTTGCTATCCTGTTGTTTACTATACTTCTCTTTCTTCACGCTTTCATCCTCCCGAGACACTCTACAAATATGAAAAATTTCTGACCTTCCTAGGCTTGAGCACCGTGGCTGAGAGCTCACCTTCCAAAGCTCGCCGAAAATCAAATTTCGCGAATGGCACTTCAGTAGTACCTGAGTCCCCCGAGGGTAATATCTCGGGCACAACATTCTTGCCTCAGGAGGATTCCGATCCGGAAGATGCTGACCTTGAGCCCATTATCATGATTGATGAGCTCCCGGGATTGCAAGAAGCCTCCGATCGCTTCTTAAATCTGCTCAAAACGAACGCCCCTGATGCCAGACAGGTTGTTGATGCGGCTAAAAGGCTCGCCAATCCACGAAACACTGAAAACAAGCGCCTTAAACCAGCAATCCGCAAATTACTCTCCCAGATGAAACCCTTTGGATCCGAGCCTTTCATCAATGTCGCCGAGGCCCAGGGCCTCATTCCAACCGTGCAGCCCAAGGGTGCGGCTCGACCATGGAGTCCATCTCCTGCCCTACACAGGGCCAATTGTGCTCGTCTTGCACTGGACGTACTCTTGGTAAGCATGGGGTCAAATTCTCTCGGTGAAACGATTGAAACTCTCGAGAGCCAGTTCCCCGCGCCCTTCCTGAGCCAAATAGTCAACGGCAAGGAGCATGTTCCGATTGGAGGTAGTACTGCCGCAGGGCCAACCTTTGAAATGGCTCTTGAAATTCGAACGCAATATGCGCTCGTGGAACTAGAAAGGCATGAAAAGGAGAAGCGCTTTGACGCCCGTTCTCTTCTAGATAACGTGTTCTACGGCAATGGGCACACCTCGGATACCGGCTCTCTGCGCGGTTTCAATCTCCCGGGGATTTTCGCGGACGAGAATGGTTGTCTTCCAGATCGATTTCAGGATAGAGTCAGCGATCGCTATAGTGAACTTGACTATTCTCTGCATGATGATGATGGAAATCCTAACATCAAAGGCCTGAAAGCCACTTTCTGGAGCAGATTCCTTGTCTGTACCGCTCGCTTTGTACAAAGTCGCGACAAAGAACTCCGACGAGACTTGGAGTTCCAGCCAAAACTTGAAGATGTCAAGGACTACGTCGAGAAGATGATTGAGGGTGGGGGCGGATCTGATGACCAGGACGAGTCGGGGAAGGAACAGACGCCCAGCCCAAGCGCAGAGGATCGCTCCTCCTCGAGGATGGAAAGTCATCACGATGAAGATGGACATTCTGACGACGGAATTTTCGTTCCTCTCTCTCCTCCCACTCCACCCCAGCAGCCATCCCAGCCGTCGATTGAACAGAGTTCACCAGGCAGCCAAGCCAGGCAACCGACACCCAAAAGCACACACAGACGACAATCGTCTAAGCAGTATGTTGATTGCCCCCATCGAGATTTCTGCCAATGACTGACTTCACTCTAGCAACGACCTCGCTCGGCATCTCGATTATCTCCAGAAGCGCCGGGAAGCGCGCCAGCAACAAGAGACGACCAGAGCACCGGAAAGGGATACAGCTGCTGTTTCCTCAGACATGCGCGTGGCAGAAGCTAGTCCCCAACAACCAAGCTCGGGCGATGCATCATTTCCTTCTCCCGGAGAGCTTATTCGAGACCCCGAAGGTGTCACCGTGCCTCGAGAGATTGCCCAAACACCGGATGAAGATTTGCAATACCCAACCCATGATAACGATGACACCCTGCTTAACGATGGCGAGGAACTGGACCTGAGCAATTACAGGCGGAACGAACTCATGCAGTCCACCAGTCCTCCTGGGTCTGAACGAGCTCGTCAAAATTACAACCGGGGCCGCTTCTTCGATTCCCCACCGCGGAACCAATTCACTGCAATCAATGAGCGGCGTACACTTCTCGACCAGCAAGAGCACCGTACCCGAATCAACTTTTCCTCCGAAGATGAGAGCCAGCTTACAGAAAGACGTATGAACCAAACAAGCCGGGCACGACAAGACACATCAAAGAGAACACACGATGAGATAGAGAATGGCTCCGAAAATGATGATTCTGATGATGCGTTCGACCCACCGGAGTCCAATGTGGACGTCGTTTCCAACGGAGCCCGAAAACTTCTCCAAACAGCCAACAAGAGGCAGCGTACAAACACCACGGATGAAGATTCTAGCGCGGCGGGTCAGCTCCACGATGACCTGAGGGCGACTCGTGATACCCGCCAGACCCAGAATCAGAGACAAACGGCGGTTCAGCCAGCATCCACTCAAGTCCAATCACCCGAAGCCCAGTCGTCCCACGTTGCCCGTGCTCGGAGCGAAGCCGTGAACACGTCACCAAGCCAGTCTCGCTGGAGCCAAGTAAATGATCCCGTGTTGTCCGCTCCAGCACCGAATATGAGAAGAAGGTGGACCGCAGATGAAAACGAACGTCTCATTTCACTCATCGGTCGATATGGCAACTCCTGGGCGAAAATTAAGGCGCAAGATGACATTTGTCCGAGGGCGGAAGGGGGACCGAAATTGCAGGGTCGGACCCAGGTTAATCTGAAGGATAGGGCGAGAAATCTCAAGAGGACGTATCAGAGGTACGATTTCTCTTTGCGAAGTTGTGATTATGAATACTAACACTGGTTCTGCAGAGAAGGTACAGCGTTGCCGAAGAACTTCGAGTACATCAAATCCTAAGTTCGACTTTGTTGTTATCTCTATGTTGGGGGTCTAAAATGGCCTGATTCCTGTGGCCAGAGTGGGAGGCTCGTTTTCTTTGCTTTTGCTAAATTATGCGGGTGGGTAGCATTTGCTTTCAATTCGGCGGATTGTTTAATTTTCTTTTTTCAAGTTACGAGTACATATACCATTCGCTGTAATCTATCGCTCCTTCTTTGCACATTTCGAATACAAGTGTGTATTGCCCTTGGATTTTACGCCCAAGCTTGAAAATTAATATTAGCAACGTTCACAGAATCCAAACCAAGCCAACCCATTCATTCTCCAGTAATACTTAATCCATGCAACTTCCGAGAATAGGATAGCGTGGCTCATTTACAGCTTGGATGGGGACTTACAAAAGACCAAACAGGCAATCATGATTGTGTCAGGTATGATCAAGCTCTACGACTGACACCTACGGGACTACGAAGCGCGGCTTCGTTGCTCGCTTGCTCGGTGCATCCCACCACCAAGACACGGATCAAAAGACCAGGAGTGATCGATTCCCAGTGATCAAAGGTTTCAACAGGACATATGTCTGATGAACCTCAGCACTGGGAATGAGGAGCTAGACCGGACAGACTTCACAATTGAAATACTGGCCTGCCTGCTGCATCCATCAATCGGCGGGTCCTCAGATCCGTACCTCCGCAACGAGACCAGCTAGCATGCAAGAGTATGAGTGGCCCTGATATGCCTCGGAGCACTGACAAGGCCACACAGTCGTAAGCCGCGCCTACAGAGACCAAGCCGTTAGTAGCATCCACTCCGCAGGTTGAGAGGGGGACTCATCACACACGAGCGCGGATGCAACGACCAAAATGGAGAAAAGGGAGAGGGTAAACAGGCATGTCCTTTCGCTGGTATTGTCCAGATCAAGTTTTAACGGTAATTTCTCAGAACGGGGCCACTCCTCCGAGTCGGCCCTCGAACACCCGTCATGCGTGTTTCTAGCTAATGATTAACTTACCCTGGGCTCTGGCTAGGATTCTAAAATCCTAAAGCCAAGCCACACCTCACCGTGAGGTTATTTGATATTCTGATCTGGTCAGAAAAGTTGAGGAGAATAACAAGTCTTTTGCGGAAGACTAGACAGCCACAGCTTCAAAGGTTGAGTCGGGCTTTCTCTCGGGGGTCGCCGAGCCATCAATCGTAGATGTCGTGGCGCCAGACTCCAGGTGTTGGAACCAATCGGAGTTAGATTTGCGCCACCACTCTAAGAGCGCAATGATAGTGACGCCTCCCATGATGACAATCGCATAGTTGAATAGGCTGGAATCGCCGTCGATTGCGCTGTTCGAGTACTGCGGTGCGCAGAGGACCGCAAAGGAGAATCCGTTCCAGATAAATGTGACGACAGCAGCGACGACGCCAAACCAACCCAGGTCCCAGAAGCCAGGTCGGAAAGATTTGCGCGTGATGAAAGTGCGACCGATACCAACTAGGCCATATGCTGCGATGGAGCCTGCCGCCGAGGTGGAAATCAGACTGGAGAATGCGACCTGAGAGGGCAATTGGGTGCAAAGGAGAAGCGCGGCAATAGTCGAAATGAAAATTACCGCGTTGTGTGGCTGCTTGGACTTGGACACACGCGAGAGGACATCACTGAACGGGAAAACACCATCGCGAGCGACGGCAAAGACAAGTCGCGAAACCGCTACCAGGGAAATGGAAGTGTTGAGGATTGAGCCGAACATAGAGATGATGGTCATTACCACATGTGCTCGGGGTCCCAATGCAAGGGCGTACATGTTGATGAATGGCTGGGGTGCGCTGGTGTCGTAGAAGGTCTCGATGGATGGCATGCAGAACAGGAACAAAATAATGATCGGGAAACCACAAACAGCAGATGCGACGGTTGCCCAGAACACACCCTGAGCAGCTGCCTTCTTTGCCGAGATAGTCTCCTCAGCGACGTGACCGGAGGCGTCTTGTCCAACCAGACAGCTCGAGACGAGATACCATGAGAGGACCCAGTTGAGGCCGGGACTTGTCTCGCCGCCGTTATAGGTGGACGTGAAAACATACTCGGCAGATTGAAATCCGTATGTTTGAGCCACACCAATGGGAAGCCAGATAAAATTCAGCAACATATCAATGATGATGACGATGACACCAGCACGGAAAACCCAAGAGTACATGCGCGAAGGTAAGAAGTTCAGCGACGTCGCAATGGCCAAAAATAGCAATGAGAATGCCCACGCGACGGCTCTCGCGCGCACGTCAGATGCATCAGTCGGGAATGACGTGTTTGGATCAAAGACCAGTACCTCGGAAACCAGGTAATTGGCAACTCCAAAAGAGTCACTCGCCAAGAAAGCCGTCCAAGCGACAAGTGTCCACGCCGCGACGAGGAATGAGATGAAGCGACCGAGTTGTCCACCACCCCACGATCGGAATGCCCAGTAGTAGATCGATCCCGCGGCGGGGTATGCGGAACAAGCCTCGGCGAGACATGCGGCGGTGATGATTGCGAGAATGCTACCGGAAAGCCAAGAGCTCCACCTGTATAGATATCGTTAGGTACTGAACAAAGGTTCTGCATGCGATGCGATGCGAATCGGGTGTACATACATTGCTGCAGGTCCACCGGCACTGAGTGCGATGTAAAACGACACGCGAATTCCACCAATGCAGTATAACGCGGAGAAGGAGCACGCGAAATTGTCGAAGGAGCCCCAACTGCGCGCCAGAACTGCTTTGTAGCCAAGATCTAGCAGTTCACGATCGTCCTGGTTGATCATCGATTCCTTGGAGTCCATGCTGGGTGGGACGATGTCTTGGTTGGTCTTGGCTGCAGAGGGAGCGGCCATAGCATCGGGTGGAACCATGAGAATGACTGATTCGTTCGAAGGAGGTGCCGAGAGTTAGACCCTTGGCAGTGTCGCTTTCCAAAAAGAAGTCTCGAATCCTGGTGATGAACCTGCGGAAGATGTTTGATGTTCGATCTTTCCGAGTTTTTCTTGGCTTCACAAACACCAAGTCACGTGTGGACAATCGACTTCGTGGGTCTTTTAATTTTAATTGACTTTGGGGCTTTATAGGCGAGATCTTTTTGTCTGGAATTAGGTTGAATTAGGGCTTGAATCACCTTCGACTTTAGTCTTTTGGAAATTCAAAATTTACAGGGATGCTGATCGTGCTGGGAGTACTTAGGAGTAACTAACTATGTGACCTCCATTCCTGGCATAAATTGGAGTCTATGAAGAAAATATGTTCAACGTAGATTGAGTACTTCCTTTGTTCCAGGGTTGTTTTGGAGAATGTTAAGAAGCATGAATAAATATCATATAGGAGCTAAAGGCATGCATGTATAGACAAAGTGAAACTTCAACATTAGAGCACAACATTTCTGGATATCTTCACAGTTAGATCATTCACTAGACATGTAATCGAAAATTGTCTCCAATAGTAAGGATTAAATCGACTTTCACAGTCATTGTGGCTACTTCCAAGGTAGTGAAATATTATCCAATGTCGTAGGATCATCTTGAAAACCGGAACTTTTGATAATGTTCTGCACGAAGCTCAAATCGTGTTCAATCATACCACCTGAAACTCCTGATTGTGACTCGGATCCCTCGAAAGCTCTTGCCAAAAACCGGAAAAATGCAGACGTAACTGGGATAACCATGGCTTCCATTTGATCCGTACTTTTGAGGGCATCAGCAATCAGGCTAGGCGCATAGTAGCGTGCCTTTTTATCGGTAGTAAATTGGTGCCAATACTCAGTAAGCCCTTCCTCGGGGGCCGCATGTGGGCGTTATCACCAGGTCCTTATCGCTACCAGCACGATCCTGCTCATGGCTGCTATTATTTTCTTCAGTAACGCTGGCTGGAGGATTCAGATTGCTGTTGGCCTGGCCTACATCATTCTCAATCTCGCTTATTGGGCCATGGCACTCCTGACAGAGCCATCAGAAATGTGGAATATGGATGAGCGATATGTGGTGGAAAGGCTTGAAGTCCAACCCAACGATAACTTCACCCAGGTTTTGTGGGATGCTATCCAAACTACGGAGAAGGTCGGCTGGGTTAAAAAGACGCAGGCCGCCCCAGCAACCAAAAATCGGAAGGGATGGCTAGCCGAGGCGAAGGAGAACTGTCGTGACAAGAATTGGAATTGCGAGGCGGCGGGTGATAAATGGAGGCAGATGAAACTGGAAAAGCACGATGAAGAGTAAAGGTTCAACCTTGGAGTGATAACCGGTGGTTGGAAAACAAGCATGAACTTCGCTTGCACAACTGATTTTTATGACTTTTCTGTACTATAATACGGTTCTCCAACCTTGGAGTCCCGCTAGGATGCATTCTTATCCGACATTTCAATTGATTCGTGTTAATTGGGAATACGAATCCCGAGGTTCGCCTTCTAGAGTTATTGTTGGTCTTTTTAATGACATGCCTGAATAAATTTACTAGAAACAAATTGGTCTATCTACTCAATTGGCCATAGCTATGCGCAGTCAGCAAATAGCTTAATCCAACATATGCCCGGGCGCATTGTCCACGATCCTCTGTCGCCCCCACGTAAAACCTTTCTTTTTATCCATCTCCTCTTACTAGTACTACTCCCAGTCAATAGACGGCCCTGGCTATTTAAGAAAAGGAGGGGGGAGAAGATTGATAGTCAAAGAATGATCGAAAATGGATTCAAAGAGTTATCAATTTCACACGAAGATGATCGAATTAAAATTTCCAAATAGCTTTGCAGTTTTCTCTTTTTTCACTGGCAGAAAAGGTGCTTGGAGTTTGTGCAAAAGCGAACGTTGAGGATTGATACTCGCAAAATGTTTGCAGTAGGCTGAACCAATTAAGTATGTGCAAGCTCAAAAGGCGGAAGGGACTTACTTACTGCTCTCAACTCATGAATATGAATGATATTTCAATTTCTTTTGTCCAACTCAATTTTGGGTGTTGTTGAAAACGGTAGTGATCTAATGACCCTTGTGTGGACAATTCTTTCCTAGTTTGGTATCCCATTTAGGATAGCAGTCTGGAAGGCCATCAGTGGGCAAAGCAACTGCAATTATGGCAATAAGAGCATAGAAAATAATCATGAGAGTTAAGTGAGTTGACCTCATTTTGCTGCAAGTTCCTAGTAGTACAGAGCAATATATGCGCCTCGACGGAAAGTAGAGAGCTTTATGTTGAGGAGAGATGGGATTCCTAGCGAATCAGAGCGAAAGCCGAAATACTTCAATTGAGAGGAGCTTAAGGTAAGGCTTGAACTTAAAATCCATCATCGCTCTCTCTGATCCTTTGTCTTTTCTTTCAAGACCCACTTCTATTGGAGCGAAATGTTTGGGACTTTCCACCGTCATCCGCCGAGACAAAGAAATTCACAAGATGCTGACTCTCAGTCCTACCACCCTATCGTTTGGTTGAAGTATAGCGGACGGTTGAGACCGCCTCAATAAGCTAACTTCTCTATTGAGGCCTCTCTACGACTCTGAACCCGTTTTTAACCTCCTTTCCAAGGTGAAACGCTTATATCACAAGTCTGACAAAGCTTTGTGGTGAAGTCATTCTGGTCAGATGGTCATATGTCAGATTTTGCTGAGAACACTGCGAAGATGAGAGGTATCAAACCTTGGGAAGTGGTGACCAGATAGGAGAGCGAAGCAAAAGAGGGAACCTTGGAAGGCATGGCATTAGTATGGCCTTAGTGCCTAAGATACCTAGATAAGAGGGCCTGAGGCACCTACGCACGCGCAGATATTAGCTATTACAATACTACTCCAAGTTCATGAACTTTGGAATCTTCCAAATTGTTTTGTACTATGTATCAATTCAGTCAAAGAATATTAATCTGACTTGAAACGATATCCCCTATGAGAAATCTTTTTAAGAGCCTTCTTCCAAGGTTTGAGAAACAAGAGGGAAGGTCCGAGTCTTTTTTCGGACTTTTCAATAAACAAAATCCTACTAGTTAGGTAGTGGTAAATGGCAGGTTTTTATTCTGGAGGTTTATGGATACTTTCCAAGGCTCGTTGGCGATCAAAGATAATTCTACCTAGGTGAGTTGTGTTCAAGTTCATATCTGTGTACTAACGTAACTCACCACCGAGACGGCCGCTCCAATACATATAATAAGCCTTGGAATATGTTAAATTACCACTACCTCAACAACTATTGATGTTTAAAAGACTATCTTAGGGTACTATGTTCCAGATACCTAATATTAGTACCTAGTTAGTAGCAAGTTATATCAAGTTTTGAACATTGGAAATTGAAAAATTAGAAAAAATCATCTCTTTCACGACTCGGGAAGATAGTACCTAATAGTATATATTTGTCTTTATAATATAGTAAAAATAACAAAGTATTTTTAACTTGAAGTTTACCAAGGTTGTGATTTCATGGAATAATCATTCAAATTAGAAAGAGTTCTTCTTTTCTTATTCTCCCTAGCAAAGAAAACCTATATCCTAAGTAACAATTCAAAATAACATTTGGTTGTTGAGATAGTTAAATTTGTAATTTATCATATTTCTATGTGTTGTTGAAGCGGCCGACTCGGCGGTGACTTACGTTAATACAAGGCCACTGTTATACTATCGTGGTATTACTCACAAACTACGATCTGGTCAATTTGTTTTTACTATCCACCTGGGCAAGTGAATACTGCAATCTTGAATTGCCAGATCTAGATTTTGAAATTTGTACTAAAGAACTCGGGACGCATTGTTTGAAAAAAAAATCAAGTAAGAGTTTGTGAAAATAGGAGAGTAGAGTGAGTGCATTGTTTCACATGGGATGGTCGATGACCGAACAGGTGCACAATCCCTGTATGATCTAGTTCTTCACGCACTGCATGATGTGGTTCTTGTTCATGCAGTGATATCCACTGCAACAGTTCACAAAAGAACAGCCTTGGCCAACTGTATTGTAAATAATAAGCCTCGGATGTTACATTTCACTGGTTGGACAGGTAGTACTCACCAACGGCACAGGCATTCGCAGCCGGGGCCGGAGCCGGAGCCGGAGCAGGGCTCGCATTTGCGACAGCCGCAAGGATTGCAATGGTAACAGCACCGATAAACTTCATGATGAAATCTGGATATGTATTCGCAAGGGCTTGAGGTTGGGAGTTGAAGAAGGTTGAAGTCTTGTCTGACAAAAGAAGTCAGGTTTCGGTCGACAAAACCAATTTATTTATACCTTCCGGGGCTCAAGGTAGTATCGAATACAAATCAATCTTATCAGATCAGATCATCTTTTAGGCCGGAATCGGATCGGGAATTAAAACTTTGGAAGGTCGTATTTGCCCCTTGGGGCCGCTATATCCGTTCTGGCCGAAATCTGACTGCAGTTGTCTTACTTTCAGGTGGGCCAATTTGGGGTCCAAACCCAATAATTTGGTGAGGGATATTTTTTTCTTTTTTTTTTCAAATTAACACCTAGTGACCCTTTGAAAAGAAGCTAAGAGCAATTGCTACTAGTGCTAGTGATAGTATACGCCTCAAAGCTAAGCCTTTTTCAAATCTTTTAGTCACCACCGTCCATTTTTGTCGGCACCACCAAGCTTTTCCTCCCAAGGTTATAGAAGTGGAAATTCAGCGACCCACCATGCTTCGAATCGCCCACTCATGAGAGTGAGAAGACCCAACCAATTTCGGCCCCATTCCGCTATCCAAGTCATTTCGCATAGGCCCTTAAGCCCATGTTGATTTGCTCAAGAGTAGGCCTAAAGTCTAAGATTTTCTTGTTGTCCTGGTCACGAAACTCAGACCAAACAGCTCCGAGTTCGGAGTCAAAGAGTTAGAGATGCCGAGAATTTATAGTCAATGGATCGGGAATTCAGTATGAAAGATTATTGATGATTCGAAAAAAGTGTCTATAGCCCAAAGACCTACGAAGGTAATTAAATATTCCTGGAATAACATGAGGCTTCCTACCTAGGTACCTAGGTACTACAGCGACTACACGTATTTAGTAGGTACTTTCCAAGGTTTTCAACTACTTTGGACTTTGACTCGGAAGAGCCCTGGAGGCATTCAACTTGAAGTTTGAATTATCACTATGTTGGCCATTCCTGCAACAGATCTTGGGACTCGGAGGTGAAAGATAACCTCGGGGCGTCAAATATCAGTAAGAGAGAGCAATGCGAAGGACTCGTAAATGCCAAATCAACTACAAAATCCATGCCTCTCATGCAATGTCAGCATGTTCGTTATGAGCAATAATGGGATTACTAGTAGTAGTGTACTGGATACGAGGCATAAATAACGCAAAACCTGACTTTCATATTTAGATTGCTGCAGATTTTCATCAATACCTAGTGAGAAAGGCCAGGCTATTTACATGAAATGAAAAGGGAAAATAGAGTAAAGTAAACCTTGGTGAGGCGACATGTGACACAATATCGTTTGGCCTCCATTTAATATGCCCAACCGCCGCATGATTTCTGGAATCTTGCCGTAATCTCTTTCATGCCTTAAAGGCGAGATAGGTTAACAAATTCTCCTGGGGCATGGTACGCAGGGACTTTCATGTCCAAGGCTGCACCCGAATATCCAAGGTCCTCGGCAGTTAAAACAGCACATTTCTCTCCAATAAGAAGGGCCGTCTATCAAAGGAAGTTTTCATGTTAGAATGTTCTTATGAAGCGACCGATAGAAGACTTACGCTGAAAGTGTTGCAGCCCACATTATCAGGGCAGATAGATAGGTCGCAGACCTTGAGACCCTTCACTCCGTGCACATTCAAACGCTCATCAACCACGCCACCGTGTGGCGCAATAGAGCTACCCTCACGTGGAGCCATGCTGCAAGTCCCGAGTGAGTGCCATGTCGTTTCAACATGACGTTGGACTAAGGAGATCATCAGCAAATTAAAATTCAGGAACTTATAAGTAGATCTTACCCCATTTCTCAATGTGCGCAATATCCTCCTTGCTATATTCAATCTCATCGCGGGCCTCGTGTTGATTTGAGTTCAGATGAGTTGAGGTGGCCGGCTTTCCAGATTCCAGAGGCTGCGACCAAGAGCCTAATGTAAATTTTATGAGTATTGGAGTTCAATGAGTAGGGAGGTATTTTATGAGCTTACCGTGTTGTATTCCAGCAGAGATATGATTTGGCCCCGCATATGCCTTGGTAGTTGCGAGATCGAGGTCATAGGCTCGAGCGGCCGAGTTGTAGGCAAACTGAGGATGCATGCCCGTCACTTCTCCGGCGTACGACCCCATTCGCCTCGCTGTTTCGCGAGACTTGATGTATCCCCATACCATGGGCGCCATGTCGCGTTTGTCGTTCATGAAGCCCGCATCGAAGTCTGGGGTATCGTAGGGGTCCGAGGACTTGATGTGGGTTGAGCCACGTGAGAATGGATATTCCTGGGGTTCCCAATTAGTATTTCGATGTCAAAGATAATTTTACATTGTGCTGTAAGATGGAAATCCATACTAGGAAGTGGAACATGGTGAAAAATTTGCCCGGGGGCATGAGCATATGGTCACCGAACCATCTGCAGCTTATTAGTGATACCATCAAAAGCAAGATTCTCTCTTTCGTCAACTTACCCAGATATAACTGAGTAATGCATGACTGGTTTATCGGGCTTGTTCTTGAAGTATGACTCCCACCCGCTATTGAACTCTGGGGTTGGCCATTTCTTCATTTCGTCCAGCTCCTTCTGAGTGGGGCGAATCTTGACACCGGCATCAATTCCATTTGTTGCTAAAGGACCAGTACCCTTGAGGTTCCACTCCTCAAATACCTTTTTCTGGACCTTGGGGTCCCCACGAATGAAATCATCAAAGGTCTCAACTTCTGGCTTCGCTCGGAAAACAGAGAAGGTGAGATAGTGATCTTGGAAGTTTCGACCTACTCCGGGAAGATTCACAAGTGGCTCAACGCCAGCTTGGCGAAGCGTCTCCGGATGACCAATTCCAGATCTCTGGAGAATCAATGGCGAGCTGAGTGTACCACCACACACAATAATTTGCTTGCGCGCCCGGAAGACTTTACGAACGGGCTTTTCGCCGCTAAGAGGCTTAGTCGGCACTGTTTCAACTCCAACTGCTCGGCCATTTTCAATAATGACCCTCGCAACCTTTGTATTGCATTTCAAGTGCAAGTTGCTATGTTGTGCTCGCGTACTGTGCACATAAGCATGGGCAGCATCGCTTCGTCGACCAGTGTCTCGGTTGATCCATTTCAACCAGTGCTCAGCACCGTGCCTATCATTATTCCAATTAGTAATTGAATACAGTGTACATATCCCGGAGTTCTTACGCAGTTTTTAAATCTTGTAGATCATCCGTGATCGGAATATCCTGCGATTCTGCGGCACGGAGAAAGTCCTGTGCAATAGGATAGGTGTAATTACCAAATGATACCTTAATGGGACCCTCAAATCCGTGAATATCCCGGTTGTTGCTGGCTCTCTGATAGGTTTCATGCTTTCTCATGAGAGGTAAAAGCTCCTTGGTCGTCCAGCCTTTTGCCTGAAAATCATCATAATCGGAGGCAGAAGCTCTGGTGTACATCTTCAAGTTTGAAACAGTAAGTAAATGCTTTCTGTAATGGTCAGGACTGGGGGTAAATTACCATGAAATTGATTGAGCTTCCCCCACCAAGGATATTAGCACAAGGTACGATAGCCCGGCGTCCATCCAAATGCTCAGATGGGCGTGAATGATAGAAGGATGCGGTCTTTGAGTCAAGCTTCATGTTTCTGGGGTATATACCAGGCCGATACACCCTGTACACATGATGAGATCTGTGTTAGTCACTGAACAAACATAACTTGAAGACTTGTGATAGACAAACCATTGGTTGTTCAAGTTGTCCTCTCCAGCTTCAATCAACAAAACCGAGAGATTATGGTCCAGATTGGCGAGGCGGCCCGCAGGTACACATCCTGAACTTCCGCCTCCACAGATGATGATATCAACTTCTTCGGGGATGGTCATGGTGATAAGCCTTTTGATGAAAAGTTTCCACGGTTCGGTACTAGTATAATTGAGATAAATCTATGAGGCCAATGACTAGGATATAAACTGACGGAAGCAAGGAAGATCCTGGGGTCTTTCTGCTCCCTTTATATCACCATATACCCCGCTTCATGCAAAGTCAAAAGGGCAAAACGACCCTCTAGATCTAACTCATTGGTAACCAAGAGAATACATATACCCCTCATGCGGGGGTCAAGTCTCGGCGACGTGGCAAGACAATTTGAAGTTCAAGAGGGCGTCAGCACATGCCCCGTTCGCATTTTGAAAAGTCCCGAAGGTGAATTCAAAAGGAACCTTGGAAGGTTTGTATCAATCGGCCCTAGGTATGTGAAAAATCATCTCAAAGTTGCTGAAGCTATTAATAATACAATATTCCATCGTCAATCAATTATCTGGAGTGATACCTATGTATATATAGAAACTAGATTTTTCATCGGTTTTTGGCACCCGTAATACTTCGACTTATACCTGACAATACTTCTTTTCGTTTCGCCTTCCTGTATCAAGGACTTTTCCCCACAGTAAGTACCTGAGCTCATTAATTAGGGGATCCATTGCGGGGACTGCATTTGCCACCATTTGGGGTGCATACTAGTAGGCACAAATTGACCAATACTAAGCCTGTTTACTTCCGTTCTTTTAAAAACTAGTTGATGACTGCCTGGATAATACTGGGCTTGGGTAGGAACAATATAAATTTAGATAACGGAAGAATAAATAATATACATAGAAAAGTATTTCTTACAAGGTTCCATATGCGCCTTCCACTAGCACTCTCGGGTTTTCCATTAATCGCTGCATTTGGGGTAAACCGATTTTTCCGGACAGAGCGCTTTTTGACATCGAGGTCCACGGGTGCTATTTGATAGATGAATGATATGCAATGTCACTGAGTATTGATTCTACCAATTTTCATGCTCCCATATGATCCACGAATTTTGATATCACGTTTCTATATCTCCTTGTCTAGGAGTCTATCGTGGCTCTTCTTATTCCATAGCTCTCGTAGGCCCCAAGTAAAGCGGGGAACCTTGCGAGGGAACATACTACAAAACTTGATCGAACACCAATCATCTCAAAGTAGACTTAGTGTACCGTTACTGAGATACCTTTCTAGGCAATACTCGATGCTGGTCTTCTAGGTCTGGGGTATCAAACAAGTCGTCTCACATAACTATGTGGGGTGTGGGGCATGATGCGGATCCGCTTCTACCGACTGGCGTGCCGGTGATTTTCAACGTTCAAGTGGGGAGACTAAGGGTTCTCCGACCACTTAATTGATAATCATTGGTATTTTCGGGCTTTATGCTTGAAAATCATCAAGGGCACTTATCGGTTTGGCCTACGAGTTTTGACAGGCTGTGTTTCATGGGACCCGCCTTGCAGAGCACGGAAAATGAAAGCTATTATTCTTTTGCATCATTGAGTGGAGCTGCGAAAGTGACAAAATACTGCAAAACAGTATTGTCACTTAGCCCCGCTCTGTTCTGTAAGACTTTCGTTCGTAAGTATTCTAACTGAAGTAAGCGGAGAGTCAGATCTTTCATTGGTGCGACAAGAAATTCCGCTCATTAGACAGTGAAACTCGCCTTGGCAGCTGCTCTAGACCAATGTCCTGTATTTCCCCGCTCATAAGTACTCCTTTTGAATGAAGATAATAATGTTTACTATTAGTATTTGACAGTTGGTCAATTTCTGAGACGAATGAATTAAACTCTTCCTTGAATTTGGTCGTGAAGGTGTTCTGAAATGAAGTGAATGGCAGTTGATCGGCGTAGCATCATTACACGTTTTATGTGCCAGTTAAACGGAGTTAGACAACTTGAACCTTGGAATGAAGGGGGAAAATAGGGTTTACAATTGAAAGCCACAGAAAGTATCGCAACTTTTCGGCCGAAGCAAAACTACTAGTAGCAGCGGAGTACATATTTCGAGAAAACTCACGCCCGGGTGGCCCATCTGCTCCGACCAGGTTGTGGTGCACAGGTGGGTAAATATGACTTTTTTTTGGAATAAAAGCCTTTGATAGGAGATGTGTTCTTCCTATAATAAACTTTTTCGCATCGTCTGGCTAGTTTAAGTAGTCGTTCTATAATGCAGGAACGCTGCATCGGTCGATTATATCTGCCTTTGCCAGGTTCATTTGGAATCCGCGGCCAAGACACCAGAAAAATAATTCAGCAGATACTAGCACTTATCACGCTACAATTCATCGACTGGTCCCGTGTGAACCGTCCTAGTCCTCAGAATATTGTAAAGAATAGCGATCATAATCATGCCAAATGTACCAACCACACTATGGCTAGCTTGTGTTTTCTGCTGTCACGGCCCTCTCTGTAGGCCAGACTGAAGAATATCAAAGACATAGCCAGGAACCTTGGAACTTCTGTCAGGAAATCCAAGGAGCGAGGTCGTCAGAACCCAAAGTTTGGCCGAGGAGTGTTACCCCTGAAACTCTCATCTCCACCGGAGAACAGGCAAGCAGACAGGAAAGACCAGTGTTGATTACCCCAAGAATCACACATGACCTTTCTAAATACGGCTCAACCTCTTCCGTTACTCAAGAGAAGGCAACATCTTGATAGTAATCTGAAACAACGTGTATGGGGATCCTAAGAGCGCGTTGTGGTAATCCTTAGGGTCTCGGCCCGATAACCGGGAAACTCATGACGGCGTCGGCATCGACCATTTAAGAGATGAAATTGATATGAAACTCCTGCATTGTGACTAGAGTCTATAAACTTAGCTCATACGATTTCCGGCCACCTCCGGACAACCTGAGTGGCCATCACAGTCAAAGTAACGGATCTCGCTCCCCGCGATTGGCCCCCACGGACATCCCCCGGAAAAGCGGGGAAACTCTCGGTAGATGGAGACGACACGGCCAGTCCCCTCCTGGTCTCACGCGTCAACCCGAACTCCTCACGTCACGATCGCCCTGTGCCATCGGCGTGAATCTGCTACTCAGACCTCGGCTGCCTCTTTCCTTCTCTGTCACTCCTTTCCTGGTCGTGGACATGGTCCTCAAGGCGTGCGACCGGTGCCACTCCGCGAAAGAAAAATGCACCTTCGCTGACGATAGCCCACAATGCACGCGATGTCGACGCTTAAAGCTATCGTGCTCCATATCTCGGCGCAACAGACGCATCGGACGACGGCCCGCGGCAAAGGCCTTTCCACATGGGCAGATGCAGGTCTGGAGCGCCGAGATTCCTGGACATCAGGATGAGTCGTCCGAGTCCAGCGATAATCGCGACAGCTTGGCCCCCAGCACCCCCAGTGTTAGCTTCAAGTCTCGATCACCATCGAGTGCCTCGGATGTGGCTTGGACGCCTGTTCATGACGATGGCATGTCATTAGGGCCCGAAAAATTACTCGCCTCACCGACCAGTCTGCGCACCATGTCCGATGCGCTCCGCACTGTGAGCAATGTTGAACAGTTCGCGGTCATACATATGCCCTTCATGTGGGGTCCCAGCTTTATTCCAAGTGGTCAAAAGGCCATTTATACCATTCTCTCCATGTCCGGCCCGACATTAACCGAGGGGTATCTTGCATTTCTGGGCCTGATGACGCGCTATCAGAGATCCCTGGTAATGCGACAAGATGAGCCAGACATGTCAAAGGCCGCCATGGGCCTACAACGCTTACGAAGCGTAACCATCTCGCATGATTACGATGCGGCCTGCGCCCTCTTCCTGGGGCAGACCATGTACGTTTTCAACGTACTCACCGCCCCCTATTCCTCCTCTGCCCACTCCATTGTGCGAAGTGCGCTCATGTCAACAAAACAATGGATACCCCGATTGATCCAATTTCCCATCATGGACACTATCACGATGACACCGATCCTGATCGATACGGTCGAATGTCTAGCACATCGCGAGATTCCCATAATACGACTGCCACTAGACACCGGTCGCGTGATCATCGATCGCTATGCTGGTCTATGCGCCACACTCCTTACTCACCTATATGATCTCTGCGCATGGAGCCATACGCAAAAGCGAGAAGTCCGCGATACCGCCTCTGATTCACCCTCACAGGCTTATGAACAGCTCGCGGAAATTGAGGAACGCATACAACAATGGAGACCTCCATCGCCACCTCATCTGTACACTGATTTTGGACAAAATGAGGTTCTAGCGATGGTTACACAGGCAAACACATATCGATTAGCAGCTCTATTAGTGGTTCATAGGTTGCGATACCCCCTTGGAGTTGAAGATGAAGCCGCACATTTCCTTGCCAACAGCATATTTTCCGAATTGTCATATTTTGTGAAGAACGACGCGATGAAGTCGACGGCCTTGCCCATCGTCTTTCCCATAACGCTAGCAATGTTTGAGGTGGAAGGCCCTGGTGAAGAGTTGCTGGACAAGCTGGCTGCCTTTACTGTTCAGAATATGAGTGCAGTCAGGCTTCGAGGGTTTGTGAACCAGGTCCGAACAGCGCGACAGTCGGGTTATGGGGGTATCTGGTTTGAGTTGGTCGATAGTCAACTGCATGTGGCAATGCCCCCTTAAATGTCAAGGAGGGCTCCGCCAAGATAAATACTATTTTAATCTCCATTAATCGATGTCAGCCTGAACATGAGGTCATATGGGGCTGCCCGCCAAATTCTGGATAGAACCGGATATTAAAGTAGCCAAACAGAGCCTGCTAGTTCTTCCACTAGTACTCGGAGACAGCGACCGAGTTATCCATCGTGTGATCATCGGACGCTAAAGGAGACTAAAGAGGGAGGATCTGTCCGGGACAACGTTATGTCAAACCTTCGGCTGTCCCGGAGATGCCCAAAACGGGTAGCAAAATGCCGGGCTCTCCACTCCGAGCGATCTTGATGTGCGCTGCCCGTGCGCGACGGCTTGCCTATGGCTGCGTCTAACCTTTTTGAGCAGGAACTGTCCGGATTTCTACAGGATTTTTGACTCTTGTTGATGCAAGAAGCGACCATTCTAGACCATGCTTGTCAAAGCTTTATTATCCCTGTCTCCCCTCATTCAGATTTCGCGGGGTTGAACCCAAAAATTAAATAAAATAACGCGGGGTGTCTTTCATCCTTTTCTCGCCAATTACTTTTCGTGTCATACAGTGTACCTGAGGGTTTCCAAGTTGATCTTATTCAAGTTCAGCACAGCCTGAATGCCTATACCGCTGCTATCCTCTATGGATTGATCACATTCGGTGCAGAAAGACCCTCAAGCATCTGACCTGGGACGCTGCTACTCATCGCAAGGAAGGTAGCTGAGTGAGACGAATAATCCCCGGAGTAAAGAAAGGAACAAGAGCTAGCAACAACAAAGTCTTACTATGGATCAAAGACAGTCCAAAAGGTATGCCCATTCGATCCTGTAGAAGCCCGCTTTCTGATCTAACTATTCTAGACGAAGAATGGACTATCAGTGTTCGCCGTCGACTCCACCTGTGGCCCCCCCAGCAGTGGGCACATGGGAGTCCCTCGGGCAATCTCTATCCAATTAACACTAATGTCCGGCATTTGGGACTCGATAACGGCAATATGTCCTTCACAGGACACGCGGCGGCCAAATGGCCTGGAACTACTATGGACCCAGCCCGTAAGTCGTCTCAACAGCACCAATCACTCATTCCCACCTGGCCCAGTCCGACTGACATCTCTATAACCGCAGACTTGCATTCCGATTCCTTCAACCCTATAACTTTAATTGGCTCTCCAGAGGAACATGTGTGGGACGCCTTTACAAACCTTCACTCTGAGCAGTCTACACCTCCAGGAGCTGTGAATCCAGAAGGCTTTCTACCAAGCTTCATCAAGCCTCTCCCAGTAATAATGAACCAAGATACTATCGAGTGTCTCCACATAAATGGCACATTTGCGCTACCAAATGTTCCACTCCAGGATGCTCTCCTACAGGCATTTGCAGAGTGTGTTCTTCCTTCCATGCCAATCGTTGAGTGGCAGCCTCTCGTCCAAGCCCTCCATGGAGCACATGGAAGCCATGGCTCGATAAGCCTACTTCTATATCATGCCATTATGGTCTCGGCGGCAACTTTCGTTGATATACGCTATATTCTTGACGCCGGGTACACGACCAGACAGGAAGCTCAAGAATCATTCTTCCAAAAGGCTAGGGTAAGTCTGAAGAAGCACATTCAAAAGCCGAACCCCTACTGACTTGTTTACATAGCTCCTCTATCAAGCCAATACCGAGACAGATCCCTTGACTATTATCCAAGCATTCTTATTAATGACATACCGACTCAACACAACAGACGGAGATGACAGCCGCAGTCTGATCGGAATTGCAATTTCAACAGCACTATCCATCGGCCTTTTCCACGACATTTCACAAACCATAAACCACCCATATCGACCAACTCTCTGGAGAAGAATCGCCTGGTCCTGCCACATACTGGACTGCCAAATAGCCCTCCGGCTCCGCCGCCGACCAATTATCCAACGCGCCGACTTCTGTCACCAAATGGTCTTAGAAACCGACTTTGACCATCTCCAAAATCTCGCCACACAAAGCCCAGGAATACCCCCGGACACAACCCTCTCCCGAAATTTCTCTGCACAAAGGGAACTAGCTCTCATCTTCATCGCGAACGCTAGACTATCAGTCTGCATCCGGAACGTGCTCGACATTCAATGTAAAGAAAGCCAACTCCGCTCTTCAGTCTCACCAACAACACCAACATCATCCACAAGCGACGACTCAGACTACAGCAACAGCATCTACATCTCCGAGCGAATGCTATCAGAGTGGGCCAACGCGCTCCCAAAATCCTGCCAGACGAATCCTTCCGAGCCGCAAGCCATCGACGAAGAACCCGCCCTGACTGTGCAGCGCAGTCTCCTCCACATAACCTTCTATACAACCATCGCAGTCTTCCACCAATCACGACTGTTCCCGTCCTCAAATTTCTGCGTCCAGCACGCCTCCCAACAAATCACGAGTGTGGCCTTCGATTTATACCGGAGGGGCTTGCACAGTCGTTTGCCTATTGTCGGAGTAACGGGTATCCTGGTCGCGCTAGTAATTCATATTTCTGAAATGAAGGCCCCGCCTTCAATACAAAAGGATCAGGCTACACGAAATTTCCAGCTCGGTCTTGAGATCATGGCGAATCTGAGGGATGTTTATTCCGAGGCTAATCGGGTTACGTCGTGGGCGCTGAAAATTATACAGTAAAATGGTGGATCCACGAGGTTGGAATCATTGTGTACTAATTACTATATTAATCGAATCGTATCTGTATCATTATATTTTTTTCATTTTCAGTACAACGTAATAATCAGCTCACTGCACGATTTAAGACTCGGATTAGGACTTTTCAAGACCTGGTACATGACAGCCGATAGCTGCCAAGGGGGACGAAATTATGAAATAATGAACGGCCTACACCGCCTTCTCCTATATCTATATTTGAACCCACTCTTTCTCCTCCTAATAGAGTTCTCTAGTAATTACAACTACTTTTTCTGCTTGGACACGGTCACTTCAATTCCTGTGGCGGTGTGGTTGTAATTTTCCGAGGTTTGTATACTAACTGGTGGCCATTGCCTACGCGTACCTACTAGGTAGTAGTTAGTTAGTTACTCGTAGCTACCTAGGTACTACCTAGTAGCTTATAAAAAGTAGCTCTTGCCTACTTAGTAGCCATCGATCAATATTTTGTATGCAAAAGGTAGGACCAGGATTCTGCCCAGCCAGAATAATTTCGTCCCCGTGGCCGCTATCGGCTGCCATAACAACGGGCACTCGGAATTACAAGTGAAAAACATGAAAGATGGAAAGGTCACAAGATCAGGCATTAAAAGAAGCAAAGAAATAATCAAAGTAAAAAAATCATTAAAAGAAAGAACTCATCAATGTAACACAGTGAAGAACCACCTAGTTGTACGAGTAAGGTAGTATAGATCTCGGGGCATAGTTCGGGAGATTACCGGTATCCCACGTGGCACCGGATATCTCCGAAGTGGATTAGATTCAACTTCATCCCTAGGTGGCTTATCACGTCCCCAGTACTAGTTCTCATTCTGATCTCTCGTCCACACCGTTCACTCCCTTAGGCTCAACGACACGACGAAAAGATGATCAAATTGTCCGAAATCGCAAAAGGAAGAGCACGTGGCTCATAACATACTAGTAATCTCAGTCAATGTTCCAGACCCCGACTGTCAAGACATCATTATGCTTTTTTCGCCTCGGTATCTCTGCGCATTTTGTGTCTTCGAAACATCAACAATTTAGCACCCAGACATTCCCCTTCGATATGACCCCCTCAGCTCATCAAGCGTCTGCGCAGTAAGCATTCGACCTCGAATGATCCGTGCCTTGTCTTCCTCGCTACTATCAACCGGATCGATACCCATGAGGGCAAAGTGGTAGTCCGTTATTTGATAAGGTGCCTGACAGATAATCCAGCAACCATTACAGCGGTATAAGGGCAGAGGTCTACTCCGACCCAACGGCACGGTGGGAAAGAGGGTAGTGATCATGCCTGGATGTTTCGAGGGAGGAGGATTCGGCGCGCGTTGGGCGATCTGTGACGGGTCCAAAGTCAACGGGAGCAGCTCGGCTGTTCTCAGATATCGATACAGCCGGGCATAGGATATGTCTACGATGCTAGCATCAGCATGACGATCGGGAGAGATCAACTCTGCTGCCGCGACGAAGTTCTGGGCAGAGCCCCATTTCTGCATGGCGGCCATGATAGCACTCTTCACTGTAATGAATTCGGTCTCTGGCTGGGTTGGATCGGGTTCTCTTCCTCTCCAGACGCGCGCGTTTGTGAGGAGAATGGGTAGAGGATCGAGATCGACGTCTTCGAGGGCAAAGGCCGCCTTTGCTTCGGAAAGGTGGAGGCCCCAGTATGCTTGATTGAGCTCAGCACAATTCTCGCAGAGTCGTTCGCAGGTTGGTAGGGAAAGAAGCGTTCCTCTGTCACCGCAGGAACGGCAATATTGGAACCGAAGCTCTTGACAGACGGTGTGAACTGAGTGTAGATACGAGAGACCGGTGACTTCAAGCAGTGGGAGGATGGTAGGTGCCACTCTCTGCAATAGGCGATACTCCGATTGTTGGGCGGCCACAAAGAGGGCATGAAAAGATGTCCTGCCAAAGTTTTGGAGCGAGGTGGGATCCAACAAGCCGAGGATGTGGTCGATGAGTTCGGGTGGAAACATGTTGAGAATCCCGAGAATATATGGAGGTTGTACAAGGACATGGCGCCGAAGTCTTGACGTAGCGGATTGGAGATGAAGATCCCTCACCATCGGATCCCTAGTCAGATGCGCGATAACCTCTTCATCCTTCCAATATTCGATGTCGGTGAACTCGTCCCAGTCAGAATCGTCCATCCACTCGTCAAAGTTCGCGGCGTCCCAAGCATTTGAAGAGTCGGTCATTGTTGATAAAGGTAAATGGGTCCGAGTCAATTGTGGGATAGAAGGACAAGAGAGGCCCTAGGGGTTGTTGATGAAGGTGCAGAAGATGAAAACTAGAAAATAGGATGAAGATGGAATGAAGAGTAGGAAAGGATGGGAAGAAACACAAGAGGATTCCCAGTGGGAAGGCACGAGGCACGAGGCAGCACTCGAGGAAGGAGCGATCCTCCTCCTCTTCTACTATACCTATCTAGGTATACTACTACTATAGAGTCTACTTTATTATCATCATGTTATAATAATATTCAAAGATCCACATAATACATTGCTGGAGGCCATTCAACCATTCCAGTGCTCAACTCTTTACTCCACTTCCTCCATGGGATTCGCAAGATGATCCGTGCGAACAATATAGTCATCCTCATCATCCTCAACTACCCCATCAGCCATAGTCTCATCATCACCGTCTAGAGAGGTATCGGAATTCCCTCCAGTTCGGGCACCCTTGCCCTTCTTGCTAGCAGTAGCCTTGCCTTTGCCCTTACTACTGCTGATTGAGCTACCACTTGGGCTCCGAACAATGCCTCCAGGCCACTGCTTTAGACCCTTAATGCGGCCATGTATGCCTCCGGGGCCTCCTGGAAACGAGGCGTCCCCATTAACAATAGGGATTTCTGTCGATTCTCCCATACTAAAAGCCTCCATAGCCTCGGCGATTGTCTGGCCACCGGTGCCGGAAGAGTCCTGCTTGGACTTATCGACGGATTCAAAGGTTTGGCGGATTCGTTCGAAATGTTCTAATTCCTTGGCACTGTGGTTGTCATCAGTATCATACTATGATCCTCTTCCTTTCTTCCTCTATTTAGAGGAACAACTTACCTAACACTAGGAACCATTTCACTCTGAGCCGACAAGAAGTCCTCCTCGGTCACCATCACCGCCACGTCATCCGGAGTCGCGAGGTAATCGAAGAAGTAGGCCGTACTGACCGGCCCGCCGGGCAGTTGCTTGATCTTATCGTCAACAGCTGTAGATTTTCGCGTAATAGCCTTGAGCATCGCATCCGAGCACAAAGCGTACAAATCAGCACCAGTATATGTCAGAGGCAGGTGCTCGGAAACTCGATCTAGGGACAATTCCGGGTGCAGAGCGAACTTCCTCGTAAGTGCCTCCATGATCGTAGCTTGTTTGCGGTGGGTATCCGACACGCCCAGGTAGAGCATCTTATCGAATCGACCAGGTCGAAGAAGGGCGGTATCCAATAGATCAGGACGATTAGTCGCGCCGATGACAAAGACGCCGCCGCTGTTCTCCTCGCCACCATTCATTCCATCCAGCTCGGCGAGCAACTGACTGACAATACGATCCATCACACCGCCGCTATCTCCCTGGTTACCACGCTTCGGTGCAACAGAGTCCAGTTCATCGAAGAAGACGACGCAGGGACGGGCATCGCGGGCACGTTGGAAGACACGTCTCACGTTGGCTTCGGATTCACCAATATACATGTTAAGCAACTCTGGACCCTTGACGGAGAAGAAGTTAAGAGAGAACTCGGTGGCGATGGCTTTGGCAAGCAGAGTCTTTCCGGTACCAGGAGGACCATAGAACAGGATACCACTGCGCTTCTTCATACCCTTGGCAAACAGCTCAGGACGCTCAAGCGGCAGCTGAATAGTTTCGATCAGGGCATCCTTGACATTTGTCAAACCACCAACATCGTTCCAACCGACGTTAGGAATCTTGGGTGCACCGATCGAGTCAGCAAAGTTCTTTCGCGCGGCTTCGACAGCGAAATCGAAGTCCGCTTTCGTGACAGCGCGCGCACCATCTCCGCCGGCAAGAAGAACGTCTCGAACACAGACCTGTGATTCTGGGCTTTGCTTGCTGGCAGTCTCGACCAGGTTCTCAAGACGGGCTGTCCGAGCTCCAGAAGCACGTTCCACAACGTCGACCAGATCACCAGCCACCAGCGCGGCGGTCTTCAATGCAACAGTACCCAGATCCACGTCGGCAGACAGCTTGATTCCTCGTTCAGCGACGCAGTTGCGGAGAATACCCTCACGCTCTTTCTCCTCGGGGGCGCCCATCTCAAACTCGTGGGTGAACATGCTGCGGATGCCTTCTGGGATTTGTTCCACATCACTGGTAGTGGCAATTATGACTCGAGCATCACTCACAACATCGGCCATCGCCGTCACCATACGATCGGCAGTCAACACTTCGATATGCTTGATCAATAATGCAGTACAATTTGCACCACAGTGGAAAGCTCGCTCCGCTCGTGCCTTGAGGTACGCTTCTGTCTTCACGTCACCGCCATTAGCACCACCTTCAGTCAGAATGTCGTATGCATCAAGAGGAAAGGTATGTAGGCCAATGTCTGCACAAGCACGCGTTGCGACGGTCGCTTTGCCATTGTGTCTTTGCTGGGACTTCAGCAGAATGACGACGGGCTTCATTCCTAGTTGAATTGCTCGGGGACTTGTCGCCGCAGCCATCAACTCTCGGATTCGCTGCTGTAGAGGTGGGATGAAGGCCTGAGGTGGTTCTGCAACAATTCCATGGGGTGCTGGAGTCTCGCCGACAGCCTTGGGAATCGTCTTGACTCCAAGCCAATACTCCCATCCATTGCCCAGGTTTCCGGGTACTCGGCTGACATCGCTGCCGGCTTGGACCATGCGAGTGCTTGTTGGGTCAATGACAGCCACTCCGCCCCATTGATCCTCCTCGGTCTCTTCGAGCTCTTCAACGGCAGTTGGAGCTACCTGGCCCACACGGAACCAGGCAACACCAACCTTGCGGGCTTCCGAGCCATTGGAGTTAGATCCCTGGCCTAGTCTGGAAGTAATATCATCCTCTTGGGCACTATCGCCACCAGAGGTTCCAGAGAAGACCGCCCTGCCGAGTCCTTCATCCACACTGATACCGACAAGATCGCCGCTTTTCAAGATCCGTCGCCGCGACTCGAAATATTGTTTGAGTCCTGCAAAGAGGGCCGGTTGAAGCACTCTGTCCAAGGAAAGGGGAGTCGAGACCTTCAGGAGTGTGACTTCCTTGGCCAATGGCGGGTTCTTCGCCGCACTGTTCTTCATTTGATGGAGGAGACCTGGCTTCGAGGAACCATTGGCAGCCGTAAATAACATAGGGGGAGATTCTGAGATGCTTGGGGTTTTCAATGTTGCTGAGGAGCAAAGGAGGAACGAACACGGATGGTGTGAGACGCGTGGGAGCACGCTGGGAGAAACTGGAACGACGATCACCAGAGGGATTAATCGCATATCGAGGCTTCGGTGAAGGAAGACCCGGTAGACCAAACACCTTGACAGGACGCCATTCGCCCGAGTCCTCTGGGGAGTCGTTGAAGCTGCCGAATTTGAGTGAAGCGAACATGTTCACCTGCGGTTCTTCGGCTGCTTCAATTCGCACCCAGTCTCCGGAGAAGCATCCAATCTTAGCTAGAGTGCTAATATCCACAAAGATGAAGGAGTCAACATCTTCATCGTCACGAGGACGGGGGTGCAGCACTTCATTTGGTACTTGCTGTAGAAGCCCTTCAACCTTGAACACTTTGCCGCCACCACGACCAGGCCGCATAGTAGCCGATGTGAAATTGGACGCGACCGAGCCAGGAGTATGGATCCCATCCATCCGTCGTCCACCCGCTCGGGGAGTTGCCGAGGTCATAGACGACATAACACCTGAGGGTGGTTGGGGAAGCTCGGGTGCGGACAGCGAAATCATGTCTTCGAGAGAATCATCGGATGAATCGCTGACAGAGCCCACTGATCCCTCTGTCTCAGACTCCTCGGCAGCAGAAGTTGTCTCCATTTCGGTCCCGCTCTCTCCAGGCTTATCTTCGGCGGCGGAATAGAACTGTTCATTAGATGTATCATCGGCCTCATCTTCGGCCACTTGCTTGAGAAGAGCAGACCGCGGTGGGAGAGCCTGTGGTGCCCGATGACCTTGAGGGCGAGCTTGCACAAGAACGACTTTGGTTGTAGGCATCAAAAGACCCTGTGATACCGGCTCACAGAATGAGATCCTCGCTGGCGGGGCAGGAGCATAGGTGATGGGGTGAGGAGGGAGAGGGAGAGGAAGTACATCGCCGACATGAACAATGCGCTGCGCCGCCAGTGCCTCGCGTACTGCCGCCGTCAGGCGCATCTCCGCATCAGCAGCGGCCTTCTTGGAGAGCTTCTTCGTATCAGCGACCTTTCCTTTCGGCCACACCCCATTGGGCCCATGTACGTTGCCGGGAAAGCCACCACCAAATTTGTTTTGTACGTCATCGTGGTTGCGGAGTAAATGGCGCTCGACCGTTACGAAGATTGTATCGAGATGCAAGGGGGCTACGTCGAGGATGCGGATCTCCACGGCCCGGTGCGTCTGCAGTGAGTTCCGGGATGAGTCCAGTTTGCCGAGGGCCTGCAGGAACGGTTGAAGAGAGTCTGCGGAGTCGGGAAATAGAACGGTCGAATGCGATATCGGGGCGTGTGTCCTCTCAATCGACTGGATACGCACTGGGAGAATCGTCCATGTCTGATCCTCTACCGCTGACGAGGTTGCGGAATGCGGGGAAACGGCGACATACAAGATTCCATCATTGGTCGCGGCACCTATGGGTCAAAAGATAAATCGAGTCAATTTTCAATCCATTGGTGAATATATCGGCTCATTTACCGAGGTCGGAATCACTCACCCTGAATAGCTTGTTGGGGAAGAGGTCGGTCGCGAGATCCTCGGACAAGACGCCGACATTGCCGCGTAGCTGAGAATCCAGCGCCAGGCGCGCAGCAACTGGGGGCTTATTACGTTGCCTTCGCTTTGCGACTCTCTTCCGGCGCTGCTTGGGCTGCTGAGAGGCCTGCCCGTAGTGCTCGAACTCCATAGCGAGCGCGGGGGAAGGACTTCCACTTCCAATTGCCGTCGGGAAACTGCGGAGAGGTTGAAGAAAGAAAGGAAATGGAGAAAGGGTGGTTATTGAGTGATCACCAGGCCACCGAGCTCATCGGACAATCAAGAGAGCTCGCAAGCAAAGAGAATCGCGGGGAGAAGGTAATGCGCCGGAGCAGAATCCGGGGGAAGTCCAGTCAACACTCGGCACCGCCCGCCTTCGGCGTTCTGCCAGTTCCCGGAGAGCCGAGGTCCAGCGTGATACTAGTATGGAGTATGAATATCGAATATAGTAATATATTCTGATCTTTATATACTGCCCAATGTAATATCAGTCATTCTACTTTAAAAACTATCCAAGCTGTAGTATAACTACTACTAGTAAATACCTAGGTACTACTACTACTGTAGACTGATCCAGGTTGAGTACTGCCCTGAGCTTCCGCAGTCGGCCCCGGCTAGGCCGACATGTGTTGATTACCTAGGTATACTAGATCTAGTAGAATATCTCAAGAGTACTAGTACTTCACCATTCATGAATAATATTACCACTGCCTAGATAATACTCAATGGTTTCAAATTGTAAACCTTAGTTGAGACCTTGGGATCACTAGCGTGGCTCCAACTTGAGGTTATCACACCCTGAGATACTGATGCTAGTATTATTAATATATAGGTATCCCGCATCCAGGTCCGAGTCCGAGTCGGGATCATCACTGGCATGATGATCTCACTGGCAGTCTCAAGCCTAGATTCCTTACTATTCGGCACATGGGCAGGGCCAAATTTGCAAGGGGCGTACTAGTAGTACCTTCGAGTCATTTATAGTACTACCTAGGTAGGTAGCAGTCCGTGTCCCATCGAACCATTTAGTTCCAGGGCTCTACACCCGGGGAGGGGGTTGAGTAAATTATCTGTTTTATATCAAGGCTTCTAGTAGTACCACTTTCGAAATTTTGTTTGGGTTGTCAGCTGGTAGAAAGAAAGCGAAGGCAATAAATAAAGCGGCGCCCAAACCTTGAAAGTACAGGAATGTGTTGATGCCCAAAGTTCATCGGGAGCCTCTGGCAAGGAAAAGGATGACCCGGTCTTCGGAACGATTTCGATTTTGAACTGGACTTGGGGTATTCCGTGAGGTTGGCCATCACTGATTGAAGTGACAACCACTGCAATAGCCAGTGATTTTTATAGCTTCAAGTCGCTAGTAGTAGCCCTGGAGTACTATCCAATCTCATCATTGGAGTCCGCCCGGGTATGGAATCTGATGGTGGTCTCGGTCCACCAGGCATGGATTGACTCGAACACCTGTATTCCGAGACGAACGGTCGGAGGGAAATGGTTCAAGTTGTTTATTTTGGTGGTGCTGAAGAGAGGCTCCAAAATTTTCCGGCAAGGAACGTGCTGCAAGGCACAGAACATCCATGGATCCCAATCCAAGCAGGAACCCCAATGGGTAAATGCAGGCTGCAATATTAGTAGTACGTACCTACAGTATGTACTTCAGGTTGCCCTACTCCGTACTCCGTGACATCCATGGATGCCCAGGTGCATATGCCCTGAACTTAGTAACTTACCACAGATCTTTACTGTTTTTACATAGCTGAGCTGATCACGCTTCATCCGTGTCTAGATTCCACGGGCTACCATTTTAGGTTTGTTTTGAAGGTGCATGTCTTGGCAGGTATCATCAGTTCTAGGCAGCAGAGGTGCGCGGTCCCAGTCGGGAGGACTAAGCCTCACAACGGTGGCGGAGCATGCCACTTGTCAAGCATCAAGTGGACACATCCCAGGGATCTGCAACACCAACGGACACGGAGCAATCTAGGCTGCCGACGGACAAGGATACCAGGATGACTCCCCTGTTAAATGAAATCGGATACGAGAAAGTTACGAACTGGCATCCACGGGGAGCCTCAAAAATCACGTGCCAAGGCCCTGTTAGAATGTGGCAGGTGGGAATGTTCCAGTCCCACTGGAGAGTGCGGAAATGTGGGAAATGTGGGAAATGTGGACCAGATCGCTGAATGTTGGGGCGGCAAGGCTGACTTTCTGAGAACTTTTCAGAGTACGGAGTACGCCGTGCAGGGAGGGCCAGAAAAATTTGGCTACCTTGGGATGGGATAGTTCTGGGATGGCTCGAGGGTCACTCTGTGGTAAAAGAATACACCGAATATACCGGGCGCCAAATTTTGTGCTGACGACGACCACGATAGGCAGTGACTTTTCGGAGTTTTCTAACTTTTTTTTTTCCAGGGGTCCAGCAGTGGGTAAAGGGAGTACTCCGTACGGGAGATGCGGCTCTCGGAAACCTGTGGCCTTTTGTTCCGATGTTCCAATTTTGGAATAAATGACGGGGGGGCCTAGTATGGTACTTGTAATGGACCCGCGGGGGCCGGGCGATAGTACTATAAAGTGTATTTTATAATGTATTGTATGGTACCATTTCTCTCACCGCCTAATCAACCCACCTTCGCCCCCCCTCAACCCAATCGAGACTAGCGGGCCTTCGTCTATCAGGCAGACATCGTCCAACGCGGTCGCCGTCATCTTTCCCATCTCCAGTTGTCTGGTCTGTTCTTCATTCAGATTCTTGTTCATCATCAATACGCTATTGATTTATACCCATATTGCTGCTATCACCCGTTGTTTCGCTTCGTTTTGCATCTCTCATTTTTGCCTTCATCCCCAGGTCCAACCCCTCCCGAACGGGCGCAATCGAGATTGCCCTGATCGCTCTGATCGCAATACCGGCCTATCCGGCTTCGAACTCTTCGTCTGCCGTGAGCGCCGTGATATCCCATCTTCTCATTGACTCTTTGCTTCACTTGAGACTCTTAGCTGTTGAGATCTTCCATCCTGTTGCTTCCCTTCGACGTTGAAAGGGCTATCCGCTCTCTCTTTTATATAACGCCCACGGCGGAGCCTCAGCTCTGGATCAACTCGTTAGTCTCTGACTCGACCGCAAGTGACTTCTCGAATCAGCTGGAACGCGAAATCCTCCGGTGAGTCACCGCAAGATAGATCCAATCATCGGGACACATATTGTCCCACACGGTGCTTGTTGCCTGGCTGCTAACGCTTGGCCCCCATCCAGAACAAGCCCATCATGACTGCCTCTCAAGTTGACACTGGCCGCATGCACCCGCGCCGCCGGCCCAACTTAAACTCCAATCTCCCTTCTCTGAAGACCGAATCCCCCTCCGGTCCTTCCAAGATGCCTCTGCGGAAAGGAGAAACCTTCAACACTCCCACCAGTCCACCATCCAGTGATCAAGACCCTGTCCTGAGCATCCGCTCTCTGCCTCGTCGTGCCCCCACCTCGCTGGACGCTATCACTACTAATGATCAGCGCATGGCTTCCATCTTGGACCGCCTGACCCTGGCAGACTCCTCGGAGGAGAAGCCATCGACCAAATCCAAGGCTGACCTTGCCCGCTCGCGTGCTAATTCCGCAGCCGGTGCAAATGACACTGATACTAAAAAGCCATCAAATGACGATGGAAAGAACCAGTCTTCCTCAGAAAACAAGGAAGTTTCCTCCGAAGAGGCACATGACTCTGATAGTGGGCTAGGTTCGTCAATCAGTAGTGTGGAGAGCTCATCGCCCCTGACCAAAGCGAGTAAGTTGACCAAAGACTGTGGAAGAAACGGGATCAATGAATTTTCGTTATTGTTTTCGGACTATTTTCTAACATTCGACTCTTAGTGAATGAGAACATTCACGATCAATCAGCAATCACAACAACGGCTGAGTCTTTTGAGAGCGGGTCAACCCCCAGAAGACAATTGGGCCTTGCTGCCTGCAAGCACATTGAGAAATTCGTATTGATCCCCATTCTCAAGGAGCCCAAACTCCAACCCTTCCATGCTCTGGCTCGGAGCATCCCCTCTCGCATTGTCAAAAAGCAGATTGTCTGCCTACGAGATCTTGAAAAGACTCTTCTGTGGCTCGCACCGGTAAGTACCCACTCTCAATTGTCTCGTATTCACGCCCTCGAGGACTCCTCCTTGGCTCATCTTTTTTTTTCTTTTTCGCCGATAGAAGTCGACTTCCTCTCGACATGCCTATCTCAACTTCGCCGAGTTTACGATCCAGTGTTTGCACACTTCAGCCTCGCATCTCAACGACCGCGACCAGCGATTACCAACCGATCGCCCATACACTAACGGATATTTCGTCGATCTCGTTTCCCAGGTTCGCCGCTACGCCGCCATGATTCGCGCCTCCCAAGCACGGGTGCAGGCCGCCCAGGGGGAAGAAAAGAAGAAGGTCTCGATGTATGTGTCATCCGATATTTCTCCAGGAACCCGAAGCATGTACTAACGACGGATATAGTGTCTCTGAAGCGGCTCTCGAAGGTGGTCTATCGATCAATGGCAAGCCCGCGGAGATAATTGTGACCCAGAACGGAAAGCCCATCTCCATGCGCACAGGGAAGCCGATCAGTGCGGACAGCCCATTTATCTTCAAGCGTGCCATCAGCTTCGATCAATCGACCGACGAAGGCGTTCAACGTTCAATGGCCCGTCGCAAGAAAAATGCGCCTCCGATGGATATCAACCAGAAATGCAAGGACTGTGACAAGGTCTTCAAGCGTCCTTGCGATTTGACCAAGCACGAGAAGACCCATTCTCGTCCCTGGAAGTGTGCATTTGCCGGTTGCAAGTATGAATCGCTTGGGTGGCCCACCGAGAAGGAGCGCGATCGCCACATGAACGACAAGCACTCGGACACCCCTGCTCTCTTCAAGTGCAGTTTCCAGCCTTGCACATATGCCTCCAAGCGCGAGAGCAACTGCAAACAGCACATGGAGAAGGCCCACGGCTGGGTTTATGTTCGCTCCAAGAATAATGCCCGTGGCGGCAGCAAACGTGGCTCGTCTCTACAGGCCACACCTCGTACTCCGAGTGTGGGTGCTTCTACTCCCGGTTCCCGGCCCAGCGATTTCGCTACGCCTGTCTCGGGACCCAGCGCATCACCCTGCGAACCCTCGGCGTGGCCAGATCATATTCCGTTTAACTTCAACGACCCTCCTGCGCAGGCTCGCAGCGAGGACTTCCCCCCTCTCTTCGAGAATTCTCCCTTCTCCGGGACCAATACTTCGAGCAGTATGGGCAACGACTTCAGTCTGTTTACCTCGGCCAATCTCGATGCCATGGAGAACCAGTTCGGTGCCGGTGATCCAAACGGGCTCATCTCCTCCTTGTCGATGCACCGACAATCCATGAACTCGATGTCCGTGCCTTCCGCAGGATCCGTTCCTGACCTGATGGCCCCATCCATGTCCTTCGATGGCTCCCCTCTCGCGAGCAACACGGATCACGCCATGAGCTTCGACTACGAATGGAATCGCCTTGAAGCATCCAACATGCAAGAGGACTATTCGGCGCCCAACATGCAGCTTCCCACCCCCGTTTACTCTGACAACAGTGGGTTGAAGCCCGCAACGGGTGACATGAACATGGCCCAGAACTACAACTTTGCCACCCACGGCAATGTCTCTGGGCTTTCCCCCAACGCCCAGGGAAATCTGATGCTGTACTCACCCGACTCTACCGGTGCGGATGAACACATTCAGAGCCTCTACAAGTCTGCTGGCCAGCAGGGAAATACCGATTTCCCCCTTTATGACAACACCAACATGATGAACAACATGATGCATCCGAACAACCGTTACGTGGCTCGCCCCCAACAGGCCCAGCCGCACCAGCAGCAACAGCAGCAGCAACACCAGCACCTCCCTACCCCCCAACAAATGGCCTCAATGGGCTACGTGCCGACTTCCGAGTCAATGTTCCCTCCGCTCGTGGAGCCGGATCTGTTTCGCGGCATTCCCGGCTGGGAATCACAAGACATGAGCAACGATACCTGGCTGATGCAGGAGGCAGAGTACAAGAAATAGACGAGTGGTCCTTCTCAACCTTTATCATTATCTGTCCGATTTACTTGACAACATCTACGCAAGCAAACTAGGGCACGGCTGTGCCTTGCCCGAAACCTTTCGAATTTTATTGCAATCTATCACTACGTCTTTCTTTCCCTTCTCCAAGCAAGCGAGCTATCTGATTTAATTGTCTTCGATTTCAACCGCTGTTCCTTTTTCCCCAACACTCCTTTCTTCGAATCTATGAAAAGCCGAATGTGTGGTAACGGTCCGCTGCTATCCAGTGTGGATGAGGAAGGCAGGTGTAATGTTGATCTAGTGGAGAACAGTTTCATACATTTCAAACTTCTTTTCCTTGATATTTCTGCTCTCTTATCATTAGCCTTATCTATAAGATGAACGAAGCAGATCAGCTCGAACTCGTATTCGCACATCCAAGTAGATCGCATGGCCGAAACATCATTGTAGAACAACCCTAGCCGAAGACAATGCGAAGTAGAGTAGTAGATAGATGTGTCTGGAGTGAATACACGTATTTATTGGATACTGGTATTGACAATCACCCGTGTGACTCAATCCGTCAATTAGCACCAGAAATGATTGTCAATCATTCACGCCGATCCGAGAACAATGACGCGGCGCATTGAAAACTTGACCTTCTTAGCTGCAGTAGTGACTCGCTATTCTTACTTCGTAGGGCTATAGGGCTGGCGCTTCCCAGGATTTTACCTCGCCAATAGAAAGCGATGGCTATGCCAGTGACATCCGACCATCTACGTATCTCCACTCGGCGAACCTGGTGGAGATCTCGGCGCAAGACATTTGATTTGCTGATCACGGTGGGGATGTTGCTCATAACACCCCTTGGCGCATGCCAATATAGGCAACAGTTTCGAAGATTCTTAGCCTTCTTCTTGGAGGGGAAGGGAGACGAGGCTGATGATCTCGGTGGCGGTGCTAATGGGCTGCCAAGGTGGGACAGGGAAGACGAGGTAGGACGTGGTGGGTTGTGTGACTGATAGAATAGAAATAGAAATAGAAATAGAAATAGAAATAGAAATAGAAATAGAATCAGCCAGGAATACTGTAGGTATCGTCAGAGTACCAGTGTCAAGAGTCAGAGTGAGTATCAGAGAGGGATCCGAGAGTATCAAAGTGAGCGCGTCCCAACGGGTGACGACATCAGGTGCTTTCCCTCCCCGCCTTCCTTTAATTCCTTCTCTTTTCCTCAACTCTTTTCTTTTTCTGCTTGCTTTTCCTTCTCTATTTAGCATCACTACCCTGTTGATTTCGTGGTCACTCTCTGTCGCGATTCTTCATTTTTTCCCCTCCTTTCTCTCCACTTCCTTGGTCTTTTCCCAGGGCTGAGTCGGATCTCCGCAGGCAGACGGATTCCGCCCCGCAGCCTTAAGTTTACCCTCCACCTACTAGTAGCTACCCTTGGCGACTCCTTTTCTTCCCTTTTTTCAACCCACGCCTGCATTTGCACCTACATCTACGTCTATATCGGCGATCACTCCAAAATCGGCAAGATGCAGTCCGATCCCGCGATCCCAAGCGGAGACCGCGACGAGAAACAGTCCGAGTCCGGCCCGGCCCCCGGTCAGATCCTGACTGGCAAGCAGGAGCACTGTGAGATTCGCCCCGTCTAGTTCGACCCTTCAATCAACCTGTACTACTTCTGCACAATGTGCGCAGTGCCCTTTTAACCATGACTAACCCCATCGGTGTGATCCCTAGACCTCAAGCGCGAACTTATCGCCCTACAGGTGCGGAGTGAAATCACCGAACTCAACTCCCCCACCGCATTGCAACGATTCGGTGCCCCATTTCGATCGGAACTCGGCGAGGTCGCACCCATTGACTCCGAACTGCCTATCCTTCGCTACATCTTCGTTAACCATGTTCGCAACTTCCCCTTTCTCGACCAGGCCAAGGAGAAGGAGTTCTGGCAGGATAAGCTACAAGTGGTACGTTGTCCCTTGTCAGCGGGTACAGACAAGCTGGTTGAGTGATTGGTTAACTGACTGACGGCAATGGATGGTACAGTTCCTGGAATCATTTGCCAATAAACATGTCTCATCCTCGGAAGACCGTTTGGAGGAGACAAAGCGCCGGAAACTTGCGCGCAAGTGCGAGAAGCTCGTTGAGCTGATGATGGTATCCGGTGTACCGACTGCGTCCGGATATGAGGAGCGTATTCAGTTCTCTGAGATGGAGGTGGTCGAGCGTGGGGCCAATGACAATGGGTTACTGGTGAACATGCCTGAAGGTCATGCGATCAATGGATGGGACGTGAATGTGGCTGCGGTCCGAGTGACATCTGTCAAGCGGACCGTTCGGTACCACCAGCATGCAGTGAGTTTCATGTCTAACCTTTGACAAGTGTACGACCAGTGAGTATTCGGCACATAGGCTAACCCAGCGGTTTAGGAATTCATTCTTCGAGTACGTCGCGGCAGTCAAGACGAGATCCACATCGGCAGAAGATATGGCGAATTCGTCAAGCTGCACCGAAGATTGCGCACCGAATTCCCCGGCAAACATCTCCCTCCTCTCCCCGCAAGAATAAGACCTCGACAAGTTCCAGCTGGTTCGGCAGTAATGGAGAAGACGACGCTTCTTCCGTATCATCCCTCTCCACGCAGGACGCCAGCGTCGCCGACGAGGCCCCCGCAAGTTCATTCTCAGGCCGAACATTGGCCCCCGGCGGTCATCGGCGATCAATCTCGCGAGGATCGACGCGATCTACTAAATCTCCACGGGGTTCATCAACAGACGTATCACGGGAGACCGTCTTGTATCGTGAGGAGCAGCGTGTCTCCTTACGTGCATTCATTCGCACCCTGTTGCAGAATAAGCGCATTGCCGAGTCCAAATCCATGGAGGAGTTCTTGACTGCCAAGCCAGTCTCGCTGAATGAGGAGGAACTGCTGGATGTGGACAGACGCAAGGCAATGGATGCAGTCAGAATCGAGGAAGGAAGGAGATTCTACGAGATTGCGCGGCAGCGCGCTGCAGAGCTAGATGTGTATATGGAGAAATTCCGCCGGGATATTGTTGAGAGCAGTAAGTTTTCTCTCCTCCGACAAGTGCAAAATTGCGCTCCAAATAGACACACCCAACTAACCTAACCACTCGCAGATGGTTTGACAAAGCTTTTCTCCGAAATTCGCGAAAAGTCATGCATTGCAGAGCTCAGCCCACAATACCAGAAATTCGCCGAATGGCTTCGAATTGAGGTTGCCGCAACCGTCTATCATCTGTTCCTCGCGGAGGATAATTCCCCAGAACTCTTTGCACAGGCCAAGCGGATCCACGGTCTTGTTCCATACACTCTCATGAAGAATGTTATTCGCATCGCCAATCCCGCTGCGGTCATGTCTGGCGTTTTGGACCTCTTCTGCGCTCAGCCCTTTGGCTCAAGGTCATTACTGCAACGAATCTTCTCCCTGACTCTCAACGACAGCATCAAGGATTTCCAAAAGTCGATAACCTCGCTGACAGGCAAGGTCGACGATACCGTTCTCGCAGAGAAGCTGAAGAACTTTGTGGATGCGGACGAGAGCATCAAGAACGAGATTCGAGAGGAGGCCGAATCAGAGGATGCTGATATCATCGTTGCTATTCTCCGCTCCGAACTGATCTCTCCAGAGCTCAACGCTGAGCAAATCGGCAAGGTCTTCAACGGGTGGGTCGCCTGGAACAATGCTGTAGACAATGTCGACGTGGAAATGCAGCAAGGAGCCCAATGGTTCGCCGATATGAAGCAGCTTCTCAAGTTGTACACTCGCCAACGCGACAAGGCGATGATGATGAGCATCGTCGAGGAACCAACCACGCTTCAACTGTTCCGCGATCTCTTCACCATCTTCTACGAGCCGCTGGTCCGGGTATACAAATCCGCCAACGTGTACAGCAGTATCACCGATTTCGCCCTATTTGCTAACGATGCCATCGCCGTTATCGAGAGTGCCCAACGCCAGGATGCTTCGGCGGATCCTAACCAGACCGTCCAGGCCTTTATCGACCTGTGTGCTCGCCACGAGGACAACTTCTACAAGTTCATCCACGAGGTTCACATCCACGACAACGGTCTGTTCCAGTCACTTATGGGTTGGATCGAGGAGATCCTGGAATTCCTGCGCAAGGGCCCGAAGGCTGGCGAGGGCGGCCGCCTCGACATGAACGCTCTGTTCCAAGGCGCTGTTGGCGTTGGCCAGATCGACAGAGACATTGCGCTTGTGGAAATCAACGCGCTCATCAAGTGGCAAGAAGACCGCAAGAGGTGGCATTTGAACAAGACGCGCCAAAAGATGGCTGCTGAGGGAACTGGCAGTGAATCAATTCCGGGGAGTGCCAGGATCAAGAGCAGCGACTTTGGTCTGGACGAGGTATGTGCTGCAAGACCGGCCTTGGAAATAACATGTATATCTAACCCAACCCAGGCCGATATTGAAGATCTCGCCATCTCCGACGCATCCGACTCTGATGAAGATGAAGCTGCTGACCAGGAGGAATTGGACGACCCAATTGCCGTCGAGCGTCGCCGTCGTTCTAAGAAACAAGATCAGCTGCGCCGCACTGCTGGCGAACCCGTCAAGCCGGAGGTAACGGAGATTCTCAAGTTGACCGATCCGTTCGTCGTGATGCTGCGCTATGTGTTGGCAGATTAAGTCAGGCGAGGTCAACAGTCTGCTTCTACTTTTGCTTCTGCCTCTACTCTGCAATTCCCCATTTGCGTCTCGCCGTCTCGCTATAGCCTGTCCATCTGCACTCAACATCCATAGCTGTCTGTTCAATCCACATCACTTGATACATCGCATGTTTGAATTGATTCCCCGTTGTGTTATTCACTATTTTCTATTAACTATTCTCTTCGCTGTGCATGCTTTGCCGTCCCGCTCCATCGCTGGGTCAGGACTTGTGAAATAAACGGGAGAGATTGAAAGACTAGCAGTGACAACCCACCCGAAATCCCCAACAATATACCAGATAGAAGGAGAGGGCGCAAGGGTAATAGAATCGGAATCTAACTATGAATGAACCGAAAAGAACCAGCCAAATCAGATCATAGTTTCCTCATGTACTCCCGTAACACCCCCATCGCCCTCCCATCCCGACACCACTGATCCCCCTGATCCAACGCAGTCAATCCCTCCGCACAAGTAAGTTGCGGATCGGCACCCGCCTCCAGAAGCAGCATAACAAGATCATCATAGTCCTGCAAAACAGCAATATGAAGCGGCGTCTGGCCGGAACTATTTCTCGCATTGACATCCGCGATTCGGGTTCCACCCCGGCCTGGCCCTGACGTTGTACCCAAGTCAGATCTAGACCGCAGCGTCTGAAGTAGAAGTTTCACAACATCCACGTGATTCCGCTCAACGGCCGCATGTAAAGGCGTGGTACCCGAGACATCAGGATTCAATAGATCCACCCTTTCACACTCGACAAGTGCAGACACCATGCTCTCGTCACCGGCTATAGCAGCCAGAAGAAGCGGACACTGATGTTTCCATGAATCGCTGAGATTCGGATCCGTCTTTTCCCATCCAAGTAGATACCTCACGACAGAGATGTGGCCGCGCTCGACAGCAATGGAGAATGCGCCTCGACCGTGGTGTCCGGCCCCACTGTTACTACGGCTATGGCTATGGCTATAACCATGACCATGACCATGACCATGACCATGACCATTGCCATTGGTGTGTCCATTATTATGCCCCGCCCCGACACCATTAGCAACCCCATTCCCCGCACCCATCGCCATCGCCATCCCCGTCCCCAAACTTACCCCATTAGGATCCAGCCGATCACCAAAGTATTCAACCAAATACTCCACAATCTCAACATGTCCCGAAATAGCCGCATAGAAGAAAACATGCTGACAATGCGCCGCGCTCTCGTCCCCATCGAGAATGAACCTCAAATGCGTCGCGAGGATAAGATCAACCTCCACGCCCCGCTGAGACGCCCTCGACAACGCCGTCGCGCCCTGCGTGTTCGAGACGCGCGGATCAACGCGCGAGCCCCCCCAGTAGGACGGGGATCATATCTGGGCGGAGCGTGACGGCGATCATGAGGGCTGTATCGCCGAATTTATCTTGGAGATTGGGGTCTGTGCGGTCGTCTTTTAGGAGGGCGCGCACGATGGCTGCGTGGCGGTGCTTGATTGCCCATGTTATGGGTGGTCTGATGTATTTCCTGTCTCGAGAGTTGGGGTTTGTTTCTGGGTGGGTGAGGAGGAGGGAAAGAACGGGGAGACTGCCATGGTAGGCGGCTAGCATGAGGGGGGTGCAGCCTTTTATTAGGGTGTCTTGGTCGGTGACGGTTGTTGGGTTTGCGCCGGCGGAGAGGGAGGATTGGGCTATTTGGGGATTGTTGTGGATTGCGGCCCAGCAGAGGGCTTGTGAGGATTGGCGGGCGTCGAGTTTGTAGAGGGAGGGTTGGAGGAGGGAGGTTGTTGAGTGGTTTAGTTGGGTTAGGGCGTTTAGGGCGGGGAGGTCGAGGTAGCTTGAGATTTGGAGGAGGATCTCTGAGGGGAGGTGGGAGAGGCTGCAGGGCCCCAGTGTTTCTGGGTCATCCATGGTGGATGGGGGGATTTGGGAGCATTGGATGGTGTGAGAGGGTGGTTATGAAGGATTGTGGCACGGCGATGCTGGAGGTGAAGCTGAAAATTAGGGCGGGGGGCGGTGCGTGGAGGGTGGGTTCATGCGTGGAGATGCGATGGCGATGGCGATGGCGATGATGATGGGAGAGTCGGTGTTGGTGTCAGTGACAGTGATGGTGCTAATGCTGGCGCTAATGCATCCACGGACTCGGGAGTATCCGACGGGGCCATGTTGAAAAAGGATAAGGTGTGCGAAGGGAGAGTTGTGGAGTTGTGCAGTTGGAGAGATCGACGCATGTCCCATGGATGTGGGGAACCCTTGGAATTGCGGCGAAACGAGACACTGGCGAGTTTCAGACCTGTCGCAATGGTAGGCAGCTGCATAGATTGAGGCTGTGCAGGGGTATTGTAATATTATATATGGAGTATATTGAGCTATGCTAAATATAATCATATCTGTCTCTACTAGCTATCCCAGGATGTGTGGAAGTATAACTTTATGTATCACGTGCATCTATGCATACAGTACAGTGGATATGTATGTATCATAAATTACCAAATGATAGTGTATTGATGTATGGTATTGTCACCGATAAGATACGGTTTCCCCGGAGATCTCAAGTTCATCGACGGAATTGGAACTCTCCATTGTTCACACTCCACTCCATTCTCTACTCCCTCTTTCCAGTAGCTACTGGGTTTGACCGGTAGTGACTGGGGACCACTGCATATACAACATGTACTCCCCCAACAAACCACCAAAGTCCCCCTCCTCCGTTCGCTTGAAAGGCCTCTTCAAAGAGGGCTCATGGTATTGCGACTGCCAGGAGCGGGCTCCCGCTATCAAGCTTCAAGTTAAGAAGGAGGGCAGAAATCACGGCCGCTACTGTATGTGACATACTCCCACCTTATCTTACCCAATTAACTAAACCAACCCATCAGTCTATACCTGCCAGAAACCCCGCGCGCAACAATGTGGCTTCTTCTTGTGGAAAGAGGAGGCCGAACCCCGCGAACAAGCCGTCGTCCTCTCCAACTCGCGATCCGAAGACGACCTGCACTATCCTACCCTCCCATCCACGCCCACAACACCCAGACGCAGTGGTCTCCTCACTCCACAAACCGAGCGCCGCTTGATCGACATCCCACCACGCCATGCGCACACCTATTCAACCCCACAGAGCGCAAAGGCACGGATGATGGCCGAGGATACCGACGAATTCGGTTGGGATGATAATACAGACGACAATAACGAATTGAGTGAATTGACGGAGCTCTCCACAAGCCAGTCAACAGAGCCCTTTCTCACCCAACCAAATTGGAACCCAGACCCGCCATACAACAAAGCGGCCCGCACTCCAACAAGTTCATCGCCAGGAAAGCGCAAGCTATTTGACAGCTACAACGACCATAACTCCTCGACTAGCAACTCTTCCATCCTCGCCACTCCATCATCTACCCGATCAAACCGTTCGATCGGCTCAAGTCGCATTCCACCGTCGTCAGCAGAGCTTTGTATGACCCCAACACCAACAAAGTACCGAGACGTCATTAGCTCCGCCAATATGCCCGACATGTCCGATTTAGCGGCGGAGGCAAGTGCAATCATGGAGCAATATGATGTGGTGCTTCCGAACAAGGCCCGAGACGATCTGGTTGAGCTGCTTAATCGACATAGTTTAAAGTTGCAGGGCGTGAATAAAGGTCGTGAGGTCACTCGGCAGGCCTTGAAGAAGAAAGAGGATGAACTTGCGAAGAAGGATGGGGAAATTAGGCGGCTTCAGGAAAAGATTACCAGTCTCCAAGCGCAGAAGGAGATGGATCAGAGTATCATTGATTCTATGAGTACGTAGTGCCCGTTGAGGATGGGTTGATATCCACATGCTCTGGTTTGAAAGGTAGTGGATGTTTATTAACGATTTTACGACACATATCACGACGGTTTTGGCATAAATGATTCATACTGTTAGTATATCATTAATAGCACTTCTCACTATGGCACACCTTGGTTACTGGGGTCACGGTAAACTAGGAGTACACATCGCAGCTACTCCGATCGATACTCCAGACCAGGTAGAAACGAGAATTTTGAAAATTAAACTAGAATAAACTTTTCCGATGAAGTCTAGACATAGTCGCATAGTCTAGTCAATGCTGATATAAGCCCATGGTAATATGTACCACCCAATGAGTACCCCAAATGCTTGTCCATCCATGGATGCTCACCCAATCAGAAATGTCCTGCACGATCAATCACGATAACATCACGTGCCGATAAGAGGCGCAATTTGTCGGAGATCCACCAGCGCATGACTCGAAGCACTTTACACAGGCACAGTTCACAACCAGGCCCGTGGCCCGCGCAATCCTCCTGAACCCCAGACCCCAATCCTCCTCTCGATGTCGAAGCTGGCGAACACCGACGACCCGCGCACCCAGGTCCCCCGCGAACTGCCCGCCATGTTCCGCCCACCCGTGAACCGGGCGATGCGGACGCTCGACCGATCATTCTTCCGCAAAACCGTGCCCCTCACCTCAGCTCGGATCTTCCAGAATTCCGAGATCTCGCGCGTGCGCAAGGAATTGTCCAACACGAAGGATCTTCTTGCTCTGCCGCGACTGTCGAGTGTGCAGGAGATTACGGAGCAGGATGGGTCGGTGCGGAAGGCGCTTTTGTTAAGGGAGACGGTTAAACATGATGGTATGTTTGTCCGTGGAGTGGAGTGGACTCTCTTCCTTCTGGCAAATGGATATAGACTGATAATTGCTCTGCGCAGACAAGTCAACGTGGTCGCCCAAAATTACTGAACTCGTTGAGAAGGGAACTGTGGCCGTGGGACCGTTCGAGTTGGCATTGGAATATGATTATTGGAGCTATGGTATGATCAATTGCGCATAATTTCGGACGAGTGGCATGCCAATCCGACCTCGCTAATATATTCTAGCTGAAATCATGAGCGCTATTCTCCCCGAGCAGGAAAACGCAGAGGTCCCTCAGGGCTTCACGCAAGTGGGGCATGTTTGTATGTTTCTGCCCAACATCAGCCAGTGGTCTGGTTTCCCCGCGATTGTATATGAATACTAATCAGAGAGAGCAGTACATTTGAACCTCCGCGAACACTGGCTCCCATTCAAGACCCTCATCGCCGAGGTCCTCAAAGACAAAAATCCCACCGTCCGAACCGTCATCAACAAGACCGAAGATGTCGGTTCGCACAGCCAATTCCGCACATTCCCCTTCGAACTCCTCGCCGGCGAGAACGACTTGAACGTTGTCCAGCATGAACAAGACTGCGAATTCCACTTCGACTACGCCCGCGTATACTGGAACAGCCGCCTGGAGACCGAGCACCGCCGACTCGTGGAGAAGTTCCGACCTGGACAGATGGTCTGCGATGTTATGGCTGGCGTTGGACCCTTCGCCGTGCCAGCCGGTAAGAAGAGAATCTTCGTGTGGGCGAATGATTTGAACCCACACGGATATGAAGCTATGACGGACGCTGTCCAGCGCAACAAGGTCAAGGACTTTGTCACACCGCACAACATGGACGGACGGGAATTTATCCGCGATTCAGCGAAACGCCTTCTCGATGCCGAGCCCGTTACTGTTACGATCCAGCCCAAGGGTGGACGAAGGGACAAGAAAAGAAAGGCAGACGGCAGCCAAGAGCCTCAGTCTCAGCCTCAGCCTCCAGCCCAGGTCTACAAGCGCCCCTCAGTTGTGGATCATTACGTGATGAACCTTCCCGCGACAGCAATTGAATTCCTCGACGCTTTCCAGGGTGTTTACGCAGGACAGGAATCCCAGTTTGCGCCTCACACGGAGCAAAAGCTGCCCATGGTGCACGTGTACTGTTTCTCTGGACACTCGGAGAACGAGGTCGATGACCATGTGGACATCTGCGAGCGCATCTCCGAGCGTATTGGGTATACGATCACACCGGAGGATCGTGTGGATGGAAGCGGGAATGCGGCGATTGAACTTGCCATCTTTAATGTGAGACTGGTTAGCCCGAAGAAGCAAATGTTCTGCGCTAGTTTCCGGATTCCGCCTGAGGCTGCTTTTCGGAAGTAGGTATAGTTATTGGGCGCATGGTTGCATATATGGAGATGGGATAGATAAAACCAAAATAAACTGATACCCTGATATAAGTTGGAAAGAGTAGTAGTAGTAGTAGTAGTAGTAGTAGTAGTAGTAGTAGTAGTAGTAGTAGTAGTAGTAGTATACAACAGAAGGAGGACCAGGCTCCCACCGTGTGCCTTCTGTTTGCTCTGCTCTCTTCTCTACAGCTTCAGTTTCACTTCAACTTCCACTTGCGACTTCCTTCTACATCACTCTCATCCTGATTACTCCAACTCAATCCAACCTTTGTGCTCACTCGTACTCACTCCCTCATCCCATCCATCAACCAACCAAAATGACGCCCCGCAAGGCGGTGCGCTCACCGCCCCGAACTGCCCAACGAACAAGCAGATTCAACCTCGAAATCATACCTCCAGCAACAGATCAATTCATCGACGCGACAGCCCCGATTCCCCGCCTCTCCATCCGCCACAACATGGACCGCATCGTACTCCCCCCGCCGACGAACCGCAAGCGCGTGCTGCCCCAGGGCGAGCTGGAGGCAGCCTCGACGCTGAGACTTGGCGCGGACCAGCATACACATACCCTCTCGCTGTCCGAGGCACGACTCGTCATCCACAAGGTTTTGGAGAATAAGCGGCGCGGTGGGAATAAATATGAAGAGCCTGAGTATGTTTCCTTTCCTGGGTACCTAGCCTGACTAGCCTGGCCAGCTCCCCGACCTCGTGAGCTTGATATGCTATAGCTACATGGTGGCTTTGTTTTGTCTGCTTAGCTAGCTAGCCGCAGATCAAACGGCGGAACAAGATTGGAGAGGAGGGGAGGGGCATGGCATGGCGATTGAGATGAATTGATGGATATTAACGGATTGCTTCACTTCACAGAACCCTCGATAAAACACTCGTATACCTGGATGTGTTTGCGCGGTTCAAGGACGAGGAGAATATCAAGGCGGTGGAGCGACTATTGAACTCGCACACGGAATTGGAGATGTTTGAGCGATCACAGTTGGGTAAGTGAACTCTCGTCAAGTCATGTCAAGTCATGTCAAGTCAAGTCAAGTGCCGTGCTTTCTTCCGCTTGTGTTACCTTTGATCCATTTCCCCGAACCAGGAACCAGAGTTCGGGTTTGGGGCCCGGGGCAAATTGGCAAGGGTCTCCGTTTTTCCATCTCCGATATTCTCTTCTCTCTCCATCTCCACTGCGGCGGTGGCGTTGGCGTCGGAAAGGGCGTATCGGACTTCCCCCTGGACCCCGAATAACCCCAACCCCAAGGCTACTTACTATGTATGACTCCAAAAGGACCCGACCTCGGCTGATTGAAATATAGGCAGTTTGTGCTGTGATAATGCGGAGGAGGCCAAGTCTCTGATCCCCAGTCTACAGAATAAGATTGGGGATGGGGATCTGCAGGAATTGCTGGACGAGCTGACCAAGCTGCGTAATTTTACGGAGTGATAGATCCGATCTTACCATATTGGAAGGGCCACTGCAGGTGGAATTTGGGAGCATGGAGTTTGGGCGTCTTGCTGGTTAGATTACGGAGTTAAGGAAATCCGAGGGAGCTGGATTGAATGAACCAATGGGGGTGGGGGGTGGGCCAATTCATGGTTGTCTGCTGGACAGGACAGTGCTGGACAGGACAGCACTGTGTACATAGTAACATGAGTCAAGGAAGTCTGGAGGTCTCCGTTCCGTCAGGCCATTCGTGTGGTTACTATTAGTCAAAGTCAGTGCCGATCCGAGAATCTCCTTTGCCACCGGGTCAGCGTTTTTACATCGAGTAGGCGAGCACATGCCGGGGATGAAGATGAGGAAGTCCGGACTCCACCGTGGGGCGGGATAAACTCGTTCAAACTCGTTAAACTTGCAGGAAGTGGAGAGAGTGATTGGCTCTGTTAAGCGTTATCATAGGCAACCGATTGGTTAACTCTAAGGGTGGATAGCGGTGTATGGGGATATCTGGATAATACTGTAGTATTGTACAGTACTCCGTAGTGTATCCTGTACATATAGAGCGGAGTATACCACGCAGTGGTATACTATAGTATCTATAGGATCTATCAATAGTATCTATAGATACTGTACTAGATACTATAGACTATTATGTTGGAAAGATACTCTATAGTATATAGAGTATACGTGGTATACTCTAGTGGTATACTCTAGTGGTATACTCTTCTGCTACGGGCGGGTCTCCTCCGAGCCGCTCGATTACCTACAACGAATGACATAAGCAGAGCTCTCATAGGCGCAGTCCAGTTCAAAGTACGTAACAAAGCATCTCGACCAATCATCTCTCACCTTCTTATCTGGCTTGACAATTTCACCGTGCTAATTGGGGCTTTTCTGTTACGAGAGCAAAAAGAAAGATCGTCTGCTTCCGGTTGAGTTATATCGTCATCAGATTCCATTTTTGAATTCCATGCCAGGTTCACCTTTCGTTTACCCCGTGCTCTCTCATATTCCGCGTATAATCTTTTCTGTCATTCCTAACAGGAATGACCGAGCAGACGATTCGACATCTCATCCTGCTGCAGTCCTTAGCTGGTGCGGATTAGGATACCTAGTACAATACTGTGGTATAGGTATATGTGAGACCTATACAGATCTACAATCTACCTATGATATTATCGAGATTATCAAAGATAACCTTACATCTTTTTTTTTTTTCGTGATAAGCTTGATCTGACATACTCCCTCGTCCTCGGAGTACTCGGAGTCCTATACGATTCGACATTCGACAACCCTTATCATTTGCCCTCCACATTACCCGGCTTTACCTTCCTACTTCCCCCGTGGAGACCGTTGAACCCTGGAGATCCCCAGAATCTACAGAGTAAACTCCAGGTCAATACCTAGGTACTTAGGTATCCATGGCTACCGTTATCACCATTCAGCCTTCTTCGGCTGTTCCAACCTCACACTCCCCTTCCCTCCATCGTCGACATCCCTCCAACTCCAACACTCTCTCGCCCTCCCCCATCTCCATTCACTCGACACTACCACCCCGTTTAGGGAGTAGGGATGGAGCTAGTTGTGACGCCTGCCTTCGCCGAAAGAGCCGCTGCGCAATGAATGACCTCGTCAACAAGTGCTACTCCTGTGACTTTCATCGCCAGGAGTGCACATTTACCCTCACCACCGAGTCCCCAATCAAGAAGCGCAAGCTTGAGGATTCCCCACGAGAGCTTGAGTCTGTCAAACGGTATGTCTTAGGAGTGAAGAGGAATGGATGTGGTTGATCTTGGATGTGGAATGTGAGCTAAACATCTTCTTCATGCAAAAGACCCTCAATACAATCCAACACCCTCGCCACAGTCCAACCTCCCCCCCGAGGCCGCACGCCTCCATCAAGGCGCTATGATCCGCCCTGGCTTCTTCAATCAATCCACTCAACACATTGGTATGACCACCGAGTTGGAACCCGCCCTCCTTGAGTATCTGCCACTAGACGAATACGACGAATGCAATGTTTCCAACTCCCGCATCCGAAGATGTGCCGACGACTGCACTTTTATGCGCGTCGTCGATACCCTCCCTATTGGTGACTCGCAGGCCGTGTCACTTGACGCCATTGAGAGCCTGGTTGCTCCGTACGGCGCAACCTTGATCGAGAAGTTCTTCGATCATGTTCACCCCTCCTTCCCCATTCTCATGGAGGATGCGTTCCGCCAGTCATACCGGGAACGCCGCCAATTGTCCCCGTTACTCCTCGCCGCGGTCTATGTACTTACTCTGAAGTTCGTCGACGTGGGCGCCTCCTCTCAAACGGCCCGCCGTCCAGATGCGGCCCGGTTAGAGAGCACCGCGTTGAAACTGCTGATTGAGTCTTTGCCCTTCCCCAGTATCTCCACCATCCAGGCCGGTTTGCTCTTGACGCAAAAGTCGACATTGGCTACGGCCTCGCTGAATGGCCAGTTGGTGACTGCCTGCTTCGAGCTGGGTCTGCATCAAGACTGTTCGAACTGGCGTATGAAGACGTGGGAGAAGGGTCTGCGGAAGCGTCTTGCCTGGGCGCTGTATATGCAGGATAAATGGTCTTCCTTAGTACACGGTCGTCCATCACAGATCTTTGCGTTCAATTGGACTGTCAAGGATCTCGTGGAAGACGACTTCTCTGATGCTTTCCTCTCCGGTACCGACTCGGCGCACGACTCGGCAGCTGTTGGCCACGGCCCTCTTCTATTCTGCCATATGGTGGCCCTCACCACCATTCTCTCTGATATTCTGGACCGCTTTTATACCCTTAAAGCCATCGAGGATTTCACAGCCGCAGGCAATCAGAGAACCCGCATCATCCTCGAAAAGGCTAAGCCAGCACAGATTCGACTGAAGGAGTGGTTCTCATCTCTCCCCGCCTCATTGAAGATGGAATCATCGACCGGCGAGCTCGTCGAGACAATCACCGACGAACACGCCCGCAACGGCGCCCTCCACCTCGCCTATTTCGCCACGGAAATTACTCTTCACCGCTGCATCGTGCGCTCCCTCGCCACAGATGGCTCAGACTCGTACCTCGCGCACATCTGTCGCGGTGCAGCAAAGACTCGTTTAATCTCCGCCATGGACTTCGTCAACCGCCTTCGTCCCGCCCATCTCCGCTCATTCTGGCCCGCATCCGCACGCACCAATTTCTCTCTCATCGGCTCCTTCGGTATGCTACTTCGCATTACCGCGCCGACCAACGAGGAGGCGGATTTCTACCGCGTACGTTTGTGCGAGTACCGCTGGACTCTGAGCGTTAGCCACAAGAATGCCGAGTTCATGAGCTTTGCCCTGGAGAGTCTTGACAATGCGACCGCTTTTGACAAGCATGTTCCCGCAAAGCCGAATATCGACGAACTCATGGCTTCGCAGAAGCAGGCTCCCCGTGTTTCTTTCGCGGGCACGTATGATGATGCCATGGCTGAGGCTGAGGCTACGCACGGCGCGGGCTCCTCTTCTGTCATCTCGGGTCTTGCGTCTCCTGCCACTTCTGTTAGCGACATGGAAGATAATGATGATGCGATGCTTTGAGCGCACTCCTTACCTTTTGATACCCACTTTATTCACCTCGTCCTCACTTTTCCCCCATCTCGCCACCTCCACCTTCTTCTCTCTTGTACCTCATTTGCTCAACCTCACGCATACCGGTGTTAGGAAGCGCATAATTTTTGATAGCCCTGTGATCTCCCTTGGCATGGGGAATAGGATCACTCAAAAGGTTCGGGCAAAATTCTTTTTTTGGAATGACGGATTTCGGAATGGTCGTTAGTGGTCCGGTTTCCTTTACTTTTCATTCGTTCGACTACCCCCTGGAACGCGCTGGATTCGATATGTATATAGAACGACATAAATGGACATGAATTACGATACCTGATTCAATATTTCCTTCCATCGAGGACGTAGACTATAGTCGGGTAATTCGTGCCATGACATACCTAGGTAGTGATGATTTTGGCCGATGCTGGCTTCTTAGCAGCCTAGACTCGGATGCACTTTGCGTAGATAGCTGGAGGTTCGAATGATTCACGCACTCATCCAGAATGCTTATGAATACCCAGAATAACTTGAAGAAATACATAACCTCTCATACTCCACCTGCCAACATCCCGAGGTGGTATCATCACCTGCTATCCCAGCGACCCTTCCAATGAAATCAACGAATAGGAGGGCATCGGCGATTGTCGGCGATAGCAATGAAGATCGGTTTCCCACGGACCTGCATCCTATTGGCCTTTGTTCATCTCGAACTCCACAGCCACCAGCTTGATCGTGATGCCTGTGGTCATACATTAGATTCTCGAGGTTTCAATTTGTAATATAAATCATTTTAGCTCGCGTTCCCCCGCATGAGCTCTTTTATTGAGGGGGAAATTGGGGCTGGGGAAGTCGGGCCTCCGAATTAGATTCCTAATTATCAGCCACTTACTTCTGGATTTTGGGTTTGCTCGAGATGTTCGCTATCACCCTGCCTGGTACTGATAACGTATCAGACCTCAAGGTGGTCCTCGGAGGTCCGCCGGATGATATCCGATAGCGGATAAACGCGGTGACCTGGATGCATATGAAGCATGACAGATATCTACCTAGGTAGCGAGTACTTAAGAAAGCATCCATGGATCTGAGGAAGAAAATAAGAACGCAAATTCATCCAACTTTCTACGAGGGTGTTTTCAACCAGTTTTAGCTTACGGCTGTCCCTACTACAGACTTGTTGAACGACTGGTCTATACACCTCCGCAATACCCATCTCATCGACATCCAACACCACCGACTCGGACACATACTATCCAAAATGGCCTCCGACTGGAACCAGGATAGCCTGCGAGCACGCTTTTGCCACGCTCTATCAGAAATGTATAAAACCGAGGTGCCCCTATACGGCAACCTAATCGATATCGTCCTAGAAGCAGACACAAAAGCGCTGCAAAGTACGAAATCCAACGAAACACTCCCCACAAACCCAGACGAAGTTCTCCCACCACGACACCGAGTCGAAAGACACGGCGCAATCCGCCTAGGAACACCACACGAACTCAGCACGATTCGACGCATGTTCGCCGTCATGGGAATGTATCCCGTCGGCTACTATGATCTCAGTCTAGCCGGATTCCCCATGCACGCCACAGCCTTCAGGCCAACGACCTCGGAGGCGCTCGCGGCGCATCCCTTCCGAGTCTTCACGACAGTATTAAGGATGGAGCTTCTAACCTCGAAGACGCGGGCACTAGCGAAGAAAGCGCTAGACCAGAGAGATATTTTCACGCCTAGACTTCTGGCTTTGTTGGATATTGTTGAGTCGAGGGGTTCTCTGTCGCCGGACGAATGCGTTGAGTTTATCGACAATGGATTGGAGACGTTTAGATGGCATTCGAAAACGACGGTCACACTTGACGAGTACACGATTCTGAAGGCCGAACATGCTCTGATTGCCGATATTGTTTCCTTTCCAAATGCGCATATCAATCACCTCACGCCGCGAACGATCGATATCGACCTCGTTCAGCGTCTCATGGTGGAGCACGGCATGCCTGCGAAAGAACGAATCGAAGGACCGCCCCGACGAGAATGCCCGATTTTACTACGACAGACTAGTTTCAAGGCGTTGCAAGAAACCGTCTATTTCAGCGATGATTCTGGCTCGGGTGAATTTGTCAGGGGCTCTCATACGGCGCGGTTTGGAGAAGTCGAGCAACGTGGCTACGCATTAACGCGAAAGGGCCGTCAATTTTACGATCAAATTTTGAATCAGGTTAATGATCTCGCTGCTCAGAATGAGAAACGAAGCGATTCGACCGAGTATGAATCTCTGCTCGCCAAGTCGTTTGAGATTTTCCCGGATACACTTCCTGCGTTGAGAGAGGGGGGTCTGGCATATTTTTGCTATAGATTGACTCCAGCCGGTGAGAAGTATGCAGAACACCGTGACGATGACCTCGGGGTATTCGTGTCACCAGATGGTGAAGCCACAGAATCGGTGACAGAACTCTTAAACAAAGGGGTTCTCGACTACGATCCGCTAACATATGAGGATTTTCTTCCGTTATCCGCGGGTGGCATTTTCAATTCCAATCTAGGCGATGTCTCACAGTCAAAACAGCTTATTATGAATGCTGAGTCTGATTTGGATGGGTTCCAGCGTGGTCTGGGGACCTACGTTGCGGATGAATTTCACCTTTATGCGGAGATGCAACGTGGATCTCTTGAGGTTTGCAGGCAGAAACTTGGGTTGAGGGAAATTTTGATGGTATAGCTGGTTTACTAGATGCTCGATGCTTGGATTTGGGGTCGTTTTCGTCATTCATTAATAATAGTAGTACCAGTAGTGGGTTATGTCACTGGTGTTTTGTTGCATGACTACCTACTATTACTACTAGTAGTACTACTACCTAATGTGGGCAGTACTCGCCGGGACTCGTGTTATATCTTAATATTCTTTGGGTTTGGTTGTGGATTTAGCTTTTCTGCCTTTCATGGTCTCTTTACCTGCCCAATTCGGATGATTTAATGGACCTTCCATTTACGGGAGGTTATAAACCTTTGGGAGGATTTGTCTTAAAATTTCATCAACTATTGCAGTACAGTCTTCTCTGTATACCATGCACCATTTATGTAGATCTTTTTTGAGAAAACACTGACGTAGAGAACTTGAAGTAGTCCACGATGCCTGTCACGCCTAGGCAATCATCATTTGAAGAGCAAGGGCCCAAGTCTTTTCTAGATCATCATATCCAAAGGATATTTTGCTATTCACCAGGATGCATTATCCATCTATTATCCGATATCCGCCAAGCCTGGAAGATCTACTAGTAGATCTTTTCAAGCGTGAGCCGCGTCGGACACATTCAAATGTAGACATCATGCCGGGTATCTGGCCACCTCGGGCCAGACAGATAAACCCCGGTCAGGCATAATTCCTATACCATTTCCCCATTCCAGTCATCCTGAGCATAATTGAGACCATTATGCCTAAAAATATCACTTATGGAGGCGAAACCCCAGAATTTCCTTCCATCGAGATTCGGCCGGAGCGGGTGCGAGAGGAGATGCTGCGCCTACCCCAAACCCGGAGGGGCCCGATAAGCGGGAAACTCGGGCAGCCGAACCATCAGAGTCGCGCCGCGGAGACTCATATTGACGGGATCTCCCGTCCCGGCCGAATCGACCCTTGACGAGAGAAACAACAGTGAGGCTCAGCCTGGGTATACGGGCTATGCTTGAAATTTCTGGTCTGATCTCTTTGCGATGATTTGGTCGTAGGATATAGTTTCCGGGGGGCCTTTGAGGTCTATTACCTACTGCTAGTACTAGTAGGTATATATACAATGCCGATCTCCGGTTAGGCAAGATTTAGAATCTCAGCCACCTTGAGCTAGATCAACCTTAACCTGAAGCTCGATCTGCATGTCATCCTCAATTCAAGATCTTCCCCACGATGATATCTCTTGGCGTGTCTGGGTCGGAACCCTGAGTACGATCATACCCGCCACTGTTGTAGTGGTCTTGCGGTTCGTTGCCCGGTATGTTTCACGAGCTGGATTCTGGTGGGATGACTACACTATTGCCATATCTTTGGTATGTGTTTCGAACAAATCCTCACATATAAGAATTGGAAACAGATAGCTAATACATTGATTGTACAGTTACTCAACTGGGCTATGGATGCTCTAAGATGGATCCAGGTCCTCAATTTCGGATTGGGAAAACACAACTACCAGATAACAGATGAGACATTCCACAGCTTTGGAAAGGTACGCAGCCTTCAAGTTCGATTCCTCTCAAATATAACACTAGCTTATACATGAGTAGACTTTCATTGGTAGTCAAGTCCTTTATTTCACCACGGCCGTTTTTACGAAAATGTCGCTCCTCCTCCTTTACTATCGAATCTTCGGCGTCGTTCGCGGCTTTCGCTGGGCTCTATACGCCTCCTGCTTTCTCGTGATTGCCTACTTTATCTCATGCACGATTGTTTCGATCAAATCTTGCGCCCCGGTCTCCAAATTTTGGGATCCGAGTCTCCCTGGATCCTGCATCGACGAGATCGCCTTCTTTCGCTGGAATGGTTTCGCCAATATGCTGCTGGACGCCCTGGTCCTTTGTCTCCCTTACCCTATGGCCTGGAGATTACAGACATCCGTACGACAAAAGATCATCTTGACGGGGATATTTTTTCTCGGAAGCTTGTAAGTTATCTCCTGAGATTACGAGTACTGGACCTAGGCTAACCATCATTTATAGTGTCTGCATTGTCTCGGTTCTCCGTATCGTCAGCTTCGACTTCTTGAGTCTGGAGGATGCAACTTATGTTAGTGTCAACCCGTCAACTTGGTCTTCTATCGAGCAATCGGTTGGTGTCATTTGTGCATGTCTTCCAACCCTTCGCCCGCTTGTTCGTTCGTTGTCTGGGTGCTCGAAAAACACTTCAGAGGAAGGAGATATTTCTACTGCTGTTTCATCGAACAGATCCTCATTTCCTCTTCGTGACTCGGCGCGGGATGAAGAGGACAACATGGGAACTTGCGGACCATCTTGCGTGCAACAAGCACCCACGGGCGAGTCGGTGTCTCCAGAATCCGCACCATATAGTCGCGAGGGCCGGGTATCATGGATGCAGGACGAAGTTCAAGAAGTCGAGAGACATGTTCCACGTCCTGTATCATTTGCTTGATAATTTTTTCCTCTCTAACACTTTGTTCTTTTGGTGGAAATCGTGTCTTTATTATGTCGTGATACCCCTGTTTGTTTATGTTTATTTTGTCGCGACACAATTGGAGATTGTTTCAACTGAGAGTCTCTGAAGACAAAAAGTATTCCTGACGAATTAGTTTGGCTTTCCAAGGTCATCAGCAATGCCTAAATGGAACTTGAAAATATGCAATCGGCTTGAAATTCCCATTTTCGGAGATAAAATTGAATAATAGATATAGAATACAATGCACACAAAGAATCCGCGAAACCCATCTATCTGTACAAAACATGCTGCAAACCAATAATGCATCACATCAGATCACATCTTCGCCAAGGGATCGCAAAAATGTAAATTTCATGCTTCCAGTCCGCTCATGACCGGGCCTCGACTTTCGGTGTGTCCTCAGCATCCTCGACCACCACGGCACCCTCCTCCAACAGCTCTTCCGGCGTCTTGACGCGCACCTCCATCACGCGCATAATGGTGTAGCGGTGCTTGCTCTTGGCCGTCTTGGTATGCCGTTGTCTCCGCTTGGTCTTCTCCTTAATGCGCAAGGGCTCGGACTCGGTACCGGTCACTCGGACGCGGCACTCAAACAACCGCTCGTCAACGTGCGGGGAGCCTTTCAGCGTGAAGTCACGGGATCCCACCGCGGACGCACGGTTGAATCGCAGAACATCACCGGGCTTGACATTGGGCATCAGGAATGGCAGGCGGAGGTGATCGCCCTCGGTGAGGAGGAAAGGGCGCGCGTGGAGCTCTGCAACGACATAGTGTGGAGTTTGTCCGGCCAGGTGAGGGAGAGTCGACATAAGGGACTTGGTCACTTCGATGGGAGCGTCGAAGGAGGGAGCGACGGGTTTCTTTGCGCTGATGAAATCTGCGTCGATTTGAGAGGTGGTGGTGGTGGTTGTGGAGGTTGGGGTGGAAGGCTGGGTATCTTGTACTCGGGGAATGGCTCCAAGAGTTGTGTCGGGGATCGAGGCGTGAGATTGAGTCTGAGTAGTGCGGAGCCAGGCGGTTTGGTGCAGGCAAGCTCGTTGAGGAAGGGGAGCTGCTGAGATCGAGGACGGGGCTGCGAATCGCAGATCGGAGGCAAAGCTCCGGAGAACGGAGCGAGAAAACATGGTGAGAGAACCTTTCCTAACCAAGACGAAAGGGAAGAAATGGTTCGGTGGTCGTTGGATGCAAAGGCGGTACTTTGTTGCGGTCGAGAAAATCAACGCTGGCGCTGATGGCCGCTTCGTCTGCCGTAGTGTCACGTGATATGGCAGTTTTCACTAGACATAGGGGATGAACCCAGTAGAACCTGTGGTGCAAAGATGTTTATTTGAATTTTTATCCTTTAGGGTCTATCTATTTCATAATATAATCCATCAGCACCTTATAATACTATTGCATAGTCAATTCCATGGACGTTTGCTAACCATTCAACTCCTTGAAGGTCATGCTGACTACTTCTGCCGATAACAGTCACGTGCACCTCTAATCTTTGCCGCCGAAACAACTTTTTCCGATTAGATCCTGTAGACCTCAACTTCGTCCCACAGGTTGTACTCATTCTGCATTCATCATGGTATGTGTTCTTCGATTATACCCTACCATTGCTCCGTGTATCCGAGTTTTCTAACAAAATTTCTCCCCAACAGCCTCAGAACGAGTTCGTCCCCAACCCCCACCGCAACCATCAATCCCCCCCCCCATCCCGACTAACCCACCATCAGGTATATTGAGCGCTGGCAAAAGCAGCACGGAAAGCGTCTCGATCATGATGAGCGAGCTCGCAAGCGCCAGGCGCGTGAATCCCACAAGCAATCATTCAATGCCCAGAACCTCACTGGCCTGAGGGCCAAGCTGTACCAGCAGAAGCGTCACAAGGAGAAGATCCAGATGAAGAAGCGCATCAAGGAGCAGGAAGAGAAGAATGTCAAGTCCTCCGCCCCGACGAGCCCTCCAAGACCCCTCTGCCCCAGTACCTGCTCGACCGATCGCAGGCCACCAACGCCAAGGCCTTGTCCAGTGCTATCAAGGATAAGCGTAATGAGAAGGCCGCCAAGTTCGCTGTTCCCCTGCCTAAGGTCAAGGGTATCAGTGAGGAGGAGATGTTCAAGGTTGTCAACACCGGAAAGAAGACTCACCAGAAGTCCTGGAAGCGCATGATTACCAAGCCCACTTTCGTCGGTAGCGACTTCACTCGTCGCCCCGTCAAGTACGAGCGTTTCATTCGTCCCATGGGTCTGCGTTACAAGAAGGCCAATGTCACTCAGTATGTTTCTTCCAGCATTCTGCCAGCCCTAAAGTTCTCCGCTCACAATTCATCCACAGCCCCGAGCTCGGTGTCACTGTCCAACTGCCCATCTTGTCCGTCAAGAAGAACCCCCAGAACCCCCTGTACACTCAGCTGGGTGTTCTGACCAAGGGTACTATTATGGAGGTCAACGTTTCTGAGCTTGGTCTTGTAACCACCAGCGGTAAGGTTGTCTGGGGTAAATGGGCCCAGGTCACCAACGTGTAAGTTTTCTCGGCATCCCAAAGTTTATTTTTCGCTGAAATACTGACCCCCTCACAGGCCCGAGAACGATGGTTGCGTCAATGCGTAAGTCTCTAACGTCTCTATTTGACATGATCGTACAGCTAACAATAATTTCAGTGTTCTCCTCGTCTAGATTCGTTCCCCAATGATTAGATTGCCCTCTAATTCCCTTCCGACAGACCCTCCTCTGTTTTCGATACCACCTCCTCCCAGGCATTTCTATGCTTGATTCTGTTTCATGGTTCATATGATCTGGTTAATAAACCACGCTATTTCTTCGGTGTTCATGGCGCATTTTCCCAAGTCTTTGGTCTTTGGGCGAAAAGTATCTTGCATGCTTTTATTCCTTTGGAATGTAGTTAGACTAGCTTAGCTATTATATAAGTACTCGGTTTTCACCGGAATTCATCATTTTTCAATCGGTTTCAATCCATACCTCTGGTAGCAATGGCTCTGCGTCCATCTGGGCACGCTCAAGCTCGCTTGGACTGCGAGTCCGTTATTCCACTAGCTTGCTTCGTTAGGTTAGGCTTCAATCATGGGGATTCCAATAAATCCAATCGAACCTAGTGTCTCAAAATGCAATTTTAATTCAAAATCCAAGTTCTTTATTCTCAGTCCTGGCATGAAGATTGTCATTCAAGTTGAACGTCTAGCAAAGGTGTTTGAATTCAGAGGCTCAAACTTGAACTATTCAAATTTACTAGTGACTTCGAGCTTTTATGATAATCATTCTCTGACCGTCTTAGTTCATCAAAAAGAAGATGACCTGAATCATTCAAATCTACTTTCCTACTATCTATATGGGGTAGCCGTGGGGGACATCTCGGAGAATTACAGCCGGCTCGCCCTCGGCCCCCGGCGTAATGCGGAGCTTTCGCAGTACTAGTAGTACCTTCGGCAAAAAAGTGTTTTGATACCTGGAATTCACCCCTATGCCCAGATTTTATATTGGCTACTGATTCGGTTGGTAGTTCAATCTGTACTTGGAACCTTGGAATGGTCGTTTATCACTTGAATCAAGGGGACATGGGGATAGTCTCCACGAGCACGAAAGTGGACAGCCAGCCACTGTGGGTCTGCCGCTTTCTGCATGACGGATAGTTTCTTTTTCCAAGGTCTTTGTTTCGTACTGACATATTACTAGTACATTGACCCCCTTACATGTATTAGAACTCCCGCTAAAACCAATTGGTAAGTTAGTTCGCGGCACGATCAGGCGACATCGTTCAACTTCATTACATGTCCCCCGCGATTCATCCATCCTGAGTTGATTGAAGCTCGACGCTCGTGATCACCTTTTTACTTCCAAGGTTTCTATACCAACATCCATACAGCGCTACATCATGGCCGAGCCAGTTCCACCCACCGATCTAGGCCGTCTCCGTGTCCTTTGCTCCACGGCCGGAGTTCGCGTTTCCCCTTTAGTGCTAGGCGCCATGTCAATCGGTGATGCATGGACAGGCATGCTAGGTTCCATGGACAAAGATTCCTCATTCAAGCTACTCGATGCCTTCTGCGAAGCCGGTGGGAACTTTATCGACACGGCCAATGCATACCAAAATCAACAATCCGAACAGTGGCTTGGCGAGTGGATGCAGCTCCGTCAGAATCGAGACACCCTCGTCCTAGCTACCAAATTTAGCCTGGACTATCGTGGTCATGCACTCGGGCTTGGTCCGCAGATTGCCAACTTTGCAGGCAACTCTCGACGGACTATTCATGTCGGGATCCGGGATTCGCTGCAGAATCTGCAGACCGATTTTGTTGGTAAATAGGTTCTCCTCGTTTGGTTCTACGTACCAGTCAGCTACTTATCAGACCTCCATTCAGATATCTACTATGTTCACTATTGGGACTACACGACTTCAATTAAGGAGGTCATGGACGCACTGCATATTCTCGTCGAACAGGGCAAAGTCCTGTATCTGGGGGCATCTGATATACCGGCCTGGATAGTGTCAGCAGCAAATACATATGCTATCGACTATGGAAAGACGCCTTTTAGTATCTACCAGGGCCGCTGGAATATACTGATCCGAGACATGGAGCGTGAAATCATACCCATGGCGCGCCAATTCAACATGGCACTTGCACCGTGAGTACACCCTTCTCCCGCAAGCTGCAGCGCAGTGCAAAATATAGAGAAAGCAAGAAGGAAATGTGACACTAATCAATACACCAACAGATGGGACGTCCTCGGCGGAGGAAAATTCAAAACGAAAGCCGAGATCGCAAAACGCAAGAATGAGGGAGACACCCTTCGCAGTCGTCCTGGAGAAGCCGCCTCACAAACCGAAATCCAAATCCAGATGAGCGAGGGCCTAGCCAAAATCGCCGCGGAGCAAGGCATCGAGTCTATCACTGCTATCGCCCTGGCATATGTTATGTCCAAGGCGGCCAATGTTTTCCCTATCATTGGAGGAAAGAAGGTCGAACAATTGAAAGATAATATTCAAGCATTGAGTATCAAGCTTACTCAGAAGCAAATCGAGTACTTGGAGAGTATTAAGCCGTTTGATATTGGCTTCCCGCACGATTGGATTCCCGCTGATCCGAATATTACTGGCGAGTCATTTTTGATTGCAAGGTCGAATGCGATGAAATTTCCGAATGCTCGCAGGCTCACGTCGCTATGAGAAATCGTTGCAGCGATTCTTGATATATGGGGAGCAAATATACGAGTATGTCATATGTCTGCGATAACTCATAAGATTTATCTTGATTAATTGATTGATATCCAACAAAGCCAAGTAAATGCCAATCATTTTTAGAACAAAAGACTTCCAAAGTTAGAAAACGAAACCGGGGTTCAAATTTAAACTAAAACAGCGTCTGTCAGTGGCTGAAATATTCGGATAAAGGGCAAGATTACTCACAATTCAAGAACTTGAATTTAATACACGAAAGGGAAAACTAGGACTAGCAGCGTGTAGTCGTTGATGTGCTATCGCTCGGCCTCGTCCCAACGATCAGCCTTGGCCGCCATAGAAACTTTCTGAGAGCGCCAGAACTCCGAAACGTGCGACTTGAAAGATTTCCACTGGAGAGACATGGTAGATTTCCCGAAGTATTGGTTTTCGTTTGTAAGTACCTTAGTACTAGTCGGGAGTCGAAGATGAAGAGGGAAGAACACTATATTCGAGTTGTCTTTTGAAGTTTAAGGAGATTGAGTCATGCACTGAGAAGATACTTGTTCTCACGACTCCGGATATTTAACCTCTTATATACAGTTCGTTCTCATTAAGGAATGTAAGCAATGATTCTCGATGGGGCTATCTCGATAATCTAGATTGATCGCCACCCTGGGGCCCTCATACTAGTAAATCAGCAACATTTTGGACGAACACGGTTTAGTTCGGTTTGGGGATTGATCACCCAGTGTTCTTTGAGCCTAGCAATGGTATCTAAATCCGGCGAACGGGCCAAGAAGGTTGCTCAGCAATAGGTTTTCCAGTGGCAAATGGCTTCTAGAATCTGGTTGTTGGTCAGCGGGCATTCTTTGGTTCTCAAGTCCCACTTGCCGAACTCTCTCTGTCGGAGATAACTAGTAGAACACCGTGACGAAGAATACATGGATCGAGTGAAGGTTGAGTACACTAGGTGCATTGACTACTGGCTATTGACTATCTAAGTACAGCTAGTTATTTCGTATTCCGAAAGATCCAGAAAAGACTAGGATCAATTAAAGGCCACCAATAAGGCGCTAAAGAAACTCCCGTAACCCCAATGCTTGATTCGACAGCCCTGTGCAAGCAGGAAAAAGAAAAAAAAAACAACAACAAAAAAGTCATATACAGAATGGATAGGTCACACGCTTTGCTAATTCACCAATGTGAGTTGCTGGTTCAAAAAACAAAGCCCATAAGGGGCGATGCGGAAGAAAAAGAACATAGAAGCAGATCATAAGTGGCAGTTGAGATATCAGTGAGATCGACCACCAATCAGCTCTAGACAAAAGAATCGAAACCCCCATCAAACACCAGTCATTAAGTCGTTCTGAGAAAACAAAAGGAGAGAACAAGGTCTGGGAAACATGAAGACAAAGGAAATGGGTAAGGACCGGTCAGGAATTTTCTTCTTCCAGCGCTGCTTTTATTTTTGCGAAGAACCCAGCGGGCCAAGCAGCCAACTCTTCTTCTTTGGGAATGCCGCGCGCTCGGCAGTGATTGACAACATTGGCAAGGATGCGACCGAGCATATCTTGCGTGACGGGGACAGCACCCTCCAGCTGGGCGTCAGGGTGAAGGAAAGGATCGCGAGGGCCGAGCATCTCTTCAATGGTTGGTCGAAGTGTCTGGTCACGCTGCAAGCAGCGCTTCAGGGTTCGGATGAGACCAGGAGGAACGGTTATACCGCCGACTCCATGGGATGGAAAGTCGATTTGTACACGGGGGGTTCGGAATTGCCATGATTCGCTCATAGTATTTGGCGATCTTCGCGAATGGTGGCTGGCCATACACCATTTTGTACAGAATGCAGCCCAAGCTCCAAACGTCACTAGGCTTGCCCAACTTCATCACCTTGCCAACGCTTGCTGGTAGTCCGAGAGAGGCATTCGAGTCGACCAAAGCCTCTGGGGACATGTAGTTAGGTGTACCAACTTGTTGTTCTCGGTGAACATTGACAGTGTTGTCCTGAATTGCATTGGCGATACCGAAGTCGATGAGCTTGAGCCGACCCTGGACCATGAGGAAGTTGGCGGGCTTCAAGTCAGAGTGGACGATATTATATTCGTGCACAGCCTGCACACACTCAAGCATCTCCTTCCAATAATAACGAACAAAATTGATATCGAACACGGCATCTTCAGCATTCAGGCGATGGGCGAGAATCTTCTCGAGGTCGGATTCACCGATTTCCATAAGAACACTCAATGCGTGCTTGTCGGAGTTGAGTTCCCAGTCAAAAAGTCGAACGACGCGGTCAACATTCTCCAACTTCTTCAAAAGATCGATTTCACCTTTGTACCCAGCCAGGGTCAAAGGGTCAACATCTTCCAAGTTCACCCTCTTGAGTGCGAAAATCTTGTAGTTTTCTGCCATGACACGATATACACGCGAACTTCCTCCGCGGCCAATGCAATCAAGGCGAGTGAAGTGTTTGTGATTGATAGACACCTGTGTCCGCTTCTTTCGAGACTGAGAGGTCGATGCTCCGGCAGTAGCGGTTGCCGTCTCGAGCATCGACATTTTTGGAGGTGGAGGGGCCGGTCTATGTGGTGTATTGCTGCTGCGCGTTGAAAGAATCTTGCGCGGCGAGTCTTGCGCGGGGGTTTCCACTGTATCCTTTTTATCTGTATCATAAACGACAGAAAACTTCTCTGGTTTGTCCAAAAAGTTCAGTCCTTGAGGTTTGGTACGCTTAAATGTTGGTGGTGGCTCATTCTCCTGGTCTCTGACAGAAGGCAGCGGCGGTAATGATGGAACTTTGAAGACAGGTTGTTCCTTTGCACTAGATGGCTTTGATGACATGTCTGAGGATGCAGGTGTCGACTTTGCGTGAGATCCATATGATCTGGGGGAGGCCGACCTTGAAAAGAGGCCATCGGTCGGGCCGCTGACGGGTTGTTCGGGGCGATGTGATTCCATTTCTTGAGGTGGACTTGGATCCGCCCAAGATACTTTGGGTGATGATGGTTTGCGGGGTTGATACTCGACGTTGTTATCGTGCTCCGCATTTTCTCTGACATCTTCGTTCAATAGATAGTTTTCTTCGTTATGCTCTTCACTTTGGCGACGCAATACGCCTCGGCGTGCGGGCCCATTCAAGAATGTGCCGGTGAGACGTCCAACTCTCTTCACCCGCAACGAGCTCTGAGGGCCAACATCGTCGCCATTGCGACCGCGCAAAACTGATGAAGATCCAATATGAGACATGGGATCTTCCTCGCTCTGAGCAAGACGGGATTTCCGGTCGCTGTCTGACCGTTCGGCGCTCCCATGCTCGTCTCCAGAGTGGCGTTCGGTGGAGCGTCTAACGGACGGCGAGATCGATGAGGGGGATCGCGTATGGCTGCGTGATGCATTAATTCGAACACTGCGTGGTCGAGGCGCGGGAGTAATGAAGTCGTTCGGGCGGTCTTGAGCATCAGAATCCGCGCTCTGGCTGTTAGACAGAGGAGATCCTTCGCGCGAGAACCTGGAAGCTGAAGAAGCGCCGGCAATTCGGACAACTCTGGGAGCTGGGCTACCTGTTGATCGATCATGAGGCGAGGCATTCCGGGGCGACTGACTGCTTTGCCTCGATCCGGCGGCAGCACGACGCTCATATGCGGCATGTCCCTTTTGCAGATGTGGCGAAGATCCCAATCCGTCTCCATCCAAAAGGGCCTTTACGGAAGCGCTGAACTTGGGCTCTGGAACCTCTTCATCAGAGCTATCACCCGAGTAATGTCGAGAAGTTGTCCGGGGTTGGTCGCGACCGTGGAGAGCGGGAGAGACCCGTCTGGAACCCGAGCGCGAAACCGCGGGTCGGGACATCGGATGAGAGATTTGCGATTGCTGGTATAGGCCGGAGTGGTAGGCGGAAGACAAGGAATTCGGAGAGGCCATGGCGGGTAGTCACCTACATTGAAGTCGTAGATCAATGTGGCACCGCAGCCCAGTCGAGTGTTTGTGTTGGAAGAAGTCGGCCTGGTCCAAGTTTGGAAGCCGCCAACGCGATGTGATAGAGTCACGTGAAGTGCGTTGCTACGGTTACCCCGCCACAACAAAGAATGTATACTTCAACTACAACAACTACAACTACTATGCAGTTACAGCATAGTTTACTAAGTATACCTCGGTATTGTTATTCTATTTCTTCAATGCCCAGGAACAAAAATGATATCTCAAGAGAACCCTTTTGACCTTCCAGGGTTCTCATTACCCTTGAACTGCGACGGTAGCGCATTCCACTATTTTCCAAATGCGCTAGATTATGGTTATATAGAGAGCGATTATGGTTTCCTCAATGTCGTTTGAGATATTGTGATAATGTGAGTCGTTAATGAGACTACAGAAATTGACGGATGGTATATCGAAGTAGGGAGTTTGTCTGAACTCCAGGGCTTAAACTGATCATGCTATAAGACTGACCCTGAGGTATCTGATTATAACACCACTAGAGTATACTGTGAAGACATACTTACAAGTCTGGAACTTGATATAGCCCCCAGAATAATGGATTGGATAGTCAAAGAACCGCAGTGGAAAGCAGAGAATTTCAAACAGACAGGTTCTATATTCGAGCTTGATCTCGGTATGTTCAAGTCGGACACCGCAGTACCCTGCGACCTGAAGCAGACACTGAAAGAATTCTCTTATTTACTGGAGAAAGGAAAGCCATGACCAAGGAGAGAAATAGTTTCTTCCAACGTGGGATCATTAGTGTCAATCGCGAAGTACAACTAAGCGGACAGGAAACCCTATTCTCCACACACAATTGTCATATGCACCAGAATCGCTGAGAGTACTCCGTAGTACTCCGTAGATTCATGTAGGACACATGGGGTGGGGAGACAGGCGGGACAAAGTTCAGCTACTACCCCAATCCCCACACTGGATCCAACAGGTAATAAGTAACTTGAAATGTGTAGAGTTATGAGGAATTGGCGGTCCTATCAATGCGATTCCTAACCATGGCAGAGTATAGAAAGGTCCATCCATCTATTCCAGAACTCCTTGGAATCGGGTTCAATTGCCTGGCGGGACTAATTATCTAGCTGTAGCCCTCTGGTGTTGCTTGTAGGCTCGGATGAAAACGACATTCAATGTATTGGAATTGAAGTATGAGTTGTATCAGTTTAGTATGCTTGGATTGTTTCGGGACTCTGTAATTCCAAGATCGGGGTTACAATTCCCGAGCGCGGGATTCCCTGCCCCGGAGCTAGCGAGTTGGGCCAGCCTGCGGGGTGGGCCGCCCCGGCCCTCCAGCATGACTCCACTTGACCAATAAAAGATCTGATTGGCTGGATTAGGGCCTCCAACAAGTAACTACTAGACAACAGACATAATGGTATTGAATTTTTCTTCCGGATATTACAATTTCAAGTGGCGATAGCCCAGCGAGCTTCATTTATACAGTCTACCCATTTCCATTTGTCTTCGCATGTTCAGACATTTCAACCTTAAAGTGGAGATTAGCTTGGTTGGGGTAGCGTCCCTCAGTGGGCGCACTTTCCATTACGTGTCAAGATATTTCCGCATAATTTGAGTACATATACCACTAATGGTGCATTGCTAGAATCAAAAGTTGTGGGGTGTACCTCAGACACTGGGCACTTCGGGCCTTCGTATCTCGCCTACCAAGGTTCCCAGATAGGTACCCTTTTCTCTCTGTTCTAGATATCTGAGTCCTCATACTAACTAGTACATAGTACATAACTACCTAGGTATCTTCTGAATTCTATCTTCCATCGAAATATTAAATTTTTTACCGTGGCCACAACGATCAAGTTGGAAGAACTTGAAGATTATCAAGACCGCCAAGGTAAACTAGGACAACATAGTTGTTGTATCTCTTCCAACTATGATATTTCTGATACCATATTGAGGGATCCTAAGTACCTAGGTAAAATTTAAGCTATAAAGGCACCTAAGTAGGTAGCTAATCTTTGAAAACTTGAAGATGGAGGGCAGCGCAAGGGGGAGCGGCAGAGCAATGAGATTAGTACACTACGAGTATTGTATATAGTATGCACCGGAATAGAGTAAATGGCAGATTGAATTGGATTGAAGTATTAGTTACATAATGACGATTTGGATAAGAATATGAAAAGAACATGAAAGAACATCAAAGGTGATTAACAGAAGGATCAGGTCGTGGCACGTTCATTTTGCGCATTTGGTATCATTTGACCGAGGGCAATGATATCAATTCTGCAGCGAGGATCGAGAATGAAGTCATTTACTCGATGGTAATTTTCTTGGCCGCGGTAGTAGTAGCCTTGGGGACCAGGACGGAGAGAATGCCGTTCTTCAGGTTGGCCTTAACGGCGTCCTGGTCGATGCGACCGGGGAAGTTGAAAGTGCGCTGGAATTCGCCGACCGAGCGCTCTGAAGCCCAGAAACGGTGGTTGGAGGCAGACTCTTCGTCTTCGTCATTGGCCTTGGGTTCGGTGTGGTATTCGCGCTCGGTACGACCCTTCACGACCAGAGTCTGGGGGTCGGAGAACTCAATGTCGATATCCTTCTGGGCGACTCCAGGCAGCTCGCCATCCAGGTGATAGGCGTCGTCGCTCTCACGAACATCGAAGCGAGGCGAAAAGGAGCGCAGCGAGGGCTGGGCCTGCTGGCGGGTCGAGCGGTGGGAATCATAGTCGTCCAGCAGACGGAAGAGGGAACCGAAGTCACCCTGAGGAGGGAAGCTGGTGCGGAAGAGAGACATGGTTGAGTGATTTGAGGTGATTTGAATTGACGGTAGCTTTTGAGAAAGTGCTGCGTAGAGCTGTGAAGAGTTGATGGTTGAAAGGATGAAGATGAGAAGACGAGGAAGGGTGGAAGTTGTTGGTTTTATATTTGCACAGAGGCAACTGCCTGGAAGTTCAACCCATGACGGAAGGTAACACCGTGACGTAGTTGCGTGAAGGTACGAGCAGAGTCAAGCAGAGTCTAGCAGAGTCCAGCAAAGACTTGACTCTGCTGGTACCTTCTGGACTCTGTTGGTTCCCCGTCGATCTTTCTCCACGATTCCATGTCACGTGATATAACATGGGGTAGGCTACAGTAATAGTGGTGGCCATGTACTCCAGTTAGTAATTATTAGCTAACAAGGTAGTGATTCTGTCAGCTGTACTATCAGATAGTATTCTACAGTGTTACCACTGATACTGGGAGTAGCCTAAACACATCTGGGAAGTCATGTTTGGTATTTACTCAGCCGCTGAAGATCTCATACAAGCACATGAAAATGGACGCAACGATGGCTCAACACTCCTAGTCAGCCCCAAACCAACTTTGGTCTTCGCTACCTGCCAGTAATGAATGACCAGTCCACTTAGGGCACTGATCGGCTATGTGCTTGTTGTGCAATGTGTAGCTCAGCGATTGCCATCAGGGCACTGGCCGTGTCGTGTCGGGGTGACGAGAATGAGGATGGTAAGAGACCTCGAGAAATTCGAAAACTACCCTGGGGTACCAGTCTGTCGGGTATATCAAGAGGGTGCTTGGAGGATTGAAGGCAGAGTTCCAGACGAGTGGTATTGGGTGTTCCGTTGTATTGCGCGGCAGATGTTCAGCGCATCCGGGTAGGGAGGTAGAGGGAGTCGTTTGATCGCACAGAGTAAGTATTACTCTGACTCGGATTCGTCCAGTTGCATGATCTTTTCGTCCAGATCCTGCCAAGGGGTTAGTACAACCGAAGGTTGTGCAAGGGCCTCTCCCTATGGAGAAAACGGAGGAGTGTGGGGGGTGGCATACCTGATCCAGTCGCACTTTGAGGTTCTGAAGTTGACTCTCCTTGATCACCAAGTGATTCTCATCGTCCAGGTCCTCCACGATGTAATCGTGTCGCTCCTCATCGTACTTGAGGATCATGGATTTGATTGACGGATCGCATTCGATGAGCAGACCTAGTCGAGTCAAATGAGCGCATAAACTAGAGGAATCAAGAAACAAGGGGGAGCTACCTCGAACGGCACGCGGCATTGTGAAGGTGGTGTGGAAGTTATGTGGAGTTTGAGGTTGAGAAACATGTAGGAATCGGAGTTGAAGTTGACCTGGGGGACTTTGAGCGTCGCGGAGACACTCTTACCGCCTTGAAATTCAGGCATTAACACCTTACTAATCATCGGAGGGGTGTACAACATCTCTACAATTTTTACATTTTCCCCTCTACATTTACTCTGTATCTACTTCGCAATAAACATCATTTATACCTGACTATTTGATATACCTAATTATATCCCCTATCCCTATTCATCCAATTCTTCTGGATCTTCCCATTCGGGACTCCATCCAGTACCCGCCTGAAATGCAGTGGCCACCAGGGCGACAAAGCTCCCTGCGAGAAAGAGCATTCGGATTGCATGTTCATAGCTCTCGATAGCAACAAACCGCTCCATACCCACCAGACGAGTGACGGTGGCCGGACTTCCAAGAAGTGTACGCACAAGTTCCGGCCGAGGTGGCAATCCACGCTCGGCGAATCCTGTTTCCAACGACGACTTGAGGATGCGCGTGAAAAATCCTCCTCCAATGGCAGATCCAAAACTCGCGGCAAATCCTCGCGACATGGCTATCAGGGCGCTGACAATATAGTGTAACTCACTGCCGGTGAGATACAGCACATGCGACAAGGTATAGTTCATTAAAGCCCCCGCACAGAGTCCATTGAAGAAGGTTGTAATCACATACACAGCAGTATGTGATTCTGGTGTCGAGAGAACGGATAGCGCCGCGGTGGCTAAGGTGAAAAGCACAAAAATAACCAAACAGGATCTAGAAAGAGTATGTGAGACTTGAAACGTTAGTACCGAGGGAGGCAAGTTCCTTACTTATAATAACTCCCAGCTTTACGAATGTGCAGCCATCCCACCAACAATCCACCCGTCCCAAACCCAGTATTTGTGGGGACCAGAATAAGCCCTGCAGATGCAGGAGACCAGCCCCGGACTGCCATGGCATACGTTGGTGTGTAGAAGAGCACCGCCCAACGCGCCATCATCAGACCGAGACCAGCGATACATGTCAACAAAACACTGCGACTTTGCAACAGTTTGATGGGGATGACTGGTTCTCGAGCACGCGTCTCAACCCAAATGAAGATGGCAAAGAAGATTAATGCCAATGGAATTGGCCAGAGCAGGATCTCCGGTGACGCGAGACTGAAGAGCAGCGAAACTACCGACAGGGTCTAAGAAAACTTAGTACATTAATTCAAACACGGCAGTTGAATTTCGTGGAACGTACCAATGTCAGAGCACCTGCATAGTCGACTCTCGCAAGTTTATGAAGCAATACCCGGACTTCCAATGGGCTATTATCTCCGGCAGAAGGAATGGCCAAGAAAAGTAGAGGTCCCAGGACCAATGCTGCTGGGGCTTGTACCCAAAAGATGAGCCTCTGGGAAAGAATCGAGTCAGAACTTGAATAACTGGTGAATTAATTGAATTAATTGAGTAGGACATACCCATCCTAAAGTAGGTGTTAGCAGGCCTGCTAGAACAGCGCCTGTAGCAACACCCGTAGTGAGTCCACAATTAATGAGCCCAATACACAATCCACGTCGTTTCGGACTAGAAAGATCTAGCGCTAGAATGATAGATGTGCTCATTAACCCGGCGCCGCCACAGCCAGAGACAACTCTCCCAATAAGAAAGATGGATAACGAGGGTGCTGCAGCCGTAATAAAAAGACCAACTGAGAGAAGTATACTTGAGAAAATCACGTAAAGGCGCGGTGTGAAAATTTCCAAAAGCCGCCCTGTCAATGGAGTCACACTGGATGCAGCAATCTACGAGAGGTTAAAGCCTTTTCGAATGAATATGGGTTCTCTGTGTAGATTTCAAAGCATACGATATAGGCCGAAGTGAACCAGGTCACTTCTGCAAAGGCATCCAAGTCTGCTGCAATCTCGGACTGTGCGGTAGTCATCATCGACATGTTGGTAGCTGCCGAGTCCAGTTGTCAATATCTACCGTAGAAAATTGACGGTCCAAGACACACCATGGATAAATATGAGGAAGCCCATCAGAACAATGATGCTCAACCCTCTTCGAAACTTGACACCCGATTCGGAGCCATGTTTAGGGTCATGGCTCGAAGATCTGATGAGCGGTGTTTGCTCTGATGGGGAAGTTTCTATGTCTGCCATATTTCAATCTAAAAGCCATGAAAATATCGAGATCTGAAAAAAGAAGAAGAGAAAATATAATTTCCCCCCTGGAACCTGTTATCGACGAGGCTTCGGGGAGAAGCGGATGTTGCATTTCTAAGCAATGATAAGCGCGTCGCAACGGTCTCCACAGATCGCGTGTGGGGAAAGCTGCTGGCTGGACTTGCTGCTTGGTACCAAAATTGAGTGGCGAATGTGATTACTCAAGTGAATGGTAGTTCACAGATGAAAGAAGGAGGGGGCTAGTCATGATGAGTGATTGTGTTGCATTATGACAAAGATACTGCCAATCGATCTCTAATTACTGTAAACTAGCGCTCGACACCCCGCTTCCCATTCTCCGCCAATGACTGGACTAATTGGTCCCAAATACCGATGGCCATCGACTGTGGACGCGGGTTAGCACCTTTTGCAGGTCTAGCTCATCTCCAGTGGGCTCAGGTGCAGCCCAAGTCTCTTCCTGCCACTCCTGCTCAAAGGCTCTTAACTTCTCGAAAAAAGCCGTGGAGTTATACGAGGCTGTCGGGGTGCATTTAAGATAGTCGATGAAAATCTGCCAACGAGGGATGTAATACGTGGAGATCAGACCGGCCCATCCCTTCGAGGCGTAGTCGGTGATTTCGCCATTTGGGCCCCAAAGTGTTATCTGATTGCGCGCATTGTACTCATAGAAGGCAGCCTGCTCCTTGTCGCCTTGAGCCCAAGATCGTGCGGAGTTTATCCATCTCGAGAGTCGGAAATTTTCGTTGGTGAGAAGGACGTCGTCCAGATCACCCAGAAGGCGGAGCATTTTCTGTCCCTTTTTCGATAAAGTATCCACATATGCATCGGACTCGTTGTACGTCGTGACTAGATCCGTATATAGTGGGATGAAAGCGTTGTCCAGAACCTGGCGAGTTACATCGACCATATCATGTTGATAAGCTGCATTATTCCACAGCGCCGGTTCCACATGGGCAGCTTCATACAATGACTGCCACGCCTCGACAAGAGTTGCGGGATCGTATGTAAGGGCCCTAGGATGAGTTCCGGTCCTTCCAAGAACACCGTTTATTCCTGGCTGTGCTTCCACTATTGGTTGAATGACAGCGATGTTGGTAAGATTGGTATTGTTGTATACTGTCGATCGCATTAGGTCCCACCCTTCGTACAGTTCGCGAGGAACAGATCTAGATCCGAAATAACGACTTGTAACCCAATCATAAAAGTATTTCTGAGTGTCAATAGCCTCTGAGGACCAGGCTTGATCCAAGAGTAGGTCGTACATGATCTCGTTACCTTCTTGACCCTCGGGGCTCAGTCCATAGCCTACCATTGAGGGAGATTCGAGGCGTGCTTGAGTCGCGTTCTGAGTGACGTTCAGAATCTGCCCATACAGACCCATGTTTCCTCCAAAATCGTGAAGTTGGCACCAAATCCATGGCTTGCCGAAATATGATTTCGTTCGACGCCATTCGGGAATCGACTCTGAGTACAAGTCTAAGATGATCATGTCCTCGTCATTTTCAACACCTCCAAGATAAGCTTCAACCCGGTCGTTGGTCCAGAAAGAGGAAAGAGCATAGAATAGCCATCCTTGCATCAGCCAAATCGCATCAGGGTCTGCTTCTTTGAGGCTCTTCATTGTGCCCTTGGAGATGTTTCGGAGAAGATCCAAATCACCCGACGGAGGGGTGTTTTCGTTATACTGATCGAGGGTATAAATATGGCTAATGTTGCCATATGCTGCCTTTTGTTTACTGATGAAGCTATGCTGCAGCTCGGCGAAATGATCGTCAAAGGGCTGCAAGAATGAATCATTCGTATATTGAATAGGAAAGCCACCCCATTGCGACCCGTGGATGATATCCGCGTTGGGGAAAACGCGGCTGGTATTTGCAGGGACGAACCCAGTAAATGAAGGCAAAACCGGTGTCATGCCAAGTTCTACCATCCGTCGCACAATCATTTTCTGTAGTGCGAACTGTTGGTCGATCCATGATCGGGGGAGGTCGCCATGCCAAAAGCCCTGAATGTTACCGAATCGGTTCCAGGCCTGAAATGCCGGTCCACTCAAAAAAGTTGCGATTTCTTCATCAGTGAGGCCAATCTCTTGGAAAACGTCCACTAGGATCTTCTCTTGACCGACCCAGGCAAGAGGCAGGTTCACTCCACGCAAGGCCATCCAATCTAATTGAACCTCCCACTCCTCCCAATCCCAAAAGGCAGTTGTATAGGAGAATGTGACTTGACCATGTCAGCAAGAGGGTTATTATGAAATGATGAAGAAGTAAGTTACCTGTATTAAAATGATATCGCCAAGGAACAGTGCTGGCACCTTGCAATGGGACGTCCAAACGGGGGAGTTTCGAGGGCGCCAAATGAAGCCGACTCCCAATGAACCAATAAATGTCAACGTGAACAACATCAGTCAAATAGCGATGAAGACTGTTTATATCAGTATAGTTCGTCTGATCAGGTAGGAATTTAGGATTAATTACCCCGATGACAACGCGCTGATCGAGCTCCCTTCCACAAGAACCGTCCCATTGTGCGCAGTTTTCACAGTAAACTGATCATATCCGCCATTATGCGTGAGATTGGAGTTGATAGAGAACTGAAACTGGTCGACATGTTTGGGCAGTCGCCGTTCGACAAGATTGTACAGCCCTTCGGTCGACTGCGCGACAGCCGATGTTGTGCAGCACCAGATGAGTGAGCTGACCCACCGCATGTTTGTGATGAATGGAATGACCTGCACGAAGGAAACAAAGAAGAAACCTGAAAAGAGGAGACTGCTATGTACATAGACTACGGTCAAGCCCCTAGGTTGTTACGGCGCGTTGCATGTCCCCGCACTACTGCGCACGCACTGCAACTATTCGATCCTACATGTGCCGATCATTGGTTGTTTACGGTTTTAAGGCCGGACACTTTCTGGTTGGGCTTTTTTGTTGAGCAAATCGCCGTTAGATCACTGCTTGGAGACAAAATCCTTCTGGCCCTGAAGAGCCTCGGCTAAGACATTAGGATACCATCGTTGACCCACGTCTTGATGGCTCGTCACCCGCGCAACGAGGGTGCCCTCTCCGATGCTAGTTTTGAACATCTTGTTAAAAGTTGCTTCCGCATCCGACTTCACCTTGTCATCCTTTACCAAGTCTCGAATATGATCTGGCACAACTAGAGTGATATTTTCGGCCGAGAGATCCATGCTCACCCCTTGAAAGACCGGGAATGAGTATCGCGGTCCCAGGGGCTTTCCGTCATTACCAATGAAGTGTTCCTGTCGCAAGCTCACCCGATGCGTAGTCGCTGTGCAAACTCCACCCGTCAATGCCTCAAGAGCGCGACCAATATTGACAACGAATGTATTCGGGAGTGGAGGAGCTGATACCCATTCGCCGGCTTTGTTTTGCACCTCGAGACCACGGTGTGGCGTGGCTTGGAGGAGGAATGTAAGGAATCCAGAGTCTTTGTGCGCACCGACACCTTGAAAGCCAGCTCCGTTGCTAGCCTGGTTGGGTGGTGGTGGATACTTGATCAATTTCAATTTGTGCTGCTGGGGATTATCAAAGACTCCATCCATCGCTGTAGGGGGGAGATCTAATGACTCGGCAATGAGAGCCGTGAAAGAGGTTGATAAAGCATCGACCTCCGATAGATATTTCTCTGTCGCCTGACGGAACCCGGGGATTGCAGTTTCGTCTGGCCACTGCAAGTGAAAGGGGTCACAAGCCCTGGAGGTTAGTTTGCTTCGACAGAAGAGGGAATCTACTAGAGTACAAGTACCTGGTTAGGTCCGCAGATATTTCTGTACAACGGCTCACTGGGACCAGGTGCTGGTAACTCGGTAGCAAACTGATGCAGTGTAAGCATAGTGACAAACAAGAATACCTAGGTAGATCATTCGGATTAAGAGACAAACCTACATCAAATTGTTCACGATGGTCAGACTTCAAAGCGGTGATCTCGGCCCCAAGCCTGGAATATCCAAGGAAGTGAGGACTGTTGACCATCTCAATCTCTAGTTTCTTTTCAAGTGGCTGGCGGAATAATTCGAATCCCTTTTGAGTCAATGCATTTTGCGCAGCATTGGAGACTGGTGGGTTTTTGAGATATAAAAATCCCACATTGATGAGCGCGTCACGCAACTGCGCCAGGAATTTCGGCTTGGTCGTGGGATATAATGATTGCGTATAGTCCAGAACCGGAATCGAGGTGAAGGAAGACACCGGGGCATCTGTTGAGTTCTCTGCCTGTTTCTCTTTAAGATGACAAAATCAACCTTGATTTATGAGGTGCAGTTCTTACCATAGTAGAAGAAATCTTAAGCTGGACCTTAGAATTCAATATTGCTAGAGCCCGGATCTGAACACACTATACGTCTCCCACGAGAGGCTACGCCTTGATGGGCGAATTGCGATGAAGCGAGCTCCGGCTGATCGAGCAGTGGGCGACCCCTAATAAAGTAGGCGCTGAACAGGAGATCTGGACATAAGCAATGTTAGATGATGTCTTGAACAAGCTCAGTCATAAGATGAGATCTGTCTGGTATTGAGCTGGCGCGATGAATCAAAATGACCGTGTTGTGGTGGGGAACAGCTCCGAGGGTTGCTGACTTTAACCAACTGCGCGCGCTCTGATTGGGCTATTATGGCGGAACCCTGGCGAGGGAAATCGGATGAAATGTCGAAGATCACGCCTTACTCTACAAATATGATTTTTGAACGGGTGATAAAATTGCTGGTAATGATAGGGGAATTTGGCGCGTAGAATCTTGGGGATGTCGCATGTACAGTCCAGGGGGAGACTTTCTCAACAATTGTGATGCCAGATCACGATGTTGTCTATTTTTACGATGGGATCTATAGATACTACTAGTAGTGAAATCAAGCTTGAGGAGTACTAGTACTGTCAGTCTTCAATTTCTGAGTCATCTCAGTAGACTAATGATTGAAAAATTCAAGTTGAAGATCTATAATAGGCGGTTGAATAAATGGGGACAGTAATGATAGCACTTGTCGAATCATATGTGTGTATATCGGCCGTGTCATGGCACGGTGGAGTTCCAAGTTAAGAACAGCACAGGCGTCAATGAACTCGTAAATATGGAGATCTCATAGAATATAACGGAATCCGACCGCACGAGCCTCAGAGCTATTTGAGCCCGAGGGAATATCCTCGGAGCTCTCGGCCTCTTCCAGCCGACGGTTCATTTTGGCGTGAACGATGCGGATCACGAAAGCTACGATTGCAACCAACAAAGCGATCGCTGCAGTAGCGCTGCCACCGGGTATATACCGTGGACCAGAAGAAGATGGCCACATGTAGCTGCCGTAGATTGAAGCTGTGTTGCCGATCATATTGGCCAGCGCAATTGCAGCAGATCGTTTAACCAATGGCCTGGGGAAGGAATTGGCCACCCATGCGAGAATAATTTGAAATGCTGACACCGCGCCCATTGGCATCCTGAAAAAAAACATTCACGTTAGCGGTCGGTAGTTGCAGGAACGCAGACATGATACGCACAGAAACATGGCAAAAAACTTGGCTCCGGTATTAGTTGTCACAGTGCAGATAATACCACCCACGACACTAATGAGCATCAGACCGATGATGTGCAGACTGCGATCATCTGTTCGGCCCGAGGACCAAGTGGCCAACAAGGATACAAGGAATGTAGCGATCCACACCGGTGCAGTGATCAAGAGGGTTTCGATGTTATTGTACCCCAGGGTCTGCACAATGGTGGGAAAGAAGTATTGGAAATTTTGCGATAGAAGCGAGGTGTGCTGAAGAAGGATAAAGAGGTAAATACGTTTGTCGGCAAACACAAGGGCTAGGGCTTCCTTGATACTGGCCGATTTCGCATCATCAGCCTCTCCAGCATCATCGATGAGACGCCATTGGGCATATGCTTGTTCCTGCTCGTCTAGCCAAGAGGTTGTCGCAGGGTAGTTGGGAAGAAATATGCTGAAAAAGTAAGAATGTGACTAGTTGGACCACCGTTGACTGGAACATACCCGGCGAGGATAGATACACCCACGGTGATTGATCCTTCAATGATAAAGAGCCATCTCCACCCGGTGATCCCGTGGCTGCCATCCAAGTTTCCTAGGACCCCCGCACCAATTAAACCACCAAAGGCATTGGCTAAGGAGCTACCGGCATAGAACCAAGCAATGCGGTGGCTCAGCTGAGGGATATTAGAATGAGGTACGACTGGGCAGGGAAAAAATAGAGAGTTCTTACCTCTTGTCTTGTGTACCAACTCGACCTGGAAGATGTGAGTAAGAGAAATGTACAAGAAAAAAGATAGCCTAGTTACATCAACATAACTGCACCTGGAAAGAATGGCGCCTCGACGAAGCCTAGAAAAAATCTCGAAACAACCAGCCCAGTGAAGGACTGACAGGCCGCCTGGCATGCGGAGATGACGCCCCTAGATGAGAAGTAGATGAGTATATGCTCGAAATGAGTTGATTCGAAAGAATAAAAAAGAATTACCAAACGGCCATGGCCGCTCCCAGAAATCGGGAGGGGCGGATGCGAGTAAGGAGCAAGTTGGATGGCAACTGCATGAGCAGATACCCAACAAACAAAATGCTCGTAGCCAGATTGTAATCAGTGCCTTCCATTCCAAGATCTTTCTCAAGGGAGCCCAGGCGGGCTTGGGACAAGTTACTGCAGCGGGCTATCAGTAATGTCCACATGGAAGAGAAAACATTTAGATGTTTGCTTCTTACTTGCGATCCAAGAAGTTAAGGAGATACATCAGAATCAGGAAGGGTAGAAGGTGCAGGTCGACCTTGCGTAACAAGGTACGAGTCATCTTATGATGCCATTCTGGACCTTTGGAGGCATACGCCTGATACAGAGCATCTTGTTCAACGTTGAGACCCTTTTGTTCGCCCTCATGATACTCGATCTGCTCATCTGCGGATTTGACCATTTCGTGGAGCTCAGCACTGGCAGACTATTAGTTTCTGGGATGAGGTTGAGGCTCTCAATCCTTCCTTCTTTCTTTTTTTATTTTTTCTCTCTCTCCCACGCTTTGGCCCCCTTTATAGGCAGTTTGGTAGATGTCTGGCTAGCTTGAGTGACTCGGGGAAAACTCCGACAGTCTGCCAAGCAGTCGAGGGTCTCGAGCAGGAATGGAGAAAGCTGATCGAAAAACTTATGGCCTGCAATTGGCCCCGAACATGTTGGTGGGGATTGAAGGGGTTCAAATTTATGGGGGAGACATGTTGGGGGGAAAAAGCAGTTCGGTCTTCGTGGTGTCTTTCCCCCGGTGAGCCCGAACGCGGGGAAGCGGGACCCTGGGGTGGAAAGATGAAAGGGTGAGAGGCCTCGGGATGCTATGGTCAATCGGTGAACAAACACGGGAATAGTCTGGATAGAAAGAGAAGATTCCTTCCATTGAAAGTAATAGTTATATTATATGAGGATCACGGATTTGAACACATCAACACATGTGTTCGTTCTCATGCAACCATGCTGTTGAGACCAAGATCAGCGGTGCTGATTTCGGAATCATACCATGTAACTAGTGAGAGGGGCAGGGCGTTGTCGGCCCAGTCCCGGAGAACACTCATGGTCAATGGGAGACTCGGAGTTGGACCGAGGAGAGAAAAAGAACAAGAGTGTCCAGGTGGGCGAACCCAGGCCGTTCCCACAGCGGGATTTATATTTTCAAAATTAGACAGATTGGGAAACCAGGACCAGAAGAAGTGAATTAAGTGATGTATATGACTCCAAGAAAAAAACATAAGAGAGAAAAAGGCAGAGTGAGGTTGTCAACAATGGCTGAGTAGAAGTGGTGGAGAAGAGAAGAGAGAGAAACCTCGGGGAGTTCCGGTGTGACTGTGGCTGTGACTGTGGCTGTAGCTGTAAAAGGTGGCTGGTAAACACGTGAGTTCAGCCACCAGATCACCTGACCCTGATGGGATGACATCACCCAATTACGGCGACTCCGCAACCGCCCAATCTTGTCTTGAATTGCCCACTTTGCTGTACCCTGCAATTCCCACCATTCATCATTGTGGATCATCCTCTTTGGGCCTTAGATGGTAATACAAATGATATGAGATCAGATTTGATCTGATGACCTCAGATCCCAGGGGGTATCGCCTCCTCACTGGCTGAACGCCACTGGATCTCTGCCAGATTACTTCGGACTGGACCTTTTTATTCACTGCCTTTGATCCGAGCGTATTCCATGACGATGCTCGATGAGGGGTGGGCCCCCTTTTGACTTTCCACGATCTCGTATCCTATACCAGTCCCAGTCAAATAGTTCTGCTCTTCTCTTATAAAGTAGTTTACCCCTCTTCCTAATCAGTCCATCCTTTCGCCTACAAACATTCCCCCCCTATTCTCCATTTTACTTTACCTCATACTCATACCTCTTCCACTCCGTCATTATGGATAAGCTCTCCGGTCTCGCTTCCAAGCTTAGTGGTGGAAGCAGCAACAAGGAGTCCAGCTCTGGCTCCAGTGGCTCTGCTGGCCAGGAAGACTACCTGGACAAGGGTGAGCTCACTCCTATCTTTATTAGTTGAGGATCAGCCAAATTTGAAGAAATGGATCTAACATCTCAACTAGCCCTCGACTCTGCCGAGCGCAAGTTTGGCGGTGGCAAGGTTGACCCCGTGAAGATGCGCAGCACCAACGAGAAGATCACCGATGGTGCCCGTGAACAATTCGAGAAGGCTACTGGGTAAGTTTTCTCATTCGAATACAGACTGGAGAAGATAGCTGATAAAATCCCCTCTACAGCAAGCACGTCCCCGAGAAGTTCTCTAACTAGAGATTTGCATACGCACGGGTTGTAGCGAGTACGATTCACAGCGCGAGTAAAGATACGATACCGATACCCTATTGGGATACCTATGTAGCTATGGCAGACGATATTTAATGTGCAAGGACCTTACAAGATTTAAAGATCATGAAACTTCTTCCCCTTCCAAGATATAGATAATAGACCACCTTCAAGTTCTCCTGGCAGAATCCGGCCTCTCAAGTTCCCCCTCCATAATTATCTCCTGGCGCGATATCTAGAATCGCTGCCGCTGAAAAGCCGACAGGATCCCCTCTATACCATCGCGTCGATTCCCATTGCCCCACATGGTATTTGCACGACAGAGTTGTAAGAGGTTATCGATACGTTTCTCTGCCGCTGGGTTATTGCCTCGACAGGCGACCATCGCGCGCTCAAAGTATTTCTGGGCAGACTCGTACTCCTTCGCAACAAAATGAAGATTGGCCAGCATTTCCAAAGTCGCCAGGGTTTCGGGATTCTGAATGCCTCGCCGCCGCTCGACCCAGTCCACATACCGGGCCAACCATGGAAGGGCCTCGGATGGAGGACTGGATCCAACATAATATTGAGGAGCTTGCAGCGCATACATCACACCAATATTTCCAACAATATCCATGGTTAGTGGGTGCTCTGGTCCCAAAGCTTCCTCTGAAATCGCGAGTGCTCGTCGAAGAGTTTCGGAAGCTTCCATATTTTCCTGCGCGCAGATAAGGCCTCGGCCATGCAGGCAGAGGGCTCGGATGGTGAGTGGATGTATGCGACCAAGCCCTGCGAGAAGTTCCTCATGAACGGTTGGGATAATCTCAAATGCTCGTTTGACATCGGGTCGGAAAATCATTGTGTTTACCCCGTTATTGTCACCATGGTTATAGATAACATACTCTAGCATGTCGAGAGCCGCTACAAAAACGAGGACATGGTTATCTCCAAGCAAGCGCTTATAGCTGTCGGCAAGTTTCTCCGCGGTCGCAATAGCGTTTTCCCTCCTGCTGAGAGAATTATAGGCCATAGCCAGTCGTCTTCGCGTTGCCAAGGTATCCAGATGATCCTCCCCAATGTTCATCTGTTGGCGAGCGAGCACATTTGCACACATAGACTCAGCCTCTTGGTACTGTCCTCGCTGGCACATAATCTCCGCCATGAGGCTTTCTGTCTTCATCGACAGCGCATGTCTTGTTCCAAACAGTCGCTGAGTACCATCAGAAACCCATTGGCACCACTCTGTTGCTTTTTCAAGGAAGCTGCTTTCTAGCTCTATCTGTGCTAGATTATAGCCGGCTGATAGTGTACTGTGGTGATCTGGACCAAGAGCTCGCAGATGCTCCTGGAAGATATCGTATTCGACATCCCGGGCCTGGTCCCAATTGCCTTTGTTTTTCAACTCGGCACATTGGATTGCGCGAGGATCATTATCATTAGCGGTATAGATGGTCCCGGATACGATTTGTGTCGGCGCGGTGGCGCGTCCTGGTGGCTGGTATGGATTGCTGCTATTAGAATGCATGCGCGGTGGTACCGGCGGTGGAGTTGGACCGACTGAGGGAGCAGGCGTTGGCTGTGGGATGAACCCTTGCTCGGATAATAGCGCCTGGTCGACAAGTTGTTTGATATTTCCTTTGATAAGACGGTACATAGGCCCACGAGCACCAACTTTACACATTTGCGAGTGATCTGCATCGAGCTTGAGTTGGGTTTCACGCAGACCAGATAATCCCAATACCGCAGACTCCTCGTCAACGACAAGCTGGAACTGATTAATCGCGGTAAGTTCAAGTATTGTGGATCTGACTTACATGACTAAGTGAGGCTGGGCCTATTCCTCCAATCTGTACTTCCTTGCCTTCTATAAAGCTGACCACGCGATAATCTTCCAGCTGATGGCGAAAGCGATCACTCATCTGTCGAGTGAAGAGGGAATTGTGCTCAAGGCAGTCGAGCAGGTCGTTACTGGCATTGCCCTTGGAAACGAACTTTGCAACTCGGGCGGCAATCTTCCCTAGCTCCACTGCCTTTGCGCCACGATGAGGAGTGCCGAAGAAAACGAGGCCGGATGTAGCGTTGCGGATGGAATTGTATTTGGGATCTTCCTTGGCATTCAATAAAGCCTACAGTGAACGTGGTATGTTAACTCATAGCATGATGTGCTGCGTGGGACGAATTTACCTGCTTAATTACCAAGCCCCCCTAGACTGTGGCCGATAAAGATGATCCTAGGCTGCGAAGAATGCTATAGGCAGGATGAGGTGAGTTTAGCTGATCGCATCATGCAATGGAGAACATGTTGTTGCTCACAAATTGAGGGCTTCTCTCCATGTCTAACAAATTTAACAAAGTGTTGGCGTGATCCTTGATACTTGCAGTAGACATGGTTTGAGGATGTGTGATGTTGGAGTTGTAGCCATACACAAAGACACGGGCATATGGAATATCGGCTGCCAGGAATTCTGTTGGCCAGAATACACCATTTGCATGAGTCCAGGTTTCAAAAGGGTGATCATTACGACCTCGGGGGTTAAGGCCGTGGACGAAAACAAAACTAAAACCAGTGGTGTCAGTCAACGATGCGTGCGCGAGAGCCGCTGTACGACGAATCGATCATACTCGATCTTGTGGGCGTCTTGAGGAGTGAAGACCTCCTGAAGGAAGGGAAACTCGTGCTCTGATGAGTCCTAGAAATAGGTTGTCAACAAAGCTCTTCTACTCATATATCAAAGCAATATCTTTACCATTCTCACTGTATAGAATGACCCACGGAATTATTGAAAACCAAAGATTCAAGATACTAGCTGAGGAAGAAAGATTTGCCCCGCTGGAGCGAGACTTCATCAACAACACTGCCAGACCAAATACGAGGTTGACGGTACATGTGACCCTGATCTGACATTCACTTGGCAATGGCACCGGCAGAATTCACCTCAGATGTAACCAATGGATCTTTCCGAAGCCAGTCGGCACAACTTGCCCTGAAATTACGGACGAGGCGTTTCGACCTCGGGTTCATTGGAGATTCCGGGAATAAATCCAACCGCGAAGCAATTCTGCAGGATGCTGACGGCATTAGCGCTTAAAGAGATGAAGTGATTGAAACTTGTTTATGTCCAGGCTGATGGCTAGTGTTCCCCTTAGGCTCGATCGGGATCTTCGTCGTGATCCCGCCCCTCCACTCTAAAAGTCAGATTTTGAAGACAGGGAGCGTAGAACAAGTTCCCTCGCCAGGCCCCCATCGCTGTGTGAAACCCAACAAGAGCCCATAGCAAAAGCACAGCAGTACTTAAAATCTAATACACGAGGAAGTTGTTAGCGACCCATATAAAGTTTCAAAACAACAAAAAGAAGCGCATACCGTTCCGAAAACCTTGAAGAACATGAGGTCTAATTCAATCCCAAGTTCTATTGAATTGGCCGCATAAACTCCAAGGGGAAATGTAAAGCCCCACCAGCCCATGTTAAATGGAAAAGGTGAACTGTACACAACAGTGGCGAGCGCAAAGACTAACCAGATCAAGCCAAAGCTCCACATTACCAAGGATATGAATACACCTAGGACATAAGCCATTGGACCTGCGATGGGATCTAAAATGTCGGAGCCATCGAGAAGCTTTCGGGCGACTTTCCCAATATTAAGAATACTGCGGATGGTGAGTAATAAACTGGCCAGGGGAAAATATAAAGCAATGCTTACCCAAAGCCACCAAACCCAAGAGGTCCCAAGGGTAGGAAGCAGCTCACGATCATCTCTCGTGGGGGAAGCTTATGGACCGCCAGTCGCTGATAGTAAATAACTAACACAATAATGGCGAGGGGAGTCCCCATTCCCCAGAGTACAAAGGAAGCAAGTAAGGTGCCCATTGCATGTTGTTGGTTCGGAAGGATATCAGCCACTTTAGAACCTGCACCGGCAGCGACAATCGTCGCGGCAATGGGCAACAACTGAAGTGCAGTGATGCGGTCCAATGACGTTATGTGACGCTGAGAAATGCTATTTTCATGAGTATTAGTGGGCGCTTATCCTCATACTTATGAGATGTACTAGTGACTGACAGAATGAAGGATAGTGAGAGAGTGACTGAGGCTGCAGCCACGACGTCCACCATCCATAAAACCCATGCAACAGAGACAGCCCAGTCGCCCCACTGGGGCACACAGATGTTGACCCACATCTCGATCAGCGTCGCAAATCCCATGGGGACGGTTGCCAGAAATAGCGAGTTTGTTGCATCTCGAATCATCACTGGCCAGATCTCCGGATATAACGTGTATCGAAGCATAGAGGTGGCCAACGCCAACACAAAGATGACGGCATTGAGGATGTAAAAGACGATGGAAAGATAGTACAAGACCGGAGTGTGAAATGGCACCGAGTTGAGTAGTACCGACACAATCCCGGTCCCCATTGTGACAGCAAACCATCTGTTTCATATCAGCGATATCTTTCAATTTAAAGGAGAAGGGGGGATAGCAGCCTGAGGGAGTATATCATACGAGGGACTAAAATTCCGAACGACCCTTCGCCAGCCGACATTGTATTTCACGGGAGCCGTGGCACTGGCGGTGTTGGAATCAGAAGTGGGTTTCGCCATTACTATACTAATTGTATTATATGAGAGGCATCGACGGAGAGGAGAGTTGAGTACTTGCAGGCATTGATCATGGGCCGTTGGTGAGGGTGGATGTTGAAGGTCGGGGGTTGGACGCAGTCGGCCGAGTTGGCGGGCGGCGCCGATTCTCTCGCCCGCGGGGAGTTTACTTTAGACATAAGGTTTTTTTCAACTTTACTTCCAAGGATTAGACTTAATCTTGAGGATCCCAGTCCGGGACTTTCGAATTTTTAAAATTCCTTTCCCCTTCTATATGTATGATAAAAAGCAAAACGCCGTGAATGAGACTCGTTAATCCTCACATAAAGTTTTTACCAAGCGCCGACAATACCCGCGATCGGAATGTCGATACCAGTCGTATAGGAGCTAGCATCGCTGAGGAGATACACATAGGCACCTCCCAACTCGCGAGGATCCGCCAGACGAGGCATGCCGCCATAGTATTGCATCTTCAAATCCCAATCGGGGGACCTTTCCACGTAGTAGGTCATTGCCGTCCGCACAAAACCGGGGGAGATGCTGTTGACCCGAATTCCGTGCTTGCTCCATTCCATGGCGAGGGTATGGCACATATTGCGAACTATCAAGGAGAATATAATTAGCTTATTGAGCATGTTGAAAGTCCTAGCTCTAGTGACTTACCGGCAGCCTTCGTCGCGCCATAGGGAGCAGAGGGAGCAGCCTAGATGAATAATTGAGTCAGTGGACTTTTATCTTTTCTCCAGTCGATGATTTGAATGAATGCCTTACTCGGTTAGGTCGGTAAGAGGTCATACTCGAAGTCATCACGATGGATCCCTTGATGCCAAGCTCGATGAACTTGCGAGCAGCAACCTGAGCGCAGAAGTAGGCGCCGAAGACCTGAGCATGAGTAAGTAAGGAATGATTCGATAAGAAACACCACGAGAAAAATGTATCTGGCCTTACATTGAGGTTGAACAGTTTCTCTAATTCAGGTCGGTCAAAATCGAGTGCCGGCTGATGCTTGGTCATGCCAGCATTGGCAACAAGACCGTCAATACGACCAGACTTCTCGACGACCTGGCTGATGGCCTTCTCAACACTCTCCTCCGAAGTCACGTCTGTTTGAATGAAGTGGAAGTTGGGGTAACGCTTCTGCAGGGCGGCGAATTCCTCGCCGGGCTCCATCAGGTCGAGAGAGTAGACCACATTGGCTGAGTTTGCCAGGCAAACCTCTGCGATTCCTGAGACCAATACCACGGTTGGCACCGGTGATGGCGACGACCTTCTTACCGAGAGTGATCTGCCAGCTAAAGTCATCATCCGGCATTGTGCTCAAGACAGGAGGAGCAGTAGCGGCATCGGTGGCAGCAGGAGGCATGATGTAGATTTGTAAGGGAAGATTTCGAGGAAAGTTGAAATTGTTACAGGCTGCTTGCTTTTCCTATACATTCGATGTAGCGTGAAAATCCCCCTGGTGGCCCTGTCTCCCTTTAATAGTTACCATCACTCTGGCTGTACATGTAGGCATATCTACGCATCCCGCCTCCGATGTTGTCATATCTCGGGATTGCACCGACCAAGATGCGGAGATAGTATGCATCCTCGACACGAGGCAATCGGACCCCCGGTTTCCCGTCAGCGCTGAAGGTCAGTTCAACCTGCGCGATCGGCCATTGCGGGGCTGCATTTGCCACGCGAGAAATGAGCTAGTCGCTTCTGCGTACACCGCACTCTGTATGTATACAGAGTACCAGGCATTCAGAAGAAAGCAGGGTTGGTCACACTGTGGATGGTCAGCGCACTAACAACCAGGCAGCCTTGTCCTTCCCAATAATTTACAAACCGAAACAAGGCTGCTGAATGATACATTTAGAAATTTGGAGCCGGAATTTAAAGGACGTTCCGTTCATGGAAGCAAATCTAATGCTGCTGATGAGAATTATTGTTGCACCCAATGGTAAAATCTCGAGGAGAGGCCAAAGGCAGTAGCCAACCCGCCGATCAGACGCAGATAGAATTCCAGATCCTTGCCACCTTGTCTAGGGATCAGCCCATACCAATTCTCGAAAAAAAAAAAGGATACCTGAATGTTGAGCAAAGTTGCCAAAACGAAAGACCTCCGGATCTACTCCGGACTGCTTCTTCGGCTACCCCATACAAAGCTTATCCACCTGAAACCTTCGGAGCCACTGCTACTGTACATAGTACCTCGTGCCGTTCTAACCTCTTAGATTCGGTACCCCGGGACTCTATTCTACCTCGCGACGAGTCACTCGGAAGCAGGGCACCGGCACTATTGGCGATTGGGTTCGGCGGAAGCAGCCCTCCTGGCATTGCGGAGGCGGGCCAAAGTGGACACTCAACCCCAGGCCAACTTCCGGATTCCAGCCCAGCACGACCGTATGGGATGATGGGATACTGAACCCTACTACCGTCATAGCCTACGGCGTATGCGGGTAGAGGAATATCTCCTTCCTAGTGGCTGAGACTAGCATATATAGTATTCCACACTCGCAGATGAATCGTCCCCTTGACCCCTTATCATCCGAGTTCGAGTCTCCATAATCTCCAAGTTTCACCACTCTAGGGCTTTCTTTCACCTTGCCCATTATGACTTTCAGCACTTCTAGTGACTTGGCAAAGATGGAAATATCTTCCGAGAAGATTGAACATGCCGATATTGACGAAGAACCCTCTTTCACCCCCGAGGAAGAGAAAGCGTTGGTGAGAAAGATTGATATGACTCTGCTGCCGACGATATGGATCATGTATCTGCTCTCATATATGGACCGTACCAAGTATATTATCATGCCTTCAGTCCCCATGGATCAAAGACTGACTCATATCCACACCTACAGCATCGGAAATGCAAAGATTTCTGGCATGGAGACTGATCTGAACTTGAGTTCAGGTCAATATTCGATTGCCTTGGTTGTTTTCTTCGTGGGATACGTAGTATTCGAAGTTCCCAGCAAGTATGATCTCAAGAAATCTATGCGTGGTTATCATGTAAGCTAATCTGACATTCATTTTACAAGTTTAATCCTCGGTCGAACTCGACCCTCCCTTTTCTTGCCGGGAATCATGATCGTCTGGGGAACTTTGACCTGTGTGATGGCAGTTGTTAAGAGCTACAAGCATTTGGTAGCTCTTCGAGTCATAATCGGTTGTGTTGAAGCCGGATTTGCACCGGGTGTTTTGCTCGTGCTATCATCGTGGTATAAGCGTACAGAGCAGTCCAAGCGATTTGGAGTTTATATTTCTGCGGCGATCCTGTCAGGTGCCTTCGGAGGACTTATAGCAGCTGGTATCGTTGATAACCTGGAGGGCGTTCATGGGATTCGAGGATGGCGATGGCTTTTCATCGTTGAGGGAGCTGCTACCATCGGTTTTGCAATCATCTCCCTTTTCATTCTCCCTGACTTCCCAGCGACATCCCGACGATTGTCCGAACGCGAAAAACACATCGCGGTCGCTCGACTGGCCAGCGAGAACGTGACTGCTGTCACTACAGATGGTGAAAAAATGGGCGACTGGGAGGCTGTCAAAATCGCAGTAAAGGATTTGAGAACTTGGGCCTTCGTGGTTGGCTACATGGTAAGTATCATCTCGGTTATTTCCAAAAGAAAATAACTCTGGGTTATTCAAGTTCTGACAAAGATCTATGTGTACTAGGTCATCGTTGGCTCCAGCACTCTCACCTACTTTTACCCGACTTTGGTCCAGGGGTTATTCGAAGGCGCATCTACCTACCGCGTGAATCTTCTCACGGTCCCAATATATGGTGTGGCTTTCGTCTGCACTGCCGTTACCGCCTACTTTAGCGACAAGATCCCAACTTGGCGAGGCCTTGTCATTTCATGCTGGCTGGCCTTCTCGCTGATATGTTCGATAATTGTGTGTGTAGTTTACACCTTCACTGCTCGATATGTCTTACTCGTTTTGATGGCTGCTGGGCTATGGGCAACCAATGGCGGGACTCTGGCGTATGCATCATCTGCATTCGCTGGCATGCACCCTCAAGCACGGGGTGTGAGTCTGGCGCTAGTCAATGCGCTGGGTAACCTGGCCCAGATTTATGGATCGGTTAGAACCTGCAGCTTTTCTTTCTATGTATCAAGCTAACGTACTACCTCTAGTACCTGTTCCCGGACTCTGACAGTCCTAAATACATCATGGGATTCTCAGTTATTTCTGCGATGTTGACTGTAGGAGTTGTTACTTTCGCAGGCTTGCATGTTTGGTTCCGCCGGCGCTCACAGTCTGAGACTGAGGAGTAACGTTGGAAGTCAAAAAGAATAGATCTCTAGGTGTCGGGCACTATATGACTATTACGGTGATACCTACTACCTAGCTAGGTAGATAGTCCCAGATAGTAACATGCAATGGACTCAAGTATGTCGATGAATACTAGTAAACAGCCATTGTATTCCGAGGTTATTTGTGCAAGGGCCATATCACTAGGCTGGCATTCAAACCTTGAAGGCTGTTAGTACTCCAGGCTAGTAGTAATTTCGTGTCTGCGAAATGTCTGTGGTATACGTACCACGAACTAACTGAAACCAAGTACTATCTACGAAGTTAAGTTCATGAGCCGATATTTAGGTGTCTCGGGGATATTTCCGTCAGAACTTTCAACTTCTTAGCCTTTTCCCTGGCTCCGAGATTTTTTCCTAGAAAGAAGGGAGATGACACTTCAGCCCTTGAGTAGTCCAGAACTAGCCGAGTCAATGCCCGAAGAAATTTGATGAGGTGGCCATTCTCACTATTCAATAGTATTACAATGACTCCAGGTTCAATGCTCCGGGCTTGCTCCATCAGTTCACCCAAAGTCCAAATTTTGTCTACAAAGATGGAAGGAGTGACCGATATTTTCTATCTAGATAGCGCCGACGGGTCTTTGACGATGGTCTGTGTCATCTTCACACATTCTGGTATGGGTTAAAGCCATAGGGATATATGTGGGGATCTCAAGTCAAGAAATTTGGGAGGGCATCCTTGGCATATTCGAGCTCAAGCTCCTTCCGGAGTGAAATCAAAGGCCAGCGAACCCGCCGCTGACAAGATTCCAGAAGTTCTAATAAGGCTAGGCGTTCATGAGGGGTATGAACACACATTCCAGCTACAGAGCCATTAGTCCAGTGATCTCGATGCTGCATCTTCGAAAACGACTTACCTCCAAACAAGCAGTGTATAGAAACTAGGCTAGCTGCATGATCCTGTTCATCAATTGTCCGTGCAATGCCACATATGGTATTCACAGACAGACTCAAGAGCTTTTGGGCCGCCCGGTAATCTTCCATTCCCCCGGTGGATGGCCGGTGAAGAACTACAAGAATACGGGAAAGACTATGCACTTGCAACGCTGCAGCGTACGCAGATGGATTTACCCAAACTGGTGGGAATGTGTGAATGTCGGAGGATAGAGGCAGGGAGTTGTATTCCGGTGGCAGGTGATCAAACCAATCTTGCAGCAGGAACAGCAACTCACTTCCACGTTCAAGACGTCGGGAGAGGTCCGATGTTTCTTGCTCCTCTCTTGAAGTATAGTTGACACATTGTGCTAAGAGATACGTTGCACGTGTTGCTAACTCCGAGGCAGTCAAAATGGCCAGGGGCTTCTTTGGTTGCCAAAAGCTGAAAACTCGACGTCGCTCTCTCATCGCGACCCAGACATCTTGCCGTATCCAGGCCCACCAAACCGCCTGCCTGAGGCCGCCGGACTCCCCATCGTTGTCCTGAAAGCGTTGGATCCAGAAGACGCCTTTGAGGTGTCGTTCCCAGTCCTGATTGGACCCGTCAATCATTTCGTAGGTGCTGATAAGTAGGGAAGTAGCAATGACTTCGAGGCTGCGAGCATAGGAAGGGTGTTGCATGGCCCGATTCAGGTAATGAAGAGTTTCATAGTAGTATTGCACAGCCAGATTCCTATCGATTCGGTCTGGTTTAGCAGTCTCCTCCGAAACGGAAACTTCCACATTGAGAGACCTATTCCCGCTCTGATGCTCTTCTGAGTGTAAGGAGAGGTGGCGTGCTGAAAGGGCCAGGAGTGCGCGCATCAGCCCGACATTTCTCAAGGCTAGGTGAGGAACAATAGTCGAGAAGTGCTTGATAGGATCATAAAGGTCCAACCATTGGCTGGAGATACGCACGAAGTGCGTAAAAAGGACGTTTTCTAACTCCGATAACTGTATTGGGGCTTGCGTACTCCATGACAAGGGGTCGTCTGATACTGCGGAGGCCCCTTCGGGAGTTTGAGAGGCATAGCGTTGCTCTATTTCCGGATTTCGAGCAAAAGCCGCGGCATAGAAGCTTTCACGCTCTCGCAAGGTCCGCGGTCTCAAATTGGAACTATTCTGGGGGTCTTCGACCGGCTGGTCGGCGCGCGACCGGGGGAATTGCTGTGGAGGTGAGAGCAGGAACCGATCATCCGCATTGGCAGCATCGGTGGCAAGCAACTCGAACCAACTGAGTGGGGCAACCCTGGTCGATGCAACCGACGTATCTGTTCCTGGCGAGGGCACAAATTCATAGGTTTGCCCTGGCGTTGGGAGGGTGGCCGGAGCGTTTGCGATGGAATCAGACTCAGCTGTTGTAGTTGGCGTTGAGTGGGATTGGTTTAAGTCTGGATGAAATGGCTCCTCCTGGTGACAGGCATCAACAAGGACCTGCAGCGATTGGTGAACCTGGTTTGACTCGATATCTCTCTGGCCTGCGGGTGTCCGCATGTCAGGGCTCGGACTGTGAGCTAGGGGGGTTTCCACCGATCGAGGCATCATGGGAGGCATAGACACAGGGACGTTGACCTTTGGCGCAGGGTCCACATTGAGGTCGAATCTGGGTGGATTAGACTGGAATAAGAGGGTTGTCTATTGAGGGCTGGGCGACAAGTGCCGTGCAAGGGAAGCAGAAGGGCCTACCTCATCACATTTCACGTGGCGTCGCTTGCAGATGACACTATCTCGATGGGTTAGACTCGTTCTAGTTACCTCGAAGTTTGTCTGCAAACCCAAAATCAAATCCAGAATCCGGGGAATAGGGCAAAAAGCACGCACCAGCCAGTAGTGGCTCTCAAGCCGCGACCACGGGATTTGCGTTTTTGCCGCGACGCGATCCTAGCCATGACGCATAATAAAACGGGGACTCTCCGACGCGAGGGTCATGATGAAAGAGGAAATCCAGGATCGGGACGAGGTGTGCAGGTCTACGTGGAGAGTGGCAAGAGTGTGGAAAGGTCGAGAGCGTCGAATGACCGGGGAGGAAGAAGAGGAAGGATGAAGTTACCGGGGAGGACCGAGTCACCTGATATGATTGGCCCTCGTTTGTCTTTCTTTTCTCCACTTCTTCCAACTGTCCAATTCTCTCCACATCTCCACATTTTCCCCTTTGGTCGTGCTGACTGCCTCGAGACGAGGTGCAGAAAGAGAGAAATCCGTCGCGAGGTGAATTTCCCCAGACACGTCACAATTTGTGGGGGAATAACTAGGGGAAGTATAGTTCAAGAACGCCAGAACGCCCTCTTGAATTGGTGAATAAAGAAAAGAGAAGAAGAAGAATAGAGCTAGAGATTCGACAACACTACAACCATGGCGACAGACAGCAATCGGACTCGTCAGATTCTGGAGGATGCAGAGAAGGGCCAATATGGCGTGTTGGCAGCGATTGTGTGAGTTGAGCTTGGAAATTGCAGTTTTATCAAGAAGCATCGTGATCAAAGATTGATATTCAAGGGCAACCATTGACAACCCCCCAGATATAATATCGAGCACATCACAGCTATGGTGCTGGCCGCCGAGCAACGACGGTCGCCTTTGATTATTCAACTCTTCCCATCCTCATTACTGCAAACGCCATCACTCGTTTTTGCTGCAGCGGCCGCCGCAAAGAGTGCCACTGTCCCCATCTCCATTCACCTTGACCACGCACAAGATTATGAACAAATCAAATATGTTGCGGACAATCTTCCCTTCGATTCAATTATGGTAGATATGAGTCACTACGAGAAAGAAGAGAACTTGCAAAAGACCCGCGTACTGCGCGATTATTGCCATGCGCGTGGCATATCAGTCGAGGCCGAGACTGGACGCATCGAAGGTGGAGAAGATGGCATCATGGACACGGGAGATCTAGAGGGTAAGGAACCTAGGGGACATTGCAACAGAATGGATCTAGTCTAATATATGAACCATAGGAATTCTGACCAACCCAGAGGACGTGGAGGAATATATCACGGCGGGCGTTGACTTTCTTGCCCCGGGAGTTGGTAATGTGCATGGAGACTATCCCCCAGAAGGTCCCAAGCTGGACATGGAACTGTAAGTTCTGCCCAAGGAGGGCCAGAAGCTAAGTGGATGAGTCATTAACAAAACTTCACTCATTACAGACTTCACAAAATTTTCCAATCTATGAACGGTCGTGTTCGACTGGTCCTGCATGGGACCAATGACTTTTCACCCGAGTTAACGAAAGCATGCATCAAGGCCGGGGTGACAAAAGTCAATGTCAATAAGCTCGTGCTAGATCCCTGGCATGAAAACCTCCACAAAAGGGCCAATTGTCCCTTGACCGAGTTGATGGATACGGGAATTCAGGCATTGAACGATGAGATGCAGCGTTGGATGGACATCGTCGGGAGTAGTGGAAAAGCATAAATTGTATTAGGAGAATAAACTTTGGAATTTCATCTGCATAGATAGTATTGTGACTGTCTTATTGATGAACGATGCTGATAATATTTTGTTCCCCTGGAGAGCACATAAATGAAGGAAACCACTGGTATTTGCATGCCTGAATTCCACCTGGGGCAGTATCGTGGTGTAGAGTTCCCCGGTGCGTGAAAGTGCGTCTCATCTCTTGTCTCCTATTCAAACCACCGGCCAGCCAGATGAAAAGTCAATTGCGTTCCAGCCAAACAATTTTTGGCTATCAGCATAACCCACGGTAGTGTCGACGTAGTGGTAGTATAAGACCGGACCGAGGCTTGAATCGGTGAAAACTCCCCTGCTAATGATTAGATAGTGCGACGAAATGGTATTTCCCACAAACTGGCCGAGAGAGGACAGAGAGAATTTAAAATAACTTACTGTCCACCGGGCCCGTATACCGTGCCGTGGCTCTCCAAAACAACTGTGCCCCCTCCACTGGTGCATGCGACGCCAGACTTGTCGACCTATGGAGGGGATATATACGTCAGTTCAGTGATTTGGAGGGCTCAAGAGATTGCAACTTACAAAGTTACCAGTCGCAGAAGTCGATCGGCAGACTTTGATCTTATATTCGGCTCCACTAGCAGGCCGGGAGGTATCATACCCGCAGCAAATTCCAGAAGAGTAGAACAGGTAGTAGTAGCTACCGTACTTATACATGTAAGCGCCCTCTTGAGCGTGTGTTCCGGATGAATCGTAAGCGATATTGTACGACGAAGATGCGACCTTGGTTGCTGCGGAATTCATGGGCGCTTGGTAGAGGTCGTGCCAGAAAGACCCAAAGTTCATATAATAACTGCCATCCACATTTATCAGATTCGGGTCGATGGCGTTGTAAGCCTTGGAAGATGAAGAGGAAATTCCAGTTGTGCCTTTGTCGGTCCAAGAATTCAGATTCATAGTATCGGATGTAGCAAGACCGATTGCAGAATTTTGGGATCCAAAAGTTGAGACGGCGTAGTAGACATAATAGACGCCATTAACGAGCTGGGCGTCAGGGGCCTAGAGAGGAGATTATTAACAGACCGCTCCGATTCTTGCGGTACATCGTTATCACTTACCCAGAGATCATCGTTTCCATCGAGATCAATTGATGAGCCGGCAGGTACCACGGAGCCAATCGCTGTCCAAGGGCCCTTGATAGAGGATGCACTGGCATAAGATATTTTATTTCCAGTGGAAAACCTGAAGTAAGTACCATCGGAAGATCTTTGTATCAAGGATGGGTCATGGACATTGCAAGAACCGGAGCAGCTACCAGGGTTCGCATATCCATGTACTAAGCTGACAAAAAGAGCTGCAGAGCTGGATAGTACCCTAAGCATCATTGTAATCGATGAGGTGCTAGAAGTAAATCTAGAGAATTCTCAGAGTAGTTCATGGTATGCGACCGCAAGTTATGAGTTATATTATATGCGCAACATAATGAATATGCCATTCGTGGAAAGTAGCCCATATCTAAAAAGGAGCACGGGTGGACGACCTTAACGTAAGGGTGCGTCGTTTCGGGGTTTGGAATAGAGAATTTGGGCAAATTTGCGAGCGGGGCGGAGTCTCTCAGGGAAGAAGCGGGACAGAAATGGCTGTCTGAGGATGATAAAAATCCGTGACATTGCTCCGACTGGTGGGAATTGGTTCATGTATAATGCTAGCGCCACCACGACGGGGTGCAGGACGACTAACCTTGGAACTGATTGAGGGCGCTCAGACTGCGGGGGATTTTCTTCAGTCGGCTAAAAGGCAGATAGATACAAGGAAAAGCACCAGTGAAATTCGTGGATTTCGGCTACTATTAGCCGAACTGGAGCGATTCCATCCGTAGAGATGGAAGTGTGAAATTGAAATTGGAAAGGTAAGAGTGCTCTCATAGTAAGCCAGCCATAACCCGTGTTAAAGCCTCATCCTCTGCCTGAAACACATCCAGGGGATTTGGGGCCCGTCCGGCACCAGACTGAGACATTCCCACTTCCGCTTCGTTAGCGATTTCGGATCGAGGCTCAAAACAGAACCCGCCCGCAATTTCAAAGAAGCTACTGAGATCTTCGCATCCATTTGATTCCATTTCGGGAGCTGTACCAGGAGATAATGGCCAGAAGTCTCCCGAAGAACCTTGTGGTGTGGGAATACCAGGTGTCTGATATAACCCAGACGGGATTTTGACTGATTGAGAAAACTTTGTCAACGACACTGAGTCAAACTCGAGGGGATTGCGAAAGGTAAATGGCTGTTGATTCCAAGGGGTCTCGAGCGAGCGAATGGCCGCATCAGAGGCACCTCGAGAGTGAACAGTGTGCTGGATTGCCTGTTGGGCCTGCCATGGTACAGTCAATTGAATGCGTTTGAGACTGTGGATCATTTTCTGCAACCTCCGAGAAGTTCTCGCCCGGGTCGCCGAACGTCGCACCATAGCCACTGCAGTGTAGAACTCGGGCCGACATACTTGGCTGAAACGAGCCGGCGCATGAAGAACCGCGAGGAACAAAGCCGCGAGAGCCGAAATTAAGAAGTAGTTGAAAGGCTCCGGGCGCTGGAAATAGACGTCTGAAATATGACTGTAATAGTCCAGCATATGGATCGAACTCTTTGCTGTTTCCACGGCGATAGAAGCACCAGATATGTCGTCCAAAATTCGATCGTCACTGAGAAGATTCTGTCGGTAGACAAGAATACGTAATTGGTTGGCCTGTAAAGCCAGTAGTACCTGGAGCATTCTGGTACGATCCGTATATTCGGGCCCAGCAGTTGAGCGCCAGCTAGGGTTGAAGCGTAGTTCGCATGGAATGGAATGGACCCACTGCTGGACTTGAGCATCGAGAAACGCGCAACTCTCTGAAGTCGCTTCGCGTGATCTATTCGACCAGCCCACTATAAGGCCCCATATCTTTGTACCTAGCCGAGCATAGGATATCATGCAGGTCAAGTACGGGGTGGAATGGCCAGGTTCCGGAAGATTGGTATCCATGTCAGAATCCTGAATGGAAAATGGCAAACCTGTGCCAAATGACCACTTGCGATCGAGTACATAGATACACCAGAACAGTCGACTGGCCCACATCCACTCTAAAGCACCTGGAAATACGCCACCAGTCTTTTGCCATGTCTCTTGCCGATGCAGACCCAGTTCCATGCTGCCCCGAGCCGCCATGCCTGTCAATCGCCATGCGATGACCTCGTCGTCGCGATAGGAATGAAATATTGACTGTGATGGTAGTCAGTCGACCAAATGTGCGCTCAGATGAACCTGGGATCTTTGACTTGCCAGTAATGTCAATATTAGGCACTCTTTCATATCCACCTGCGCAACTTTGAGTCGACTTGCAAAACGGTCTTCTACGCCATCAGCGAGTTGAGCTGCTCGCTCGCTCTGGCCGTGACTTTCTACCAGCAGGGCTGTGGCAAGGAGAATGTTTAACACTTGAATATCGCGGGCATGAAACCAATCCTCATCCTTTTTTGATGGTCTTCGTGCGGGTGATCTTTTGGAAGCAGAGGTTTGGGAATGATGGTACTCCACGACATAGGTACGCAGACTAGCTAAATCGACGCAGGGGTACATAATACCGACTGTGTCTTCGTAGACCTGTACAAGGCGCAATGTCTCTTCCAGCCCTAGATCATCCAATGAATTTTGGCCTCTAGAGTTCTCAGTAGTGGTCGACCCCGTTGGGCTCTGAGCGACTGAAGAACTATGGTGACTGTCCTGATTCCCCGGCAGGTTTTTTGTTTTGATATTGTCGGCATAATCGAGTGTATACAGTGAACAGTCATCTTGATGGTCCAAGCCAAACTCGGCACTTGTAGGTCCCACATAAGAAGGCGATTTTGGTGGGTTCAAGATGCGCTGTAAGCTACTCGGTCCGGCACTAGCAGTTGGTCTTGGCGAGGTGACAGAATTAGCACTTTCAACCTTATTCAAACGAGCGGAAAGAGTCCGCGTCTCCTCACGGAGAGTATCGAGTTCCCGATCGATAGCCCGAAATCGCGCATGGCTGGCCCTGAAAGAAAAAAGCAACAGTCAGTCTGAAAGGATTCTTGGTAAATAATTCACACCAATGAGAAAACTCATGAAAGATGTCATAGGATTTGTATGCTTTCCTACAAATCATCTTTGGTCTCGGGCTCTTCAGGTGGCACTATCGACCGCTGCGAAGTATAGATGCAGGTGATATTGTCGCGCGCACATCGCATGCATACAGAACCACCGCTGCATTTCAGCTTGCGCCGCTTACATTCGTTGCTTAGCCCAAGACGTTAGAAAGCCTCCAGGAACGCAAATTCGGAATGGGACTTACCAAGCTGTTTGGGTATATTTAGCTCGTTTTCGCGGGCGCAAGGAGGCCAGATCCTCATCGAGTCTGACATCCAGGGCCATCGCACATCTACTTCTTAATAAACCGCGGGGATGGTTGAATGAGCGGAAGCGAGATGAATTTAGAAGCTCGGAATGCACGGAAAGAAGGATATTAATGTGGAAGATAAGCGGAAACCTGCGGTGGAGACCGTTAAATTAGGGTCCCGTGGTTGGCATGGCCCCCTAGACTAGTACCAGGTTCCAAGGTTGGTGCCAACACTAAAACCTGAGTTATCCTCGGTATTTCGGAACTGCTCCACTCTGGAATTCAAAAGAACTACTTAATCGTTCAGCGGAGAGGACCAGCAACTCTTCTTTCATCAGGAAGAGTGTGAGAAAGAGAGAACTGATATGATTGAAAAAGAAGTATGTAGTTTGAAACCCAAAGTCATGAACATGATTAACGCCTTGTAAGATAATGCAGCCCTGGACTCGGAAGTGTCAGGTTTTTAATCCAACCTTGGAACATTTGAAAGTTCCCTGGCCCTTCCTGTCAAATTCCAATCCAAATTTATGTACAGTACAGTGGTTCTTCTCAATTTGTTCAGAGCCTGTCCTCTAGATATGAGCCCTACGGCAGCAATCCTGATCTGCCAGTCGTGAAGATACGTTCTTATTCGAGGGAACGTCGATGGAAGGATTCTCTACGAAAAAGTCCGCCGGGCGAATCATAAGCTGAAATGTTTCAACGGGCCTGCTGCCGTTAGTAAAGAGAACTCATGTGGCTGCAAGCAGGCTGGGGAGGTGATCATACATGACGGGCCAGTCTTCCACGCGAGGGTTGTGGGTGATGCCGAACGAGTTCCAAACAACAACGTCGGTGTCAGCTACAGAGTCACCTCGGCGAACGGCGTCTGCAACGCCATCAACTTCAGATTGACTTTGCAGGGTGTACCGGCCACCCGCATACAGCTCGTTGTCCTGATATTTTGTCACCCACACATGATGCTGGGCAAACTGAGCACGGCGAGCTTGAACAGATTCTGGATCGGCCAAAAGATTCTGGGTGGCGAGAGGGATGAACTTGAACCCAATGGGATTTCCACTGATGGGGTTAGTCTTGTGTGGATTGATCATCTTGATTGTCCGGTTGTATTCCGGGGCCGCATCGATCCAGGATGCTCGCTCAACGGTCTTTTTCGTGATCTGATAGAAATTGCCATTGGGGTTGGTGACCGCGTTCATTGGAACTGGATGTGACTCTTCCACCACCACCGAATTCCTCTGTCCGTCAATAGCCGGGTCTAGGCGGACACAAAAAATGTGCTGGTGATTCTGAGCGAGGACCCCTCCACTGACCACGTTACCATAGTCGCTGACCTTGCCCGCATCGATGTTGACGACATTCAAGATGCCGGTCGCCCGAGCCTCGACGATGATGTCGCCTGACTGGTTGAACTTGTAGGCGAAGATATACTCATAGTTCGCGAGTGTGATGATGAACTGCACGACAAGCTCCCTATTACGAGTGACCACAGCTCGGCCGGTCCGCCAGTTGGAGTGCTTCCAAGCGATTCCATTGTCTTGCTCGTGAAGGCAAATTGCGTTAGGCAACTTCTCGGCAGTGCCATCTGGTTGTGTAATCACGGCATCAAAGTATTTTATCACTCCAAGGCAGTCACACCCAAGGGAGAGATTGTTGGCCATGTTTCCACCACCGCCATCGCCAAAGTCAAAGGCCTGCTTTCGATGAAACGGAGGACGAGGATCGGCGTACGGTACGGTCTAGCAGAAAGCAAGTTGTGTGAGCTCGAAAAACAAAAGCTGGCACGAGGCTAGATCGGTAGATGCCGGAATAATGAGGCCGGTACCAACCAGAGATTAGAACATACCATTTCACTGATGGCCAGCCGATGCATCACGCTACGGCCATCGTACCGCAGATCATGGATCGTCGCACCTTCACGTGGGTTGAAGCCCACGCGGAACCGCCACTTCTGCCATTCGACCAGTGACTCGTTAGTGACGCGAAAAGAGGGACCCTCGGGTTGCACGACGTTCAGTGGCTTGAGGTCCGCGCGAGTTCCTTCGGTAAGCAGCTCGGGCACATATTCGGAAGGCTTGCAGTGACCAATGATAGCACGGTTGAAGGTTTGTTCTAACAACCCATCTCCCTTACCTCCTGTTGCAGGTCGGTCAACACGGATGATCTTCTGAGTGTGTGCATCCATAACAGGGATAATAGGCAGAGGGAAGGAGTAGAAGTTGGAGTCTGGGTTTCCCGATCGCTTGTCTTGGGCAAAGCATAGCCCCTGGAAAAAACGACGGTTCTCATCGGTATTATCCAGTCCTCCATAGGGCCAGGGCTCAATGACAACCTCGAATCCATCGGGTAAAGAGAACTCGGCAATGGCTTCCTGGAACATAGGTGAGCTCATACACCGATCAACAAGCACGTCAAATTCGCTCCTGCAAAGTGTTGGGATTAGCTGGCTTGAAATTGACGAGAGTAAAATGCAAATCAACACGTACAAAGTCAGGGATGCATGGTGCTGCTTTCCCACAACGGTATGTTTAATCTGCTTGAGAGCGACGAGGTCGACCACCGACTCCTGATACTCGGGGATCCGATCGGCGCCGATGACGTCGTACTGGCATAAGGCTAGGCGCGGTGGGCGTGGTGTGGTTGGGCTGAGACGACCTGCATGCTCAAGGGCAAGAAATTCCAATAATTGAGGCTTAGGGGGGTTCCTGCAGGAAAATCTCTCTGAAATCGATGAGAATGTTGTCGGGATGGGCAGCGCGGACGAGATCACGAGCCACGTTGGTTTCTTCCGGAGAGAGAATGGCAAGAGGATGGGCCACCATTGTGTGTACTAGTATGTACAAAAACGTAATATAATTAATTGTCTTTTGACTTGAAGGGAATTAGATAGGACACCTACCGCCTTTTATCATCTTTGATCTTTCTTGCTACAGAGTACCCCCAACGAATATTCCGTTCAACGGTTCCGAGCTTCCGCAAGCTCCACTCGACAGACTTCCTTGGTTCATTTTAGCCTCCATTTAGTGTGAGGCGCGAGTTTTGCCCATTTGGGCATCTCCCGGCTAACGAGGGCGTGAAATTTCATGACCCGAAATAAGAACTCAGAGGTAGAGGAGCCGGGATAGTAGATCTAGTCTGACTACCAATGAGATTTCAAACATCAGCAAACCACAATGCGACCTTAAACAAGCAGCTAGGACTTATCTTGGAATAGTACGGTTTTTTTTGGGTATCGCCACTGCTGGCCAATGGTTTCTCCCCCCGCGTTTCAAACACCAGCCACGACAGTCATTCTCATTGGTTGACACGCCGTATCTGACGGGCCGATCATATGGAATCTAGGAAGGACGGAACTTCCCCGCATTTCATGGAGGTAAATGGCATATCAGGGCTGCTTATCTTGTTATTCCATGGCCATCAAAGTAGCCCATCACAGTGGCTTGCACATTCTTTGTCCTGATAAGGTCATGATAAGCCTTCATGTAGGCTAGGTGCGGATCCATGCCCGCCATACCCCTTTGATAGAACTCTCTTCATTTCCGCCCTGTCCGAGGCTATCTCCCTCCCGGCTTATATTACGGAGTAACCATTCCATCCGGACTGTTTGGTCAATGAACAAGAGCCTGGGCAAGCGACAATCGAACTCAGCTACCTACACAGCGCTCTACATTGCGCTCTACATTCAATATGGATCCCCATTCCGATCGACATTCAGACACCAAGGGCATCGCTTCCGACCCGGAGAAGCCCATTAGCGATGAGGAGCAGTTGGCAGCACTTGGTCATGTGCAAGAGCTCCGCCGTGAGTTCTCGCTATGGTCTATCGTCTGCCTACAGATCTCATTGATGGCCACTTGGGAGGCCCTTTCATCCGTCGTCGCCACGGCCTTGACTAATGGTGGCGCCCCCTGTCTCTTTTATAATTAGTGAGAGAACCCCAAAAGCCCGAATATCTGCACCTGGTAGTTTTTCAGCATTTTTCTAAAGATATTGCTCATTATACAGCCTCATCGCCCTGGTTGGAACGGTTTTTATTGTGCTTTCCCTCGGAGAAATCGCCTCAATTTTCCCCACAGCCGGAGGTATGCCCATCGATCAATTCTCTAATTCTGTCGGACTTTCGTTGATATATAAACAGGGCAATATCATTGGGTGCACTGCCTCAGTCCACCTTCCTACCGATCAACTGCATCCTGGTTCACTGGTTGGATCTCCATCGGCGGGCAGCTCGTCCTTTCAGCTTCCGCTGCTTTCGCTGCTGGGCTCCAGCTGCAGGCACTAATCACCCTCAACCATCTCGATACATATGTGCCACTGAGATGGCAGGGCATGCTTTTCTACTGGGCAATTTTGGCATATTCCACAGCGGTGAACGTATGGGGATCTAAGATTCTACCGCATACCAATCTTATCGCAGGTAAACAAGCCGCTGCGAGATAGACCCAGGAACGAGCTAACGTGGCCATAGGAGTACTGCATGTGATTGGTTTTATTGTCATTGTTTCAGTCCTTGGCTCAATGTCGTCGAAACATACTGCAACATATGTATTCACTGAATTTTCCAATAGCAGCGGTTGGACAAATGATGGGGCCTCCTGGCTAGTTGGTTTGTTGAGCACAGTATACCCATTTCTCGGGTATGAATCCTACTACCTAGTACTATCTCACTAGATTCCAATAAGTGACTGACAGCCATTATCTCTGCAGGTACGATGCAGCTTGTCACCTTAGTGAAGAACTTCCTAAACCATCTCGAAACGTCCCCTTGGCTATGATCGGCAGCGTTGCGATCAACGGTCTCATCGGCCTGGTATACACCATCGTCCTACTTTTTGCTCTGGGGGATCTCGACAATCTTCTGCAATCAAAAATTGGCTTTCCCTTCATGCAGCTCTTCCTAAACGTCACGGGATCTCCAGCCGGGGCATCGATACTTGCTCTGTGCATTAGCTTGGTCGCGCTGGCCGCAAACGCAGCCGGTGTGACCTCAACGAGCCGCACAGCGTGGGCCTTTGCTCGCGACAACGGTTTGCCAGGATCGAAATTCCTGTCAGTTGTCAATCCGAGTTTGAAGGTTCCGGTCCGGATGGTGCTACTCGTCTCCTTTTTGCAGATGCTACTAGGACTGATCTACCTGGGGAGCTCCACTGCATTCAACGCCGTGTTATCCATGGCAATCCTGGGAATGTATGCTTCCTACTTTTCGCCAATCCTCTTTATGCTGCTCTATGGTCGCCGCTCCTCTAGCCCCATAATACGAGGACTTGGATCGGGCCCTTTCAATCTTGGGAAAGGATGGGGCCCAGTCGTCAATATTGCCGCCGTCCTGTGGCTTGTTCTTGCAATGGTTTTTAGCACGTTCCCCACGGTTGAACCAGTCACGCCAGTCAACATGAACTACTGCGTGGTTGTCACAATGGGATGGATGGTAATTGGAGCGGTGTACTACTATCTGCTCGGTGGCAAGAGGCACTTCACTGGGCCCATAGTGGAAATAGTCGAGGGAATGTAATACCACCAAGTAGTCAACGGCAGTCAGAAATTAACGGAACGAAGCCCCGATGATCCATACCATTTCCAGTTAGTTGGTATTCTCAGAGAAAACCGTAGAAATCAGGCAAGGGAAAATAAAGCGGCAAAGCCTATTGGGATGGACTGTCTCCGAAACTTTACGCCAAGAGTTGGAGGGGTCGAAAGCGGGTCGTGATGAGGGGCATCTACACGAGGGGGGGAATGGAGTGAGAAATCGAGAAAAAAAAATCATACAAAGATCGTGCGAACCTTAACAATCTCCTGATTTCAGCTCTTGCTAATTTTGGGCGGAAATAAGCAGGTTACAAACATGACGACTACCAGTATTATCCATGTTCCCCATCTAGGGGGCATTGAGGTGGCCTATCAAATGCCCGAGGTCTATGATTCGAACAAGCCAACACTTGTACTAGTCAACGCTTTCACCACAACCTCCGAGCTTTATCGAGCTCAGTTCAGTGACTCGCGATTGACCGATCAGATGAATCTAGTTGCAATCGAGCTACTGGGCCATGGACAAACTCGTACTGCTCGTGAGCAGTGGACATACTGGGATACTGCGGAGATGAACTTGCAGGTCTTGGATGCATTGAAGATTGATCGGGCATTTGTCCTGGGAACTAGCCAAGGTGGATGGGTCACTGTTCAAATGGCTTTACTGAGACCGGAAAAGGTATTTTTCCAATGCCGCTTGCTTTGGTCCGCCACTAAGAATATTTAGATCGCTGGGGTTATCCCTCTGGGAACCTCAATGGATAGCGAATCCGATCGAAGTCGTAAATTGCAATGTTGGGATGGTCCGGCGGTTGTTTCCAGCTTTGTGACACAGTGGGCGGCCAGCAAAGGTAGTTCCAACTTCGAGCCAGACGACAACTACTGTAACGCATTGATTAATATTGGCTTCAACGAATGCACGGATGAAATTCGCAATTTCTGGCAGTCCACGCTTAAATCCACTTATCGTGGAGAGGAGGGCCGACGACGGATTCGCATGGCCGCAATAAACTTAGCTGAGCGTGGGGGACTTCACCTGAGACTTTCAGACATCAAATGCCCCGTGAGATGGCTACATGTACGTTCCTCGCCAGTTAGCTGACCGAAAGCAACTACTAAGTCAATTGCCAGGGAACCAAAGATGCCGTATATTCGATGGCCAATGCGACAGAGGAGATTGAGATGTTCGTCAACTCGCCGGACGCACAGTTGGTGCCAGTGGAGGGAGGTGCCCATTTTTTGAACTGCTCTCATCCGGTTGAGGTGAATCAGGCCATTCTGGAGTTCGTGGGCAAATATAAGTAATCATCGGTGGGCAAACGTACTCCACAATAATCAAACTGGATATGATCAGAAACCGCCTTCGGGGATTGATAAAGCTCTAGCTCTTTGTTGTCAAAGTTCTTTTCAAAGGTTCCATACGATGTTTTCTTTTCTTTTCCTTTATTATCTTCTTAGTCCCGTGGGGAGATTCAAATATGTTTAACAACATTTAAGATTCTTAGCCCAGAACTCAGGAAATTCAAGTTAGCTTCAAGTTCCAATGTTTCAAGGTTCAAATTCAAGTTTGATAATACACCTACGGGTATCTAGTAGACAATAGTAGTATTATTCAACGACCCTTGGCAAATATCCCCAAGTTTCCAATCAGGACAGGGTATCCATGGATCACGAGGACACTGATGAACACATCGAAATTGCACAGGGTATCCACATGTGATGAATGCAAAAAAATACTCTACCTAGCAAACCTCCAGGTCACGAGGCCAGAGTTTCAAGGCGCGACTTGTTTTGCTGTTTCGGGGCAAGATAAGACCGGAAGATAGCGACCGCAGGTCGCCTCGAGGGTGTAAATGATAGACACGCCAAGAGTGGAGCTGCTACCTCCAGCTATTGCAACACGCGACACCGAAGACGAATGTGATCATAAGGTTGTGAGGGTATAGCTGAGTGGATGACTCGTGAGTGTCTGATGCAGGGTGACCTTAAGGGTCAACGGGTTACAAGTTTTCAAGGTTGCGAATACGAGAATGTCCAATCAAGTTGTCATGGCGTCATAGGAAAATGATATCGAGATGTTTCCAAGGTTTAAGGCTGGTATTGATTCCAGTCCCTGGAATGCGTGGGCTACATTGACTTGGGTTGGTTGAGAGTGTGTGGTAGCAAGATTGAGACTTGAGAAATGGCGGAGAGAGAAACAGCACAGGGACGCGGGCACTGAGAGTCATGTGACCCATAAGAGCCTGGCATTTTTACGTACTCGAATCATGGGGAAATGAACATTAACTTATTATGAAACATAAGATGATGGCAGCTTTATTCATTGCTGGAGATCTGCATGCTTTTGACATTTATGCATACTGCCACTTGGGCAGTGGTTACTAACATCGATGGTGCTTGAAAGCTTCAACCTTGCAAGTTTCGGGTATGATCTATAAATTATTGCACGAACTCCCAATCTTCGAAAGTTGTCTTAATTTATCAGTAAGATAGTACTACGAAGGAAATGGTACTCGAGTCTACTAGTAGAGCGTATGTAGACTGTTCGATTTAAAGAGGAGAGTTACTTTGTAACGTTCCTTGTATTATCTGAACTTGAAAACTCTGCATTAGCATGAGGTCCAAACTTGAATAAATAGTGAAGACCAATAATTCCTGTTAGCCTGTTTCGACCAGATCAATACCAATGAGGGATTGTCATTTCGGTGTTATGGTTCTCCAGGCTGATAGTCGTAAGACACTCAACAGTTGTTACAGCGCACCATTCAGATAAGCTTATTCCTCTTGATGCATGTCTAGAGTGCATAGACGTGATCCTCTAACATTGCCGTGATCTTCGAAAATAACAGAAAGCTTTCGATATTAACGTGATTGACCTTGATGGTGATTGGCGGCGGGGAAGTTTGGTCAAATATCCTTGAATTTCCAGCAATCGATTCTGTTAAGATATCAAGTTGCAGATGCGGAGAAGACAAGGCATACTACTTCTTGATGCGAAAGGGCAAGTCGTTAAAATGGGCGACCATGTTTCTCGAAAAGAAGAGAAAAGGTGAAAATGCGGGAGCAGAGAACAAAGCCCGCTAGCATATCGACTTCCGCACAGTGCATGGTTCCGTTAGCTGCTTCGGCGGCCGTACGGCTCGAAGGGGAATGTACCAGCTACTATAGCCATTACAATATATAGCGCTGCACATATAAAGATTGGAACCGGGGTTGTGGTCTGGGGTAGTAAGAGTCAGCACCTAGATATCATATTATGGCACAAATAGAAGAATCAAGGGTAGGAAAATGAATGACTCACATCAGCGGCTTGTCCGACAACCGCACTTACTATACCCATGATGCGATTGAGACCAATAGCAACCCCGTTGCCGGTCCCTCTATGACCGGAAGGAAAAACCTAACGAACGGTTAGATTTGGGGTTCGGCTGGAAGTATTTGGTTTTTCAAAAAAACCTTGAAGGTGAGCTCGTTGACCAACCTCTGGTGTGTACGCATAAAGTGTACCGTAATATATGTTCAAACAGAACGATATAGCACATGTAAAGCCGAGATTCTGGCTAGCTGTGCGTACTTGGGTGTAGCAGAAGAAAAATACCATGGTAATAATGGCGCCGATTATCATTGTTCCACGGCGACCCCAAAACCAACGCGAGCGGCACATGAGACCCGCTAGGATAGGACCGAAAATACCACAAGTGTTGTTGATAGCATAATTACGCCAGGTGATATAGTCACTAGCTTGGCCAAAGCTTGCACCACGAGATGCGAGATATGTTGGCAAGAACACATTGTACAGCGGATACGCAAGACCAATGAGAAGCCAGGAGAACCAAACGAGTGTGGTGGAGAAGGCCATCTTTCGGGTTGCAAAGAGTCCCTGTAAATGGTAAATCACTTCCTTAAAAGAAATGAGCCGTTTTGTCATTCCCGTCGCGGTGGTCTCATGGCGATGAGATGCGCCACAGGCTGCCAGGCGCTCTATGTTAATGCTGCACGGACGATTATACCGTTTCGCGAGACCCTGAAGCACTTGAACGGCCTCTGCATCCTTTCCTTCCGCGATGAGAAATTTTGGTGTTTCCTGCAGCCGAACGATGGTGATCCGGAGAACGGAAAGAACAAAGACAAAGGCCCCTGATGTGTACCAGACATACCGCCAGCCCTGGTTATTCTCTCTTGTACAGGTGGCTGCGTCGGAACACGAGTAGTTTGGAAGGAAAGCCCAGGCAAAAAGCCCCGCGATCAATTGACCGAGACCTGAAAAAATTAAGATGATTAGCAATCTCACGTTACAGACTGGGTGAGAGGAAGGCTCGATTGTTTCCTACCCCACCAGGCCGCCATGAGTGTCAAAAGCCATTGATTCTTGCTGGGAAGATATTCAAGGAAGACTGTCGTATCCAGCACAAGGTTACCCCCTGCACCGAATGCACTCAGGGAAATAAACAGCCCTAGTGTAATCCACGATGGGGCAGCCCCAGCCACTACCGTGAAAATGGAGGAAACGAAAAGCGACACGTTGAATGCAAAGCGGCGACCGATGATATCAGCTGAGAATCCCCAAAAGATGGCACCAGCCAGCATACCAACGTAAACCGCAATTGTCAGACCCGTCGCATAGCCGGGCTGGAACTCTAGTCTGGCCTGGGCCGAGATAATAGACTGGATAAGGAGGATGAGCGAGTCGACGGCATACCCGAAGCCATTCAAACAGAACAGTTTCCAGTGATGACGCGTAAATCCAATTTCATCAATGGCCTAAGAAGAATGATGAATGGTTCGTACTTCATTCCGCTGACACAACAAAGCATTCAAAGGAGGCACCTACATCGTTGACAATCACCATCTTCGCTGCAAGCATTTGATCAACTTCACCTCCCAACAGGTCATTCTCCCCGTGGTCGATCGAACGATCCCCGATGGAGGGGGTATTAGGACGCTTAGAGGTGGCTTTTTCTTTGTCCATGACCTCTGCGAGGCCACCAGCGGAGCTTTCCAAATCCATCATGAGAAAAATGAGATGGTTTGGATCGGTAGTGTTATGTTACTAATCATGTGCTTTGTCTGACGATGCGTTCAAAGACGGGAGGCGACACCTGGCAGAGAGATGAGGGGCGAAGTGATCCGACAGCGAGCGACAAAAATTATTCTGACCAACTTAACCGAATTTGCGCGATGTCCCTTCCCCTTGGACTGCCCGCTTGAGCTTTTTGGGCCTTTTCTCTCGTCCGTGACATCGTGAGATTGCGGTGATCCAATCAGTGCAGAGACGACAGAGACGTGCGACTTATCTAGCATGCCGTGGCTAACTAAATATGGTAAGAATCGACAGTGTGGGGAACCGAGAGCGGGTGGGGCTCTTGTTTGAGCGTGACCTAGTTCTCGGAGACATTCCAAGGTTCGAGCGTTGTGGAGATAATGTTGGGTGGTCTGATCATATTCACGATTTCTGGCAAATTCAGGTGAAGGCTGGATAAATGGTTGTAGATGCTGAGATGCCCGAGGGTTCAGGCTCCCAGGGGCTAAGTCAGCCGTGCCCACCATGCATGTGTAGATGGCTTCAGTCTTAGCTTCTTCTATGCCACACATTCAGTGATATAGTTAGAAAATATAGTTAGAAAAATAGGCTACTCATGCGTTCATAAGTGGGTATCGAGGTCCCAAGTTTTATTAATTTTGATTAGATCAAAGGTATCTCTAGGTTTCCGAGAAGTTGTTGAGATAATCCAAATTTAATCCTTACCTAGGGCTATTGTGTTCTGTAAAACATAATGTTTACCATTAGAAGACGAAGTTAAGGATGAGAGTACGACATTTCTTTTCATTTGAGACTGGTCCGAATCGCTAAACTTGAACTAAGTCACCCAGTTCAGTGTACTGAGTTTGACCAGGCTTATGATAGCAGTAGGTACAAGATTGAAGTATTGCGACTTTCTCTGATATCATTAGAATGGTCACATCATTCTTTTCCGCACAAGAAATGACAGCCCTCACCTAGCAGCTTGCGCCTTGAAGCGCAGGAATACAAGACTCTGTAAGGACGATCGCTCCAAGTTGGGTTCCATCGGCGTTGTGGACGTATTGCTGGGAGGACCGGGTACCTCCATAGGCACAGAATCCGCTCATGGAAGCGAAGGCTGCTCGGAATGCATTCGTACAAGTAAGTTGGCCAGCGAACTTGGCATCATCACAACTGAAATCATCGCTCTTTGCGAAGGCAGCAGATCCAGCAGACGCCTTTCCTGTGATGAAGGCTTTCGCGCAGCTATTAAGTTGTCAGCTGGATCAATTCCGCGGAGTCCCGTAAGGTTGTTCAGAACGGCGACCGTGTGATATAGTCATACATAACCGTCTTCAACTAGCTTATCGAAAATGCCGTCGAAAGCATCATCCTCGAAGATTGGAGCTAGACTGGAGCAGCCATCACCACATCCCTCTGTTTTCACGACGTCTTGAAGTTGAGCCCAGTCGGCAATCACAGAGATTGGCAGAAACGCGACTAGAAGAGATGTAGCAAATGTAGAGGAACGCATGTTGAAAAGTAATAGACAATTGGGGGCAAGTCCTCAGGGAGGGATTGTTGAGAGATCGATTCTAGAGAAAGGGATTCCAACTTATACTGACGCGAATGTCTTGCTACTTATACCATTTCAAGCAGAGGAATGATTATCAAACGGAGATAAAACACCTGAAGATCTTTGGATCCACACTCGGTTTTCTCGGCTTCCTCTCCGGGGCTTGTTTTTTTCACTCCTTTGGGACGAGGTCAGGAATAAGGGTCGATACCTAGTATGAAGACGCGAACATACTAGCTAGGTAGGTAGAAGATCCAGCCGGTTTCCGGAACTTGAACGACTGGATATTTAGCGCCGGGCCATTTTGCTGTCACTGGAGTCGGAGTATGTGGCTAAATGAAGTTTCACCTTTTAACCCAAATAGTTAATCAGATGTAGATCTGGCTGAAGTTTGCCCAGGCAGTGACTGTGCCTCCAGGCAGAGTCGGTTCCAAAGGTTGTAGTCCACTTGATAAGGGCTGAACAGCGTGTATGATGATGTTTGGCCCCCATCGCCAAGGGCTACAGTCAGTAGCCAAGAATTTAATACCAAATATCGAGAAAGAAACCTTAGAAATCTCGGGAACATTTTCTTGGAACCTTGGAATGCATCGAGCTTCGTCTACTCCATCAAATACCAAAGTCTATAAAACCTGGTTATAACAAAGCCCCGTTTCCCTAGGTACCGGACGTGAGCTACCACCTCGCACCAGCTCCTCATTATGGACAGCAGATAAAGCATATTCAGCGAAGATAAACTTGGCATTTTCGGAACACAGACGGCGATTTAAAGCTACCACTCTAAATGTACTTTATGAACAAGCCCCGCGAATTACCCCTCCGCTAAGCAGCACTGGCTGAGCGTTGTGTTAAGTGAGATGTCGGCTTTTGAAGGTATTCCGAGAGCCTTCCAGGTTCGTTTATAAACATGCTGAAAACAAATAGACGGGTGAGGTAGCACTGCAAAGACCCCGGTTCAGGTCCCCTGCATGGGCTGGCCCTGCATTTGTTTCGGAGCACCTGTTGTTTTAAGATTCGAGGATCCTTTCTTCGGTCGGCAGTGGTGACCAAGAGCAGCTGGTAGGAGGGTGCAGAGCTTAAGGGACCAAGAGAACCCTAAACCCCTGCTCGCCAGGGCTATTGCCGCTCAGTATATTGCACCAGTCTGCAGTGCTGGCAACGCTAGCTTATTGTTTCTAGCATTCACTTCATTTTTAATTCAGTGTTAGCAGATTATTGCACTTACCACATCGACAATCGTAATACATTGCGAAGCCTGAACGGAAATCGCGAGGGAACAAGGCACTCCGACCTCGGGAGTCATCGGAGTTCCTGAAGATCACGTGGAGGATAAGCTTGAGTTGTCAGCAGCCAGAAATTGACAATTGCCGTCTTTCGCACGAGATGCGGTGAAATTAAACTCCAGAACTGAGTCCATCGGGATAATGCCTTGGGTCTAGGAACAACTTGAAGTGGAACGATTGGTGTATGTTGTGGAGGGGGCCGAGAAAACATAACCACCTGAGTTTACCTAATGTACCCAGGTAATGACTAGAGAGCAGTCGCTTCATAAGGATACGAGACCCGAGCGATGATGACTAAATTTGGATGATCATCAAGGAATGCTTGGATGAATTGAATTTCTCTTCGTTATGGACTAGCTTCATACAGTTTACTATGGTTTCGCTTCCTTTTGGCAAGAATTAGGATCCTTCGAGAAATCTCAGCGCTTTGCTCGAGCTGCGTCATCAGCTAAATCGACCTTGGCATCGGAGAGTGAGACGCTAACAAGCATCCCCCGCTTCACTAAGTACAAGTCGCGCAGAAAGGCTTCCAGTTATGCCCGGTAGGTATGAGAGATCGGCGCACTGACTGTATAAGGGCCTATGGAGAGCCAGTCTTATTCCTAGTTTAGATTCAACACTAGTAGGACACTGTACAGAGCTTAGGTTCCCGGAACTGTTGAACCGGGAATTCCCACTGGGGGCTACCCCAATGGAAGCACTTCTAGAATTGCCAAGGACGACCTATGTAATGTAACTGATGAGATGTCACCTCACTTCGAAGTGGTGTTGAGTCTTTTAGAATACCGATGGCTTTTCTTGCTCTCGAAACCGGGTAGTGTCCCGACTCAATGCAAATATATGCGGTATCTTGAATTTGTGATGCTTCTGAAAAGATTAAGCTACGTCACAGTCTCATCATACTACATAATTATTGACGCACAGGCTTTGTATACGGCAGCGCACTTGTCTACCCAGTACGGAGTATAATAGTACTGGCAGATGCATAATGTATAACATATTTCTAAGACTTCGGGAGTTACAATAAGACTTAACCCTACAACCTTTGCATGGCTTACCCTATTCTTTGGGCTTGCCACAGTTCACAGTACCCATGACAACACTTGCAAGCCCTCTGGAGTTGTGGCAGTCTACGGTTGTGGAAGGATCCATGGCCCAGATGATTATGCCAACAGTCAGAGTCCTGCTATAACTCCTAAAAGGTTTGCTCAAGTATGTGATAAGCAAGTTCCAGAGGACCCTGGCAGTTGGCACAGTGGTACATGTTGGTTCTATCATCCGGGCGCAAAGGATGTTTTCAACGAGGATGCAGGTGCCATCGAAACCCGGAAGGATTAGTATAAGCTTAAAGCCGCCTATGACTAGAGCTTGGCAGATAATGATGGTCTGCAGAAAGGCTGGGATGAGTGTGAATTAGACAAGGCTACTGGCCAGCCACCTGGTGGTGACAATGACACTGGTCTATCTAGCTCCGCAGCTACCCCTATTCCTGCTGGCTCTAATAAATGTAAGTGGTGTAGGTATAACTGGCCGATTGAACCCGATGGGAGGAGGGTGGTCATTTTCATACTAATATGGAAATGCCAGAGAAACAATATCTATTCCAGATTCCGTATTACAATATGTGGCCAGGCCGTTGTTATCAATTCTGCCACCGCCGTTCTGACTCCAGTAGATAACATTCTGGGCAGCTAACACATCTCAAGAAGATTTGTTAAGCCCATCTAGTGCCGCTAATACAGCGTTTACCCCAAAAAGGGCGATACTTGCAATTATGTCCGGCCATTGCATATTGATTAATATAAATCAAATTCGAATCGAGAAAAGGACGAGGTAACGAGTTCAGTAGACCACTAGAACGAAATTATTCGAGATAGGAGATGGACTGAGGATCAAAGCCCCAAAGAGTTTCCCGAGCGGCCCTTCAAAGATATGGTGGAAATAGTGGTAGAAAAGCAGAAATACCTGTAGCGTATATCTTAAGGTGATAGATAAGTCAGTTTTCGGTTCCATCTGAAGCATTAAGTCATGCGTGCCCAGGTGGATGATCTTTCTCCTTTTATCAACTAGGCTGCGGACTCTGTATGACAGACACCACACCACCGTAGTATCAAATATCATTCCTTGAATACCACCATACAGGGTTACAACCTACAATATCTCTTGGTAAATATTATTAAACCCTCTCTGTTCAAGTGATGCATCTCTTTGGCGAGCGTCAAAAGTCTTGAAGTAGACCGAAAGCGTTCAATTACTGCTGAAGTATATTGAGAGTCCCAGAAGTTTATCTGATCTTTCTATTTCGCAATGTATACCCCATTTGGTTTGAACATCATTACAAGCTCTTTTTTATTGGGTAAGCCCCAGGTGCGCTTACCAACCATTTCAGCGTGCGATAAATGCGTCAATGAAGAATGTATGTACTGTAAGTAGTTTTACCATGATTTAGAACCATTTCCAGAAGCTGGATAGGTCGCTCTATTATCAGTCGACATATTAATATATTCTTATTCTCACAAAGGATGAATTAGGAGGTAGGAGTATCGATAAGATGATTGGACTTCAAGTTGTATCTTAAAGATTCGGGAGTGGCGATCGCCATCACTCGACTACATTCAACTGCAACAATTGATTCATTCTGTAGCCCAATTCGTTCTAATCCGTTAAGCTCCAGATTTGTAAAACGCCAATGTAAGCGCCGCTCATCTGAGTAAAAGAAGACAAGAAAATGCCGGTAAACGAAAACACGAGTTATTTACTAAACGATTTCAGTAGAAAGTGGACCAAAAGGTTTTAGCAATTTGGTGAAGTAACTTTCAAATATAAAATCAGTAATGAGCCATCACAGAGTATGTAATCTTCTTGCTGGTACCCCAATACCCAAGCTTCTCCATTTGCCCGGTTGTCACATGACTCTTGCTCCACCATCTCCGACAGCATTCACATGCAGGACCCCCGGACCTCGTTTTAGATATAATGGCTCGATCCGCCTTCTATTGTTCTAGTGCTAGAGCCCATTTACCATATACTATCCATGAAACTGATTGGCTCCAGCTGTCAATCGAATCTCGGGGGCTCACATCAAACAAACAGCCACCATCATCATACATAATGTGTCAAGTGCTGTTCCCCTAGGTTTACCACCCAAGGCCTACACGGAGCATTAATATCCAGATGACCAAGTGAAGGCAGGGTGTATGCGAAATATCTAAATCAAACTAGATCTACAGCCGGCCTTCATGTGGAGTGGATATTTGGCTCTGCTATTGTCTCCCGTGGAGTAAATTTCCAGTTGCACCTAGGTACTAAATTTCATCTTCTAAAAGTTTTCCCCTCTAGCCGAAATATCTTTCTTGTTAGGCTTGAGAGCTGGTGATCATCATCTCATAGCATAATACTGTAGTATTCGGCATTCCAGCTGACTCTTTGCTCCAAGGACATGGCATGAAATAGGCGGCTTACTCCACAGAGGCTTTTTCGGGCTACGATAAAAAAGCAAGAGAACAACAAACAGATCAAGTTCCAGAGGAGGCAATATTCGCTAATACGACTTAACCTGAGGAGGCCTCAATGTTTGATGGAACGGTTCTATCCGAAGGTGTCTAGCTGGGGTTACATGTGATGTACAATAATGATTTACATAGAGATCTTCAATGAATCAAATACGACCTAACCGGTTGTTTCATCCAAATTATAGGGAGCCAGAGCGGCAAATTAGACTGAGATTGTGCCTTACTACTTTTTTCAATCGGGGTGGTGGAATACAGGAAGAACCTCTTATAGATCATGAATTCATATTTATTATACAATATAACCCGGTCATGGTCTTTTATAATTAGCAAAAGAATTAAGGTAGTGAAAATTCAACAGTGAGACACATAGTGACTTTTGGACCGTCATGAATTTGAGAGCCCTTTTTAGTGCTATAGGAGTTCTGGGCTTGTTATTTCCCACATTAGGTTTCTCAACTTTCACTGGGGGACTAACCAGCACCAAGTCACAAAAGAAATATGTTTTCGCCCATTTTATGGTAAGTACAAGACTCAGAAAGTGAGACCCTATCCCGTGGTTGACTAGAAATGCGTTGCGGATAGGTTGGCATCGTGGAAAATTACCAGCTCGCAGATTGGGAGGTGGATATGACCACGGCACAGTCCATTGGTATTGATGCATTTGCACTTAACTGTGCAAGTGTGGACAGTTACACGCCAGCCCAGCTGGCCCTGGCATACGAGGCTGCCGAGAGGGTCGGCTTCAAGGTCTTCATTTCCTTCGATTTCGCTTACTGGACCAATGGAGATACAGGAAAAATCACAGATTACATGCGAAAATATGCGAGCCACCCAGCACAGATGATATATGATGGCGGTGCGGTCGTGAGTACATTTGTTGGAGATAGCTTCAATTGGGTTCCTGTCAAGCAGGGCACGCCACAGGCAATCCATGCATTACCAAATCTTCAGGATCCGGCAGAAGCTTCAAGTAATGCTGCCAGAGGCGCCGATGGCGCATTCTCATGGTACGCCTGGCCTACGGATGGGGGAAACAGCATTATCCCTGGACCGATGACAACAATATGGGATGACAGGTTTATCCAGGACCTTGCTGGGGAAACGTACATGGCTCGTTAGTATTCGCCAACACTATTCGGTGCATCGAAATGTATTAACCAATCGACAGCTGTGTCACCCTGGTTCGCAACTCACTTTAATTCCAAGAACTGGGTGTTCATCTGCGAGAATTTGCCAACGCTGCGCTGGGAACAAATGCTCTCCATGCAGCCCGATCTGATTGAAATAATCTCGTGGAACGGTATGCTGATTTCGGAGTACTATAATTCCACTTTCAAACATCAACTTCTGACTACAAAGTCTCTAGATTATGGCGAGTCTCACTACATTGGCCCGTACTCAGGACATCATAGTGACGACGGTTCCTCCCAGTGGGCGGCTGGGATGCCCCATGACGGATGGCGTGATCTTTATCAACCATACATCGCAGCGTATAAGGCTGGAGCCAACGCGCCTACTGTGGATGAGGAAAAAATTGTGTATTGGTATCGCCCTACCCCGAAGAGCATCATATGCACGGGAGACCCCTTACCAGCACCAAACGGCATTGGCATGTTGAGCGACAGTGTCTTCGTGACTACTATGCTGAAAAGTCCTGCAAATTTGACAGTAATTAGTGGATCTAACGAGCCTGCTATCATTCCTGTGCCTGCGGGTATTGTCACCTCGAACGTGACCATGGGTGTTGGAAATCAATCATTCACTGTGACCCGTGTTGGACAGACGCTTCTTAGTGGCAAAGGAGGGCTGGCCATCGAAGACAATTGCACTAAATATAATTTCAATGTCTATGTTGGAAAGATCACTAGCTAGCTCAGTGGCATCACCAACTCGGAAGCTATATGCAAGCGAGCTATGGTTAGCCAAGCGTTCTTTGGCCCATTGTTCTCAAGAGAGAGACTGAATCCAATTCCAGACGCAGAAGTCAATTGTTCTCTTACTTCTTATAGTCTAAGAAAGTTTTCACAACTTCAATAGAACCCATATTATTCAGTATTTCGCGAAAAATTCGGTTTCGAGTCAAAGAATATTTGATTAGTCAGGTTAGTCATTGTTTCGGCCAACCAACACACTTTATTATTTGAGATTTCATTAAGTAGATCTGCCGGCATGTCAAGACTCCTTGGCCATTCAAATTTAGCGGTGGCCACAATTCTTGAGCAGTGCTTCTTTTTAGATCATTGCCCTTCCACTGCCTTCCTTGGCTTATTAGAAACATGGAGAAATTGACGGTCGCGCAGTTTGATCATGTACACTATTTACTCGGAATTGAAGCCCAATCCAACTGTGGGGATAGTCAGGTGACCCGCCCATATTCTTAGCTAGCGCTTCCATAGTTCTTCATGGACAGCTTCATATTGCCTAGCCATCCGGCTCCTTCCAGACAGTAGTGTCCTACACCAACCTAACCTAACCCAAGATGAACGCTACTTTGAAAGACGTTGGGAAGGCCCCGAATCGCTCTATTGAATTTGATAGACTTTCCTTAACACACATCGAAAATGTCCGATTTAGTTCAAACGCTTATAAGATTCTCAATGTGACCCTTAGATTATGAAGTGAGCTTGATGAAGACGCTGGCGTCTCCGTTCGAAGTACATCATCTCAGGTCGAAAGCGTACATTATTTCGACCTCTCTCCTACCGAAAATCGTAACAGAATTAAGGTACAAGAACTATATCATATGATTAATCATCTTCGTCCACGGCTTACTAGGTATATATCTTTCAGCATACCCTTGGCAACAAGCCCACGCTTGGCGAGAAGGCGCATTGACAAGTGACGTAAAAATTAAATAATCTAAAAATTCTTTTCTTAATATCCTTCCTTCACTGCTTTACATCCTGACGTGCCGATCAAGAGTAGAAGTTGAGACTATGCCGATCTGTTTTGGGACAATCTCCTTTCTATAGCTGAAATCAATTTTTATTCCTTGAACGTCTCGGACTTCTGTTCTAGAATCCCTGTACCTTACTATTGAATGGGAGCCTGGGTCTGCGAAACTTTAGTTTCGAAATTCCTATGGTAATTAGACCTGTGTCATACATTGTAATAGTGCTGACCAATGTGACGGGTACAGTACCGTGCCATAGTTACATGACTAGAAATCAGGCATACGCGACGCACTATGCAGTACGACGTTACTTCTATTTTGGAGACTCAGATCCAATTAGAGACCACTAAATCTATCGTATGTGGCATTTATAGTTTCTTTTACTTGAAGGCATTTTAAGCACTACAAGCTGAAAGAGCTGAGGTTTCTTCCGAACTTTGTGTTGATTAGAAGGGCTCTACAATGGAAGCCTTGTCCCGTCGCGTTCCATAGACATCTTCTAGTCCTAAACCCTCTCCACTCAGAAGCACTCTTCCTGCCCTTCATCAAAGCCCGCCGGGCAAATTTTAACTTGGACATATTTCTCTTCAACTAAGAATGCTTATCGTTTTGCCAATGCTGGCTGTTCTTTATTTCTGCAATGATCGACGGTATTGTTATTTGGTTTCTCCGGCCCTGGCATTTGAACCCTCTGACCCGCGCACCCATTACGTTACAAGAATATAAACACAATACTCTCAGGGAAGCGCCGCTAAGCGGTAAAATGTATCTCAAAAGGGTAAGTTTGTCTATTTTTCAACTGGATTCCAACTGAAAACTGATTGTAGATTAATATGACGACTTTCTCATGATGGTGCAGACGCACTAGCGTAATCATATATACGAAAGTGACTCAACCGATCCTTTCACCCTCGGGGATTTGCCTGGCCATGGCGATCTTCCCCGTCTCAAGCAGCGACGTTGGGAGTAACTTTGGAGTGTCGTCGGACCCTGCCCGGCTGATGCCACACACCTTTCTGACGACAGCTATGAACTGAGTCAATAAATTATGAACGCAGAATAATTATACAGGACATGTGCTAAATGGTTTGCTATATGTATGCGAGAAACGGCTGAGTAGGTGGATGTCTTGTAAAGTCTGCAGATGGCCTACCCTGAGTTCTTCTAACGCCTGCCGAATAGCCCCACGGCATTACTGGGAATTGTGATTGGCCTGGCTAATCTTAGCCACGAGAGTATACGCAATGGGATGGGTGCTGGCAAGCCCGAGTGGACTGCAGCCGAGCTCTGGTGAACTTCAGCCATAGCCCAGAACACGCATTTTGTCCACACCCGCGTAACATGCCAGATAATGTTCTGGCATTCGTTGAAGAGAAATGCTCAATAGCCATAGTTGATTTTGCTCCTAATTTATCTCTTGCACAGTCTCTGATCACGTAGCGAGACTGCTCGGCACGATGTAGAGCATGCACCCCTGAATCAAGTCGTGGAGCATATATTGTGTATAGTATTCGGGGCCAGATTTGACCATGTCGGTTGGTGAGTAATTTCGACGACATTCTGAAGATGGCATAGTGCTTGGAGCACGTGTCCAAGTCCCCGAAATTTATCGCTGGACTTCTACGGCGAGGAGTCACCGACGAAGACGTGGCCAAAATAGCCGAAGGCAATCTATTACGCGTCTGGTGTGAGGTTGATCAACTTTTACTGAATGACAGTCCCGAGGATACAATCCTGCGTAAAATTGGAGATCTTGAAACATTATAAATTTCTTAATTATCTACTCTCAGCCTGTTCTAATCATCTAAAATAATCATTACAAATACGATATTCTTCCTCCCATTGCTTTCATATTGAGCGACACATAAAAGCTTCTGCTTGCTTATTTTACTATCCCCAGGAAAAATTACAGATTAGGTTCGATTCATGGCGTCATTCAATATCAACTCATTCTTGTAATCAATCCACAAGGTGGCAAGTGCCTACAAATTTAAACTTCTAGGAACTTTCACTGCTGTTTCAAATAAACGTGTACCGCGTTGATGGTTTGTATATTGTGTCAGGAGTTGCTACTAGAATGGCAAGCAATCTAAGAGATGATTGGTGCAGAAATTGAAGCAATGGTACCTTATACACTTAGTACTAGTCATGTTTGAAATATCTACTTGGCAGCTCAGCAGGTGGATCTCGCCACTCAGGATCATTCAGATCCAAGTCTCGAGCAAATTATCCTCCTGAAATGGTTCGTGTCAATGGAGTACAACGTCATGTCGTCCAGGCTCGACTTAAATCTTCCGTTATTGAGTCAGTAGTACTGGGTAGATGTACTGAATTGAGAGAAATGATAAACTCCATGATACTCAATTATCTTGAAATTCATCAAAGATTTGTGACCAGTTCACTGAAGGTGAGCCATGAGCTCGAAGATTTTAGATCTACGCCCGTGAAAGACGTGAAAGGGAAAAAACTATGTTGTAAAGCAGAGCATGTCCTGACTAGCATACTATGTACTAGCTCATATGACATTTGACTCTCCGGCAGTCTTTGGAGAGACAACACTGAATGCATACACCTTAAAACCTTCGCCCAAGAGACTCTTGTGAATTCTCTGCATGTGATCGTATTTGATACATAACTTATATTCTCGCTCCCACTGAGGGAGCTTCGATTGTTACAACATAGCTGAAATCCAATCCAGAAAATGAGCTACCCCAAGGATAGACGCACCCCATGTAACACTTTCTCCCAGGCACATCTAATATTTCTCCCTTTTCCCAGCGTATTGGTTGCATGATATGTTGTTGAAGATTGTAGGTTGAATAATTGACTGGACTCAAGTGGATACCTTTATACCAGGCCAGTGTCTTGGTTGTGCGTAACACAAGCCCCACTCGCAGATGACTTAAATCACCAAATAAGACGAATGAGAAAGACTCGTACCGAGTGATTTCACACCCACCACTGACGCTTTGACACTCTATCTGTTGGCAGAGTGCCATTGACCTAAGGCGGGGAAATCTGTAATATATACAGACTTTGCGCGAATTTGAAGTCGATTCAGTTTTGTGATGTCTATCGCAAAGTTTAAATCCCTCGTTGACAAATTTTCTGATGTAACCTTACAGCCAAATTCCATTAATTAATTTCTCTATTAAATTATAGTGAACGTAACCTTGTGTGTGACATCCAAGTAGAAAGTAAAAATTGGGTTCAAGCCTGGCGGCTAAAGATGTTATTATTAACATACATGATTCTGAATTATTCCTCAAGCCAGCTGATGAAAACTTGAATTCGAAATGGTGTGTTTTGACACTGAATGATTGGAAAACTTTAATATTAGACCATCATGTCGTCATACTTTGATGTACTTAAGCTAAATTGTTGATTGCTTCAGTGTCAGAAAAGCTTGCCTGCAAATTGGAAAGCTTATGGGCTGATTTCAAAGGCCATTCAGCCCGTTCAGGATGTAGGTTACATCCTGGCCTAGCGGCTTCCGCCTTGGATTGAATTGTTTCAAATTTCAGGTGTGCTATGATCACCAAGGAATTATTAAGTACTCTCCTTTGGCCGTTTTGGTATGTGCGTTCTCTGCTTTTCTGTTCTTCCGAATGTGGGTTCAGTTTCTTATGGCTCATATTGAATTGATAGGCTTCGTATTATGGCACTTTCAGGGACATTTGATGACAAGATTCAAGCTCCGATTCCAAAGATAAGTTGATAAGCATATATCAAAATAAATTTCCTCGTTTGCAAAGGATTCAAGTGATAAGAATAACAGACCGTACAATCTACTTTCGAGTTTGAAAGTCAGAAACGCAAGATTCAGAATCCTGATTGTGAAACTGTCTAGGGGACCTGTTGGCATATTCTTCCTTCTCGGTGTTTTTGTGTCTTAGGTCCGCCACTCTCTGTCTGTCAATATAAGAATATACAAAATTCCCTATTACTTAGTCATCCGGTTTCTAAAATAGTATTAATGTAATTCCCGGCCGTCCTGGCCACCTACCACGACTCAAAATTTCTAATATAGAATATCGTAAACCAAATGCATCAATTGATCGTAAACTAGTGATTTTGACATTGATTAATCTTATAGCCAATTCCTCCACATCCACAGCATGTAGGCGGAGCCCTCTTGTGTGGCTAGTCCTACTAAGTAGGTAAATGTAAGGACTCAGATGCTTTGAAAGATAGCAGTAGTATTGAACGAAAGTATTAAGCTAAGAGAGAAAAGAGAAGAAGGAGAGAAGCTCCTATCGCAACAATCTACACGTGAGCGACTGCCTGGGTCACATATTTAGGCACGTACTCAGGCACTGAGGGAGCTTCGATTGTTACATAGTCTCCCCTTTTAAAAGGTGTTCTTAACTATATATTAGTTATATCTTTTAACCTCGGCCCTTAAATAGCTCGGTCCGCATTTGCGGGCCGCTGGCTCCTTAGGGGGACTTTTAGTTAAGATTCTTAACTAGAATATAGCTAAGTCTTTGACTATCTTATAAGTATAGAAGATTTTTCTTATTTAGATATTCAGAATATATATCCTCTATAATTACTAGTAGTTTGAAAGTATTAGGTATTATTAAAACTTAATATTTATCCTCTGTTGCCTATACTACTACTATCATATAGTAGTACTAGTGTTACACGCTTTGCTAACTGGTCACGGTGAGTGGTTAGATCTGGGTAGACAACTTACCGGTTGTCGTCTGTGTCTTTGGTCGTCGTGATATCTATCACTCGTACTCCTTAAGTATCAACTCGCAATCGTACCGTTGCTATGCTAAGCCTTATACGGACTCGGATCCTGTAGAGTAACTTCGAAGGAGGCGCCAGGTAGTGCGCCAAGTAGGTCAGTCCGAAGAGCTCCCCTACTTGTAGTATGTTTGTCACAAGACTGAAACTGAATGAAGAGTAATCCCAAAAGGTATACTGTAGTAACTTAGATTGATTAATCGCGAAGAACTAAATACATACGCGCAAGGAGCGTCCCTTATATATCTAATCCTTCCTATCCCGTGGACGGGAATCCTATCCTAACGAGAGGATGGGATTCCTGTCCTGTCATCAGGCCAGGTCCGTTCCGTACGAACGGAACGGGCACTGTCGTGTGGTCACGTGGTGGTTCACAGGTCCTGGTATTCTAGGCGTAATCTGGTGCGTGTGAAAGCGTGGCCGTTTCCTGCGTCGCGCTAGCCGTCGTGTGGCTAAGTGCAGTATAGTTTGAGTTGGTGAACCAGAGGCTGATTCCGGCTGCTTGTCACGTGACCTTTAATTGTTCTCGACCCGTAGTTCTGGGGATGCCTTGGGTACCCGTCGTTGTGCACGTGATTTCTGGAGCTAATGCATGCCCCTTCGGTTTGGTTGGCTCTCGGTGGCCCATCAGTAAGTTGCGGCCCCTCGTCGCAAGGTCCGTAACAACTAGTAGTTATAAATTTATACCTTATATACTATTAAAAGCTATTAATTTTCGATACTACGCAGTATTAATTAAGTGATTACTAGGGGATCAAGATTTATACTTAATAGTGATATATATCAGTAATTGGAGTAGACTACTAAAGATACACAATTAAACCCTAATTAGCTTAGCTTATATTACTGACGACTATATATAAGTGTATAATAGTGGAGAATAGATAAAAGTAGCAAAAAAGGTCTTACCTAATAAGTAATTGGTATACGAAGGTGGAATAACTACCGAAGAGATACAATTACGTCTACAAATTGAGCACAAGCACTAAATAGCAATAAACCAGGTGCCATGGCGTGCTCCGGCAGCTACAAAGACAACGACTGAGAGGCCTATGTCGCGCTGTACTAACTCCAGAAAGTCAGGGCACAAGCAGAATAGGCGCCCAGTTGTGAATATTGCTTAGTTTTTGCAATATATCATATAGTGGTTGTATAATATTCAATACATATCGTTGTAATGTAGGTGGGGTGGCGGCTCGGTGATAAAACACGTTATATCTTGTATAGTAGAGAGTCTAGATATTACCCTATATATTTATATAGAGATAATTTACTTAATGAGTGAATCCTCTTTACATTAAGTTAATTTATAGTCTAATAGGTGTTTATCACTATATGAGACTTGGCTAGGGGTATATATCTATAAGGTAGATTGTAGTACCTCGTATAGCTTTGCTACTATATGTATGGATTTGATACGGCTATCTTTATATTAGATAGAGCTAATAAGATCGTACCCTTTTGGTTAGCCAAGCTCTACGAGGATCCGGTGTGAGTTAGTGGTATCGTAGGCGGTTGAAATAGGTAGAGTGGCCGGAAGATGCGATTTTTGATGGGGTGGACAGATCGGCCGGGAGTTACGTTAGCTGGCCGCCTCTGTTATATTATCGACTTTCTCAATGACTGGTTCTAGCAAAAGGAAGGATAAATTTAGAGATGATCAGGGATCACCAGTGCACAAACGACCTCCCCCAACAAAACAACAACTTGCGATGGGTCGAATAATCTGTGGTTATTGAGAACCGTGTGAACGCTCATTCGAGGGTCTCGCCAACGATGACTTAAGGCTCCAAAATTGCTCGCAAGCTCTTTGGACTGATCATACATAGGTGTCAATTTACGCACAAAATATGCAGCCGTACTAGATGAATTTGTGGCGCTAGCCAGAAGGTCAAAGCCAGATTTAACCCTCGACAGATCTGTCAAAATAGTATCACGATCAGGGATTCTCAATAGAGACCGACAAATACTCAAAATTAAAATATCAGAAGAGATAAAAGACGCGTAGCTATATGAGAATATGATCAGCAATCAACACCATCGGGCTTTACGGGAGTCGACTTACTTGACAAGCCAACATCTCAAAAACGGGCCATGACGAGAAAGAAGTGAAATGGTCCACCCAATCTGTCTAGCAGTCTGGGTGCATGTATCAAGAACAGTCTCAGGGATTCTTGCTACCTCCAAAACTCCACAGGTTTCGAACTTGCGCTTGTAAGCAATCAGTCGAGCTGTGAGGTATACCACATGTACGACTAAAAGGGAGGATCTTTCAGACAAAGAATACTCAATATCACCAGCATTTAGGAGGTGTTGGAGCTTCACATTCTCTGGGAGCTCTCGATGCCATGAATCCAACCTATTACTTTGTGTTTCCACAGTTTCCCACGGAGAATTGGGATTGCAGATAGAGGAAGTAAAGAGATCCGAACACATAAACGCAATTTTGCTCAGCTGTGCAAGTACTGTGCCATATTCAACCGGGCTACCATCTCCGGGTCGGGGTTCTATCATCGCTAAGTGATGAAGCTAATGTCGAGAAATCGCATTTCAGTATCAGCATTCAACTCTATGATTAGGGTAAAACCTACTAATAACATCTCACTTTCGACTACGTTAAATTGATGGTTAAGTATAACCGACATCCAGCTATAAAAGTAAGCTATAGATAGTAATACTCTATACGAAAGCTTACCACTGTAACATTTTAATCGTCCGGAAGACTTTAGCCCAGTGAACCCACTCTATCACTTGCGAAATATCCGATGAGATGCTTGGGATGCATTGACCTGCAAGTTCTGCAGCATACGCTATTAAATGATTAGAGAGACGCGGCGATATAACCCAAAACTTTTCCTGAAACTGACCTATTAAACACTTTGCTTTACTAATATCCCTGATTTCCCAGTATTGTGATAACCCAAGGCAGCATTTCATTCCTTGTAGATCCCGAGGACCTGATTTTCCGAGTAGTGTTTTGGGAGGAGATAAACTCAAATGATGACGACACCGTCTCTGTGACTGTATCCTCATATTGACACCCGGCAGCCGCAATAGCATACAACTCGCATATATCAGCGATCGTAGGCTCATTATCGTTGTGATAGATGTTGTTCATGAGATCTGCACACCTCTCTGGTGTTGTGATATAGAAGACTGGGTTGACAAATTCAAAGAAGGATTTGATTACGAGGGACGTCGTAGTTTCATTTGGTAAAATATCCAAGCTGAAGCTAAAGAGCGTGGTGTCGCCTATACTCTGATACACCGTAGAGGAGCCTTCACCCCCATCGTGCTGTTGTGAAGCAGGCGATATAGCGGGCCCCTCCATGAAATCACTGCCACGCAATCGCTCAAGAATCATAATTGCGTCGGGCAGGGTAGCCGGTGTCAATTGTCGGACCAAGCATTCGAGATAGTTGATTCCACTTTGCAAAAAATTGTTCTGGGGTTCTACCTCGCGCCGTCTCCTTCCGTCTCTTCTTGTGTATTGGCATGCGTGGCCGTGTTGAGCACAGCTAGAGCAAGGAAATAACTTGTCACACTAAATTTTACCAATTCATGATAAGAATCTTGATTTAATATCGGCATATAGGATTCCGAATTTTTGTACCCTTTTCTTACTGTTAAAGCAGTTGTTGCATGCAGTTCGGAAAGTGGATGAACCCTCCATCTACCGCTTAGGTAAATGCAGATAACACAACTGAACAAGAAATGGACCTGTATCCGTGAGATATTCCGACTAAAATAGGCTATTATTTGTAAAGTAGCACATGTATATGTAGTTGCCTTTGCCTAGAACAATAAATTTAAAGTAAAAGTCTCCGAGAACACCCTTATCCCCATGTGACATTTTTCCATATACGCGAGGCCGACCTCAATGCAGTAAGGTTCCATCGGAGGGTTAATCCGATTGGCTTTGAGCTATTTCTCGTCAGCATTTGCTAAACTGTATGGACTATTATGCTAATAGAGCTAATGAGATCAAGTGGAACCACACCAAAATAAACCTAATTAATTTATGGGAAAGACATAGATACGATCGAGGGAATGTTGAAATACCCCATGTACTGCATATTTTACTCGATGATGACCACACCGAGGTTACGGGCTGAGCCAACCTTGGAATTTACCATACAAACTGGAAGAAAATGTTAACTCATGAATATCCAATCGCTTGCTAGCGGTAAGTTACATTGCATACGCTGACTTTTTTTGACTTGAAAGGGGTAGTACCGCTTCAATGGTCCTCTAAAAGCCTCTTTTTCTGGTAGGTACCTTTTTTTTCCCGTTGATCTGATAGCAGCTATGAAACAACTGAATCCCTATCTAATAGGATTCCAGGAAATAATACATTATCGGTCCTGAAGAAAGCATCATTCTGCTGATTCTAGGACAGGGCTGTGATGATTTACTGGGAAAGGCGGGCCGTACAGTAAAATGCGGTATCCTGTTATGAACAGTCACGCCTTCTTTCTCAGGTCTGTATCTAAAATACAATAATCATATCCACTAATAGTGGTAGAGGGCGCTTTAAGTATCACTAATACCGACTCGGGCTCTGGATATTTGCTAAAATAATGTAGAAACTACTGAGTATTTTCATCCAATTGAGGATTATCAGTTGAGCCCTGAGTGGCACGAGAAAGAAGTACAGCATCTTGCAAATATGCCGGCAAGGCCCGGTATTGGTGATCATAATGAAACTTGGCCACTTGAGTTGGGGTTACTCTAAGCGGAGCCCAACCTGTACTCCTATAACATTTCCGCTCGTCATAAGAAGATTCTTCTATGTAGGGCAGGTTATACGACTCATATTCTGACAAATTATGAAGTTAGTAGTCTCATAATTTCGTATTGTGCTTCTTTACTTGGTCCCAGGATGTTTTCTTGGGCTAGCCTTTTGCTACCAGAGTGCGACTGATTCAATAGTTGGCCACATAGATATTAATTTCTCCCCGAAGAACATCCACTATTTCACCCAGATTCACCCGATGTTGTCGGATAGTCAATGGAAGAGGACCTCGAGCATAGCTGCTGCACTAATCTTATTTTTGCTGGGGGGTGCGCTACAGGAGTTTTTAACATTCGCAGATTGGAACGAAGATATCTAATATGTTTAGTGTATTATGCTGCATTAGTGATATGAGTGATTTTAGGTTGCTCTCGATTATATCACAAATCAGTCGTGACTTTGATGGGGGTAAGCTAGGGGTCATTATTGCATGTTTAACGATAGGTTGTGAGGAGTGCAAGATGTTAAACAGCAGATGCAATGGAAAAGGAGGGGCGTCCAAGGTTGCACTCGTGTCGTCATCGTCTTTTTTCTTACCAAACCCTTCAAACTGTTCTAACCAGGGGTCGTTTTATGTCTAACCGACTTGGGCTGAAGCAGCCTTGGCAACTTGATTTGGGAAAGTAAGAGTGCGTGCAAATGCGCAAGCCTATTTTGTAAGCTACTAAGAAGGGTCTCAGTCCGGTAGGTACATATTCTCCCTGTGTGCTACCCATAGTAATGCCTTGTGTAATTGAGTTGCCACCATACCCGCTTCTACTTATCCTTAGCTCAAAGAACCTTGATCCAAGTCCTGGCTCTGGGAGTATATACATCCTTTCTGTGCAACCAAAAGGCTGTATATTCGCTAGGGATTACGGTTTGAGGATTGGTGAACTGTGCTAGTATGAGAACTAGCATCTTCGTTAGAGAAGATAGTCATCAAGACAGCTTTGATGCTGCGGGAACATCACTTTCGCGCTCCCAGGGCGCTCAAATGAGGCAATAACGGCCTTGATACTGATGTTGGGAGCGGATGTGGCGAGAGGTGTACCAAAACATTCAAAAATGAGTTTCAGGGTAATATGTATAACAATCTCGGTGGTACAAATACAAGGAGCAGAAACTTTCACCATGAGCATGAACGCTTGTATCAAAATTCAAGCTGGGTGGGTGTTTGGCTCAACAAAATACAAGAGAAAGTGTTCATACGTATGATGATTAATTGATATATTTTTCTATACAATAACCGGCACAGCAGACTCGTCTACCTAGTACTCTGGATCAGACTATCCTCAAATAAAACTTCATTCCTTCAACATAGCTTAGACAAAGTAGCTGGATGGATAAATCTGTTATCCTCCTATTCTCCTCCTCCTTCCTGAAGATTTAAGTTTGGGAGCAAGCCTGCCCTAACCTAAGGGTCCTATCTATCAGGTTCTGTAGCTCGTGCCAGACCCCAGCGAGGGCAGCACCGAACTCTACTTTGGCTTTTTGTAGTTCTTCCTTGTGTAACTCGTCTCATATACTGATTTCTGTCCTGAGTTTAGCGATCTCTTTCACCAAATCGTTCACATCAAGATTGTCACTCTCGGTCGCGGAGTCATCCGAAGTTGCCCTATCAGGCTAAGATTCAGGTCCAGTTCTCCTCTTTTACTGAGGTCACTTCTGCCTCTGTTCATTGTCGATTTCTTGTTCTTCTTGAGCATAGATTCTAGGTGGTCTAGTGATGCGTTTCGGTCTTGCCAGTCACAGTGGCGAAGCTTCGCGTTCGTCACGGTCGGGCGGTTCAGGGGTTCGCATCACAGCCCGTCCCGCCATCACTCTCAATCAGTGCAGGAAATCGATATTGTCGCCCCATGGCACTCCGCAAAGCTCCAGAGTCGTTTTCCCCATCTATCGGTCACCTTTGTTCTCAAGGGATACTACCATTAGCGATACAGCATGGGGATCACGTATGTGTACAGTACTGTTGTTGAATATACATATTGAGCAACCTCTGCCAGGACCGGTTGAACCACCTGTCTTGCCACCTCCACCAACCAAACAGCGGCAGGGAAGATGCAACAGCAGTCAGAATGTAGGGCATTCAATAACATGGTGCCCCAGTAGATAGATATTTGAATTTAATGGTGTTTTGGTGGTAAAATTCTAGTTCAAATATGTAGTGGTAGGCAGTGTGCACCACCCGCTTGTGTGCGCCATCCGTATGTGAATTACGTTAACTCCTACTTACTAAGCTAACTTACCTAGTAACTAGTTACAGTGGCGTTACAGTAGTTTGAAACTCCTTCTTCTACCGCCTTTTATACCGCCAGCCACACTAGGCCTACCGCCCACCAAGCTGGGCACAAGCCCCTTATCAAACTACATACCATTCGCTGAACAGAGGTTTTAGTGGAGCAGACCTATCTTTTTTCCTGCCGGGAGTTTCAAACTACTACAACGCCACTGTAACTAGTGCAAACCGAATTTAGTTAGCTTTAGTGATTAGCCAATAAGCAGTAACCCTAGTCTCTACCCTAGAAACCCTTAAATACCTTAAAGCGAAGGCAGAAACCCTACGCTTGGATAGCTAGCCGAAAAGGGTATAGACTACCCGTCGGTCTTGGCCTTGGCATACCCTATCAAAAAATCACCCACAAGAATCGGACCCCTTAGGGTTTGCCCTTCCTACCTAATTTTAGTATATTCAACCAGATAAAAGAAAAGTTTAGACCACTCTGATAAACTTTCTAAAAAGCCTGATCGAAACATCTTGAAATATGAGGTACTTAGGGGGGGGGGACGTGTTGACTCGCCCTCCCCGCCTTGCCAAGACTTCTTACTGCGGGTCCCCCCCCCTCCCCCGGGGGGACGGGCCGGAATATATGTATGATCTAAGCATGCATGACACTTGACACCAGCCAGTCGAGTGGCCTACCCTGGGTCTATCGTACCTAAGCAACATTGCCTGATCACAAAATCCAACGCGCTGGACTCTTCCAACCTTGGACTCTTGGCAGGCTGGAGTATGTATATTTATGAGTTGGACCCGCTTGGACCCTCACCATTGTAGGGGTTGGTCTGCTTGTAGTTCTTGACCAACGGCATCTGGATACTTCTGATGAGATCTTCAAAGGCTTGCAATGCAGCCATCACACGGTCGTGGGTTTCCAGCTTGTGGCCTGCCTCATATGCTTCAACATACGGCTCCCTTGCAATGCGAATTGCTTCATTTGCCCATCTCTCTGCACGTCGGCCTCCGCGAAATGATCACCATTCCAGAGCGACCACCAATTTTGGAGATTATAAGTCCCTGTTGCATCTTCTATATCGCTCAGAGTTTTGAATCCATTCTTCATCATATTGTCAAATCGAGCTTGGAATTCGGCATGCCGAATATACTCGAAGGCCGCGAATGCCCAGCCATATTAATTTGCTTGCTAGGGGTGATGTGAGATGGGGGTACTTACCACCTGCAATTTCGAAAGGAACACGTCCGCTGCATCCATAGTATCTAGCTTGACAGCATCTTTTGCATCTTTCTTGAGCTTTCTCAAATCGACCGGGTCCTTCAGTCCGAAGATTTTGCCCTTCCGAATATTGAGTGACTTCTGCACGGCCATAAAGGGGTATGGGTTGTCCTCCGACCCGTAGGATTCTGCAAAACCCTCGTCGGGCCTGGCTGGCTGTTTCCCTTTGCTATTACCCACGGGTGGTTTCTGGCCAACTTGGCCTGGGCGAAGCTCCATTTGAGCTTCCAGAAATTCTCAGATATTGGTTCGAGAGAGGCAATGCGTCCAGAGGACAGTACGCCCGTCGCTGCGGATGTGAGGAAGGGGTCTTGAAGTCTCTTATCAACTGGATGTTCAGTCTCAAGGTCATCAATCAGTTTGATGTTGGGATTGTCCGGCAAGTCTGACCTCCAAAACAGAGCCTCCACAGGTACCGACCCGTGTCCTGAAAGCCTTCTTGAGCACCAAAGCTGCCTGTGCAATGGTGTACAGCTTTCCCCTAGGTGGATACCTGGGAATGACCCGAATGATCCCGAACAGCCCCAATGGGAGCGTACTTTCCACTCTGGAAGCTCGTTTTTCGAGATTGGATTCGCTGGGAGAGACAGGCGAGACAGCGAGAAGTTGGCTTGCAGCTCGTTTTAGAATGTATTTACGATCAGTTGCCGAACAGAAGCCGGTATCTTGATCATCGCACTTGGTCAAAGTGCATACTGCCTTTCTCGTCGGTGCCTTTTTCACTGTGCAGCACGCTGCTCTTTTTCGCCCCCCTGGATGTGCACGTTAGATTTCACGTTAGATGAGAGCTCTGGCGGAAACCTTACAGTCACATCCAACATAGCTATCACCTAGGGTGGAGGTTGCGATCTGGAGCTCGGTAGGATTGCACTTGGCATTCGCGCAATCGTTACCACCACTTCCACCTGTCCAGTGACAGCCGGTGAGCTCAACTGGAGTAGGACAGCAGGTCATCACCACGCCATTTGCAGCCCTTGGGAGCAGCACCGTGAGGGCAGCAAATGGGCTTATCGCAGTGCTGAAGGATGTTGGTCTCGAAAACACTCTCTCAAGGGCTCACACTTACGCAGTTTGACTTGCCACATCCAGCATCATCCCAACCAACGACGGTGTAACCGTCACCACAGGCATTCGACATGGCCTTGGTATCATCCAGCTTGATACACTTCTTGGTGTACTTGAAAAATTTTTGACCGGTGAAGGCTGATAAGTCTATGACAGTGGATTTCGCGTTTGATACCGCTTTGTTCTCAGCCTGAAGTGTGTGAGTTGAAATAATATCTCTCCCAAGAAGGCCTGTATGAGCGGAGTATCTATCATCATCTGGGTTTATAGTCAGTACGTGTGTTCGTCTGCATGGTGCATTGGGAACAGTCATTCATACCCAGATCGAACGCCCAGATCATTGCACCCCCCAGTCCAAATTCATTTGCCCAATCAACCTTTTGCTTGAATGTTGTCTTGTCATCATACGAGACCCATTGGTTATCATCAAAGGTAAAGTAGTTGACTGCCGCTTCTTTATCGTGCGTGGGTGAGATAATAGCCCTTTTAGTCGAATTTCCCTGCAAAATACTCATAATCTCATAGTATGCAAGCATGCCACCAGTGTTTGAACATGGTCCAGCATCCGAGGCACCACTAAAGGCACACCCGGGTTTTGTGCAGCTCTTGTCCTGTAGAGTGAATGCACGGCCATAGAACCCAATACCTAACACCACCTGAGCGGGAGGAATCTTGACTCTCCAAAAGAGATCTAGGGCACTTTTGATCTCGGTTAGGTTTGTATGTCCTTGGACGATACTGCCAATGGGATCTTGAGAATCCCAAACTCCATGGAGATCGTACGACATCACGTTAATCCAGTCAATGTACTTTGCCATATTTGGCAAGTCAAACCAGCGCAGATACCAGTATGATGAGGGGGCAGTAAAGGTCAGACCAACTGTGTTCCCACTTGCATCGAATGTCTCTCTCAGCGTCTTCAGCAAAAGAACGTAATTCTCCGTGTTTTCAATTTACCACCTCTGTCACCTACGCCAGGATATTCCCAATCGAGATCGACTCCATCAAACCCTAACATGTCCGGATTAGTAAATCATGGTTCGTAATGTCGGTGTAGATGTCACGTGAAGCAGCGTGGTAGCTGGAGGCAACCCCAATAAAACTCCTCCTTCTATATGAAAGTTGAATAGATTAAACTTTTAAGCTAAACAAGTACTCTAATAAGCTTTGAGCCAAGACAAGTTATTGTGGTTGAGAAAATACAGCTACAATTTACCATCTTTAATATATGAAACACGTTGTTTATACTGTTGCCTAGTTTCGTCGGGATTTAGTCTCGATAACAGGCGACGTCGGTCTCAGGCCGCCGAAACGGACGCCACTTCATAGATGGCCTTAGTTGCAATCTCAGACACCCCTCGCGCTTCCGATTTTATTCTTTGTTTTAGGGCCTAGTGCCACCATTATTATTTTGTTTTGTTTCATGTCTCGACTCGCTCTCCTCGTACTACCAAAGCGCTAGGGTGGTGGCGTTTGGTGTTGTTGCCCTCGACCCGTTCATAGAGCGCGGACTGCCAGCGAGCACTTCCCCGTTTCACTAGGTGATATTCACTAGGTGATAGGATATATATTAGTGCCTCAGGCCTCAATATCAGGAAGCTCCTCTACACCCTCCAAGTCTCGATCTTTACACGAATCTACCAGTGGTTTCTGTTATATCGGGAGATCTTGTTATCCCACTACATGTAGCAAGCTTCGCCCTCGATGCTCAAAGAGGATAACTAACTGTAAAGCTATTTCCATGCCATTATGAGCTCGCTAGAATGGCCTTATTTGCTGATAATAGAATCTGTGTTACTCCACCCGAACTTTAAAGGCCAGACAACTGCATCTTGTTACTTTCGCTCCTAGGAACACCTTGTGAAAATGAAGAAAACAGCTCAAGAGACGCTTGCTCACGATGAGCCTCCAACACCTGGTACAGGCAAGGTCATCCTCATCATAGTCGGGCTCTGCCTCGCTGTGTTCCTCACAGGAATAGTATACCTCTCCCCCCCTTTGCAGCTCACAGAATTCTGAAACTCATTTCTGCAAAGGACCAGACTATTCTCGCGACTGTGACTCCAACAATTAGCAACCACTTCCACGTACTGAGCGATGTTGGCTGGTGGTCCGCTAGTTATCTCTTCACCCTGAGCGTCTTCCAGCTGTTCTACGGCAAGCTCTACGCCCTCTACTCGATTAAGCTCGTCTACCTTGCGGCCATCAGCATCTTCGAGCTCGGCTCTCTCATCTGCGCCGTGAGCTCGAACTCGGCTGCTTTGATCTCCGGACGCGCGGTGGCCGGGCTCGGCGCAGCTGGTATCTTCTCAGGCTCCATTATGGTCACTACCATGGTGATCCCGCTCGAGCGCCGAGCGACATACTTGGGGGTTATGTCTGCCGTCTTTGGCGTCGCGGCAATAGTCGGCCCGTTCATCGGCGGTGCGATCGCAGAACGGACGACCTGGCGCTGGTGCTTCTGGCTCAACCTGCCGCTTGGTTTCATGACGGCCATCCTCTGTGCGTTCCTCGTCCGGACGCCTCCCAATCACCACGCACAACCACTAAGCTCGACCGAAAAGTTGAGGCAGTTTGACTTCGTGGGAACCATCACTTTGATTGGATCGCTGGTGTGTCTCTTGTTAGCTCTCGAATGGGGCGGCTCGACGTACCCTTGGAAGAATCCTCGCATCATCGCACTGTTTGTGGTGGCTGCTGTCCTTGCCGCCGCGTTCGTCTTCGTACAGGCACTGCCAATTTCGAGAGTCAGCGCGCGCACCATCCCGTCAAGTATCACTGCCAGCCGGTCCGTCTGGGCGGCGGCGTCATATGCAATGTGCATCACGGGCGGGGTCTACGTCGCGATCCTCTACATCCCGCTGTGGTTCCAGGTGATTCAGCGCCGCTCGGTGCTAGGTTCAAGCGTCATGATCACGCCCCTGATCGTCGGCTACGTCGTGTGCTCTGTCGTAGCAGGAATCCTAACCAGCACGATCGGGTACTACAATCCTTGCATGATCGTCGGCACGACCCTCACCGCCTGCGGGTCCGGCCTCCTAACCACCATCACCCCCAACACAAGCACCGGAACGTGGATCGGATACCTGGCACTCTACGGGCTCGGGGTGGGCCTAGGCTTCGGGCAGCCAAGCTATGTGGTGCAGACCGTTCCCCCCAAGGAGGACGTGTCCATTGGCGTGACGTTGATCACGCTGGTCCAGAACCTAAGTGCAACCGTTTTTGTTGCGGCAGCGCAGACGATCTTCCAGAACTCGTTGGCAAGTCAAATACGGTCCTTGGCTCCGGGTGTCAGCGCGTCAGTGATAGCACATACGGGCGCAACCCAGTTCCTCGAGCAGTTCCCTGAGTCGAACAGGCCCGCGGTTCTAGATGCGTATAGTTCAGCCTTGGCGCGGACGTTTTATTTGTCACTTGGCTTAAGCTGTGCATCTATAGTGGGGGCGGCTTTGTCTGAATGGAGATCTATGAAGGCTCCCAAGCCGGGAACTGAACGAACTCCAGCCGGAGGGGAACGCAGTCACTGAACTGAATCTAACCCTCGGGCACGTCAATCTACCTCGTCTGTTTCCTTGCAGGCTCACCCTGAATCCCTCCTTATCTGATGTTGGGCCTGTGCCGAGGTCATTACGTAGTACGACTCAGGAAAAAGTGACAGATAGCCTAGACGAGCGAAAAGAACAGAAAAGCCAACTTGCTCATACCTCCATTCACTCTCTTCCATTACCTAAGTTGTTTTCCCCGGTAGTTACCACCAGAAACCACAGAAAGGAGTAACCCGTTTTGTTCAATTATGGGATCTCCTAATCTCCTACAATTTACTCAGTCTCCTCGGCTCCCTCTCCCACGGTAAAACCGTCACACCGTCAACATAACCCTCCCCCCCTCTTCGGCCTCCACAAAACACTCACAGTCTCGTGGTCTAGGGCTTCAATGACTCGACCTACATTCGTAATGGACTTCCGACCATAACCCCACTTATCCTCTTCCCCGTAAGCAGAGCGCTGACGCACAATAGTACCCAACTCAAGGTCCTTAACACGCACAAACCCATACTCCAACGCAATGGGCGTGCTGAGCGCTGTCCCTTCCATGTAACCCTATCCCATGGGGGGTAAATTCAATGAGGCCCATTGAATTTTTTAGGGTTTTGTTAAGTATGGGGGAAAAAAGTGGGTCCAGGGCCCATTGAATTTAGATTTCAAACCCCCATTGAATTTAGCAAAATAATGTCGTAGAGTTTCCAGATTTCGATATATTTTAATTTAGTATTAGTTTTATTCCATAGCCAAATTTAAGCACAATCAGAGCATATCCAGTATCGATTTTGTCCCCCACAAAGTAGCAAGATTTTTTGATGGGGTAACCACCAGCCGCCGGTCGCGACCAGTCAAACCCACCAACATCAACAACCACCATATGTAGTTTAGTCATAGGATTTGTTTTTTTTTGTTTCAAATTTCAGGGGGGGTTTTCCCAGATCCCCCATCATCATCCCATTTTATTTTGGGTCCATTTGAACAACATTGAGTTGATCCCATTTCCCAGATATACAATACCAGCCGATATATAGATTTCCATATCCGACATGGACACCGAATACCAGGCCCACGAATTATTTTGTGTCAATGCCGAATTTCGCGTGTTGATTTGCCAGAAATGTCAATGTGCCGTACGCCGGGGACAGATCAAGGCCCATTTAAGTAGTACCGTACATCGGATACCCATTTCGTGGGTACAGTATATCGACAGAGTGATCCAGCAGTGGGATCATATTGATGATCACCCAGAGGTGGATAGTTGGCCCCGCCAGATTGATCAACCCATCCCCGAGTTACCCGTTTATCAGGATGGATTATTGTGCCAGCAATGTGAGGTATATACATGCCGCCAGATCCGTACGATGAAGGCACATTGGATAGAGGCCCATCAGTATCGTGTACAGCAAAGCCGTGGTCGTCCCACACCCAGACAGGAAAAAGCCATCCAGGCCGCCATTAACGCCAATAGCCGAGCCGTTGCGTGTCAGCGTATATTCAGCCAAGGCCCCGGTTCACATTATATTCATATTGTGCAGCCCAATCCCAATGAGCCCCCCCATAGACCCCGTGGAAGACCCCGACCGGATTCACCAGTTAGTGCAAATGGTTGAGGAGTATCAGCAGCAAGATCAACAGGCCCATGAAACCATCATCCAGGCCGGGGAGTTAGATGAAGCCACGCCATGGTTGAATCGGACGGGGTGGGTTCGGTATTTACAAGGGACCCCCCCGGCAGCCATTATTCGAGAGTACCCAGCGCCCCGAGGAGGATGCCGAGGGACCAGAGCGTATCGCATTGGTCATTTGGGAGGCCATGGAGCGATTGGCATCGGTGAGCCAGGAGATCGCCAAGGCGTGCGGGCATTTAGTACGCATTGATGTGGTCCGTACGATGAAGGACGAGAGTCCACATAAGCCATTATTGGCATATTTAGATGCCACCGCCATTCAAAAGCATGTGGCACCGTGGCAGCAGATTATGATGTTTTTTGCACGAACCCAGGTATGATCACGTCCGTACCCGATATCAGACACCCAGGTTGATTCACCATCCCAGATTGAACATGATTGGGAATCACCCAAGTATTCATTTACCCCCCCGACAGCAGCAGTTATGGGATGCCGTGTGGCGCCATGCCCAGGCCCAGGCCAGTTGTCCCGACCCCGAGGATGATGAGCCCGAGCCATTCGAGATTCGTCCCATCGAGCATGCATTATTAACGTTTTGCATCGATTTATTACGCCAGAAGATCCGCAACGATGAATATGGATGTGCCATGATTTGTGCCACCGCCGTGATTGGATGCGGGCAGTTTGGTTGGGCCACGCCCGAGAATTTCCCCCCCCGGATATCCAGTTTGATCAAGATCGCGCGGTTTTTTATTTTGCACAAAGCATTGCGGTTAGACCCCCGGTCATCGGAGATCCGTCGTGGGTTCGCCGGGCAGCAGAACCCGCCATGGTTTGAAGGTGATATGATCGGCATCGATGAGGCATATGCCCACGATGATGAAGGATATGGCAGTGCCCCCCCATCCCCGGTGGCCATGCGTAGTTCCCCCCCCACCAGCGATGACATATTAGGAGCATTGACACAGGAGCAGCGCCAGCATCCCGACCGAACGTTCCCCGAATGGGTCACATATTTGGTGGATTTATTCATGGTTCGTGGGACCAATGGCCCCGTCCAGTGGTGGTTAGATTTACGTACGTACGGACGGACGATATTTATGAATACCCCCAGCGAGGGTCATATCGGGTGGAAGTCCGGAGATGAATTGTTGTACAAACAGATCCATTTTACCATGGGCCATTTCCGCGGATTTGTGCATGGGTTGGTTGGCCGGTTACGGCAGCAGTTGGTCCACGAGTTGATGTTTTGCACCGATCACCCGCCCCCAGCCATCCCGTGGGATCATTTGTACGATGATGCCACGCAGAGTGCCACCGGATGGAGTTTTTTACAGGATTTACGTACATCGTGGCCGGTCCAGGGTCCGACGTGGTTCATGGAGCGTATCCGCCACGAGCCCCGATTACAGCGTCAGTTTGTACAGTCCCACGGGGCCGGGTTCCGGATGCCCGCCATCGATCGGTTTTTTCGAGTGGTGAGCCAGTTCCGTGAGCGGTTAAGCGTGGCCGTCCATGTTTGTGCCGGTCAACCCAGCCGGGGTCCCGAGTTAATGAGCATCCGGCATCGTAACAGTGAGCGAGAGCGCCGCAATATATTCATTGAGGATGGCATGGTCACATTTGTCAGTCGATACCATAAGGGGTTCCATGTGGCCAATGATACCAAGGTGATTTTCCGATATTTACCCCGGGAGATTGGTGAGTTGGTCATATGGTATTTATGGTTAGTATTGCCATTTGTGGAGCAGATGCAGTCATATCAGCGGCATATACGGGGCGAAGCCGCCACCATCGGTCGACGGGCCGAGTATGTATGGTCCCCGGATCCCGATCGGCAGACCGAGTGGAGTAGCGTCCGGTTACGGGAGGTATTGAAGCGCGAGACCGCGATTGGATTGGATGGGCAGAAGTTGGGATTACAGGCATACCGTGACATCGCCATCGCCATCAGCCGGCGGTATTTACGCCCCAGCAGTCAGTTCCAGGCCAACACCGAGGAGGAGGCCCCCGACATTGACGACGAGACATCCATGGATGATGATGGGATCCGAGCATTCATTGCGGATATCCAGGCCGCGCATTCCGCCAGCATTGCCGGGACGCAATATGGCCGGATGATGATGGAGAATCCCAACACCACGGCCCGGCACCGCGAGTTATTCCGCCAGGTGAGCCAGGATTGGCATTATTTTTTAGGATTCGAGTCCACCCGTATCGAACATGACCGCCGGGCCCCCGGCACCAAGCGTAAGCCCAACCCATGGGAAGTCGAAACGGCCGAGGCCCGTACGCAGCGTCGATATGATTTACACCAGACCAACATAGACGAGGCATTCCAGCACATGATGGGGAGCAACACCGTAGCATTGCGGGGGCAACAGGGTCCCGTATTACAAGCCATCAAGCATGGGGTAAGCCCCATTGTGGCGGTCATGCCCACCGGGGGAGGTAAGAGTGTGTTGTTTATGTTGCCCGCGTGGGTGAGTGGCCGTGCCGGGTTAACCATCGTGGTTGTTCCATTGATTGCATTACGCGGTGACATGGAAGCACGATGCCAGCGATTGGGGATTTCATGTGCGGTATGGGACCCCCGACGGCCACCCGATGGGGTATCCATCGTATTGATCACGCCCGAGAGCACCGACAGCGATGCATTTGCCGATTTTGTGACCCGGCAGCGGATGTTACAGCGATTAGATCGGATTGTGGTGGACGAGTGCCATATGGTATTAAGTCAACAGGAGCGATTCCGGCCATTATTCCAGCAGTTGGGCAAGTTACGAACCGCAGCCACCCAGATCGTGATGTTGACCGCGACATTGCCCCCCCCGCAGCGAGGAATTATTATTCCATCGGATGCATTGGGTCCGGGATCAAGTGGTATTATATCGGGGCCACACCAGCCGGCCCAATATCGCATATCGTGTCCATACGATCCCCGTAGACGATGGATATGACCATCCGTTCCAGTGGGTGCAGATGCGGAGTGTGATCCAGTTCATCCAGGACCGTGTTCGCCGAGCGTACCCCGGCCGGGTGATCATATATGCCACCGTCCGGGCCCATGTCACCGCATTGGCCGAGTTATTAGGTTGTGCCGCATACCATAGCAAGCAGGTGGACAAGGAAGGGATTTTGGCATCATTCCGCCACCAGGCCGGGGCGGTGATCACGGCCACCAGTGCGTTAGGGATGGGGATTGATATCCCCGATATCCGCAGTGTGATCCACGTTGGTCAGCCCCGGACCATGTTAGATTACGCGCAGGAAAGTGGGCGGGCCGGGCGTGATGGACAGCCCAGCGAGGCGATTATCATCCAGGCCGAGGGTCAGACGATGGGGCGGGAATGCCGTCCGTTTTGGATGCACGATGCGCCCCCGGACGACCATGCCCATGTTGTTGAGTATATGGAGGCGGCGGTGACGGGTTGCCGGCGAGTGATATTGGATGGGTATTTGGATGGACCCATCGAGGAATACCAACGACAGCGATGTGGTGATCGGGTGGTCGAGTCCGCATGTGATGGATGTATGCCCAATTGGGAAGACCAGGAGTCCCGGATTGGATCCGCGTCCCCCGTTATCGCCGATGACCCGATGGTTGATGTTGGGGCGGTTGAGCCGGTGATGGCCGGCCCGACGGAGGATATTCCCAGCACCATGGCCCGGGCCGTACCAATCGCCATCCAGCATACATTTCGGCAACAGGATATCCAACGGGCCGAATTATGCCAGCAGGCGGATGGGAGGGCCGGTCAGCAATATGAGGATGAAGAGTTTTTGATCCGTGAGATTGAGAAGTGGGTTGATCGTTGTTGGACATGCAGCCAAGGAGGCCGTGACGATGGACATGAGATGTGGAAGTGTTGGTATGGTGAAGGGGGCAGCGGCAAGATTGCGCAGGCCAGTAAGGATTGGATGGTCAAGATTCGACGGCAGATTTCGTACGATGGGTTCACGGCGCATTTTTGGTGTGGGATGCCGCAGTATATATGTCCGCGGAGCGATCGGCGAACGGAGCATAGTCCGCAGACGGTCCAGGCATGTGATGGATATCGTACGGCATTGATTCCGACGATTGCGATGATGGTGCATGGGCCCCATGCCAATGCAGTAATCCGAGAACGGTGGTTCCAGCGATTGAGTGAGCATGGGGTGGATAATATCCGGGCGAACGATACAGAGTTGATTCGGTATTTGGGACAGATGGCGCGGAATTGTGGACGAAAGCGAGCGCAGATTACGGAAGAGTTTATTTGGTTACGGAGAGCATATCAAGGAGTTGAGCGTGGTGGGTAGGTGGAAATCGAGAGCGGCGTTCGTGTTTTCCGTATTCAAGTAATAAAGACGATGGCCAAATATATGTTGTCATGTTGCCGGGTTCCATGGTTGATTCAGTGTATTTCCAGGTGAGAGGGATGATTACGGTAGAAATATATGGGAATTATAGGGTCAGGAGGATAGATATATGATGGGTATTAGGAAGGTGATATACAGGACGATTGTATAGTAAGTGATAAGGTCATTAGTGATAGGGATCGTGTGTTATACGGAGATCGAGGTTTAGAAGTTGGGAATGTTCCGAGAGATGCCAGTGGTGAGGGTTTATGGATGGGTGGTGAGGGTTTGTAGATAGGTGGTGAGGGTTTATGGATGGGTGGTGAGGGTTTGTAGATAGGTGGTGAGGGTTTATGGATGGGTGGTGAGGGTTTGTAGATAGGTGGTGAGGGTTTGTAGATAGGTGTTTAGGGTTATATATGTTGGTGTTCCAAAGTTGTTTGTTATTAGATTAGTGGTTCCAACCCGTCCGAGAGTGCATAGGAAGAGATCAGAGTAACAAAAGTCAGTAAATCAGTTACAAGGTTTTGATATAGATAGCAAGGGACCCAGGGCCCATGAGATGAGGGTTTTCGGGGTAGAACCCGGTCAGAGGGTGGTTTTAGGGTTTTGGCATTGATATTAACCCGGGCCCGGGCCCGGGTGGTGAGTTTTAGGGTTGAAACCCGTTGTCCGAGTGGTAGGTTAGTGGAAACCCGAGAGTATTTTAGGGTTTAGGGTTTAGGGTTTAGGGTTTAGAGGTTTCAGGTTTTAGGGTTTAGGGGGTTTAGGGTTTAGGGTTTAGGGTTTA